GAGCAGAGACAGAATGGAGAACCTCTTGCTAAATTGTACGTCAGCAGTTTCAGATGCAAGTCTCCCTTTGAAGTGGAGGGTGGCCACATTAAAGTCCATTATGAAATGCACTAGGTGGTCAAAATGTTTCTTCACTGGAGTTTGGATATTGCCATTTCTACTCTCAGATTCGTGCCCGTTTATTTTTGTGTGTTGAGACTGGCCTGGGTGTCCTACACAAAATACAGAAGAGCATTGCTGGCAAACAGTGGCATACATATCACATTGGAAGGTGAGCAGGGAAGTGCACACTTGATGTTGTGTGTTAAATTGATCTGCTTACTACTACTCTAATAAACATTCGCCTTTCTTCAGATATCCTATTCAGTTATCCAAAGCAACAAACACACATGGTGCTAGTGCATATCAAATAAGACAAGTCTCCAAGTCATAGAGATAGGTGATATGCAGTTGTGATGCAGCAGTGTGTACATTTCCCACAGGCAACTGGCTGACCACTATGAGAACAGGATGCTGGTCTAGAAAAGCCATTGGCATGAGCCAGTAGACTCTTCTTACAATTGTGAAGTCTGGGTAGTTCTCAGGATTACATTACAAAAAGATTATTCAGTGTGGATGTTTTCCTTTTTATATACAGTGGTACCTCTGGTTACCACTCCCAGTAGTGATGTATGGAAGTGAGAGCTGGACCATAAAGAAGGCTGATCACCGAAGAATTGATGCTTTTGAATTATGGTGCTGGAGGAGACTCTTGAGAGTCCCATGGACTGCAAGAAGATCAAACCTCTCCATTCTTAAGGAAATCAGCCCTGAGTGCTCACTGGAAGGACAGATCCTGAAGCTGAGGCTCCAATACTTTGGCCACCTCATGAGAAGAGAAAACTCCCTGGAAAAGAACCTGATGTTGGGAAAACGGAGGGCACAAGGAGAAGGGGACAACAGAGGATGAGATGGTTGGACAGTGTTCTCGAAGCTACCAGCATGAGTCTGACCAAACTGCGGGAGGCAGTGGAAGACAGGAGTGCCTGGCGTGCTCTGGTCCATGGGGTCACCAAGAGTCGGACACGACTAAATGACTAAACAACAACAACCTTGGATTAAGAACATAATTCATTCTGGAGGTCCATTCTTAACCTGAAACTGTTCTTAACCTGAAGCACCAATTTAGCTAATGGGGCCTCCCGCTGCCGCCGTGCCATTGCTGCACGATTTCTGTTCCCATCCTGAAGCAAAGTTCTTAACCCGAGGTACTATTTCTGGGTTAGTGGGGTCTGTAACCTGAAGCATCTGTAACCTGAAGCATCTGTAACCTGAAGCGTCTGTAACCTGAAGTGTCTGTAACCCAAGGTACCACTGTACTGCAGCACTGGTCTTAAACTGCCACCACCACACCCCTTCTTTTTAAAAGCAAACTGACTTATGCTCAGGGGAACCGTTTATCACAGCCCCTCAGTGAGTAAGGTAAAGGTAAAGGTACCCCTGCCCGTACGGGCCAGTCGTGACCGACTCTGGGGTTGCACGCCCATCTCGCTTAAGAGGCCGGGGGCCAGCGCTGTCCGAGGACACTTCCGGGTCACGTGGCCAGCGTGACAAGGCTGCTCTGGCGAGCCAGCACCAGCACAGCACACGGAAACGCCGTTTACCTTCCCGCTATAAAGCGGTACCTATTTATCTACTTGCACTTAAGGGTGCTTTCGAACTGCTAGGTGGGCAGGAGCTGGGACCGAACGACGGGAGCTCACCCCGCCGCGGGGATTCCAACCGCCGACCATACGATCAGCAAGTCCTAGGCGCTGAGGTTTTACCCACAGCGCCACCTGCGTCCCTCCCTCCCTCAGTGAGTAGAAGTGATCAAAGGTGTAGGTCTTCTATCTGAGACATAAATGCTGAGCAGTGGTGCTTCTCCCCTGTCCTCTCTAGGCCTTTTTGAACATCTCAACAACAACTGTTGTCAACTACCATTTGTCAAATGCGATGAAAAGAAAAGTAGCAACTATTTTTAATCTCACCGGCGGAGGAGTGAATACTGTCCTGAAATAGAAAGAAGTGTGTCTATCTAGCAAAAAGTGACAGTCTAATGCTGTCAAGTGTGGAACTGAGAACACAATAAAAACAACATGTGGTATTTTTACATTCCACTTCCTCTGGGCTTAGAATCCTATTTAATAAGAGAAAATCAAATTCTTATTTCTCCCCCCCCCCCCGAAGTCAGCTGGTTTAGTATGCAATCCTGTACACATTATGGAAGTAAACCCCATTGTACTCAATAGGATTCACTTCTGACTAAATAGGCACCCCCCCCAAGTGGCTAGAACCCTGATAAGTGTGAAAGTGTCTGAGGTCCAGGATCTGAGCAGAAGTGACTATCTGGTGATACCATGTACATCTTTTTGAACTTCCCATAGGTTAAGTCATAGAGTAAATCAATAGTTGACCTGAGTTAGAAAACAGGAAGCCAAAACTATGAATAGTTAGACAGCTTTGTCAGTGAACAGATGTGAGAAAAGGGGATCCTCAATAATCTATTGAGACCAGTGCTTGAGTTAGGCTTTAGCAGTGAGCAGTGAGGTGGCTCAGTTTGCTGAAGATACCAAATTATTTGGGAGGTAAAAATGAAAAATCATTTTATTGCAATTGTCTTGTGAAATACTTGTTAATAAATTGCCTACTTCACAGTGTAGCACAGATCAAATTTTATTTTATTTATCAAATTGCTTGCAAGGATTAATACGGTGCAAGTGCATAGCTGCTGCTTCTTCTTCTTCTTCTTCTTCTTCTTCTTCTTCTTCTTCTTCTTCTTCTTCTTCTTCTTCTTCTGTGCCGAAACATAGCTTCTTTTTATATGCATGGTGTGTGTGGAATCACATAGGCAAAGTACAGTTGACTTTGATTTGGTACATGCACGTCTAAATTGGCACTGAGGGTTGAGCACTCGCAGATATACTTGACAATGATAGCCAAACCTACACAAATCACAGTGTCTTCATGGAATTGTTATCCCAATGAATGTTAACCATTTTAAACTACATACGCACACCCCCAAGACCCTATTGTCACACTTGCTGATTATTCTGCGGAATGTTGTTACCCGGTAGCTTACTGACGCAAGGCACCTGCAAACGCTAGATTGAATTAACTATTAAAGGCTTAAATCATCCAATGGTGCTCAAATCACCACGGTCTGTGTCATTGTGCTGGGTGACAGCACAGCCTTATTACTGGAAAAGATACCCAGAAACTGCAGAGGAGGGAGCAAAATATGCACACTGTCACTGCCAAGGTAGTAATGAAGGTTGAGAAGGCTCACATCCAGACACCCTTTATATAGGGCACATAGCATCCCTATTTTCCAAACTGGTTTTATTTTTAACTGTGTTTCTTTAGTTCAATAAAATAGCGGCTTTATTATTTTCAGCTCCTCCATTTCCACAGCCCGCCCCTTGCGCTATCATTTATTCTAAATGTGTACCCACACAGTAGAGTTTATTAGGTTGGATCTAAACTGTCAGCACACTCCTAACCATGTCTACTCAGATGCATTCCTATTGAATTCAATAGGAATTATTTCCAGGTGTGGGGAAAGTGGTCCAGGAGATGCTTCCTCTCTCATAATATTAGACCTTGCGTCAAAGAGTGAGCTGGCAGTTGGAGTTAACTCTGTATTAGCAAAAGCATGATCTTCATAGACTTGGCTGAGTGTCAGGCCTAATAAGCACAGCAGCTGATCCCCAGCAGGTCTTACCCCACTGCCGAGAGTGAAAGTCCCCACCTTCCCACTGCCATCTAAGTCCTATCCTCTCCAGAGCTTTTTCCAAGCAATCAGAGACTGCACCTGTGTGAAGCTTGTTGCTGGTCCAATTTCAGCCCTCTTCTGGTTCTTGGAGATAGAGGGGAAGGGAAGGGAACTTGTTGCAACAGGAAGGAGGCACCTGTGACTATTCACCAGCCTGACTCATCACTGCCTCTTCACCTCCCTCCTCCGACTCACCTGCTTCAGTTTCTTCCTCTGATACTGGACTCTCCGCCCAGACCCTCCCAGCTCACTAAGCCCAGTTTCCTCTTCAGCTTCTGACACATCCTTTCCCCAGTCTTCTCCCCCCTCCCCAACTGCTCATCATTGTCCCACCACCACTCTCTGGGCTCTGAGTCTTCTTCCTTTGGTGGTTCCCCAGCTGGTTCCTCTCCCCGTTCCTTTGCTTCCAACCTTGGGGCCATTCAATAAAGCTGAATGTTGAAAGATTAAGGATGGACAAAAGAAATAATATACGTAAACTATGTAATTTGCTTCCACAAAAGTCATGATTAGGATTGCGCTGCAAGTCATTCTTGCCACTGAGATCAGTGCAAACTGTGACTAACATAGTCTGAATCCAACGCATGGTACTTTTTTATTTGTTATTTATTGAGCACACGTTAACACTAAAATACCCTGGGCATTATGATAAAGCCATCATTGTTCCACCATTTCCACAGAGGCAGTCCAAGACATTTGAGAAGTGGCCATCCTTGAATCCTTGCAATGTTTCACAGGAAGCAAGAGAGCATGGAAGTGTTTATGAGACTTGTACCACAATATCACCAGTGACTTTGGGCGAAACCCCTGGGTCCCACATTGCTCCATTGGTGCTCCTGATAATATGGCCATCCACCCCAAGACACCTCTTAGATACCAGTGCAGTTGGGCCATCCCCTATTTTCCAAAATATTAACCATTTAATAACTGTAGCTGGTGTTAGGAGCATCTCGGTAGAGCATCACGTTAATCTTGCTGACAATGTCCATCCAAACAAAGGCACCAGTCCTTCAAATTTCCCGTTTACCTTACCAAATTCTGATGACTTTATTGCCAAGGCTTCAGCTTTGCTATTCACACGGTCATGTATGCATACGTTTGTGCGGGTGAAAAAGAACTTGCAACTGCCTAACCCAAAATGCCCGAGTATTAAAAAAATCCCCAAATGTCTGACGATACTAAAAGAAGAAGGACTACACTGAAGAAGGACTTTGTAACAATGATTTTTATTAACAATCAAATAAAGGATTTGAACACAATGGGACATTACTGTAAAACATCTAAATATGTGAGCTGTACATTGTTACAGAAGTACAGAAGTATTCTGTTTTGTGTGCTTCTAAACATTACTGTAGAACTCTTCCACTGAACACTCAGTCTCCCAGTTCTGGACCCTGATCTATTCTGCAGCAGCTACCATCCATTCCACACAACATAAGATGTGTGAGAAACAGTGCCTAAAAATGGAAGGTGTTCCATATTTAATAGAAATTTGTACAACATTGTTGTTATTTTTAGTGCGGTGGTACCCACCTTGATTCAGTAACTCCTACATCTTTAATGTGAGTTACTTGGAGTTTATGATGCCTTGACCTATTCTTTTCAATCTCTTGCCAAGACTTGGTCAGTACAATGGTCAGAGATGTACACAATGGTCATGCTGTTTGTAACTGCACCAAATTCATGCGCTGGGTCTCCAAAACAATCCCAAGTGGATACATCCATTAACAATGCTTTCTTACAAGTAAAACTGTTTGTAAAAGCCTAGACATTTTGGTCAATTTGAAGAAGACCCTTGTTCTCCTTGAACCTGTATGCTTTTTTACTGTTGAGAAAGGAAGACCCAACAACTGGAGTTTATACAGAGGAAGATTTGAGCAATATTCCTTTCTTTCCCCTTGTGGCTCCTTCAAAACCTAATTTGGCTACATATTAAGCATTTCTTCCAATTATTTCAGATTTTGAAGCCTGCTCCAGATCAACCGTACACCCAGATCAACCATTCAACATAGGACTGTTTTCATACCATGTGAATTTAGTAACCAAGAAGCAAACATGAAATAACATGGGTGGCTAATCAGTACAGATTCACTCGCTGAAGCTGTTTAACATGAAGTCAACATAGTGACATGTTTGCAATGCAGTTACTATTTCATACACTTGCCCTTTGAAATGGCAACACCACAGGCTGATCCACTGCACACTTGGTCAAGAAAAACCATTCCTAGTTTCTAATTGCACCTAGAATCCTAGCATGCAGTATACAATTAGCTTCCATTGCTTTTATTTTATTTTATTCAAGAATTTGGCTGCTCATCAAAAAAGGTGCAGGCACAGGGTGAAGGACTGGCCCACGGGGTGCTTTGGAATGATGCCTTTTTTTACTTACTGTTCATATACACATTTTCCTTGGCGCGCTTTAATGAAAAAGGTATTAACAGACACTGTCCTATTTATTGTTTATGTGTTGCAACCTCCCACATGTCCTGTCTCTTGGGCCATTGGCTGCGAAGAAGGTAGACAGGTTAACAGACACTCCCTAGATCTAGTTGTCATGAGGACATTCCACATACAAAAATACTAATTTCAAAATATCATTTGAGCTTCTTTGCACAGAGATACAGATGCATGGAAAGAACGAAGATGGACACAGGGAAGAAAATCAAACGGCAAGATGGAGAAGAAATGGCGGCACGGAAAAATGTCAGACATCCTAAAAGGTAATGCCCTGGCAACAGTTAAATACAACTGTCTCCTTTTTCCCCGTGTGTGTGTGTGATGGATACTATTCTCCACCCCACCCCACCCGCCTTGGTGTCACAGGTATGATCCTTCAGGCAAGGCAAAACTGGATCTTTCTCTGTTCTTCAATGGTCGAGGGAGGGGCATTTCTTTACAAGCACTTCAAAAGAAAAGTGTTACAAGATGTTCCTCTGGGGCAGTCACACAGCTTTCCGATTCTGGATCCTTTCCGCACGGCACACTGCTCTCCAGCATCGCACTGTTGTTGAGAGTAACCAACAGTTAGACAAAGGAAGTCACCATGCAGAAGAACATAAATGGCTACAGTGCCATTTCTACTAATTTTTCAACACCCGAGTTTTACTTTTTGAGGATTTAAATATTCTGCTATCCAAATATCCTAACAGGAGAATGAATGAGTGGGAGAATTGGTTTGCTCAACTTCAGGTTAGGGGGCTTCCAGAATGGGGCTTAATTTGCAAACAGGTCTTTGTTTTTTGTTTTTTACTGGCACTTTGAGGCCAATGATCATGTGTAGGTGCTTCAAAAATAACAAAACAACAACAAAACCAACACCTGCTTGCATGAGGAGCAGTGATCCCACAGTAAGCACCCATCTGGAAACACAGATACCAGTATTGGAGCATCTAGAAAACCATATTAAAATCTCTAGCCCTCATCAAAAAGCTCACAAGCATATTTTCCCTACAGATATTTGTTGATTAATAATGGAAGCATGCAGTACACTATTTGAATTAGCAATCCTGTACGTGTCAACTCAGAAGTAAGTCCCATTGTTTTCTGTGGTGCTTCCTTCCAGGTAAGTAATAAAAGATCACAAGCAAATAACTGTTTCGACCAAAGCACACATACTGCTGCCAAACATTTCAAGTACAGATCGAAAACTGAAACCCTACTTATATAAGAATCCACTCAAAACTCAAACTGGAAATTTAAATATTGATAACATTAAGGAATTTTGTCTCCCAGTGCAATAGAAAGTCATCTTCTAATACCTTAATATAGCAAGGGGAAAGTGAAATCCAGTCCTCAGCTGAACTCAATGATCAGTTTCTTATCAGCTATTTGGAAGGAACTTTCTTTTTAATGTGCTCCAAGTTCCGCATCAATTTTAGATGATAGGATATAACAAAATATGCAAAGAAACTAAGACTGCAACCTTCCACTTGCACTCCATTTTGAAAAGAGGAAGCCTATTGGATCTTCACCAGGATTAACTTCCAAAACTTGCTTCAAGTTCAATCATGTCTACTCAGAAGTAAATTTAATGGGATTTACTCCCAGGTCTGTGTAATCGGGGACTGCAGCCTTATAATACCTAATGGATTAATACGGCAAGGAGAGCTCAGAACTCTTGGGATCACAGCAACTGCGTGAAAGAGCAACAACCTGCAAAAGTTCTGAGAGGTGTGGACTCCCAAGTCCCGATTTCAAATTAAGTGGGGGACGCCAGGATGAGAACCAGTCAACCAGGCTGAAGTCCGGAGGAACTGCTCAGTTTCCAGAATCCAGATTGACAGTCCCAGCCCTGTTTGACTACACACCGATCCCGCCACTTCCTCTAGTCCCTCTCCGGACAACTTTCTCCTTCGAAATCTGCCCTTTCCCTTCTCAGCGCGATGGGATCGGAAGCCAACTCACCATGGGGACTTGGCCATACTTCTTCTCGTAATGCGGGAGCCGCTTGCTTTTCAGCTTCTCCAGAACTTCCTGCAGCGCCTCGATCTGCGGACACACAAAGCGACCCGTCAGTGGATCGCGCAAGCAAACCTCGCAGGGCGGTGGGGCCCCTGCCTCTCGCGGACACGCGCTGCGCTGCCCCTGGGCGCCACGAGATGGGACGCCATCCTTGAGCGCCTTTCTCCTCGAGCTTCAGTTCCACCTCAATCCCTAGATCACCTCCCTGCTCTTAACTGTGGCGAAGTTTCCCCGAGACTTCTACCTCTGCCGAGCAAAGGGAGCGATCCAGCTAAGCGAGAGATTTTACGCGCGATCCGAGCACGCTTTCTGGGTGGCCCCCCGCCCTGCCCATGCACACCCTTCCCTGCTGTAGGACCTACCAGCTCCTTCTCGTGAGACGTGTCCTCCATCGTGGAGTAGATGTCCAAGCCTCGCGGCTGGAGCTCCGTCTCCTCCTGCCCTTTGACGCCCACCAGCAGCAGCACCGCGGCTCCCAGCAAAGCCAGCAGCCGGTAGCTCTCCATGGTGCTGAAATGTAAACGCTGCTCCTCGCGGAGCCCTCTTTATACAGCTGGCTGGGGGCACCTGTTGACAGAACTGCTTGCTCTGCGATACGTCAGTCCTGGCGCGGGTGCTGATGTATGTATGTATGGGGTGGAGGGAGGCGGGGACTGTAAGGTGGATGACGGATGAGTTGGGCGATTAGCTCAATTTCCTCCAGGGTGGACGAGAGCAAGAAGAAGACGCAAAACAAAAAAAAAGGGGGGGAGGAAGGGTGCACTTAGGGTAAAGCGCAGTGACAGGCCTCCTTCCCGAGACAGAAACAATTCCTATTTCTAATGCAACGTGTTCCTCGTGGACATGAGTATGATCCAACTTAGTATCACTGTGCATGGTCAGAAGGTACCTGGGAGAGTATAAAATGTTGAGATATAATATCTGTATTTTTTATTATGTTGTCATTATACAAAAGAAGTCTCCAAGCAACTTGTGACAACATAAAACGGAAAACTAATTAAACCAGTTAGGAACCAGATAACGAGAAGGAAACAAAACACAGTGAACAAAATTTCTCATCCAGGAGTCCTATGAAAAGGATAGCCCCAGTCCAAAAGTTGAGCACCACAAAAGAGGCTTGATCATACTGAAGTATATGGGCAAAAGAAATGCCTTAGCCTGGCATCAAAAAGCTGATAATGAGGGCACCAGACATGTTGCCCCGGAGAAAACATATGATAAGAAAGCAGTTGTCTGAATATAGGAAGCAGTTCCTTCGTGCCAATTCGGATCATTGGTCCTTCCTCTGCATTTTATGTAGCTATTCAAGAATCTGGGAAAGCTAGTTAATGTTGGGTGTAATCTGAATGTTACCTTTGTAGATTGTCACTCTCATGGATGGCTCCCATGTTATGGCACTACGGCTCAAAGTTCCACATCATGTGGTTCATGGTTCTGCTCCTGCCTCCTTTCCTAGTGTCAAGACTGCTAACACTGGCAGGCAAAATATCCATATGATTCCAATGATGAATGTGGTGCAGAACTCAAAATGATGCCAGTAGAGCACAGGAGTTAACTAGAAGAGGCAGCAACCACAGCACAAAGACCACATTTCAACCAGAGCTGAATTTACACAACAGGATGGAGGAAGGATGAATAACTTTGCAGTCTACATTATGCAGCTGTCATTATGCCAAGGAAAATGGTCATGGTGGCTCTAGGCTTTCAGTCTAACATTTCTCTTTTTACAAATAAAAACTGTAAGTGGTACTGAGCAGTCTGCATCCTGTATGTTTATAATATGTCGTTTGAAATGGATTTTGGTGTAGGTCAGGGATAGGGAGGCTGCGGTCAGATAATTTTGGACTCCAACTCTCACCAACCCCAGCCTACATAGTCCATGGTCAGAAATTTTATTATTATTATTATTATTAAACAAATTTATAAACAGCTTCATGGCATAAAGCCATCAAAGTCATGTCCAGGGTAAAAAAAAAGGAAAACACAGAAGCACAATCTCCAAGAACAAGAAAATCAGTCCATCAAATTCTGTAACAATAGAACTATCCATACAAAACTTGAAAAACAACAAAAACGTTTCATGAAATGTAAAATTGATTTTTCCATAAATGACTGAGTTACACTTCAGGGAAAGCTTTTGTAAACAAAGCTGTCTTTTGTAAGCATCTAAATAGAAGAGAAGAAGAGTTTGGACTTGATATCCCGCCTTTCACTCCCCTTAAGGGGTCTCAAAACGGCTAACAATCTCCTTTCCCTTCCCTTCCTTCCCCACAACAAACACTCTGTGAGGTGAGTGAGGCTGACTAGCCCAAGGTCACCCAGCGGCTGCATGTGGAGGAGTGGAGACGCAAACCCAGTTCACCAGTTTACGAGTCCACCACTCTTGTATCACCAAGCTAGGCCCGTGACTTCTGCTGAGAGTTGTACTCCACTTTTGGAAGGACACACATTTCCAATTGTTTTGGGTTGTTGGTTATACAATTTATAAAACAGGATAGAGTTGAGGCGGTGTAGGTAAGCTGCTTTAAGGCTTGGTTGTGAATGTAACATTTAGAAACTGCAATGACTGCTCAACTATTATAGATTAGGTCTCACTTATCTCATTAACCGTGTAATGCTAAGTAATTTTAAAACAAGCACTTAAATCACATCTCACTTACATGACTCACACAAAATAACCAGTTCTATCAAGAACTGCCCATGTTCTTAGGCAGTGCTATTTTTCTAGAAAAAGAGGTGCCAGAACTCAGCCTGAATGCCTCCCTTGTTCTCTAATACAGTGGTACCTCGGGTTAAGTACTTAATTCGTTTCAATGGTTTGTACTTAACCTCAAACTGTTCTTAACCTGAAGGACTTTAGCTAATGGGGCCTCCTGCTGCCACCGCGCTGCCGGAGCACAATTTCTGTTCTTATCCTGAAGCAAAGTTCTTAACCTGAAACACTATTTCTGGGTTAGCGGAGTCTGTAACCTGAAGCGTATGTAACCCGAGGTACCACTGTAATGACAATGGCTCACACCTGAGGTACCGGAACTGAGTTCCAGCTGAAACAAAGCCCTGAGTTTTAGACTCTCACCTGCGGATGCAACTTGGGATGTATTCAGCTAAGTCCTACTTGAGTAGGGCATTGACATAAATTATTTAAGTTAGCCACAACTAACAAGACTATTAATTTTAATGGGTCTACTCTATTACCCTATGATACCATCCCTTGTACTCTTCCCCCAGAGGAATTGCTTCTGTTCCTCAACCATAACAGGCCTAGCTTCTTAATATTTTTAATGCACTCTCAATGAATAAAACCAAATGTTACCTAATATACATAATTTTATTTGTATGCCACCTTTCCATAGCTAAAGTCACGCTCAAGGCAACTTGCAACAGGAAAATAATTACATAACTAACAAAAGTAGTCATAAACAATTAAAATATCAAAAAGTACACAACCAAATTGAACAATTTCCACATAAACCATAGTATCTAAAATAAAGATATAAAAAATACTATCAATAACAACCCCCTCCTCCCCGCAAAAAACCCCTAAACAAAACCCCAGCTTGAGAGTCAAGACATGTGTTTATGACAACAACACAGTGAAAATTAATAATTTCCTACATCTTATAATAAGTAACCAGGAGGTAACATTTGCAAGGTATGAAGTCTGTAGAAATGCATCCTTTTTCATTATCTATATCTCAAGATTATTGATGAATTATTCCCAGCTCAAGAAGGGATTTAATTACCACTCTCTGTGGGAACCTTGGCAACCTAAGGATGTAATTTTCAGCAAAGGCCTGGGGTCAGAAAGTAGTCTTCCCACTCACTGCAACTAAAGGACAAGTAATCTGGCAAATAGTTCTATGAGGCATTGTCTGCAGCCCAGAATAAAGTGCTTATAATAGGAAAGATGACCCAATTCTATGTGCTGGTTTTGACCTATGAAGTCTTATGTGGTTCAGGACCCCAATGGAAAGGACCACCTCTCACCATAAGAACCAACATATTTTTAACATATCTTAGTTTCTAGGTTGATGATTTTCCTTTTTACTGTTAGCCACCTTGAGCGATATTCTCTTGGAAAGGTGAGATATAAATATTCTAAATAAAATAAAATAAAATAAATCAGCATATTGCTGATACTCCCGCCAAATTTCCTGATGAGAGCAGCCGGTGGCTTCAGAAAGATATCAAATAGCATGGGAGACAAGATGGAACCCTGTTCAACACCACAGGACAGTTCCCGTGGCACTCAGAGTTGCCTTTCTATAACGACTTCCATACTGGGAAGTAGGATCAGAACCACTGAAGTGTTGTGCCCCCAAGTCCCACCTCGCTAAGCCTTTCCAGAAGCTACTAAGGTCAATTGTACTGAAAGTTGCCGAGAAGACAAGAACAAGCAGGGCCACCCTCCCACATCTTTCTTGTAACAAATGTCAACCAAGGGTAACCAAGGCTGTTTCAGTGCCATGACCATCCATTCCTGAAGCCAGAATGAAATGGATCCAGACAATAGGTCTCCTCCAACCATGCCAGAAGCTACACCGCCAGCACCCTCTCAAACACCTTGCCTCTAAAAAGGATATTCACCACTAATAGTTGTTTAACACTTCTTGGTCAAGGCAAGGAGAGGAGGAATCACTGCCTGTCCTCCTATTTGTTGCCATCCATCTGTCTCAGGAGACAGTGGAAGACTGCACCATTTGGGGTGAAGTCAAACGGTTGGAGAGCTACAGCACCTGCTGTGGCTCTAGAGACCAAGATGCAACTGGGGCAGATCAAGGCACCTGGTTATGCTGCAGCAGATGCTCCATAGCATTTCTTTTCTTGGCTCTCCTCCCCGTAGTCATACCTCCTCTTGTCACTGCTGTAGATACAGAACCTGACAGTAATCTGTTGAGAACTACACTTGCCCCACAGTACACAGCAGGGAGATTTCATTGTAGCTGTTAGTGACGACGGTCACCTTTGTTCATGTATGTAGAGGGTCACCATGCCTTGTTCTGAACACTGCAAGAGGCTGTAGAGGCCTGTCATGAGGGAGGAATCGAGTTTTCAGCACTTCTGTTGGGATTCCATCCTGTCCTGGGGTTTCACCACATGCCTGAAAGTTGATGGTGTTCTTCAGCTTGTCAAGGGAAGGACATCTAGCTCTTCCAAGACAGGCAGAGTCTGGCTGCTGCTGATTGCTGTGTCAGAGACCATGTTTCCCCAGGAGTACAGTTCTTGATAGTGCTCTGCCCATCACTTCATCTGCTTGCTACACTAAGAAAAGTCTGTGGTCTGTGATGCTCTCCCAACAACGTTTACAGCAGTGCAGTTTTCCTGATTGTTGGCTCAAAGGCTTTCTTCATGCCTTCACATATTTTGCAAGTGTTGCCAATGTCAGCAGGAGTTGAATGCTCTGACCCAGCTTTAGCCAGAAGTCATTGGCACATCACCCGGCAATCCACTGGGCATCACTCCTTGCCTTTCCCAGTGCAGCAAGCATATTTCCACAGGGCACACTTTTGCCTTCCAAAGAAACATTAATTATTTGAGTATGTAACTTGGGGAGAATTACAATTAGATAACAATGTAGTAAATCTAGTTTCATTTAAATTATGCCTGAACACATTTGGACTAACAGCTGCGTCTTGGATCAGATTGCCTTGCTATGGACTGTGCTATGGAGTAAGATACAAGGTTAAAAAATGCCAAGAATCATGCAGCTCCCATTGGTTTTAGTGTATTATCTCAAATTCCTCCCATAAAGGCAATTAATCTTTTTTGTAGTCAAGTCTTTTCTGCTATTAAATGCTGTGGGTGAGATTCAACATAGTGGAAGCAGGTGTTCATTTATACAGGGTGGGGCTTCTTCTTTCTCTCCTCCCACCAGAATAATTTGGGAGGGGCACATGGGGGCTTGCGGAGGGGGGAGAAACTGCAATTCCCTTTGTGCAAGCATATTTCCATTGGGCAAGTGGCAAGACATCATTGAACGTCACCCTGTACGTTACAGGTGGGGCACCAAAGGAGGAGAGTAACATTGGGGACAAAATAACATCTGCGAGAGAAATATGACTGTACAGCAAAATAAGATATATGGCTTTGTTCTTTCTTACCTACTCATTATTACTCACTGTTAATTATAGCTCATTTTAGTTAACAGAAATATATAAAGGTGTGTGTGATGACTGGTTATTTGAATTAAATTAATGAAGATGTATAAGCTGTCTGGCTTCTGAATCACTTATATGCCTTAGATTCAAATTTGAATGTTATGGGGAAGATACTTGTGAATCCAGTTTCAATTATTTAATAAATTGTTCCCATTTATTTTTTTTTACAAAAAATGCCACAATTACCTGTCTAATTACTAAAGCAATATCATATGAAGTCTGATTTCAATATGCATAACAATAAAACCCAACTACAGTATTGAACAAATCTTTATTTGATATACTGATTCTTTTAGACCATTTTATTTTTCGATTTGTTAATTAAAATAATATTAATAATCCAGAGGTGCCACTGCCAGACCATCCAAATCACATTCGGAAAACTCCAAACTCTGTCTTCTGGGTGGGCGCATTGAGTGCAGCACTCAGGCTGAGACCCAAAACCAGTCTTGTATCAGCCGGGTCAATAATTCCATCATCCCACAGACTGAGAAATAAAAGGCAAAAATAAAGGGTTACATTTTTACTGCAAGTGACACAGAAAGCTATTTCAGTTTAATAAGCAATAAATGGAAACTTTAGCATAGTACCTAACTACATTTTGCTAGTAGTAGCATTGAAGTGACACTACATGAGCAGTAGACTATAGTAGAATCTGCACTGTGCCATGTGACTCCCACATATGTAGCTTTGCTACATTTAAAGGCCACAGCATCCCAATGGGTTCTATTCAGTTATGATTCCATCCTGAGACTGCTATAGATCCTGTTAGTCATTCAATATTTAACCAATATTTCCATTAGAAAACCAAAAAAACCAAAAGTGACAACTATGTAACAGAGGAGAATGCAACTTTTCCATATTGTAGTTCCACTGTAGTTCCAAATTACAATGAAATAACAACAACAACAACAACCCTATCAACATAAAAGCTAAAGGTGTGCAGTGACCACAACATTCACCTGTATCTGCAGAATGTGGAAATAGCACATTTCAGATCTGTTTTGATTTGTTATTCAGGCCAAAATCTGAACTTTTAAATCTGAAGCTGTTTCACCACCACTGTCTGTAAGAGGAAAATCCAAAATGGGGTACAACTTTTATTTTCCACATGTGGATGAAATCTGCATGCAAAGAAGCCCCTCTTTTAGAGGATAAAGCCTTCTGAATTTCAGGCAGACCTATCCAGGAGCTTCCATACAGGGAATCTTTTAAAGGAAAAGTCTCTACATTTTTAATTTCGTGCAAGAATTGGATGCGAATCACAGGCATGGTCACCCCTTCTGACAACTATACTCTAAACACACACACACGTAACAAGAATCTCAAAGCGGTTAACACAAAACAATAGGGCGTTATATAAATTCAATAATAATAATAATAAATAATAATTCAACAGAATTTAAACAAAACTATTCAGTTTTGTATTAAGCTATCCCACACATATAGAGCACAATCCAAAGAAACACTTTCAAGCCTCCTCCAGCATGTACTCATGTACACACACACACACACACACACACTTTTACAATATCTGTTCTCTAAAGAGGAAATGTAAATTATGACTAATTACTGGGCTTAAATGTCAACTAAATATGGTTTTCATATTCAACTCAAAGATAGAGAAAGTGGTGAGACATTTCTTTGTAAAGCTCTGCCAACAATCATTTCATTAATCTTCTTTGTTGAAGAATGGAAACTAATGGAAACTAATCCAAGTCATAACAAATTGCCTTAAAGCAATGGATTCAAAACTAAAAAAAGGTAACAAAAGCACTCTATCCCAATGCTGAGTACATCCATTCATTTAAATTTTAGATTTATGTCGAGTGTGTGGAAGCCAGTAGGTACTAGCCAGTTGCAAAGTCAATAAACAAACTGATCATACAGATCACTCAAGTAATTTTATTTGATTATTATTTTAGAGGGCAGGAAATAAGAGAGAGCAGGCCATCTGGAAAACAAGTGCTTTAGAACATTCATCTGCGAATAAGCAGTCGGAACTGAATGGTTAGAATAGGGTATTTTCCTCTCTCTAAAGAACCAAGCCTTCAACTGTTTATTGTCTGAAGATTATATTTTTAAATCTAATTATGCAGAAAACGTGCAGCCCGCTTCTGGAGTGTTAATATTCCTAAAGAACAGGACAAACCAAACTTCATTTGTACATGAAAACATACTTATGGCAGCCTAACCCCATCAGGTCTTGGAGATGGCCTTAGTTTGCTTTCGCCTGTTACACTTACAATCATAACAGCTGTTCTTTGACCTTTTTCAAGCTCCTTAAAAGATTATTCAAACTTAGCATTACTAGATGTGAGATTTCCAAGCAGCATGCTCTCTCTGTTGTAATGTGCTACTGCATCTTAGCTCCTTTTCATTTATCTTTTAGCTTCTGGCTTTAAAAATAAAATAAAATACAAATGTCCTTTAGCCACATCTTTCTCTAATTAACTTATGGTAGAAACACAAGAAGATAGTACTTTTCTTTAATATGTCAATGGCCTGAATTTTTAAAATATAAAGTTTGTTTGGAGTGTTGATATCAGGGAAGGATTGGGGAGCAAAAGTCCAGGGCAGAATGAGGGGAGCCCCCAAATGCAGGACTGGCTTACGACACTTTGAAGTAGGTGGAGGAACAACACACTAGCATTTAAAGTGAGGGATCTTAAGACTAGCAAAACAGAGTCTAAATTACTTAGCGGCACTACTGTATGGTTGGGAATAATTGATACCCACTTTGGATGGGGTTGAACAATACTCTTAAGAACTAGGTTTGCAGTTTGGGAGTGTGCACGGATCCAGCTTTGCTTTGCTCTAAATGTCTAAGGTGTGTCTAGGGCCAGGATTGCTGTTGCAGATGTGGTTGCTAGATTGGTAACATGTCTTGGTGAATTATGTACCATCTAAATCGGTCCCTGGTCCACCTCCAAGCCCAATTCAGAATGCTGGCTATGACCTTTAAAGCCTTCAATTGTTTGGGATCAGGATACTTAAAATGCAATCCTCCCACGATCCTATCCTTCTGCTCAGGTTTTCAATAGAGGATCTGCTACAAATTTCACCAGCACCTGAAGAGTTGGTGGGTATGACGCACATCTCATTCACGATTCCAAGGCTGTGAATTGCCCTGGGAACCTTGGCTGGCTTTTTCTTGATGACAGTTCTAGACTCCTTATAAAAACCATATTGTTCAAGGATGCTTTTGGCATAGTTACTTCTGCCTGGTAGTTTTAAGGACTTTAAAAAACCTGCTTTGCCCTTACTTTTCATTTGAATTTTCAATTACACCTTATCCCTCTGGCTTTAACCTCACTATAGCCTCTTGGGGGTCCTGTTAGAAGCCAAAGATGAATTCCTCACTCAGAATTAAAAAACACACATTTTGATATTCTAGACAAGGTATCAAAATAAAATAAAAACACTGACCACGACTGTATTCTAAGAAAATCTTAGTTTCAGGTAGGTAACCATGTTGGTCTGCCATAGTCAAAACAAAATTAAAAAATTCCTTCCAGTAGCACCTTAGAGACCAACTAAGTTTGTTATTAGTATGAGCGTTCGTGTGCATGCACACTTCTTCAGAAAATCTTATTGGCCCAAGTCTAGGCTTTTTAAAAAAAGCACTATAACAAGAAAAATATCCTTTAAATCTGTAGAACACAATTTTGATATGGCAAATAGAATTTTTATTGGCAACTTGAAAGATTTTTTACCGTAAGATAAAAGATTACTTTCTCCAAATCACTGTGGCTTCCTATCTTTGTTTAGTGAAAACTGCCTTCTGTAACAGTACAAAGCATTAATTATTGAGCAACCCATCAAACCCCATGGCGAGACCATGAATCATATCTCTGCTTGTAAAAAATTCATAACAGGGCCTCTGCAAGAAAAAGAGGCTTGGGAAGAAAGCTGCTCGTGTCATTTGTTACAAGGTAAACTGATTAAACTCCTTTTAGAGACCTGAAAGCAGATTAATCTAGCTCATTAAAAAGATGTCTGGCTAATGACTCTTGGTAATTAAGACCTCTGCATGTGAAAGGTTCTAGTCAGGCACGTTTGATGAGGAAATACAACTACGGAGCAGACTAGTGACATCCTGTATGCAGAATGAGATATAATTTATATGCAGAGCTAATAAAGAAATGTGCCTCCATTTTTAAAAAATGCACTGTTCTGCCGCCTTAGTCCCAATTTTATAGTACAAAGATCACAGTGCCAATATAAACACCAGAGTGTACATACAGAGTGATTTGCAAAATAATATATACACACATGCATGCAGCACACTGTCACTGTTAATACCGCCAATCATCCGCTGAAGAAGTGATGGGGAGACTGGAATCCGCCTCCCCAAAATCCCCAACAAATAAGCAGAAATGTCATTTGTTGGGTGCTACGCACAGAATTCAAATCCACTGACTGGGATCTACGAAAGCAGCTGCAGGGAACTAGATCCAGAGACTCAGACATAGGAATCATGAATAAAGCTCCCTTAAGCATGCACTGTTCCTAACCCAGAAGAGGGTCAAACAAAAACCAAATTGGCCTTGCTCTCTGAGGGTCTCGATCCAAAAATGTCACTGGATCCACTACTGCAGATTCACACAGATCCTGGCAATTTGTCCAAGATTCAGATACTTGGCCTTATACTAATATCAATAAAAAATCCTTTTATTTGACTTTGTAATCTAGCATTCTCTTAATAACTTTTATAGAAATCATTCTGATTTGTGTCACAAATTCAATGAGAAAACTTTTTGTTGATGTCAAAAAGAACTGGATATTGCAGCTCTGAGGGAAATAATCTTATTCTTATGAAACAAACAGTACTTCCTAAGCATACAGCAAGCCAGAGCAGCAGCAAAATGCCACACAGGCGCTAATAGTAGCCAGGGTGGATCAAAGGAGTCAGTGGTGGATCGGAAAATAAAAAGGGAGTTTAGAGGAGGAGCTTCCCCTTTTTTGCCTCACTGTAGTTCTGACTCCCCTGTAGCACAGACTAGTGTCTTTCGAGACAATGATGGCTTTTCCTCTTGAACTTAAGCATACAGACTTTTACCCACTAGAAACACCAGGATTAATTTAGTCAAGGGGAAATATTTCCACTTCCACTTGGTGGATGTTTATTTCAATGCTTAGGGTATAAAGTACTGTACATATAATTTGTGTGCACAAAACAGGCTTTTGGAGCTCTTGCTACCAATTATTGCATGCGGGTGGTGCTGTGGTCTAAGCCACTGAGCCTCTTGAGCTTGCTGATCAGAATGTCAACAGTTCAAATCCGTGCGACGGGTAAGTTCCTGTTGCTCTGTCCCAGCTTCTGCCAACCTAGCAGTTCAAAAGCATACCAGTGCAAGTAGATAAATAGGTACCGCTGCGGCGGGAAGGTAAACAGCGTTTCCGTGTGCTATGGTTTCCGTCACAGTGTTCCGTTGCGCCAATAGCGGTTTAGTCATGCTGGCTACATGAACTGGAAAGTTGTCTGTGGACAAACGCTGGCTCCCTCAGCCTGAAAAGCGAGATGAGCGCCGCACCCCATAGTTGCCTTTGACTGGGCTTAACCATCCAGGGGTCCTTTACCTTTTACCACCTAAAACATTGCTTATGACAAGCAGGGGATCATTAGAGGTACCTTCAACAAAGTTCAAGAAGCTGAATTCAAAAAACGAATCCAGAATGCCCAATTATATCAGTGGATACAAACTATCAGGAAATTCTATACAATCACAGTTGTGCCCTTGTGTAAGTCCTATTCCTTTCAATGAAGTTGCATATGAAATGTTCTTAGTAGATCCTATTTTTCCAAGTACTTTAGCAATGCAGCAATTTAATGGTGGATCTGAAGAGCAACAGCGATACTTTATTACTGAAAAGGTCAAGCACCGCATAGGTAGAGGCAGACCAAACATGTCTGAAATGTTCTCTCATGAAGATCTCAAATTTAGAAGCAAAGAATGATGGAATGCCTCTAATTTTTAGCCTTTTCATCACAATTACTGAACATTTCTTATTAGAGACAAGTTTAAAAGCCTAAAGTTAAAATAACCTTTGTACAACCAATAACCAATTGACTGCTTACAAGATCATCTGCTGAAAGGCAGATGTTTCTTGTATCACAACTATGCACATACTGCATGCTTAAAAATCCAATTATTTTTCAGGCCTTTAACACGTATAAAAATTATAAAGGGCCTCCAGTTATTATATCCAAGAAGAGAACACAGAGAGGGGAAAAATACCTCCAAATTAAGGATTTGGTTTAAGCACATACAGTCTGATGATAATTTCTTTAATGTAATTAGTTCAATGAGAAGTTTTCTTGACTGCAGTATAATCCAATAATAAAAGATGAAAATACATGTATTTATTTGTCCCTTCTGGCCTGGGGAGACATATGAAATTTTGTGACAGCTAGACAAAGCCAGGTCCTCAAGCAGTTTAACCACACGTATTTTTGCAACTGAGATGAATCACCCAGATTTGTATTTATTGCTAAGGCCAATCTATATCAAAGACCATGAATTTCCAGTTGACAGCAATGAGTACAAGATAGGCTACTACTATATAGATAAGTCTGTGAGAACTGAGTAATTCACAAACGCTGGATGCCTTTGGATGTTAATGCTAAAACCATGGTTTAGCATTCTGAGAACAAATTGTAGTGAACCTCAGGATTGCAAGCTCTTTTCTTCCTCTGGAATGGCCAATAGATAGGAAATTACTGCTTTAGTATAACTGCGCTTTAGCCGATCATCTGAACCCTGCAAAACTACAGTCAATGTTGACTGTGGTTTGAATAAGATGGATTATGGCAACCAGGTATATTTAACATTAGTCACAGTTTGTCTGGGTTCAGACAACATGGCAAGCTGTGACCTTAACCTCTTTGCAGTTGTTTGGGATCAGGAGAGGGGAAGATGGGAGCAAGCAAGCCCTGCAAGGCTCATTGCAGTTTGTTCTCATAATGCTAAACAATGGCTTAGCGACAACATGCAACACAGCCTGCTATGTCAACTCTCAAGAAAAAAGATTGCCCCAGGTTGTTGCAATTGTTTGGTGTTGGCAGTAGGACAATGAATAATAGACAGTGAAGTTTTGTGTTTAAACTCACACTTATTAACACCTGTTAATAAATCTGACTGATCAGATTTACAAGGTGGTAATTCAAATGCCAGTAAAATATATCCTCTGTGGTAAACAGTTTCATTTGCTTTTTGGAAGATAAAAGCTCTAGCATTCTTCAAATGTGTTTCTTGAATTATCACAAGAAAGATGTGGCTTGCTACTATTACTAAATAAAAACTTTTAAATAACGTAATAAACATACACTCTGCTTTAGTAATTTTAAGAGAGATGCTGGCTGCCCTCATGCCTAGTAAAAAACAATATGATCCATGTAAATTTATCTCTAGCAGATCATGAAAAGCCAGTTTCAGCTAGTAAATAAGAGTACTGAAGCTTGATCCTTGGTTATCAGACTTCACATCCCCCTCAGGCAGTGGCGGAGCAGGCGGGGGCTGGCGCGCATCCTGGGGGCGTGGCGCCCAGGGGGGGCAGCCATGAGGGCACCCCACCGAGACGTGCTGCCGGGGGCGGTGCGATCCCCCCCCACTTCCTCCGCCAGTGCCCTCAGGTATGTGGAATAGCCTTAACTAGAGTTATTGTATTTGAACCTCAGTATTTCATCTGTTAGGGACATGGGTGGCGTTGTGGCTTAAACCACAGAGCCCAGGACTTGCTGATCAGAAGGTCAGCGGTTCGAATCCCCGCAACGGGGTGAGCTCCTGTTGCTCGGTTCCTGCTCCTGCCAACCTAGCAGTTCGAAAGCACGTCAAAGTGCAAGTAGATAAATAGGTACTGCTCCAGCGGGAAGGTAAACGGCATTTCCGTGCACTGCTCTGGTTCGCCAGAAGTGGCTTAGTCATGCTGGCCACATGACCCGGCCACATGTATGTCGGCTCCCTCAGCCAATAAAGCGAGATGAGTGCCGCAACCCCAGAGTCGGCCACAACTGGACCTAATGGTCAGGGGTCCCTTTACCTTTACCTTTATTTCATCTGTTAAATCGGAGTGTTGATTATTTACCGATTTTGTAGGTGCAAAGGACTGAACACTTTGCACATTAACAATGTTTAATAAATAGTTGATAATAAAGGGCCTGATCCAATCAAGTCTCTGTTCCGCTAATGGAAGAGTAATGCATTACCTATCTGACCCTTGTGACAATCCAACATCTTTGCAGCTTAAGCTTTATCATAACCACCACCACCTTGGGTTGTGGTGGCGGGGGTGGTGGGGGGGGTGGAAGCAAAACACCGTAGCATGTTAGCAACTATAATCTACATGTTACCGTGCACTAGAGTAATAAGGACTGCCTTCCTCTTCAAACCTCCGGATGATTGGCTCTTTGAGAGTTTTTTCCTCCTCTTCAGTTAGCTAGTGGATTGATATGGAAAGAAAGTGGGATTTTAGTCTGCAAGAGCTACACTTTTATATATTAAGAAGTGATACTGCACACTGGTTGCATAAGACCATAGGTTAGAATGACAACAACAAGAACCAGAAAGCTTCAATCTCACATCTCTCTCCTTGCCCCATTCCCAGATTTATGCCTGTCTTCTTACCCACATCAATAACAGAAAACACTTACCTGCTTCCCTTCCCTTGCTTTTCGGTCCTTGGCTATTGTAGCCAAAACCATTGCAGCTTGCTCTCCTCCCATAACTGAGATCCGAGCATTTGGCCACATAAAAAGGAATCTGGGGCTGAAAAAGATAAAACAAACTAACACAGGGCACAAATCTCCTGCTTTTTCCCCAAATTCCAGAATTATTCTAATTTTATTTTATGTTTGAGGGGCATAGGGAGAGGAAGAGTTTCAAACACCTGCTCTATCATGTGCCTAAACTTCTTTACTGTCATTGTGATTTGCATAATATGAAAGCTGCAAAGATCCACCATTTTCCTTAACGATGCCATTTATTTAATTCATTTAGCAGAGTTGTTATACCGCTTAATTATCCATAAACTCTAAGTTATTGATACCTGCAGTGAGCATCAAAATTTTTATCAAGTTTTTCTAGCTATAAAGAAGGGTTATTTTAGTTTCTGTGCCAGGGTACTGCAACATTACACATACAAAGTGACATGATCTAATACAATGAGTAGGACATACAAATGTATACATTCACTAATTCACCTGTGTAAAGTGAATAAACACAGGTAGCATAGTCTGCCTGAGCCACAACTGCATTTAACAGTTAACTAATTCTAGGCACATACTTACCTATATGCTCTTCCACACATCCCATAATTTCCAGCTCCATAGGAACCTCCAATTAGTACTGTTATTTTAGGCACATTGGCACATGCTACAGCAGTTACCATCTTGGCTCCATCTTTTGCTATTCCACCAGCTTCATAATCCTTACCAACCATGAAACCTAGTGAATTATAAAAAGCAGCAAGATCAATGTCAACCAATTTTGCAAAGTAATCTTACTGGTCCATTACAGAGGGGGTGGGGAGAGAATCCAAAAGCAACAGTAAGGTAACACCTTTACTGGGTCCACCCCAACTAAAACACATCATAAATAGCTTCCTGGCTGCTTTACAAAGTTGGTTTTCATAAAGGTATTAATCTATTCTTACTTTAAGATAACAGTCATTGCTGATTGTACACCTTCAGGACACGGTTTCTTGTTCTTAATTTCAGTCATTATATACTGCTTAAATTTTAAGACACTTTAATAACACTTTACTTAATGTCAGCTCTACAGCCCTCTTAAAAAAAACAAATAAAGGTTATAAATAATGGATAGGAATATATTTATTACTACTACGTATTTAGTTGCCTGGGGGCTATGAAATGAATCTGCAGCTCCAAATAATTTATTTCCCCTGAAATTCAGCTACATAAATCATAATGAGTCACAGACCTGTGATGTTTTGCAGAAATACAATGGGAATATTTCTCTGACAACAAAGCTGAATAAAATGGGTGCCCTGTAAAGACAGTAAAAAGGTAGTTTATCTAAAAGGTAAAGGAACCTACTGGCAATTAATTGTTGAACAGCTTATCTTCAATCCCATCTATTGTTAAAACCAATAGGTGCTTCCATGGCAATGTTTTATCAAGTTGCTATAAATATATATGTGTATGTATGTATATAACAAAATCACAATCTTTTACATGAAATATAATGCTTATCTAATTAAAAAAACAAACATTCAAACACATAATTGCACTTTCCCAATTCCCTCCATTGGAAATGACCATATACCTGAGTATCAGCTTGTCTGTTATTTTTTCTAACTGTAGTAATACTCTCAAATTGCTTCAGAATAAAACAACTTTTCCCAATTAGTGTTACTTATCTTCGTAAACAGCTGATTCATGAAGAAGTTACTCATTCCCCAATAACTGCTAAAATAGATTTGAAGCAAGTTTCAACACATAAGGATGTGATAAATGGTAGGTGGTAATAACTGAGGAAACAAGTTTGCTATGGTACTGAATGCTAGAAATAGTATGTTAGATCACTGCCATTAAGAGTGACAAAATAGCAGGTTGCAGCGTGGCAGGTCTTGAGAAAAAGCTTTCGTAACTTTGTTAATAATAATACTTAGCATCTGTACAAATGTTCAAAATGTTTCACGTGCACTATCTAGTTGTAACCCTTACAACAACACTGAAATGTATGTCAGTATTATTACACACACACACTATTAGACAATAAAACTATGACAGAATGCCTTGTAAGTGTTTCTTCCTGTTGGGCATACAGTGGTACCTTGGGTTACATATGCTTCAGGTTACATACGCTTCAGGTTACACACTCTGCTAACCCAGAAATAGTGCTTCAGGTTAAGAACTTTGCTTCAGCATAAGAACAGAAATCGTGCTCCAGCGGCGCGGCAGCAGCAGGAGGCACCCCATTAGCTAAAGTGATGCTTCAGGTTAAGAACAGTTTCAGGTTAAGTACAGACCTCCGGAACAAATTAAGTACTTAACCTGAGGTACCACTGTATTTACAACTAAAATCAGCAAGAGTAATTATATTTCCTTAAAACAGGGATGGGGAGCCTGTGGCCATGAAGATGTCCCAGACCACAATTCCCCAGCCAACACAAAACAGGATAATTGGAGTTCCAGTCCAGCAATATCTGGAAGGCTACAGGTTCCCCATCCCTGCCAGAAAATGTAAGAAAATGTAAACATGAAATTATTTTATTTTTTAGACTTGGTTATGCTTCTTATAGTCATAAGTAACCACCAAAAAGGTAATTAATTACCCGCTATGAATGTAGTCTATGGTGTTTGCTTTGTTCTCAGCAATAATGAAAATCTGGAAGGCAGAGCTTCAATAACGTAACGTATATTATACTTGCCTTCTTTGCAGATTCTGAAAAAAGGACACCATTGTTTCCAATTATTCCTACCGGATAACCAAATATCCGAGCAAATCCTAGAGGGGGGAATGAGAATAAGAGAAAACTGCACATGTATCTCACAATGAAAGTCTACTAGCATAAAACATTTCAACACCTTTTGAATGAAATCAGTATTCTAAGAATAAGAGTTTTAGGCCTGCAGCCACAATTCTTCCATATAAATTATATGAATTGTTAATTTTCCGCAAGCTCTTACAAAGTGTTTTTAAAAGGCAAACATACCCATATTCCAACATATTAAATAGTAGCAGCTTCATACCTGGCGTTCCTCATGAATTGTAAATAAAAAACAAAAAATCAGTTCAGTTTTGAAATAAGTGGGGGAAATAGGTGCAGTTTTGAAAGGTTCAGTTCACCATCTTGATTCAAAATGGCATCTGCTCCCTGATCTCATTAACCATTATGCAAATTTGGTTCTGATATCATAAGAAGTGTCCGAGTCCATAGCAAACAACTACTTTCTGAAATGTGTAGCAGGAAATTTGATTTCTAATCACCTAAAAATAATACCTGTGATTAAGGTATCCCCATATAAGGCTTTAAATTCATCGAATTTACTTCCATCCACAAGTCTAGCAATGACCTTAAGTAGAAAAACAAACAAGACACACATTATTAGTTCATTCTTCGTTACAACAGATAATATTTTTAAGATCACATTCTCTTTTGTATTAGATTGATATTAAATTCCAAGTAACTGGGCTTCATTACTACCAGCTGAAGGAACACACTAGGCTGAACGTGTTTGAAATTGAAAGCCCGATTATTATAGAAAGTAGTTGTTATCATCGCCGTCATCAGTCACCTTCTTCACAATTGTCTCAAGGTGATGTACAATAAAAATAGCAAACAAAAAACAATGAAGCAGCAGATACATTTAAAACAATACAAAATAGACAATCAGCAATATTTCATATTTATACCTCTCTAACATCAAAATTTCTTTTAAGCTGCTCTCCAACTATCCCATAAAGTTCATCAGGAGGAAACAAAGGTTCTTCCGATGGTTCTATTGTCACCTGCAATAATTTAAAGGGGGGGAAAAACACACAAATTAATCAAAACATTCATCAATATTTTCCTACAGGCTTCCAGAGTCTCTCTCTATAACCAACTCAGGCTCAAGTGTTTGCATCAGCGTAAACCTGGCTAGTGACCGTACTGATAACACACTGCTCCAGGGATAGTGTTAACAAGGGAGGATGGGTAGAATCCAAATGGGAAAAGAGAGGGAACACATGAGCTTGCAGTCCACTCTCAATCTAACCATGATTAAAAAACCAGCTGTCTTATGTTTGCAACAGGCCACAGTGCAAATGGAAACTTTAAATGCACAGCACTGCTACCAAAGCCACATTCTAAGTATTCTATTTCATACATCGCTTCAAAGGAAACTAAACAAAACATACTCACGTCTACTTTCTTCTGGTAATTCAAACTCCTCACCACTTTCCTTGCTAAATGGAGAGCATGGTTATCATCCAAAGCATAGTGATCAGTTACACCAGATTTTCTGTACAGATTTAAAATACAAGACCATGGCATGTTATTATGCAATATATTTTTATTTACTATTCAATGGTGAAATACTTTTGGGAGGGGGGCAGGGAATGACATGCCATAGAACCCAAACACAAAGGGAACTTGAGAAATAAAGGGCAAGCATTTAGTGGTAATATCCATTGATAGCAGAAGAGCCCACCATTATTTAAAGCAAGGTGAATGCAACAACAGTTCAAAGCAACATAATTTATGGCACGTTCCATTAAAATGTACTGAAGGTGGAGGAGAGTGTTTCGTCTTACCTGCAGTGAAGATCAGCACCACCAAGATCTTCTGCTGATACCTCCTCCCCTGTTGCTGCTTTAACCTAAAGTACAAAAACATTTAAGATATTGACAGACGCTAAAGAAAGAGGAGGCTTCGCCCTGCCAGACTTGAAATTGTATTATGAAGCATCTTGCCTCTGTTGGTTGAAGGAATGGATGAAATTAGAAGACACGGATGTGTTGAAGGTTTTGATAATAGATTTGGGTGGCACGCGTATTTGTGGTATGACAAGAAACGGGTACATAAAGGTTTTGAAAATCACATTATAAGAAGGTCTCTGATTGAAGTGTGGGAAAGATATAAAAACTTGTTGGAACAAAAAACTCCATATTGGTTGTCGCCGTTGGAGGCGATGAGTGTGAAGAAAGTCAATATGACAGGGGGTTGGGTGACATATGAGAAGTTAATGTGTAAAAGCGAAGGAAAATGGAAAATGAGATCATTTGAAGAAGTTAAGGATTATGTGAATGACTGGCTGCATTTTTTTCAAATTAATGAGATGTTCAGAAAAGATTTAAATCAGACGGGTTTCGCTGACAAAGAATCAAAATTTCAAACAGAAATACTGAATAATGATTATGAGATTTTAGCAAAAATGTATAAGATATTATTGGAATGGTGTACGAAGGATGAGGAGGTAAAATCAGTTATGATTGATTGGGCCAAAGATATAGGGCATAATATACAAATGGAGGATTGGGAAAGACTCTGGAAAAAAGGTTTAAGATTCACTGCATGTACATTTATAAAAGAAAATGTTATGAAAGTGATGTATCGATGGTATGTAACACCTGTGAAGTTAGCAAAAATGTATAAGACAAGTAACAAATGTTGGAAATGTAAAGAAAAAGAAGGCACTTTTTATCATATGTGGTGGGAATGTAAGAAGGTAAAATGCTTTTGGGAAATGATTTATAATGAATTGAAGAAAATGTTGAAATATACATTTGTTAAGAAACCAGAAGCATTTTTACCAGGCATTACAGGTAATGAGATAAATAAGAAAGAAAAGAAGTTATTTTTATATGCAGTGACAGCAGCAAGAATATTGATGGCCCAGAAATGGAAACAGGAAGAATTACCTACGATAGAAGAATGGAGAACTAAAATGATGGACTATGCAGAATTGGACAGAATGACAGGAAGGATCCTGAATCGACGAGATCAAAGATTTACAGAAGATTGGGAAATGTTTACCCAATATATGCAAAAACTGAGTGATAATCAAATTACGTTTGTAAGTTTTAAGGAAGCTCTGTGAGGGGAAATGGTTAAAATGGCAGAAATGTGTAAAAAGTAATAAAGGGAAGGAATTTCAGACAAACTGAGGGAAGTCAAAAAAGAGAAGTAAGATGTAATTAAGATGTATGGAATGTATAAATTTGTTTTTATATTTGAAAACCAATAAAAATATATTATATAAAAAAAACTAACCTAAAGTACAAAAACAAAGTCTCAGCACAGAAGTTCATAGAACTAGGGATGCTATTTGTATATTTAAAGCAATTTTAGCCCATAGCTGAAAAGGCTTCCAAAATAGCTTCCAAAGATAAGCAGCAATGCAATTATGTGTTTTTTTAAAAGTTAACCACAATAACCTTTGAAATTTTCAGGCTTTGGACCCTGCCTGTTACTTCCCCCACCTCTCATCCAAGAATCTCTTAAGTTCACTACTTTGGCCCATATAAACCAAGGTTTGAACCTAGTAATAAACAGTGGTCTACACAGTTGGTTTGTGTTAACCTTGCTTCAGACGTACTGCTACATAATGCTAATGCTGGAAAGAAAAGAGAAGGAACTCAAGCTGGAAAGGGAAGACGGGATGGAGCACTTTGCACTATGCCCAGTGGACATAGCTGATTGAGTAGAGTATTAAATGCCATAAAAATATAACCAAGTAACATAAAATCATTATTATGATTATTTAAGAAGCACTATTAATATGTATGTCACTTTATAAAGACTTCCAGGATCTTATCCAAAGTTAAACAGTAAAATTGGAAGAACATGTGTTCAGTTCCGGAACAGATTTAAGGGTGATCATATCAGGAGACAAAGGTCGGTATAGTTAAAGCTATGGTTTTCCCAGTAGTGATGTATGGAAGTGAGAGCTGGACCATAAAGAAGGCTGATCAAACCTATCCATTCTGAAGGAAATCAGCCCTGAGTGCTCACTGGAAGGACAGATCCTGAAGCTGAGGCTCCAATACTTTGGCCACCTCATGAGAAGAGAAGACTCCCTGGAAAAGACCCTGATGTTGGGAAAGATGGAGGGCACAAGGAGAAGGGGACGACAGAGGACGAGATGGTTGGGCAGTGTTCTTGAAGCTACCAGCATGAATTTGACCAAACTGCGGGAGGCAGTGGAAGACAGGAGTGCCTGGCGTGCTCTGGTCCATGGGGTCACGAAGAGTCGGACACGACTAAACGACTACTAAACAACAAGAACATCAGGAGAGAAGACTGAAAGAGTGTGCCAAAGAAGACACAGAAAATGGGGGAGAGGCAGTGTTGCATGGGAGAGAGCTCCAGGCATAAGGGGAAGCAAGGAGAAACTGCAGAGTTGTTTAAGGGAGCTGGAGACTTTTTTAATGATTGTGGGAGGTGTAGCTGAAGGAGTGGGTCATGGGGCATGAATAAATTTAAATGTAAGAGTGAGGGATTTTGTGCTGGATCCAGCACAAGAGTAAGGAATTTGTGCTGCAGCTAGGAGTGGCCAATCCTTGAAGACAAATATAGAATCATTTCCCCAAAACGTAATTTTAATATTATCTGATGCTAAGCAGAGCCTGCCTGCCTCAAATCTCCATTTCCATTCAACTGAGCAGCCTCAAAGCTACCTGTTTTTTTAAAAAACCATTTGTTTCAAAAAAAAGATTTTACACTTAAAACTAATCAATAAGCTCTGAGTCTGTTCCATTTTTCTAAAGTGATATAATCAGTGCCGAAAATTCAAGCAGGAAATTAAGTAACAAATTAATTAGGGCTAAATGGCAGTGTTTCGTCATCCAACAATTCCTATTGATTTTCTGTGTCTGCTTCTGCTGATTACTTTTGTACCAGAACACTATTCCTGACCCAGGAAAACACTTCCCACGCTGAAGCCATTATCCCTGTAAGCTAAGCAATGAAATGTGCATGTTTCAGCTTTGACACCACATCATCTTGGTATGTAAAAGAAATCTAGGTAGTGGCTGCCACTTTTTACTGAAATATATTTCAACAACTACAAATTTCCAAACTTCTAAAAGTTCCGTATCATGTTTCCCCTTTAATGTGTTAGCTATGTTTTTAATTAAGGACTGACGAAATATTGGAAAATGGATGTTTATAATTAAAAAGCAGAATTGGATATAGTTAAGGAAATAATAGTTTACATCACATTGAAAAGGATACAGGAAGGAAAGTAGCTGGATGACAGAACACATATTATCTCAGACATTTTCCTCAACTATCTGGGATACAGCTAGGGCATATATTGTTTTTGGTGTGACCCCATTTCTTCATAGAAGCCTGTGACACAGTTATATGTTATAACAAAAGCAGGAAATCCTACAAAATCCGTTCAAAACCATGCACTCACCAATGGAGGACCTCCCAAAAAAATAGTCCCTTGCTTGCCAACTATTATACTTTCATCAGCCATTGCAGGGACATAGGCTCCTCCTGCTGTACATGAACCCATAACCACGGCTATCTGAGAAAACAAACAGAAACACAGTTTTCAACAGAAAAAAATACAGTGGTACCTCGGGTTACCTACGCTTTAGGTTACATACGCTTCAGGTTACAGACTCTGCTAACCCAGAAATAATGCTTCAGGTTAAGAACTTTGCTTCAGGATGAGAACAGAAATCGTGCTCCAGCGGCACAGCAGCAGCAGGAGGCCCCATTAGCTAAAGTGGTACTTCAGGTTAAGAACAGTTCAGGTTAAGTACGGACCTCCGGAACGAATTAAGTACTTAACCCGAGGTACCACTGTATACTCACCTACAGGCAACTTCATTTCCTTGTAGTCTTGCAACTTTACGTGCAGCAACGGGCTCATATTTATTTACATCTAGACTGTATGCTGATCAGAAGAGGAATAATTCTCTTTAGTTCTGTCAATTGGATCTATAAATTATGCAAGCTGCTGATGCTGCTGTGTAAGGTTACCAGGTGCAAAGGAGGAGCACGTCACTTTAAAGTCTGGAATGTATCAACAGCGTGCATCAATGAACCTTTCTTGGTTGGTACAGCTCCCCATAGTTCTTTGGACTGAAAGGGACCACTGCAGCACTCTGAATGCTGTCTTGCTGCCTCTGAACATATAAAAGTGATCAGCACAATCTCCTGTATTGCAGGAAAAAAATATTATTCATCTGTTTCTTTCTAAAACCAGACTGGAAAACCTTTTTTATATGGAAGGTCATATAAAACCCGTTTGGGGGCCACAGTAGATATTGGGTGGAGCCAGAGCTGTTAGCTTTCTCTGCTATCCTCTCTCTCTCTCTCTCTCTCTCTCTCTCTCTCTCTCTTTTACTCTGCACCTGTTGGACAGATGGAGCTTCAACAGCCTGTAGGCACAAAGACCAGCCTCTGCCCTCAACCTCCAACTGCTCAGCACGCAGAGAAAGCAACCTTGGCAAGTGGTGTCCAACACTCCCCTCCAAGGGGTCTTTCCAGGCAGCGTTCTATAGAACAGTAATATTAACCCTTCCCAGAGTCTCTCTTTCTTTAAAGATTCATTCCTGCAATGTAAGAGAGGAATATTGTCCCAACTGGTGCACTCAGACCTCTAAATAGGAAGCGCAAAGCATGACATTTTCACCAAATTAGTATTGCCATAAAAGCATAGAAAGAGCTTGAGAAAGCAAGCAAGAGAAATGAAAGGATATAACCTTCCGCCCTTGCTGTCTCAGTGGGCATTTATTGAAAGAAAATGCACTATGCAAAATCGAGGGTAAATTAGGCATCATCATTGACTGAAAAGGCCCCCTTTATGCCCATTATGAACACTGAAGGCACAGGAGAAAGTGTTACAGGCAACTATTCAAATCATTAAGACGTTTATGAGGGATTTTTTTTTCTTAGTTTGAGAAAAAGGCAGGATTATATTTCTTTCAAAACAGAAATCTAATTCCACAAGAACAACTTAGGGTAGATATAGGTAACAGAGCTGGAGGGTGGGGGCAGCAATTACATTGATTTTGTGATATTATCTGAAACCCAATCATTAAATTACATGCCTCTAGGACTATGACATGGTTTGATGAAATTATTTTCTTGTGGCTGTAAAGGCCTCGCTTCTTATATATAACACGATAATCAACAACCAAATGAGGGCCTTGATTGGTTTGAAAAATGGTTTGGGAAACAGATGTGATGGGCCTTGGTCTCAGCAAAATCTGCTTCTGCACATATTAGAAAATACTTTAAAAGTGGTATGCAGGTGGTAGTGGATACCCATATATCACCTACAGTCCAACCATGATGCTGGTGGCGATGTGATAGTAAGGAGACTTATTATCACTAGCAGCAGGGTTGCCTGGTAATACAGGTATTTGGGGGACTCAGAAGCATCCAACGTAATTCAGGCAGCCATGGATTTTAAGCCCCAATTGTGTTTACTATCCCTCTTTCAAGGCCTTGAATGTTGCTATAAAAACTAAATATTTATTGACTATTCTTTTAGTGGCCACTTGGTTATCTATAGGTCAAACCTGGAAGGCCATACAGAGACTATCCTGGACTTAAGGTATAAACATGTATGGTGACTGGCTGTCACTGAGAAAATAACTCACAACTTAGTGATAAAAGGAACAGAAAAACTGGACAAATTTCGTGCAATATGGTGCTCATTTATTCAATATACAAATTAAACTGGTCTTCAATACAAACTCTCCCAAGCATCTTTGTAGATATGACTATGCTGAACAGTACAGTTGAACTATATTCTTTCCTGGGAATGACCGTCTGTGATGGATAAAATAACTTTTGTGCTGTCTCCAGGATATTATATGCTAGACATGTAAGTAATTTGTATGAATTAATAAAAATCATTTATTTTAATGTATAACCTGATAGCTGTTATCCTGGTGGGTAGGGTTGTCACATTTAAAAAAGAGAGAATCCAATTTATCTATCTATCTATCTATCTATCTATCTATCTATCTGTCTATTTATTTATTTATAAAGGTTTGCCTGTTATGCCGGTGGGTCAGACAAATATATTTATCAATCGTCCAAGAAAAACACAAAGCCCCTAAATGTGTAAGGGGCATCTATTTACTCACGGATTTACATACTATTAATTTTACACTGGGGAAAACATCCTCTAGTTTATTAGATTCCCACTTTGAAAGAATTAAGACAGACAGCCACTCGGCAGTGGGAGAGCAGTGAAAGAGGGAATCCAAAACACAGAGAGCTATTCGGGGGGTCACTGCACTCTTAAGAAGGCTCGTCATCTTGCGGTCAGACAAACCTTTCTCTTTCCAGGCTCAAATACAAGGAAAACCCAATTGACCAGCTTGCAGAAACAGTCAACAGTGCATAGTACTAACTGGCTGGGACCTGTGGTATCATGAATCCATCATCACCCTTCTGCCCAGCAAACTTTTGCAGCTTTAAAAAGAAAAAAATGATTTCTCTCTCTCTCAAAAAGTTCCAAATGAAGTATTTTGAACTTTTTTTTAAAAAGGAGACAGTCTTCCTAAAGATTTGGAAGGACCAAGTGAACAACTAAATCAGTGTTCAAAGAGGCAAGTACGTATTTTGATTGCAGTGCAAAAGGTAAAAGAATGATGTGCAGAAGTGGGGAGGAGAATGCCAATTCCCGTTTTGACGTACATCAGTACACACTCAAAGCTGTTCCAGTTGAATGGTGATGGAGTGGGGTAAAGCCATATAGGTCAAGTGCTAGCAAATTGCTTCCTGCTGTTGTTCCTCTGCTTCCAAGCATAAGATCAGATACGGTCAAAACAGTTTCTTTTAACCAGTTGTGTAAAATAATTCTACCCACTGCTATGTGTTTTCAACAGCACATGAATAAAAGAAGAAGAAAAAAATGCCCCTTTGAAATAAAACAAAGGAAAAGCAAAGAGGTCTGGGTTTAACAAAACAAACCTGAGACAGTTTTCTTGTCAATTCCAAATACACACAAGAGACAAACACTAATGTGATAAACTGAGATAAGAAATTCATGAGTGTCCTAAATAGCAAGGATGACTTTTAATTGACATTTTCCATTGTAACTGAAAATTATTTAGTACTCAATTCCATATGATGCATGTCACTGCCTATATAGTTACCTTTACAATCCAGCTTAATTATATTCCTGCTTTTATTCTCAAATAAAGTTACCTGTGGAATTCTTTGTGAAGACATGCGTGCTTGGTTATAGAAAATTCTACCAAAATGATCACGATCGGGAAAGACTTCTGCCTGGCGTGGTAAGTTTGCACCTCCAGAGTCAACTAAGTTAAAATAAAGATTGAACATTGATAAATAACGTATTTATCTAAACATTACTAGAAACCATTATTCCCTGTGAGGAGGACACTGACAAATTATAGATGTTTGAGGCAAGAAAAGGCATTTGCTTTCTTCCCCTGTCCAAAGTCTTTAATCAGCCACTGTCACTGCAAGCCAGAACCCTTATATGACAATTGCTTGGACGAAAGGTTGTGCTTGCCTCCAGTCTACAGCCCTTTATCTAAGCAAGTGCCACTGAAGGGAAGAACAGGGTGGGCTCCAGCACCTGAAAAAGGAAAAACAGGCAGCTTTACTCTGGACAACAGTTGCTTAAAGCCTAGCCTTGTTGGATGCTTAGATGAAGCATTAGAAACGTACAGCCTGATTTGCAATTTGATATTTGTGCTCGATACTTTGCTCCACTGTACTGCTCTGAATTGTTTAAACAGTATGTAATGTGTACAAAAAGTTTGCCGTTTCCAAGAAGGACGCACACACAGAGGCTTAATTTAAGCACCAAATCTAAGCTTAGTTTGCACCCATTATAGATTATGGTATAAAAAACTGTGAGTGGTGTTCATGAAAGTTGTTAACTGCATCGGGCTCTCTTGCGAGAAAAGGTGGGATAAAAGAAAAATAAACAGACATACAACAGACAAACTACAGTTTAAAGCTACTAGTGTGCATTTGTTTTCTGTCTTCAGCATGCAGCTTGAGAAATTCATTCCCATCATCCATGGTGTAGCAGCCTTTGATGAATATAAGTATGGTTGCCAAATCAGACATAATGCCAAACATTTGTTAGAGCAAACCTCGATTTCCAAACCCACTTCAAACAAGAGTTTCCTATTCAGAATTGCCAGCTGATGTTTTGTCAATTCTTACACCAAGCCAAACCATAACTGAGCTTCCTTAACCACATTTTGGTGAGTAAAAGCACTATGGCTCCACAGCCCAACCACTAGAAGGGTAAAAAAAAAATTGTCATTGACAGCCTACTCTTAAAAATATAGCCTGCCTCCAACCTTAACATATCAGTTAATAATAGTGTTTGCAAGAGAACTTACCTAAATATAGACAAGGGAGATGATTCTGCATTGCGATTTCTTGAGCACGCAGGTGCTTCTTTACAGTGATTGGATAGTATGTTCCACCTTTGACAGTTGCATCATTTGCAATAATCAAACATTCCACTCTGAAACACAAATGATTTTCAGCGACTAAATCTTTCCCAGTTGAGTAAGAGAATTGCTAGCCTTAATCCTAACAAGACTGAAATCCACAAGCTTTCATCCAAATAAACACACTTAGGTATCCAATGCCAATCATATCTGATAAAAAGTTTCCATTAGTCCTGTATCATGACAGAGAGTGTTACACAAACATCTATTACACTTAAACTGAAGGTGACATTGCTGCATCTGATATGCTGCTAATGAATCTTCAGAAACAGCTCTTATTACACAGTAACACAGTAATTCTGGAAAATAAAAAGACCTATGAATTGTGATCTCTTGAGATTGTTTTCTGACATTTTGCAAACTGTCAGAAAGCCAGAGTTGCAACCCACAAAAAGCACAGATAGTAACAGTTCTCACCCTGACACCCGTCCGATGCCTGTAATGATGCCACCTGCTGGTACCTCTTCATCGCCATACAACTGGTAACCTGCAAACTGGGAGAACTCCAGGAACGGAGACCTGGGAAAAGATTTTTTTAGAAATCTCAGGCACATAAGTCATATGAAGCATTTTAGGTAGGTAACTTTTCAAGCTCATAGATTGGCTCCAAAAACATATTTTAATTATGTGTATTACTTATTTGGAATTTTTGTTCCACCTTTCCATTCTCACACAACATATAAAGTAAGCTTTACAGCTTGCCAAATTTTGAGTTATCTCACAGAAAAGTGGTATTTGCTTATGATACCATGAATTGGGTCAGATAATTTTCATGGAAGCTGTTAGAGGAGCAAACAATTTGCCAGGTTAGGAAAAAAACTGAAGCTGAGACATAAATTCTATAGCAATGGTAAGCAATGTGGTACCATGCAGATTTTGCTGGACTACATATCCCATCAGCCCAAGCCAACATAACCAATGGTCAAGGATGATGGGAGTTGTAGTCCAACAGTATCTGGAGGCACCGAACTGTCTACCCTGGCATATAAAAACTCATGCTAGAAATAAGTTCATTCTTTAAATTTTCACAGGGCTCCCTGAAGAACTGGCCATATTTTGTCATTATATTTTTTAGAAAATTAAAATAAGCATATTGTTAATAGGCCTGGTGTTAATAGGTAGGGAGTTCCAAAGTGTGGGTGCTGCCACACTAAGATAAATTTCTTACAACAGTAGAATGAGTATTATGTAGCACCTGTAACAGTGCCAGTTCTGCAGACTGAAGCTGTCAAGTGGGTATATATGGGGCAAGGCCACAAGTAAAGCCCCATCCCGGACCCAGGCGGCTACGGGCCATGTAAATTAATTTAAGAACTTTGAACTGAGTCCAGTAGTGGATGAGAAGGCAGCACAAGGTTTTTGAGCACTGGAGTCATATACAGTGGTACCTCGGGTTACATACGCTTCAGGTTACAGACTCCGCTAACCCAGAAATAGTACCTCGGGTTAAGAACTTTGCTTCAGGATGAGAACAGAAATCTTGCTCCGGCGGCGCGGCAGCAGCAGGAGGCCCCATTAGCTAAAGTGGTGCTTCAGGTTAAGAACAGTTTCAGGTTAAGAACGGACCCCCGGAATGAATTAAGTACTTAACCCGACGTACCACTGTATTGGCAATTGTCTGCCAGCATCAACATTCTAAGTTGCAGCATTTTGCACTAGCTGGAGCAGGCACAGGCAAACTCCGGCCCTCCAGATGTTTGGGACTACAGTTCCCATCATCCCTAGCTCACAGGACCAGAGGTCAGGGATGATGGGAATTGTAGTCCCAAACATCTGGAGGGCCGGAGTTTGCCTATGCCTGAGCTGGAGCCTCCAGACTGGGCTGAAGAGCAGATTGCAGTAACTGAGTCTTGCAGTTACCAATGCATGAATCACTGTGGCTAGATTATCCCTGCTCAAGGACAGCCGTAGTGAGCATACCAACAATAGCTGGTAAAAGACACTCCTAGCCACTGAGGCTACTTGAGCCGCCAGAGACAAAGACGATTCCAGGAGCAACCCTGAACTCCAAGTACCTGTTCTTTCAGAGGAAGTGCAACCCCATCCAGAACAGACAAACAGCTAATCTCCCAGACACAGGAGCCACCAATGCACAGTGCCTCCATTTCCCCAGAGCTTAGGCTCAGTTTACTTGCTTTTAAATGTTGATAAATTAATATAATATTATTGTGCTATCTACAGCAGGCACTGTAACCCTCCAACGGTGTGACTTTACCCCCGAAGGCGCACTCTTCCATTGTCTCCCAAGACTGACAGATGCTAACAAGAACAACAATCACGATAGTACTGACTTCACAGCTGGTTACCAAGCACAGACATAGTTTATAGACCCTGCTTAATGATAGCTACCAAAACAACATAAGTACACAATATTTGTATTTCCAAATGACTAAATTCTAATACAATCTGAAATGGTTTACCATGACGTTAAAATCTTGGAAACAAAGCAATCTGCTAACTTAAACATCCTGTACATTAAAATATTAATAATGAAGACGGAAGTACCCACCCAGGATCTATGAGTCTGTCAATTCTTTCTCTAGGTAACAATTTTCCTCTTGATGTGTGAAGCTTCCGTGCCTTCTCTCCACCACCTGTCATGCAAGATCTTTTATTATTCCTTGTGCACGGAGCTGAACAAATAGCTCACGCCCTTTAGCAATAATCAATACTATTTTATAATCAAAGACATTAATAAAAGATGCATTATTTTCATAAACTTCTGTTACTTGTATTTGTAATATATTACACTGATGCTAAACAACTGTTAAATGATACTATTTCTGTCTTTTTCTATTAAGTCCTAAAGCAATGACATTTTATCATGGTAAAGGTAAAGGGACCCCTGACCATTAGGTCCAGTCGTGGCCGACTCTGGGGATGCGACACTCATCTCGCTTTATTGGCCGAGGGAGCCGGCATACAGCTTCCGGGTCATGTGGCCAGCATGACTAAGCTGCTTCTGGCGAACCAGAGCAGTGCACGGAAACGCTGTTTACCTTCCCGCCGGAGCAGTACCTATTTATCTACTTGCACTTTGATGTGCTTTCGAACTGCTAGGTTGGCAGGAGCAGGGACCGAGCAAAGGGAGTTCACCCCGTTGCGGGGATTCGAATCGCCGACCTTCTGATACTGAAGGCCAAATACAACCAGTTTCCAATTATACGATGCTCTAATAGGAGAAAAACAGGACATACCAAACCTGATTTTTTCAGATTGCTGTTGGAGTTCTGTTACTAATGCCTTCATCCGTTCATAGTTTTCCTGGTGGAGAATGTTTCAACAGGTTAACTTATGAAAATGTTTAACCAGAGACAATAAATCCCACCCCCTTTTCTTCACTATTGAACAATTATGTTTATAAACCACTTTTCTAAAACATGTTGTTAAAGCTGACTAAAGGCTTATTAAATACATTTCAATTGATCCATTAACTGCATTTTCTTTATACTTGTTTCTCTTTTGTGTATTTATCCCAGAGTTTCAGAAGTTCGCACACACCAAATACCACTGTCAATTACTGTGCATTAAAGCCATCTTCAAAGGCTCTCCTCCGGGTAGCAACCAAAAAGAAAGCCTTCTCAGAGGGGGATTCACCTGGTGCCAAACCATTTTTTCAGCTGTCAGAAAACTACATTTTTATTCTCCCAGGCTTTCTAATTTATTTTTTAAGGAACATATGCTGTTATTTGTTTTATTTTATCCATAAATATTATCTACTTATTCTTTAACTGCCCTGACAGCTTTGCCGGAAGAGCTGCTTAGTGGTGAGACCAAAATCAAGAGCCAGAGCATTTCCACCTGCTTTTTTCCACCACTACAACCGTGGTGCCTTAAAAAGCTTGCCTGGAAGAGTTGCTGGCTGGAGAAGATTGAATATACATGGGGCTTGAAGGAGGAAAGATAATCTTTACTTCCCCATATCAGAGCTGGGGAAGTGAGAGAACATGCCAAATGAGCGCTAGGAGAAAGACTGTCTCAAGTGAGAGGTGAGGCTACCAACAAAGGTGTGCAGGTTAAATATGGAGAAGATCCTGTTACCTTGTGGAACTGAGATCCAGTTAGCCTTATATGCTGTTGTTATTCCCATGTTAGGTTTTATTCTCGCTCCCAACTAGGTTTATGCTCTTGAGTTAGGCAATTTTATTTGTAGAGTTGCACTGATTTTTATTATGTACTTGCTTACTGACACCAGGTGTTTTTTTGTATTGTTCATATGTTTCATTTTATTTGCCCATTTGATAAACTATGAGATGCTTTGGCCACAATATTGCAGAGGTGGGATATGAATAGACAGATGGTAATAATGATGAACAGAAAGAAAGAAAGAAAGAAAGAAAGAAAGAAAGAAAGAAAGAGGGCCAGGCTGACAAATGCAGCAGGATGTCCCAAACCAGCATGAATGACACAAAAAAGTAAATGTGTTCGCCCACTTCTGTGTACCAAAAGAAACTCTCTGGATCGAAGTCAAGGATAACTAAGACAATGAAATCTGTTTTGATAATATAAGTTTTGACTATTCTGCATTTTCCATGCAGCCAATTCAAGTTAACATGCCCTTTTGTACTAATAATAATGGCATTTCGTGGGCAACAAACAAAAGCTTGTAATGCCAGTTTAGTCACAAGAAGAGCAGTGGAGGGAGGGGTATAAAGTGTATAAGTGTATAAAATAAACCCTACATTCTGAACAATGACCATGGGTTAGTCTCTGCCTCAGTTATTCATACCTGTCAAGCCTTAAAAAGGAACTACTTATGCTTAAATTATATTTTACATTCCATCACTCTATTGATGTTAGAATGCTCTTACAGAATGATAAAAATAGGATGAATAAGAAACTTTTTATACTATTTATTTCATCTGAAGCTACACAGCAGCAACGGTCTCCTTTTTCATAAGTTACTTCTAGTTTTATCCACTATAGTTTGGATTCAGAGATCTACTTTGGCCGCAGTCAAGGACTTATACATGCCTAGAGGGATTTCTGGTTCTTTCTCCCATTTGTAAAATAAAATGTCAGTTTTCTGCTCAGTTTTTTGAAGTCTCCCAAGTTTCAAATATGGCTTGATATAGGGAATCATAGGTTGCCGTTTGAGAATTGCCTATCCAAAGCTCCCTTAAGGAAGCCTCAGTCTCGCAAATTCCTTCCTCTCCTTGCATGTGCCAATTCCCTACTGTTATATCTGAATTGGCAAGCCATGGTATACTGTTATAACCAAAGCAGGAAACGACATGCTTGCTCTCCAAATGAGAACTGGAAGCCATGATCTGAAGGGCAAATGCAAACAGTTTGTTGATGTGTAACAGAAAACTATGATGTGCCCAAAGCCAAAAGTCAGCAAAGGAATCAGGGTGCCTAAGCCCAAGCTTGATTCATGCAAGGGATAAGCCATGGTTTGGCATTATATACAAACTGGATCTTTGTATTTAATGAATCATGTACAATGGGATCTGAAAAGAACTATGAACTTCATGTAGCCACAACAAAATGTAATTGAATCCATTATTATTTTCTCTTTAGTTTGACAATGAAAACTAAATGTATAATTATTAACACACAGGAAAAACAAATGGTGCATTACAGGAATCTGCTGCCAGTTCTGTCCCTGTGACCTCATCAATGAATTTAGATTCCTGAACTAACACATACGCTTTCTGTCTTACCAAACTACTTTTCCATCTATCCTGGCTTGAAAACTATCTTCCACCCTGTCTTGTTAAATCTTCAGAAATGAACAAACAATAAAGATCAAGAAGGGCAACTCATGATTGTCGCTGCACCGTTTCTGAGTTTGCACAGTATCTTGCCATATTACATTTGCTCAGAGTATCAGCACCTCATGGAAGGAACCTCACATGCTGGTGAAACGAAGTGTACATATTATGACCTTCATTAATAATAGTTACACCTGTTCAACAGCTAACAACATGGGCCATCTTGCTCCTTGAATGTTATACTAGATATACCCATGAATAGTTGTTTATTAAGCATAACTGGATACATCTGGCTTGCCTTGGCCATTCACTTGAAACTTCCTTTTAAATAATTTAAAAAGAAAATCCAAAACTAATCAAGACTCACAATGAGATCCTGCAGAGCACTAACAAGCAACTAATTACAAAGGAGTGAATGGAAGTCCCAAATGGACTTCCAGCAAGCCACACTGCCACAGCCACAAAACCTTCCATGCTCAACTAGGTGCCAGATCCACTAGCTGCTAAACCCTACTATGTCAGACTAGTTGTTATGATTTATTTCATTTAAGAATTACTTCACATGTGGCATCCTAAGTGATTTATAATACAATAGAAATATAGAGAGAGCAACAGTTGAAACATTTGCATTTATAAAAGCAATTTTTTTGGTGGGGGAGTGAATAGCAATTTAAAACAACAATGCCACATATATAAAATCCACTCAAATCCAACACAGATACCAGCTGGGATAAAAACCTGGCCTACCGAAGGAAAAATGTCTTCAACATGCTCCAAAAGGCCAATAATTACCCTTGAAGGCAGTCCAGAAGCTGCGGTCAGTGCAAAATGTAGCCACAAGATTCTTACTTGGTTCAACACATCCAAGCCATATAATACCAATTTGGAAGGCTTTTCATTGGCTGCCTATGGTGCTTGTTGGCATCCATCTGTCTTGAGAGACAATGGAGTGTGCCCTCGGGGGTGAAGTCAAACGGCTGCATTAGCAGCACCAAAGGGACCTCCCTGGGGCACAAGTCTGGGCAGTGTGTATGGAAGCCCTGGGCTGCCCAGATGACAAGACTGCTCTCTAGGCCTCACTGATGTGGTCCAAAGGAAAGTAGAGCAATATATTGGGCACGAGCTTGGCTGTAGGAGTTGCCAGAAGGAAGTGTACAAGGCACCATCCAACTGTCATAGGGATTGTACTCCAGATTTGTGCAGGGCTTTAGCCTTTTCTTCTCCTAAACATATCCCACAAGTCTACAGAGGTTTAGAATCAGAGTTTTCCTTCTCTCGCGTTGACAAGACCCACCTGTCCCTTACTTCCCTCTGCAGCACATGCAAAAACCGGCTTCTTAACCCTTGGAACCACTATTGGTCTTGTCTGCTCAATCCACCAGAGCCCATTTTCGCATGCAGGTGAAACCCTAACTCATGTAAGGTTTGAGACCCAACAGCTACCTCCACCTGGTTTGGTCAGCCAAAGCTGTGAGTGTATGGGGTGTTAGATGAGAGGTAGTACCTCTGGAGTAGGGTGTCCACCTTTGGTCGCCACCCTGCACTCAGCTCTCACCTGTGGCTCCTAGAAGCTGTCAGCACGGAAGGTGCTTATGTTAGTGTAAAAAGGGGTAACAAATTGGGACCCAAGTTCCTGAAGGGAGTGCTTCTCCCTTACATCAAGCTATTTGATTTGATTGCTGGTGGGGTCAAGGAGATCAGAGCATGTGACACCCATTTTGAAATTCTAGTTTCTCTGAAGCATCCTCTCGGGTTCGCAACGTGACTGCTCTAGAACATATTGCCTTCTAAAAATGGGGGTGGGGGAGAGAGATTATGCTGCTTAGTGCTGCTCTTTGGAGAAATAGAACAGCCACCTTATAGATAGCTCGCAGTTGTAAGGATGAGCTTCTGCCCCACTACACCGCTGCCTACCTCCCTGCCAAACTAGGCTAATGTGGCAAGAAGGCGTGGCAGCTGTTGCGCTGCCAAGTGAGAGAAAATGCCAAGTGTGAAGCTATGGGACAAGGCTTCCACGCTGATTCGGACTACCTTTAGGACCTACAGACACACACACACTCCGAATTGCTAGATATGGTTCTCCATATTGAGAAGAAGGCTTCTAGCCGCCAAAAAGGCACACAAGCCCCGTCTTTCCCTGCGTGGAAAGGGGCAAGCTTTTTAAACTAGGACCGCGTCAGGTACGAGCAAGCGAAGGTGCGCATCTAGGAACCCCGCGCGAGCTCACCTGGGAGCCCTTCCGCGCGGGGACGCGCGTGTGTGGACTACCTCAACCTCCTTTAAAATAAAAGGAAAAAACCAAAAGGAAGCGGGTCTCCTCCCCTGCTCCTCCTGGGCCTACCTGATAAACCGGGGAGGCGACGTCGGGCTGAGAGCCCACCGTGGCCACCTTGTCCCCATGGTAAGCGCGGCGGAGGGCAGCCGCGGCCGCGCGCGGGCAGCGAAAGAGCGTGCAGACGCGGCATTTCAGGCCCGGTAACATCGCGGCGGCCGGGGGAGGAAGGGCGGGCGGCGGAGGAACAACTTCCCGGGCCTGGGACCAACCTCACGGCCACTCCTCCCGCGTCGCCCAATAGAGAGACGGAGCGAGGCCTAGGCAGCACGAGGCCTTCCCCTCGCACGGCGCCGCCTGCTTCTTCCTGGTACCTCAGACCAATGGAAGAGGCAGGCGAAGGGAACAGGAGGGGATTGTGGAAACCGACAAGCCGGCCCTCTCTCGTCCTCTGTTCCAAATCCCTTCCCGCCTTCCGGAGGAGTGTCCTTTTTTCCGTCCCTTTAAAAGAAGGCTGCCTTCTTTTGGGCGCAACGTTCTTCTGACTTTTTAGCAGGCGTGCGAGTGGCAGAAGTTCACACCAGCTTTGTGGTGCTGCGTGGAGAAGTTTGGCCCCTTCAGTGTTTCCCAAACTTGGGTCTCCAGCTGTTTGTGGACTACAATTGCTATCATCCCTGACCACTGCTAGCTAGGGATGGTGGGAGTTGTAGCCCCAAAACAGCTGGAGACCCAAGTTTGGGAAACCCTGGTCTAGATGATGGCAACCCCCAGCCAGCACTCGCAGATAATGGGAGTTGTAGTCCAACACCTTCTGCAGGACCATTCTTAACCGATTCCATTGCACTGGTGCTCACAAGCAAGGGTAGTAAAGGTAAAAGGTTTCCCCTTGCTGTGTGGCTCCAGCAAGTTGTATTCAGAGATAGACTACCTCTGGTTGTGGAGGTTTTGTACAGCTGCAAACAGCTGGAGATTACGTAGCAGGAAGAGGTGGGGAGGTTTGCATAAAGAAATTACGCCCATCAGCAGCTGTGTCTTCCATAAATTTCACCAGTACTGTTTCAAAGTCTGCCCGAGTTAATTGCTGTCATCCACATTCCACAGCAGTGAAATAGTGAACAAAATACTGTAGATTACAAGTGTAGAGATTCAGTAGTGGGACAAACTACACCTATCGGAATGCTTATTCATCACAGACCTGTTAAAAGTTCTGTTATGGAACAAAACATCCTACTCTATAGGAAAATTAATGCCATATAGACTTTCAAATAAAAAGGAAGAAATGCAAACAGCAGTAGCCTATGAAACTAGATTGGTGCTTTCTGTTAAGCATGGAGAGAGAAATAGGTTTTGCATACAATTATGTAATAGACACAACAGGTCTATAAATATAATGAATGAAATGATCAATATATTTGACCCAAGTGAGCAAGACATTGCTTTGAGCAGGGCAAATTGATTTTTGACAAATTTCCTTTTTAAATAAAATTAATATATGTCCATGAAGCTTAGCACAGCCCTAAAGCATACAGCATTTTGGATGCATGTACAAGGTTGCCAGTTCCACCTTCCAAACAATGCTGGGCCATTCAAAAAGGTACATTTGGTAGATAAACTAGGCACAAATTTATTAATTATCAACCTATGTATATATTGAGAATATTGTGAATATTCACCAGAAGCAAATAGAAGGGGAAGAAATGGAGGCAGTGAGAGATTTTACTTTCTTGGGTTCCATGATCACTGCAGATGGTGACAGCAGTCACAAAATTAAAAGAGGCCTGCTTCTTGGGAGAAAAGCAATGACAAACCTAGACAGCATCTTAAAAAGCAGAGACATCACCTTGCCGATAAAGGTCCAGATAGTTAAAAGCTATGGTTTTCCCAGTAGTGCTGTATGGAAGTGAGAGCTGGACCATCAAGAAGGCTGATCACCAAAGAATTGATGCTTCTAAATTATGGTGCTGGAGGAGACTCTTGAGAGTCCCATGGACTACAAGAAGATCAAACCTATTCATTCTTAAGGAAATCAGCTCACTGGAAGGTGCTCACTGGAAGGACAGATCCTGAAGCTGAGGCTCCAATACTTTGGTCACCTCATGAGAAGAGAAGACTCCCTGGAAAAGACCCTGATGTTGGGAAAGATGGAGGGCACAAGGAGAAGGGGACGACAGAGGACGAGATGGTTGGACAGTGTTCTCCAAGCTACCAGCATGAGTTTGACCAAACTGCGGGAGGCAGTGGAAGACAGAAGTGCCTGGCGTGCTCTGGTCCATGGGGTCACGAAGAGTTGGACACGACTAAACGACTAAACAACAACAACAGAGCAGTAGGTACAGAACACTGTCCACAATAATCACAGAGCCTACTGTTATTACATATGCCATACAACTTGCTGTTGGTAATATCTTGCTGCTGGTGGTGCTGAGAGACACTTCATCTGCTCTGACTAGTCTCAAAAACTGACTGTCTTAACAGGGATCACAGTCTGTAGCCACAGCTAGTTCTCTTAGACCTACAATTTGTTAAAGCTAAATCACTTGCAATTTTGCAGAAAAACAAACTAGTTCTAAACAAAAACAATTAGGACAAATCTTTTAATTATCTCACTATCTCTACAGACAGGCACTGATCTGAGCCACACTTGCTCATATTCAGGGAAGCCTGACAGTTAAGTCCAGTCGCGAACAACTCTCGGGTTGCAACGCTCATCTCACTTTACTGGCCGAGAGAGCCAATGTTTGTCTGCAGACAGTTTTTCCGGGTCATGTGGCCAGCATGACTAAGCCGCTTCTGGCAAAACCAGAGCAGTGCACGGAAACACCGTTTACCTTTCCACCGGGACGGTACCTATTTATCTACTTGCACTTTGATGTGCTTTCAAATTGCTAGGTTGGCAGTACCATTTACTGCACCCTAAATCACCAGCCTTTAAAGAAAGACTTAACAAGTTCAGTGGTACAAAATTATTTATTCACATAATTTACATATATAACACAAGCGCTACTTGCGCTTTCTTTGAAATAGAAAGCTTCCACAGGAACATTACACACAGTTGAGGAAAAAAGTGTGTCACACTTTCCAGGACAGCAACCCCTTATCATATTTTTATGCAAATGAAATGCTGTTTCTGAACCCAGCATATTTACTTCCCTTCTGTCATTAAATATATACAATACTCATGAAAGAAATATGCATGTTTTAAAGACGTTTAAAAGGGATAACCAAGAAAACATGGTTTACAGTGAAAGCTAATAGGATGGATTGTTCTTTCCATTTAGCAAGGAAAGATAAGGCACCTTCTAGCTGAGCTTTTTATGTGATTTCTAAAAAACAATTAGTTTTGCTTTGTAATTTAAAACAATTCCAGCAAATTACATAAAAACGTATTTCATTATTTCAGCAGCCTCTTGAGTGTACATAATTTGAGAGTACATTATATCTCCTCCATGTGATTAACATGAAGTAACAGCATACTGGAACGGATTCCACTTTCTCCGAGTCTGTTGATCTAAATTTACATTTGGTAAATTATTCACATTTATTTGGCGCTCTCTTTTTTGTTCTATTTAGGGCTTCAGATATGACAGAATTGAAACAAAATTCAAATGCTCAAACCAGCAGGCAAATATAGACTTGTTAGCTTGAAAATTAAAATATTGGGCAACGTGCAGTCGTGCGAATGGACTTTTACTTGTGCAATTGAGTTTCCCTTCTTTTCTTTTCGACTTCACCTGCCCAAATCTGCTCCAGAGGGTAGTCCAACCCGCTCAAGCAGATTTGGATAGCATTTGGACCGTGTTTGTTCTGGTGGAGAACTGACACTTAGTGGACATCCACTGAATTGCTACTGATAACTATCAATGAAGAGTGAAGAGTCTGTAATGCTTCTATTATCCAATTTAATAACATCAGTAATTTTGTTTTGGGGTGATATATGTCACAAACCAGATGATTTGGGAAAGAGAAGCAGCTACAAAATTGTATGCCTAGTTGGACAATTGCAAGTGAGAGCAACTACTTCCAAGTATTTGCAAATATTAATATTTATGGGGAAATGTAGAATAAAGTTATATTCAATTGCTAATTGTAGTAAAGGAGATGAGCAATATTTGGTATCCAAATTACTAGGTTCAAGAAAAATGCAGAGAAAACAGGACACCTTTCTCAGAATGAGCACAACTGATTTAGACAGGTTTCCCCAAAAATGTCACATGGAAGTTGTGCCTTTTAGCAAAATCATCGCCAACCAAGGTTATAAACAGGGAAGGATAGAAGTCAAAAATCTAAACAGGTAACAAAAGTGGGGGAGGGAACCAGTAATAATCATGATATATTATCCTTTTATATATTGGGGCTGATCTTATTCTTGAACATCCAATTTCTCCTTGTCAGTGGGTGTTTGATGGGTCGTTTTATGCTTTTCATTGTTTTTAGCTTTTCATTTAAAATTTAGTGCTTAGAATTAGAGTAATATTAAATTCCTCTTTTATCTCCAGGACAGACAGAACTAACTTGGCATAGTTAAAATTTCTATACATTCAACTTAAATAAATATTTTTTCACGTTTATCTCTGTACATTGAAAAGAAATTAAACATTACATTTTTGAACAAATTCACATAGGCATTTGTTATAAAATAATAATATTAATAAGATGACTAAAATCAGAACTTGGCTTATTTTATGATCCACATCCCATAAACATTTACTTCACAAAAAGAAGTAAAGATAATTTACAGCCCCCACAAACATGAGCATTATATTTAGATGGTGTCTGCTCATTCTTCATGGCATTTCTCAAGTGTAGCCATGCATCTAGAAACTACTTGTACCAAAATAAAACACAGATCTGGTGCTGTTCTTGCGAGTATCTTGGAACTTAAGAGAGTTGTGTTTTCTTCAGTGTTTCCAAATGATAGATTATTCATAGTAAAAGAAAAATAATTCTGCATTAAATGTAAGGGCCAACTGAAAACTTGTGACTAGTCAAAGGCATTACATTACTGCTACAGTGCATTCTTGGATGCCAGGCATTTGATAAGCATCTCAATTATTCTGAATCATCCACCTCCATAAAAATATCACTAAAGAAATATTCTGAGATCCTGGTTGGCTCTTCTTCTTTTTCCTGCTCCTTAGAAATGCCTTCCTTTTTAGATAACTCAGATAAAATCTACAAGAAAAACAAACAGATATGAAATATGTAAATGTTAAATGTATGCCTAATAAACTAACATCTGCTAGGAGTGCATGATTATGCTCACTTTTTTCAGAATATAATTTTCTATACAAATCACACTGCAGTAGCTATTATAAAACATTTTTTTAATGGATTGAATCCAAAAGTGGCTCTTGCTTGAGAGTCCGTCCATGAACAGAAGTGCTTTTGATCCAATGGAGAATTCTACATGGAAAGGAGGCAGGGAAGAGGTGGGTTGTTTTTTCCCAATTTCACATGTCCTCTGCAGCACCATGCAACACCTCTCACTGTTGTGGGAGTGTCTCCAAACCCTTCAGAGCAGATTTGTGGAACTGGGGGTAGTGGTGGGGGGTCAACCAACAAAAATTGTTGGCTCCCATTAGTGGTCTCTTTCCGTGACAGGAGCTCTGTTCAGGGAAGCTTTAGATTCAACCCAATAAAGAAGAGATTCCCTTATTGACTAAAGAGGTATAGCCAGTAGTCTTTACAGCAGGGGTAGAGAAATGTTGCTCAACTACAACTCCCATCATTCATAACAATTGGCTATGCTGGCTAGGGCTAAAGGGAACTGGGAGTCCAACAAGGGCCACAGGTTCCCTGTCTCTGCTGTATAACTTCACTGATTTGAAGTAATTCAAACCCTGCTTTATCATGATGTAGAGCCACAAAGCATACACCAGACTGCACACAGTGACATGGTCCTTAAAAAATACCTTCTGGAGAAAAACATATCTTTCATTCTCTACATAGGTTTTTGACACAGCTACAGGGCAATGAAGTTTTGTTTCTGGCTTAATTGTTTACGTTTCCATGTTTGTTTGTTTTATAAAATTTATACACTGTTTGATTGTAAAAAAAACCTTTAAAGCGGGTTGGAGCCTACCGTATATGTTTCTAGGAGAACTAAGTAACTAAAAGACCAAGGAGGTTGTGGAGAACTAATTACTGTTAAATTTTTATAATTAAGTTAAACAAAAATTTGCTAGAGATTTAAAGACAGGCAGTGCCTTTCTTTAAAAGGCCATGCAGTTCTACGTTCCATCAGTCACAAAGTGAAACAATTCATACAAAATATGGCCTAACTACTAAAGCACCTTTCTGTGTACAACACAATGAGGAATGCACTAATAAATGGAGAACGGGACATTATCTTACGAGCTGCGGAGTTCAACACACTTTAATAGATGATGTGTAGATATAATCATGCATACCTGAACAGTAGAGGAGGTCCCATTCTCACAGTTGGAGGTTGATGGAAACGAACTATTTTCTTGAGTATCTTCCTTGTTGTTTGAGGACAACTTTGGAAATTCAACAGTGCTTTCAGAGAGCAATATATGAGGTTCCTGGAGAGGCTGTTTAATCCCTTTACTAGTTACTTCATCATCACTATTATTATTTTTGCAAATTAAAGGTAAAAATCCCAGAGATCTTTTATATGACCTATTCAATACAAAAATAATACAAATGTCAAGATAAATTGTCCGACATATGGTGATAATAATGATAGTTTTTTAAAAAACACAACCCTCTCATGGGAATCACAGAATTGTAGAGTTGGAAGGGACCCCAAGGGTTATTCTAGCTCAACGCCCAGCAATGCAAGAATCCTGCTAACAGTCATCCATGGGTGGGCTTGAGCCATCAACCTTCTGGTTAACAGCCAGATGCACTGACCCATTGTGCCACAGGGTAACTAAGACTTCTTAAGATTGATTTAAAAAAAACCAAACAAAACACTTTCCCCTCATCTGGATTAACTTTTCTGCTGTACAGTGGTACCTCAGGTTAAGTACTTAATTCGTTTTGGAGGTCCGTTCTTAAGCTGAAACTGTTCTTAACCTGAAGCACCACTTTAGCTAATGGGGCCTCCTGCTGCTGCCGTGCCACCAGAGCACGATTTCTGTTCTCATCCTGAAGCAAAGTTCTTAACCCGAGGTACTATTTCTGGGTTAGCTGAGTCCGTAACCTGAAGCGTATGTAACCCGAGGTACCACTGTATATGGTACAGAATCGGGAGCTAGTCAACTCCTTTGGTGGTATTGCTACTTGATATTGTGCTCATGTGAGGTTATTCTACTGCTTGCGTTGGGTTTACATAGTACTTTAGTCTCATCTGCACCTTGTTAGCAGTAAAGCAGGTTGGTGCAGACCTTAGTGCATTGGTAAAGGACCCCTGGATGGTTTAGTCCAGTCAAATTCAACTATGGTGTGTGGTGCTCATCTCTGCTTTCAGGCCAAAGGAGCTGGCGTTGATCTGCACACAGCTTTTCCGGGTCATGTGGCTAGCATGCCTAAACTGTATCTGGTGCAATGGGACACTGTGACAGAAGCCAGAGTGCACGGAAATGCCGTTTAGTGATGAGCACATGTGGCTGTTTCAACACTACTACAAAGTGGGGGAGCAGCATAGCATACTAAAAACAGCTACTAAATAAGTACCTGGATAATTGTGTTTTTGGAATGACTGCTGTGCCTCCAGCTTGCTCTGATTGTACAGATTTACAGGTTTCAGCTGAGTTTTTCTGTTTTTCACTTGTTTCTGATTTTCTTGCATGGAGTGTCCTTGACACTTGGTCACCAGTAGCAGCTGCTTCATCAAGGAGCACAGCCCCTAAATTCAGAGAAGATTGAGGGTGCTCTCTTTCCATTACTTTTACCTCCGTAGATTTAGGTACTGGTCGAGAGGTGGAGGTGGTTTTCTTCTTTGAAATGTTCGATTTTCCTGACTTTTTCCCTTTTTTTAAAAAAGAAGACAGCAAATACAAATAAATAAGCAAAAAAATATAGAATCTGCTACTTGTATCTGCTACAGGGAAATTCCATTTTACTCTATACAAAGCAACAAATTTGTCTCAATTCCCTACAAATAAGATATTCCCACAGAAATAGACATTCAGTAGCATCAACACCAAGAGACAACAAGTTCTGTGAATCCGAAAGTGGCTATAGATGCATTTCTCAAATAGCATCTGCCCAACCACACAGCACACGAGGAACTACTTTTGAAACTAGAGGGTGAGTTTCAAAATCAAGAATCAGGTGGGTACTGACAGTTGAGTGCTTCTGCCACTGAAGACCTACATCTTCATCCAAGCCCACCAGCTGCTAGCATCTCTGGCTACTGTAATTGTAATAAATGTTTTATTGTTGTTTTACTGATGTGGATCTTTTGTTGTTATATGGTATATTTTTATTTTACTTATTGCCATGTAAACCACCACGGCATTTCTTTGAAATGCAAGATGATATGTAAGTAATTTAAAGAAAGAAAGATGTTTCTGATCTGGACGGAGGAATACCTCAAGGCCTGCCTCTCCCAATATGAACCAAGTCAGACCCAGCAAGCACCTGAAGTCCTTCTTTGAGTGCCTCCTCCAGGAGAGATCTGGGGGGGGGGCTATTCTGTGGTGGCTCCCCGTTTGTGGAATGCTCTCTCCAGGGAGGCTCGTCTGGTGCCTTTTTATGCTCCAGGCAACAACATTCCTCTTCTCCCAAGCCTTTGGCTAATTAAACATATCTAAGGCCTTTTAAACTGTGTGAGGTATTGTTTTTGTTTGCTATTATGTTATGTATATTATAAACGGCCTTGTGATATTCAGATGAAATTTAATTAATTAATTCGGTATAGAAATTTAATTAATTGATTAATAATGTCTGCTGTTAAAATAAAAATTCAATAATGCATTTGGCATACATCAATAACTAACTATAGAAAATCACATGTACCATGCCTTTGTATGTGAAAACAATATAAATTTCACTTACCAGCAGCTTTCCTTGGTATACAACTTGATTTAATAGAGGCACCCTGCATGAAAGGAAATATGAACATCAGTATAAGTTCCTTTTCAGAAATATGATTCAAAAGGACAATGCAATTGCTTCTATTATTTAGACTGTGAAAGAACAGGAAGGGGATTAAACTTTTTAATGATACATCAACTTCATTTCCTGAAGTAAGGCTAGATTAGTATTATTTGTCCCCCAACATATTTCAGTACAAGTGAGTTAAGAAATTTGGCTAAGGGTAAATGTGTTGAAACAGTTTACAAAATCCTCCATCTTGAAGGGAAAAATACTACATCTATTTGGGGATTCAAGGTAACATCTATGCCAGTAGTGGACTTCCAAAAATTTGCATGATGAACTAATTCATTTATGTACTTCCTAACCTGAACACTGCTTCCAGAAAACCATTTAGATTTGGGTTTTCAATTAATTGTTTTTCTAGTGTCTACTCTAAGGTACCTAAATCAGAAGTTGAGAGACCATAAATTTATATATCCAACAAAATTTGTCTTGTAAAAGTTATATTGTATAAGTGGAAGTCTGCTGTGCTAGCAGAACAGCAATGTTGGACACGACCCCATGTTTGTTCCCTGGTTCTCAAATGATTAAACATGGGGTCATGTCCAACACTGCTGTTCTGTTAGCACAACAGACTTCCACATGCAACAGAACTTTCCCTTCCTTTCCTGTGCACCCTCAAAATCTGCCCCTGAGAGTTGGAGGATCTCCTGGAGCAGATTTTGAGGGTGCACAGGGAGATGAAAGGAAGGGGAAGTTCCACTGTGCACCTAGAACTCGGCACACACAGTACTGGATGCAACCCATAAAGTGGAAAACTAGGGTTTTATCTAATGTTGCACCAGCGGGGTTCCAATGGCTCAACAGGACTTTTAGTCTCCTCCTACATCTCCTTCAGATTTGCTCAGGAAGATCTCCCAAATCTTCAGAGCTGATTTTGATGGTGCTCAGGGGACAGGAGGGAAAAAGGAAAATCCATTGTGCACATTTAAGCCCCTTGAGCCAGTAAAGCTGCAGCATTGGGTATGACCCCTAATTTCCAAAACTAATTTCCTGAGAGAAATTCTCATAGTTTATTTAATTAATCTGCAGCATGTGTTTATGATATATTTTTTATTTATTTTACCCATAGAAACATACAAAGAACATAACTTAAAACACAAATAAAGCTCAGTTCCACATGCAAACACATAGCACATTTCCCTCTGTTTTAAATCATTTTTAAAATAATTCATTACAAAATCAGTTTAAAACTTTTTTTTTAAAAGAGGAACAATTCTGATACGGTCTGGATTGGATCACAAGAACTTTTTGGCATCAGAGCATGGGGAAGTCAGGACACCCCCCCCCCAATTTTTTTTTTAAAGAGACTTGTTTTCAGAGGCATGGGTGGCGGGAGCAGAAACAGCCCTTGGGCCACGAGTTGGCAACCCCTGCAGTATACAATCCAGTGATGGGGTTTGAATGCAGATTAAACTAGAATGAGGAGGCGCTGTATTACCTCTTGCACAGTCCTATAATCCACTCTGTGATGAAAAGATTTATTTCAGAATTGTTAGAAACGTCAAGAATCCTAGTCAAATTTCACAGAAACTGTCTTACTGCTCACAAATGGTGATGAAAATAGGTGAAATTTGCACTGGCTTTAGCACAAGCTAAACAAATATTGCTGGTTTTTTATGCACTTGACTGTGCACCAATCTGTGTTCTTTTGAAACTTTCAGGTTTTTTCCATTTTGATTTTATTTTGCTGATTCTTTTTGATTAGATTCCTTTTTATAGGTCCCTGGGCTGGTCATAGGCTTCTGCAAAGTTTTATAAGGCGCCCACTATGCCTGTTTGTTTAAACAGATAGTGTCATTTAACTTTTGTACTGGCTTTCCTATGTGCATGTACCTAACAATTCTCCAAATTAAACAACCACAAAATATAAATACAATGGAAACTAATTCTCAACTCAGTAGCCAAACACCTGTTCTCAAAGTTCCCAAATGAGTGGTTTAAAACATTTGTTAATTTTAGATTTCTTCTTTGTAATAAATACCCTTAATAAATACATTTCTCAAAATGGAATGGACTACTGTACATAAGAAAGCAGTGAAAAATCAGAACATCCTAAAAAATAGGCATGTTGCTTTCAATTGCAGCACTTCACCATAGCACAGGGTTCTTAAAAATGGACTCTTTTCTATTGCTGCCATCAAAAAACAGCACTGAGACATATAAGAAGTGCTTTCTCCATCCTTTTTTCATGCAGCCTCCCAAGTTTTCTTCACTCAGGCAACAGATAGTGAACCCAAAAGGTTCTAACTTTTGTGATTCTCTGAATTAATCTCTGACCTTATTGGTGCTTTCCAGGTTTCCCCCTATAGGAGAAGACAGTTTTTTCCTCTCAGGGGCATTCCCGCTTTCTTCAAGGGCTTCAGCATGCCTTTTCAGATTCCCCCAAGAGGTTGAACCAAGCTCTGCCAATTGTTCCAACGAGGCTTCCAGCAATCCTTCTGCCCCCGCAGTGTTGTCCAAAGAGACAGCATTTTCTTCAACAACAGCTGTTATGGATCCAAAGCTGTACAAAGTTGCCATGCAAAAGTTGTGAAATTAGTGTTATTTAATTCAATGTAAATGTATACCTGAAGGAGCGTCTCCACCCCCATTGTTCAGCCCGGACACTGAGATCCAGCGCCGAGGGCCTTCTGGCGGTTCCCTCATTGCAAGAGGTGAGGTTACAGGGAACCAGACAGAGGGCCTTCTCGGTAGTGGCGCCCACCCTGTGGAATACCCTCCCTTCAGACGTGAAGGAAATAAGCAGTTATCTTATCTTTAAAAGACATCTGAAGGCAGCCCTGTTTAGGGAAGTTTTTAATATCTAATGCTGTATTGTTTTTAACATTTGATTGGGAGCCACCCAGAGTGGCTGGGGAGACTCAGCCAGATGGGTGGGGTATAATAATAATAATAATAATAATAATAATAATAATAATTGTTATTGTTATTATTATTATTATCAAATTAAAACTCTCATTAATAGCAAGAATTTAATGCCCTTTGAAAGCTGCAATGCTTGTCTCCTATACTTGGCAGAGGTTTCACTTAGACCAATGGGACTACAGGCCAAGTAACTACTGTATGCTTAGGACAGAGCCATAAAAACTACTCTTTTCCTGAAAGTCGCTCCTTGCCTTGAGCTCACAAGGAGACATTTTGTCCTTTGACAAGGTACAGTTCTAATCAGCTGGCAGTTCTAATAGCTTTATCATGAATAACTTGGCTGACCACAAGAAGAGGGGAAACAGAGAGCCTATTTCATGTTCCCACAAGGTGAATCCCCTCAAAACTTTCATTTGATAAAAGGGCAAATTCTCTTCCATAATATGCCTTTAAATCAGGCATAACTAATTTTTTTTCAACCAGAGGGCTATATTCCCATCTTGGCCAATTCTCTGGGAGCTGCACACTCATATTAGGGCACTACCATCTTCAGTCTTAAGTACACCCAACAAAAGAACATCAGTTCATATTAAAAGATAATATTACTTACTTATCTTCTCTTGCCACTTCTGTGGAGTTCAGATTGTCTGGGGTAAAAAAAACTGGTGCTGGAAGCAGCTGTTCAGACGTTTGTTGTAGCAAACCGGATCCATCACTGCAATTCTCTGAACCAACGGAGATTTCCACCAATGTTAAAATGAAGGTTGGCTCCTCTCCCTTCGGATATTCTTCAACTCCAGCACTAACTACTAAGATACACATGTGGGGGAAATAAAAGATTAATAATATATAAAATAATATTGTTCTGCATGCTGTTACTCTCTTCAAAAACCCTTGAAGTATTTTTTATTTATTTTCACAAGTAAAGCGATATGCAAGTGCTGTAAGAAGAGATTAAGGTTGCTCCATGCTCAGCTACATAATGAATACAACCCTGGGCTGTATCCAATGGTGTTCAAACAGATAGCAAACTTCCACAGCAGATCGTCCCTTTCTCTGCCCCCTGCAGCCAGCCTTGATATACGATTGATAATTTGTACATGATAATAATGCCATGTACAAATTCCCTTCTTGTATGTAAGCAATGGCAACTGTAACACATATTAGAGATATAGCCAAACAAATGGAATCCATATATTTTTTAAAATCATATGTAATTAGACTACATTATTCATTTTATAATGTGCCAACTCCAATTTTTATTTCTTAAGTATTTATGCCTCACCTTACATTTATAAAAACATTCCTGACAGCTTATTAGTATAAACATTAGCTATTACCAAAATTGCCGTTTTCTTAGTATCTTTTGTGTCCACAGAAGCAAACGCAAAGAAGCCTTATGTACAATGTTGAAGAACTAGTTATAATTAATTTTATCGCTACATGTAGTAGGGAAAGAAGGATTGCTACAGGCCATTCCAAGTGCCTATCCCACTGAATCTCCATATGTGGAAATCTTGTTTGCATAGCGTCTCGTAGCAACACATTCCATGCACATAGACTCAAACTGAGTTATCAACATCCCACATAAAACTAGGAATTCGACAGCACAACTTGAATTCTACAAACTGGATTTTTCAAGAATGCACGGTACGTAAGGGAGATGCCAAGTGTGGCCATCAAGCAGGCCTAAAGGCAGAGTCAGCAAGCTGCGGTCCCATGTCCCAGCCGTAAAGGTAAAGGGGCCCCTGACCATTAGGTCCAGTTGTGACCGACTCTGGGGTTGCGGCGCTCATCTCACTTTACTTGGCCAAGGGAGCCGGCGTACAGCTTCCGGATCATGTGGCCAGCATGACTAAGCCACTTCTGCTGAACCAGAGCAGCGCACGGAAATGCCGTTTACCTTCCCACCGGAGCAGTACCTATTTATCTACTTGCATTTTGACGTGCTTTCAAACTGCTAGGTTGGCAGGAGCAGGGACCGAGCAATGGGAGCTCACCCCGTCGCAGGGATTGAACCGCCAACCTTCTGATCAGCAAGCCCTAGGCTCAGTGGTTTAACCCACAGCGCCACCCGCGTAGGCAATAAAATTAATCAGCACTGGTCGTAACAGTATTTCAAAGGGAGAACTCTTCAATCTTCACCAAAGCATTGATGTATAAGCCCATTACATGCTTCAGTCTGAGACATCTTAATGATACCTAGTTCCGGGGGAGGGGAGGTTATGGTGATCCACATTTGCATTTGTCTCTTCTTCTTTTTAATCTAACTTGTAAATGACAAGTGCATAACGAATGTTTACGTGAAGCTAGTTCCCTAAAGCAGCAAATATGTAATCATAAAACAGTGTAAAATGTACCTGCAGTCATCTCTGTGGTGGATGAAATACTGGAACACTTGGCTGCTTCAGTCTGGCAATTAAAAAATCACAATAAAAATCACAAGCTTGCCAAATAACACTAACGCTCAGAAGATAAAGGGAAAAATAAAGCAATGAAAAATTATTGATAATTGCTTTAAAAGGAAGACATATTTTTATCCATGTTGTTCCCCTCTGCCAAGCCACCTGGCAAGAATGTTTTAGAAGAGTGGAGTAAAAATCCCTTTTAAAATAAATAAACATGATCTCCTTCTTTGAAAGAACATCACTAAGAAATAAAGGAAAGAGACTTGGCAAAAGTTGTAACCCAAAAGAAAGAATATTTGACTGGAAACATGTACTATCAGGAAATAAATTTACTTTATAACTACATGGAAACGAACAACTTTGGCCTATAGCACAATCTCTGCCTGAAGTGACTCACAGAAAAGATTGCTCAGTAACTCAAAGAAAATTAATTCCTTCAATTATTCTAATTATTGAAGTGTTCATCCAAACCCACAGAGCTTGAGGCTGCTTCACAGATGACATTTTCCTACAGTATTTTTGCACATTTACAACAAAAGTTAGTTTAAATGCTTGTCAGAAGAACAGTCTGACATGCCTTTTGTGTTAAGACCATTAAAGGCAAATCAAAAAAGAAAAGATTGATCAAACCCCAAATTCAAAGCAACATTTTAAAAAATAAATAGAAAATACAGTTTAGCAACAAACAAGCAGGGATGTGGAAACCATTTGTGGAAAAAGAGATCTAGTAGGAGGAAAGAATATCCTGCCCTGATTCCAATAAGGAACCCACAAGGCAGCAATATGACTGCAGTGTCACAAATAGTCCTAAGTGACTAATGTGCTCTAATAAAGGCTGAGAGGTGACCTGAGGCCTTATGACGCACAGTCCACCCCCTCAAGCCCTACCTCCGCTTGTTCAAAATACAGTCTCTCTTGAAGGGTCGGTCCAGTCCAGTTCCTCAGCCAGTAGCAGTCTTTGGATTGGCCAGCTCCTCCTGAGAATGAGGGCCAGGGCCATGATTGAGACATAGACAGACAATATACATATAAGCAGGGGTGTTGTTTGTGCAATAACTATCAGGAACACTCAGAATGTACTACTGTATTCAGAATGGCTTCTATCTTTCTTTCTTTCTTTCTTTCTTTCTTTCTTTCTTTCTTTCTTTCTTTCTTTCTCTTTCTCTCTCTCTCTCTCTCTCTCTGTGTGTGTGTGTGTGTGCTTGAAGCAGCTTCCTCCTTTTATTCTCTCCCATAAGGTAGCAGTTTTAGTTATATAAAATAAATACCTGTGCAGGTTCAATTGCCAACAACTGGTGTTCAGCAGGAGCCGAAACTTGGACACTGATGTTTGTGCTGCAGCCACTGGGTGGTTCAGGAGGGTCTGCTTCTGGAGAAACTTCTGAAGCAGTTAACAGTGATGCAACTTCCCAAGTCTCTCTCACCGTGTTGTCTCTTTGGAAAAATTAAGCCAGTTTCACTTCCTAAAATGTTTATCAGTTAAATGTTTTCATGCTGCATAGCTTTGAAACAAATGATGCCAGGTTTACAGTCACTGTTTGTCAAAGTGATTAAAAGTACTATTAACCGTTCCATATATAAGTTCAACTAATAAAAAATACAATGTCTTAAAGTGTCTTCCTCAAGTATCTTAAAGATTTTTATTATTCTCACATCTCAAAAGTTACTTGGGTGAGATGACGTGGCTTAACAATTAAAGATGCTATTTTCCTTTCTTTTCTCTAAAAAATGACACCCTCTTTAAATATAGAACCAGTAAATGTGCAGTTGCATATTTTCCCATAATTCTAGTCAACTATATACTGGATATGCTCCTAGTCTATAAAACACAATTTACTACATATCTCACATACAGCAGCTCAAAATATCTAAGAGAGAAACCAAAAGTACTAGCATGTGAAAATTATTAGTGTTATTACCTTTCTATGTTGTCTTTGTGCATGGCAGGACCAGAACTTGGAAGCTGTAGATTATGTTTCTCTGCAGAGCTGCTCTTAGTTAGCTCATTCAATTTGAGATTCTTTTCCAGTTCAACTTTCTGCTCTTCTATTGCATTGTCTGACACCTTCTTTTCTATTATTTTAGACATTAAAACATCACTCAGTATAGTTTGCGGAATAAATATATACTATTTTGGATGAGGTTACAACATTGACAGGGCATCACATTACCCAATCCCCAGCTGGAAGGGTGAACAGACGGACACAGGTACATACAGGTTTGGATGCACATTTGGGGGCCAGAATTTAGGAAAAATGAAATCAGATATTCTCAGAAAACATCCCCACAAGCACAGAGTACAATTTCTGCACAGGGTAAAGGATTCGTAAAGTCCTGATAACTAAATGCTTTAAGTGCAAGAACCAAAACTTACCATTCTGGATTTCTTCAGATTGTTCAATACACGAATCAACATATTTTTGAGAAGCATTCTTGCTCAGCCTCAGACTTCTGTTAAGATTTGGTTTAGGCTTAGGAAATCTACATCTTGCTTGTTTGGATGATTGATCTCCTTTGGATGACAGTAAATCACTGCAGACAAACAGAAACCACCACTGAGTACCCTTAATTTCAACATTTATCCAACAGAAATAGTCAAAATCTTAGCTAGCAATGCAACCAATCTGGAAAAGGCATAGGAATGTCTGTGACAGTTCACTTCAAACACCTTGGACGCAACCAACCACCCCGCTTCAACTAGCTTTAACTAGACAAGAAGGGCAGAGGTGCAGAGGGCATGTGGTTGTACACATTAGTGCAAGAATTTTGTCCACATCATCAGGCCACAATTCCATAACACTTGGTCAGATGTGGCTCTGGACACCTTGACCAAATTTGCCATAATAGTGGCATCCAAGCCACTACAAAGTCAAGGGGCTTTATCCCCCAAGTGTCTTGTCAACTACTGAAACTAATCACAGTTTGTTAAAGGGGAATCTGGGGTAACTAATATTTGGATACACAGCCCAAAAATGCCAGCCGAGCCCTTGAGGATGTGGCAAATGCAACAAAGAATGTCTTCTTTGCTGTCTTCACCACCACATGGCAAGCACAATTCTATGTCCTAATGTGTTTGGGCAGCTTTAGAGTGAGTGACCTAGTCCTAAAAATCATAGACTGAAGATGAAGAAGACTATTCAGGATACATAACACCATACACCTATGTTGTCCATTTACCTATATTTACATGGGATGGCTTGAAAAGATCAAGTTAGAATGGAGAAGAGCTAGGTGATATCATGCTATCATGGTAAAACTTCTTCCAACCTAAAGAACGAGGAGGATTCCTAGCTAACACAATCAGATTTTTAAATAGAAAAATGCAAACCTGCTGATTCTAGTTGTTTCCTCTGAGCATGCTTCCAAAACTGATGTACTGCAATGCTGTGCAGCAGCTTTATTCATATTTTTTGAAAGTGACACATTAGTTGCTTCCTGTAAGTAAACTTCCAAGCCTGATGTTTCAACAATATGATCCTCTGCAGCAGTTACGTTTGCATTGACCGAAGAAAGCGATTCATTTTCTGAAGGGGCAGGATGTTGCATCTGACAATGGACTACGCTTTGCTCTTCGTGACACTCATTTGGGAAGCTATCAGTAACATTCATTTCATCTTTACTGGGAAACTCCTGAATTTTTGGTTCTTTTTTTCCACAAAAAGAAAAAGTTGAAAATAATTAAATTCTTAATTTACGTATAACAAACATTTATACTGTGCAATTTCAGTTGGGACAATATAAAGATTACAGTTTGAAATCCTAAGTAAATCATACATTTTCATGTCTAAATTTCATTAAATTACACCACTGCATTTTGAATGAAAAATACCCATGAGACTAGAAACGCAGAAATCTACTACTGGGATACATTTTGCAGCTAAACCAATATTTTTATTTTACAATATTTGAATCTTGTGCAAAGTCTGGTTCTTTGGTTAAATCGAAGAATACCTAAAATGATGTTTAGGGTTTACTAGATACTTCTTAGTCCAGATCATATGGACATCCTTCAGACATTTTTAGTTGCCAAAAGACTGTAATGTAATGTATGACTAGTGTAAATAATGTAAAATGGTCCCCAAGTGCAAGTTTCATATTTCACTTCTTCAATAAAAGCATTCCATCCAACACTTATCACTCTCTTTCTCTTTGTTTCAATAAAAAGTAGATTTAAAAAGGAAACAAAATGGAGCAGACCTCCTGGAAATAAGAACCTACTACTGTCACTAAGTATAGAATCCACAAAATATACCCTGGCTAACAATCAGAAGTGGATGACCTGAAATCACAGTGAAGAGGAGACAATTTGGTCTTCCCAAAGTTAAATAGTGCATGCTTTTAAAACAAACTTAGTTTGGTGTTCAGTGCATGTTAATTAAATATTGCAAAGGAAAAATAAAATAAACTAAAATCTTAAAAAAGAAGTGGATAACCTTGATTTCCACCCTCCAAAAAAATCACAATGTTAGAAAAGAATAAAAACAGGACAGAAACTATTGTACCACTGCTATACCCAAGTGCTATATGATAATACTGAACATACCTTGGGTGCCAATGTTTAACTGGAACGCTGGATCTCTCATCGCAAGTAAAGTCATGGCTGCTTCGGTACTTCCATCACTAATCCCTGAAAAATGTTTACCAAACAAAAGCCACCAAAATCAAATTTTGTTTCTGTAATACACCCATACTGCTTATGCTTGTCTTAAAAATGACTAGTTGCTTTTGGATCATCCTAGGTATTAAAATCGGTTTCTAACACGTGCATCATTCAGCATCCCTCATTTACAAACCATGAAAGTGGTTTCAAAGTTCTTGTTTTACAGTGCAATCTGATATGCTTTCTACTCCGAAGTAAGTATCGTTGTTTTCAATGCAGCTTACTCCCAGGTAAGTGTCTATAGCAGCATTTGCCAACCTGGTGGCCTCCAAATGTTTTTGGCGTACATTTCTTGTCAGAACCCAGCCAGCAAGGCTGGTCTGTGGGACTGCAGCCTGAGTAGTTATTTCTTTCTTTAGTGAATGAGAGACTTGAGGATCTCATCTTTTAAAACTTTTTTTTTGTAAAGACCATTATTAATAAAATTCACAAATTTAACTTGGTCTCAATGGTACATATGTATAGTTTTTTACCCTTCGCTTCATTCAAAACAAGAAGAAGAAGAGGAAGAGGAGTTTGGATTTGATATCCCGCTTTATCACTACCTGAAGGAGTCTCAAAGCAGCTAAGATTCTCCTTTCCCTTCCTCCCCCACAACAAACACTCTGTGAGGTGAGTGGGGCTGAGAGACTTCAAAGAAGTGTGCCTAGCCCAAGATCACCCAGCAGCTGCATGTGGAGGAGCAGAGACGTGAACCCAGTTCACCAGATTACGAGTCTACCACTCTTAACCACTACATCAACTAGGCTTGCTCCCAGTGGCCTATATCAATCGGTAATAAGACAGTTCCTGATAGAAGGCATGGCCCAAAAGGAAAAGGAGGAAAATCAAGTGGCTATTCAGTTGTTCAGTGTCAACAGCTTGGACCATTTACCTGCTTTCTTTTCTTGATCATCTTGTGCAACCACCTTAGATAAAAAGAAACACAGGTTAATGACTGTAGTTCTGAATCCCTCCCCCCGCCCCCAATTAAATTAAATTAAATTCTACAGATCAGCTTTTTCACTTAGCATGGATAGCGACAATAACAGCTTGGCTGGCATATCATAAGCCACATTTTGTCATAAAGCATGTTTTAATCATGAACTTGCTCTCCCATTGCCACGTGGTTCCACACTCTCCACACAACTCAAGCCAACCATATTTTGGCTTGTTGTGTTGTTCAAATCTGGATCATGGTTTGCTTGTTTCAAACAAACCATGCACGAGGTTCATTTAATGTTTATTTCATGTTTCATGTATATCATGTTTGTTTAAATGAACCTGGTGCATAGTTTGTTTGAAACACACAAACCATGATCCATATTCAAGTGACATGATCAGCCATACTATGGCTCATTTGAGCCACGTGGACACCTTGTGGAGAAGCAGGAAGATACAAGCCACACCAGGAGGAAGAGCAAACAAGGCCTACATCAGCACAAACAACAAGGCTCCACATTCCTACAGGTTTGCCTGTTATCATGCCATACTGGAATGGTGTGCTACATGCATTATCTGAGTAGATGAATATACTGCTAAAAATAACTCAGTTCCTTAATCAGTATTGCCACTCCCTAAAACATTTGCTTCTCATCTTGCTTAAGGCAAGTGGGGATTATTCAAGTGGCATCACAAAAGTGTAATATCTTTGCTAGCCTTGCTCCCTAGTCATGCAAATGATACGTTAACTGTCCTAAAGTAACAAGAACTGAATTATGCTAGAGAAAATAAGTTTTAAATACATTTAAGGATATTGCATAAAGAGGGAAATCAAAATACTTACATTTTGTGAAGAATACAATCCTTTGTCTGTCTGAATTACAGGCTGAGCATCTACATTCAGTTCATGAGACAGAAATGGCTCATCCGCAAAATTCTCATATATCTCAAGCTGTTGGGCAGGGAAGCATACCAATTCAGTTTAGCAGTTCCCCAAAACCAAACACATCCTGAAAAGGGATCTAAGAAATGTCCTTTGTGCATTGTAACTGCTTTCTGCACACTAAAGTGATGGCATGATATATTTTCAGATGCAGTGGTGGTGCTATATGTTTCACAATTCTCAAAATGCAATTCTTCCTAAAAGAGGCACAAGCAAAACCTCAATGGGACTTAAGTATGCATGCACTCTTAGGAACAGGAATATTTAGATGACCAATTGCTAATGGGAGAGGGGGCCACGGAAGGAATGGACAGATAACATCAATGAAATGTTGAAGAAATAACTTTCTTAAGAATAAGTTATCAGATTGCCAGTAAGGCAACACATGGGAAAGAATTCCATGTCACAGACTATGACTGCGGCCAAAAAACTAAAGTCATGGCAAGCAATCGGCCCCATATTGTATAATGTAGACCATCTTTGTCATGGCAAAATGATCCATCAACTCTTCTCCATTAGCTGTTCTTTCATACTTGACAATAAAATGTCTAAGACCTTCTATTTTCTGCTTTAGCTTAAAGGATGCTGAGCAGCTATTTGTAAGTATGGCCAATCAGAGAGACACACTGAACATGCCTCCCTTTACAGCAGGCATGATGCAATTATAGCTTTCCAGATGTTATGAGACTGTAAATCCCATAATTCCTGACCACTGGCCATGCTGGCTGGGCCATATGGGTGTTGGGGTCTAAAATCTGGAGGGGCACTTGTTCCTCACCCCCCACTTTACAGGTGTTTCAGTCATACCTCTTCCATTGTTTCCTCAATCTGAACAGGAACTGGATTTGGAGATCGAAGCCCTTTAGGAACAAACACTGGAGCTTTGTTTACTTCCTCTGGTGAAAAGCATTCAACTTCATAGTCTGGCTCAAAGTCATCCCCATCATCGTCATCATCATCATCCTCTTGCTGAGAAGAAGCCCTCAGAGTCACCAGGTTAACCTTTGAATTCCCATATTCCTTTTTAGCATTCTTGCGAAGGACTGGTTTTGAACTTCTGCCTCTACCAACATTTGGTTTCCCCTTTTGGTAGTGTTTCCCCTTTTCACTAAGGTCATTCTCACATTCGGAAGTGAAAGATGTTATTGATCCACTTATGTTTTTCCTCTGTTTCACTGTCCTTCCCAGTTGTTTTCTAAGTATAAAAAGACATTTTGTTAAGAAGAGTTCATTGTAAAGGGTGGAAAAGACAGGGTGCGTATTTATGTTTCTTTTGTGATGAAAAAAGGTGACAATAAACTCTTTTTTAAAAAGATACAAAACTTTTGCTAACATGTTTTTCCTTAGGGGCCTGAATTTACATTATCAATATGGACTAAGTGTTCAAGTTTTACTTCTTCATAGAAGCATTTATGTCCCACGTTTCCATTTAAAACAGGCATCCCAAACCTTGGCCCTCCAGATGTTTTGGGACTACAATTCCCATCATCCCTGACCACTGGTCCTGTTAGCTAGGGATGATGGGATTTGTAGTCCCAAAACATTTGGAGGGCTGAGTTTGGGGGTGCCTGATTTAAAGAATAATGTTCAAAGAGTAACTTTACCCTTTTATTCTTTCAGATGCTCTCTCCTGGACAGAATGGGCCTTAGAGGTTTCTTTCTTGATTTGACTTCCACTCCAAGGGGACTGTTCTGAGGAATCACATTTTCCAGAGTGCCCGTGTCCTGTTGGGGACATCGTCTCAATACTATCTATGTGATTTCTTTGTCTTGATTCAGAAGATGACGCGGAATTGTGCTGGAAACAATACAAAATTGTGCCAAATTTAATACGTTAAACTCTTCTGTGTCCTTTCAGATCTCCTACCCCTCCTTTCACATCCAGCTTTAAACAAAAGCAGCAGACAACCAGCTTCTTTAACAATCAGGTAAAACAGAAATAATTTTCAGTTTTATCTAAAAATGTTGAAATAATTGTCTTTCTTTTAAAAATGTCTAATTTATTATCTAAATCATATCCTGCCTTTCCACACTGACACTGAAGGTGGCTGTTTTAACAGCTACAGAAAAAAAGCCAGGTTATACTAGTTGATATATATCTGTAGTCCATTACTAATTTTGGTAATGAAGTGGATAGTGTGCTAGGTCCACAGAGTTAAGCTTAACTGTGGTTTAAAAGGTGAACACCAGGCCAGTGAGGCTACCACTTTAAGAAAACTAATTAATGAGAATGGAGAGAGAATGCTACAAAACCTTAATTTTGTGTATCTTATTGCCAAAGGAGCCTTAAAAAAGAAAGTGGGAGGCAATCACAAGGACTTTGAACCTGAGAATAGGATCTGCTAAAAACAATACACATACACCTTGGGGATTTCCTGGCTTCTCCTTCCTGATGCAGCTCTATGTGTCCCCTGGAAACTCCTCCAAAGGGTTCACTGTGACACAGGCCACTGCATCTGGTGGGTGGGAAGGGAAGGGAATCTCTTTGCATGACTGGGTGCTTTCCACTCATCCTAGGATTTCATTGCTGTTCTCATGCTGCTGCAGGTGATTTCAGATAGCATAAAAGCAGTTCAACAACCAGCTTGTTTATGAAAATCCAATATTGTCAAAACCATTTAAATCAAAACATGATTTAGACTTCTGATCAGGGCTCACCATTAATGTGGGTATTTCCCCAGATTTTCTGTCACTTGGGGTTGTGTTGCTTTGTGTATCGCTTCCAGTTTTCTCTTTGGTGCTGACTTCTTTTGAAGAGGCTTTTTTCTTTTTAGCTGCTTGGGCTAGGTTTGGTTTCGGCTTCTGAAGAGGACCCCTCAACAGCTGTGTGGATTTTATGCTTTTTGAAAGACTCCCTTCATGAGCACCACAGATATCACTGACCAAAAAGAAAAAGTAACAGCAAAACAATTAGATCATTCCAGTGTTTAGTTATTCCTGAAAATATGTGTGTGTGTGTGTGTGTGTGTGTGTGTGTGTGTGTGTTTTGGTATATCTACCTTTTATTTTCTAGAGTCTAAACCATATTAATATTTTTTCCTTTAAAAACCCAGAACCAATCTTAGCTCCTCCTTAGCTCCTCTACATGAACCCAATAAGTTTGTGGTAGTGAGAAAAAGTAAAAACAAAATCCCACCCCCACCCCTCTGGCACGGTTATTTTCAGCTTGGAAATCATTGAAAGTTCTAATAACGTTTGATATAAAGACTTGGGTTCTCAAAGAAACACTTAACTTATTGAAAACTATTTTACCTTTCTGGACGATCCAGACACTTTCCTTCAACATCTTTAGAAACAAACATTTCTTTTTGGTCTTTTGGAAGTTCGCATCCCTGTGGCTTCTCAGGACAATCAATATTCTGCTGATCAATATACCTTTCGGGCGATGGAGCTTCACTGGATTCTGACACTTCTTTTTTCTCCAGATCACCAAGGGATGCCTGGACATTGACATTATCCTTGATTTTTTAGAACAAATACACTTGTCAGTTTACTAACAGAGCAAACATAACCCTAACAACATAGTGCTCACCCCCTTGATGTTGCTGGTCTCTAAGTCCCATCAGCCCCTACCAACACAGCCAATGATCAGAAATTATGGGAGCTGTAGTCTACCAACGTCTGCATGGCATCCCTGCTCAAAAGCTTCATCTGGATTGTGATCCAGAAGTTAGGGTGAACTGGAATTTCCCTGTAGAGTCTTAAGATGGTCGACTCTAAGAATTTTCTGTTTGACTTCTGTCTGAATTATCATTGCTGTAGGAGTTTAAGTTTGGCTTTTCTGGCTCATATAAACTTCATCCCACAGTAAATTTATGAGTCTTTAAGGTGACACAAGTAGGTTCGTTGTTCAAAAACACAATTAATTTAAAATATACAACAGAAAAAGATATGCAGGAAAAACTCCATAAAGCCTTCGCAAGAAAAATGGTCAATTATCCAAGAATGTGGGCCAGAACTATTTTGCTTCTGTGGCCCCTTTCCTAATGCAGACCCCTCTGCTCCCTCACCTGCCCAAAAATGAACCGGAAAAACAGCAGCATCTTCCACAATGTTGGGACAGGTAAAGCTGTGCTTAAATGAAAGAAAACTAAAGTGTGTGGCTAACCTCTGAAGGCGGGTGCAGATTGCTTTCCTTGGTCGTCTCTGTTTTTTCTATGTCTCCCTCAATTGGAGCAGTAACGCTCTCTGACACAGGGTCTTCTTTCTTGTCATTCATTCTTCCAAGATTCGGCCTGACTCTCTGGAATCGACCTCTCACCAGCTGAGCTGGTTTGATAGTACATGGCTTATTCTCTTGGGAAGTTGGTTTTTCCCTATCCCACAAAAGGAGAAAATGTTACTGAAGTGATTCAACAGGCCCAGGAACCAAGGGAGTGCTGTTTGTGGCAAAAGCCAAACAGGGAAGAGGGGAGGAGACTTTAGTCCTTTCACCACCTACAGCTACTCCCCCTCCCCTTGCTAGCCTTGCACATGCTGAGCCTCTCACCATTAGGCAAGCCAGCCTCAGCAGCTGAGAGCAGCAGTAGTCTTGTGACCTCTGCATCTGCAGCCAAGCTATATCTCCTGGCTGAAGCACCAGCTACAAAGCCAGCGCTACAATTGTTTTAACTGTTTTCAATTGTTGTTGTTTACAGTTTTACGGAGGAAGGGAAGATGGCTCCACCCTAAAGTTTAGCTTAGAAATATTCTTAATTAATAAATTCACAGATTTCCCCACTTGACCAACTGCTTCTCTCTCAGTGGCAGTTCTAGCGTGAGAAAGAGCAAACTTAACCAGAGGAAGTAAAGTAACTGCCTAAGAGCTGAACGGCTACATTCAGACCTAATATACTGAAAAGGGTCCAGGATCATTCATCTTCTTTTCTACAAAGAAGCAGGAGAGGAAATCTGACTCTGTGGTTTGCAACAACTGCCATTTCCTGAATTCGGACCTAGGAAACTGCAGTTGGAAACAAAGTGTATTGGGGTTCTGCCAGAGCTGTCCCCCATGCTAGCTGCGTCCTTGTCTCAAGTCAATACTCTCCACACCTGAGAAAAACAGTTGCAGCTAGAACAGAAAGGAGGGTGTGGAATCGTCCAAAGTGTGTGGTAGGATAAATGGTCATTTAAACATGCTTTGGGTGATGGGGGAGCAGATGGGAGACTGCTAGGAAGCAGATACAGGCTTTAGCAGCTGCCCAAGCAAGGAAGGAAGCAGAGAGCTCCAGAAAGCCCAAGGCGAGCGCACACAAGAAAAGGGAAAGGCGGAACTCTAACCTAGGACTCCCTTTCCCCCCAGTTAAGGAGGGCCTGTTTTGCTTTTTTCTTATCACTGTGTGCCCTCTAGTTGCTACTGGTGGGAGTGCACTAGCCCAAAGCTCTCCTATAGCTAAGAGATGGTTTAATTAGATAACCTTTGCCTACTCTGTGTCACAGCAGAACCCCCATTTTTTCCTCTTGCTGTATTATCAAAACCTGAGCATCACCAGCTTGAGGCCCTAAGAAGCGTTATCCCCATTGGGGCCCCAGCAGAGAAGAACTGCACTCTTAAAAATATGGAGGATTTGTAAAGTCATGCACACATAATAAAGGGAGTTTGGGACAAGCTAACAAGACCTTGTTGAAGAACACACACCTGGGATATTGATCTGAAATATTCTGAGAGGTACTGGGTGCTTGAGGGTCTTCCTGAATCACTTTCTCCATGTCTACCAGTCTGTTCTCCGAGCCTTCAGCAGGTAATTTTTTTCTGTCACTCTTTAACTGAGGCTGGCAATAAGACGCAATATAAACATCAAAACGTGGAACCATTTTAGCAATGATGGTCTCAACTTTACTCTGTATTTGCAAAAATATAGAAACAAAATCTCTCTTGAATTTGAAATGTCTTTACTACTATAGAAAGTTTGGCCCTTTGCTTAACTTACTACTGCAGGGAGAGTTCTGGAAGGTCCATGTTTCTGCAGTTCTGATTTCTCAGTTCTAGCTGCTGCTGCTGCTGCTGCTGCTTCATTTCCTAGAGATGGTGTTTCTTTCCTTCCAACTGCCCTTCCTATGTTAGGTTTCGGTCTCTGGAATCTGCCTCTGAGAAAAGGTATTGGCGGAACAGGGCTCTGTTTGCTGGAGGGGAGACCCAAAGCAGCACATATGGCAGTTAAAATCATTCTCATCAGATACATCACCACAGATACACACATGTAACACATCCATAGGTTAAATAATTTATCCCATGTTTCACAGATTAATGGTAACTAGTTCTACTTCTCAAATATGTAACAGAAAAACAAGTGCAATAAAACCTGCATTTGGTACTTCCACAAGGCTGAGGGAGAGACTTACCATCATTGCCCTTCCCAACATATGCCTTTTGTGGCTATCAGCTTTGGACACAGTTCATTGTGGAAAAGCGGCACATAAGTAAACTCAATCAATCAATTGAAATAATTATCTTTTCACTTCATCAGTAAATTTAATTATGTGGTGTTATCTTGCTTTCATCTTCAGTAATCGCACATTCATCGCTTTCCCATGCATTCCCTAGTTAAATTCAGCTTAGATGCAGGGAACCATGTTCCATGCCTACACTGCTGTAGCACCATGTTCCACCTCTGAACAGTTACTCCTGAAGATCAGGAAATCCCCAGAAATGGTACTGCAGTGATCAGTTAGAGGGAATAAACCAATCCGTGGCAAGGCTGCCTGCGTGCCCCTGGCCCCAAAGCAAGACAGATAAACCTGTTCTGGCAATAGCTCCATCACAGAAGGATGGAAAACAAGGTTTAATTTTGGATATTGTTATTACATCTCATTTTCAGTTAAGGAAAATCCATTATCTCCAACATCTATCAACATATCAAATGAATAGATTTTTTTCAACCTATGTTTCAAATCAGCAGACCTGTAAAGGGGGGGGGAGTGGATTTCCAACTGATAAAAACTCTTTAAAAGCTGATAGATCCTTACCCAACTGTAATCTTTTCTTGGATATCTGGGGATGATAAAACTTCATTTGGATCACTACTTTTGAAGTCAGAATGGCTTGGGGGAGACAAGTGGGTCTCATTTGTTGCAGCTGCTTCTTGAGTATCTGCAGAGTTCCCCTCTGACAAAAGTGACGGTGGCAGGATTACGCATGCTATAGTTTCCTAAAATATATTATCAGAATGTTCAACACCTGGTGCAAAATGCATGCAGTTAAATTATAAAGTTCAAGGAAACACACACACACAAATCAGGCAGGGAATCCAAGTACAACACAAGACTACCAACAGCTTGTTCTATTATAACATACAAGGTAATATTTTTCAGTTCTTGTACAGGGAAGTAATGCAACATCAGCAAGGGAGAAAGTGGCATTAAACCAGCTGAACTGTTCTACTAACTCTCAGTCATTTTAAGAATCTGATATTCACTTAAGCTTTGTAAGCAGTCCTTGTAGTTTACTACAAGCCTGTCCCTTTGTGACTTTAAAAAACAACAACCCCAAATTAAGAAAGTCATCTTAATGTCTTTGTTAAAACATGGACATCCTTCACAAAGAAATCCTTCATGCTTGAGTTTCAAGAATGATTTGCCATACAATGCCAGGAACTCCTGGGTTTTTTAAAGGAAAAAATAGTGACACTGTACTCCTGAAATTAAACTGCAAGTATCTCATATATGGCCTAAGGTCAACAAGTAATCTCATAGGAAACAACATGCAAACTGACTGCCAATACACCATCTGTCCCACACAGGGCTTTCTACAAATCTCAGTATTGAGTGTAATTTAATGTTTAATGTTTTATTGTGATGAGAGTGAATTCATAGGTACTTTCAGGAGCAAACGATACAGCAAACTGAAGCTATTAAATTATCAAGAATAAAGTACCAGAATTAAAAATAAGTCTTACATCCAGATTAGAGGACTTGCTGCGTTCACTCCTGATATTTTCTCTAGAGTCAGTCTTATGTTCATTTGTAAGCATTTCTTTTCCTGCTTGTATTAATTCCTCAGTTTCTGCCGCCTTTTCTGTGTTCTCCTTTAGACTTTTCAAAGATGGATCTACTTCAGCAGAATTTTCTTTTTCTTGTACAAAACTGGAATCTCTGTTGGATGAAAAAAAGTCAACAGAACTTCTATAACTTCTAAGTAAGCAAGAAAGGATGTGTGATTTAGTTTTCCTTTTTAAAATCTCAGGAGCAACGAAAAAACTAATCAACACAGTGTTGCCCAATACAACACCACAACCCACATGAATATGTGCTTACTTACACTCTTTGCACATGTTTCAATTACTAAGGACAATTCCCATAATTATCATGCAGGCAACAGATGTTCTCACTCATACCCCAATAAATAATGTTGCCGCCTGCTTGTGGGGCGGTGAGGGAGAGGGTGATAGCAATCAGAGGGAAGAGGGACTCTCAGATCCTGATCAAGGAACAAAATTGACAAGTGAGCAAGGGAGGCACAGATAGGTGGGCAGGAAGGGGAAACACAGAGCACCCCACACACAATAGCTATGGCGGCCAGGAAGAAGAAAGCCAAGAAGGGTGAGTGGGTGGAGGCAGCGACACTTGCAGCAGTCATGCAAGCTGTTTTTCACCGATCTCCGGGTCTCTGCCACCCTTTCAACGCCATTTTGGCACTATTTTTTATTTTGGGGTAACGTACGTAAACACAGTCGAACCCGAGTGGAATGTGCTTTGGGGGAGGGGGGAGTGCCTGAACAATTTATTTGCCACAAACATACACATATGTCAGTATGCATTTTTTTCCATTAAGAATATGGCATTGTGCCCCTTATTCTTTACCTTCAAAATAATAAACCTTACCTGGTAAAAAGATCCTTCACATCCTCCACTTTATCACTTGACGGAAACACATTTTTAAATTCATGGCTCTCACATTCGAAAAGTGTCTTTACAGGAGATTGGATTGTGTGTGCCAAAAGCACTTTCTCAGCACTGGCAACAGCTTTGTCTTCTAAGACATCACAGTGGGGAATGTCAGCTTCATAACTAGCTGCCTCCTAGGAAACAAATTAAACTTCTCTGAAACATCCAACGTGTAAGAGTTCATAAAGAAAATAATCTGAAGACATTCAGCTAGTGTATACTTAGACGAGAACACAGTGTTCTTTTCAGCCTTTAGCCTGCATTAACGTAAGAAATTAATACCAATATAAAAGAAAATAACAGTTTAAAATAATAGTTACAAAAAAAGGTTACACTGGTACTGGGGGTGTCAAAATTGCTAATGTACTAGACTGCTTTGGTATGATAAAGCAGTAAGTTTTCACGCTGCTTAGGATTCTTCTATGCATGAAGTCAATGCAATTCAAAAGTGTGCTGCCCTTTCTTACTAATACAGTTAGCACAATAAAACATAATTTTTGAATTATTGAGGATTACATCTGGAAAAAAGAAGGCAAGCTTTAACTTGGGTACCCAAACCAATATGTGCACATGTTATTTCTGGACCGGATTACATCTTATTTAAGCAAAATAATGCTGTGCTCTTGAATGTTTTCAAATACAGTGGTACCTCGGGTTAAGTACTTAATTCGTTCCAGAGGTCCGTTCTTAACCTGAAACTGTTCTTAACCTGAAGCACCACTTTAGCTAATGGGGCCTCCTGCTGCCGCCGGAGCACGATTTCTGTTCTCATCCTGAAGCAAAGTTCTTAACCCAAGGTACTATTTCTGGGTTAGCGGAGTCTGTAACCTGAAGCGTATGTAACCTGAGGTACCACTGTATAGGCCCCAGTCCCAAAAACCTAAGAAAGTTTTGTACGTTGTCTGTTAAAGTAGGGATAGAATGCCCTGTGCACCTACAGTGTACATCTTCTACATCAGCAGGAAGCCCATTTTCCAGAATTCTGAATTAAAGATCTAGACTGTGTGTATAGTAAGCCTGCAACTTCCTCACATTTAATTTTTGCGCATTCAGCTTTATGCATGTGGCTAAAAAAAATTAAAGGGGGTGGAAGGGTGTGGGGTTCCAGGAAAAATATAATATAGAAAGCTTTGAGTACTTACCATCTATATTAAGAAAATGAGTGCTCTGGCACCTTTTAGACTAACTGGTTTATAAGAAGCATAAATGTTTGCTGGCTGGAATCTAATTCATCCAAAATGTCAAGTGTTCACATAATGTTTTATGTACAGTAGCAAGCGGGTTGTGGTACTTACTGTGGTAACAGTTAGAAGTTCAGCTTGTATCTGAATCTTCTCAAATGATTCAATGGCTGCATCAGTTGCCTTTTCTTCTTCTGCCTCCGTGTTTCTTGCTGGCTCGTCTGGCTTTCTAGCAACCCTTCCTAAATTTGGCTTGGGCCTCTGTATTCGTCCCCTTGCTAATGGTGCAGGTTTCAAGACAACCTGCTTGCTGCTTTCTTGTGATTTCTTACTAGTCCTGAAAGAACAATGATTTCAGGAAGGAAAAGAATTAGGGGGTCTTAAACATTGCAAAGATCCTTCATTTCATAATGCAATTGAACCTGATTGTTATTTGAACCAATTACAGGCGACACTTCAAATTTTAGAAGCTTGTCACCATGGAGGATCAACTCTCCCCCTATGAATAAGCCAAAGGTATATCATCACCATAATCATCATCATCAACAACAACAGTAGTATATAAACAGGCATAGTTGTATAATAAAAACAGGAGTGGTGTACCAGCTGTGGCTTTATCCAGAGAAAGCAGACATTGCCTCTGTAATACACACCTTCCTTACCTCCAAGTTGGATTGCTGTAATGCGCTCTACACTAGTCTGCCCTTAAAGACTGTCTGGAAACTTCAGGTGGTACAGAAAGCAGTAGTAAGAAAAGTTATGAGAAAGAAGTGTTCCAATAATCTCACACCTATTCTGTGCCAACTACAGTAGCTGCCTATTAATTTCTAGGCCCAATCCAAGGTGCTGGTTTTGGTCTTTAAAGTATGACACGGTTTGAGACCAGCTTATCTGAATCTGCTTAATTCTCTGATACTGTTTTTAACTGCTGCTGCTATTATGTTTTAGTCATATTGTGTTTTGTAGAACAATTTTACAGTTTGTAATATGTTGTGAGCAACCTGATGTGGGGTAACTCTAATGGTCAGCCTACAAATTACAGAATAAACTTGAATAAACATACTTACAAAGATTCAGTATCTAAAACTTGGCAATCTTTTTCTGCAGTCTCCTCTGTGATGATACTGAGTGCATCATGCTGGTCATTGTTCTGAGGAATAGGCATAAAAATAAGTGGAGTATACATTTTTAAAATAATAGTAGTTAATGGTAGTTAATAAAGTGGCAGAAAGCTACTATAGAAAACAACTAACATAATCCTTTACATGGAGTTAAAAATCACTAATAATAATAATAATAATAATAATAATAATAATAGAGGGTTATTTTCCTAATTTCCCAAATTGCAGGAGCAGGGTAAGGGGAGAATTAAATCTAACATAGAGAATACCTTTCCTACTGTTTCATTAGCCTCTGGCTTTTCTGGCTTTTCCTGGAGAGGTGCTTCTTTTCTGCTGGACACTTTCAATATATTAGGTTTAGGTTTCTGCCGACGGCCTCTCACTACAGGACCTTTTTGAGTGTCTCTGGAAACACACAGAGAGAAAAAATTATAATCCCAGCACTCTTTAGGCAAAACCTGCAAATAACTTATAAAAACAATTATTTATACTCTCCAAAACAGAGATGGAAAACCTGCGGCCCTCCACATTTTGTAGAGCTACAACTCCCATCGGCGCCAGTCAGCAAAGCCAATGCTCAGGGATGATGGGAGCTATAGTCCAACAACATCGGGGATGGGACCTGATTCCCCATCCCTTCCCTAAAATGTCTAAGTATTTCAAATGCAAAAAATCCAAAAAGAAATTGTGAATAGTTCTGTTTTTAGTTTCCACTCATTCCAACAGTTATGCCTAATGCTCTGTTACTGTTAAAGTTTAGTACTATTTGACTCATCTCTAAAAAGGATAGATTTGGTTCCGTATCAAAGCAAGACTTTCCTCCACAATGTCACCTCCTCTTCTATCCCAAAGAAACACAAATCAGTTTAAGCTGCTTAACTCCTAATAGTTCCTACAGTGTCTGATTAGGAGATGACATTCTGTAGGCACCATTAGGAGCTGCTTCCTTCACCACAGCTGAATATAGTGAGTGGTGCACACTGTAAGACATATTTTTCAGTCTTTCTACTTTACATATACTTACTGGGATTCACTTGCCACATCATTGCTTGCTCTGTCTGTTTGCTCTATGGTAGGTCCAGTTATGTTAGCAGTCGTATCTTGCACAGAACTCTAAACGAAAGAGACATAAAGAACTTAGATAAGAGTTATTATCATTATGCTGTCTATTATTGTGCTTTGTATTATGTTTTTATTATTATGCTCCATAAAATGTGTCCTTAATGCTGTCCATCACCCTGGGATCTTTTGATAAAATGCAGTATACAAATTGAAATAACAACAACAGGGGTGTGTGCAACAATGCAGCCAATCTCCTGAGCCCTCTGAAAAACAGGATTGGGTTGTGAAATTAAAATAGCTTCCATGTGCACAGAAGAGACAAGAAAAGCTTGTATTAATTTAAAATTATTTAGTCCCATACCTTTTCTGCAGCAACCAGAACCTCTGAAAGAGAAATCTTGCCCTCAGATGTGTCATTAACTGGAAGTTCTTTTTCTTCTGACGGTTCTGATGCAAGTCTCTGTAGCTGTCCTTCCACTGTGGGCTTTTCAATAGCTGCTCTATCCGTTTCCCTGAAGTTAAATTGAATATATTTATATTTTCCAAAACACACAAATCTAGTCCATCACCAACCGTCTTAGTTAACATAATTTATTATGGGATGTAGAAGTGGTGGTGCCATCTATTATATTTTCCTGCCAGTCACTTCCTGCTGAAGCCCCCTGTGTCCCAAAAGTCACTTCTGAGTGTTACAGGAGTTTCCAGAAAGGCATGCAAAGCAGCCTAGAAATTTTCTGCAGCATGGAGAAATTGGTAAAAATCTAAGACTTGCCACTCAAACAATACTCACACCTTTGGATTCAAACTATGTATTTCAATCTTGCACAGCAGAGGATCTACTTCTATAAACATGAAGGAACAGAAATAGGAACATACAAAGAGCCCTGCTGGATTAGACCAAAGGCCCATCTACTCTCACATCTTGTTGTCACAGGGGTCAACCAAATGTCTATGGGAAACCTCCAAGCAAGACCTGAGCACAACTGCACTCTTGTCACTTGTGAATTCCAGCAACAGGTATTCAGAGGATTTTAGGTATTCACAAGGTCTATAAAGTCTCTGTTACAAAGCCTTTGTGATCTTGTTAGTCCACTGACCAAAAGGAACATTATATTCCAATGCCACACCTTTGTAGGAAGGTGAATAGGTTCCATTCCTATGTGCTTACCTGGAAGTAAGCCCCACTGAACTCAATAAGACTTACTTCTGAATCTACATACATAGGATTGCAATCTAGAAAAGCAAATATGAAATTAAAAAGACAGATTCCTTTAGGCAAATAGACCTCACACCCATCATATATTTTCCACCTCTTTTCTGTTATTTTATTCACTTCAAATGGTAGTGAGTTTTCTTTTCTAAAATCTTCAGACCAACTTTACCAAGCCCATGTAATAAATTAAAAGCAAGGCTGAGAACCAGGAATAGGAGTTATGAGATCATAGACATGACCCTCCTTCCTACTTTATCCATAGAGAGCTCACCTGAACTCCAAACTTGTTTGAAAGCCTCCCCCCCCCACCAAATCAGGTTAGAGGATTAGTTTCATTAGATGTGGGGAAATAGGAATCACATAAAATTATTTTACTCACATAAGCTCATCATTACAACTTGGAAAGGCTGTATTTTCATCTGGTTGATCTAACTCTGCTACTTCATTCTGCAAGGAAATCAGAACAGTTAGTATGATCTTATGGTCCTGGCTTCTTTAATGATTAAGGGAGAGGCTATGCCTGGGAGCAAGAACCTCTACCCACTAAGCTGACTTCTCTACAAAACAGAAGTGAACACTGATGAGAATTTCATGAGTGTGTCATGGTTGAAGGTGGGGGAACCCCACATATTGTTCTCTCACTCTCTGGGGGGAAATTGAACTAAAGTAGAATTTCAGTCAGCTCCCAAGTACACCACCTTCAGCTCCTTGGAAGATAAAGGTGGTATATAAATGTAATATATAAATACATAAATATAATAATAGTGATGATGATGTGTCAGAAGCTTTTACAGCTTGTGCATACGAAGCAAAAATCTTTGCAGACTGCTGTGTATCTCCCCCACTGAACAAATAGCAGGCACTCTCCGGGTGGACATGCATACTCCATGAACGTTTTCCCCATGTGGGTTGATGACTGCTTAATCCTTTCCTCCTCACCTAAGTCATCTCTCAGAATTGTCTCCTCTCCCAGGCTGCTTTCCTCCCCAAGTGAAACAGGTTCTGGTTTATTTGTTTTTCCTCAAGGAAAAAAGGCATTTGAGAAGAAGGCAATTTTAAGTGGGAAAATAGCTGGGAAGAAGAAGAAGGCTGAAATAGTCCCTCACCCAGCTGGTCCTCCACTCATTCTGAGTTGTTTTACCCGAAAGAACAAATCCAGAACAAAGAAATGGGAAACGATCAGTGAGCTCCCAGAACATTTGGTATGAGTCCTTGTCCAAATAAGCTATCAGAGATGATAAAACCTCTTATCTGGTAGTAGGCCTGCAAATGCAGGCGCAATGTCTTCAACGCACTACCTCCCCCACCCTGTTCTGTACATAATAGCCATATCCAAAAGCAATATCCATATGCAGGAATCTATGCCGAATCAGAACAGAAACCTTAAGTGTGGCATTCACTGCCTTCTTGTGGGTTTTATTTTATGAGTTGTTTCTTTGAAATAGGAAGTAGGCTAGAATCGCATGTACATATTGTTTACCTTTGCTGAACTGTTTTCTTCAAAACCTTCTTTATTTGTTTTGAGAGACATCTGAGACTCTGAAGGCTGCCCAACATGGTGCTCAGAACTCACATCTGAATCATCTGCTTCTCCAGAATCCATGTCTAGGAATTCATTACCTTTCTGAATACTGTAAAGGTAAGAAGAATATGAAGAAAGCATTAATGGTTTTCCTACTCTACCCCATAGGCTCATGGCAGATTCTTGTCTTTCACTTTTGTCTTTCACCAACTGTGCTAACTGAGACAGAGGCTTGCTCAAAGAGACTGATAAGCGAAAAGCGCTCAAACTCACTTCTCTCTTTACTGGCATTTACACACGATTGTTCATGTGCAATCTCATCGCAATTACTGTTGAAGACTAGTTCACTATTCCTATTTTACAGCTGGAAAACAAAGATAAGGTAGGGCTTTCATCAGGATTACCCCGAGAGTCACTTGCTGGGCAAGAATTTAGCACGAAGTCTAAATCTAACACCTATTATTTTATTTGTCACATTTGTATACTCATATAAGGCTAAGGCTGGAATCCAGCCCCCCTCCCTCTGCCCATCCACTGTGCTGCTCGGGGTGGGAATTGGGAGTGGCCAAGCCCAAAACAGTTCCACTGGCATCACTCCCCCAAGAAACTCAGCCTCAGGCCTTATCACTGCATCATTTCCAGGCTGGCGTGACAGGGTTTTTACCTCCCACTGCCTTCTGCCCCAGGAAGCATGAGCAGAGGAAATGTGGAGGTGGCTATGCCATTCTATCACACTCCACTGCTGCCCCGCTGGAGTTAAAGGACTGCACTGTAACGTCCTGTCAAAGGACCCCCTCCAATACTCAAACAGTGTATCTGAAGGCAAAATTCAGCACTGTGCAAGCACACTTCTGTTCACACAATAGGCCTTCCAATTCTCTTCCCCCTGCAACCTTTCAGAGCAGATGTGGGGCTGCATGGGGCAGGGGACTACAGGTGGGAGGAAAGAAGATGAAGCCACATTGTTCAAGCAGAAGACTGCTGCTCACACACAGATAGCAAGTAAAAAGAAGTTCACAGCACACTGCAGTTATTCAATATTTGCCTATGAGATTCTATAGAGGTGTGCTATCTTTCTCCCAGCCCAAAGAGAAAGCAAGCTATGACATTTGTTTTGAATGCTCCTATGCACTCTCCAAACAAAAAAAAATGTTTGTTTCTGTATATAAAAAACTCAATAGCTCCATATAAAGAAAATTAAGGCAGATTTGTCAGCCACATCTGAGTGGCAAATGAAATGGGCTCTATGTAATACAGCAATGCAGGGAATCTTTAGGAGACTTTTGGAAAGGAAATAATAAAGTTGTTATATTTACACTTTGTAACAAGGCTTGTTCATATAATTCTGCAAAGATAATGTATCTTATTACCCAGATAAAGTTGAACCAAGGTCTCCCTCTGTCTCTTCATCCACCTGTGGGTCTTCTTCAACAGATGGAAGAGTTTTGGCAGGCGTTTCTTCATCAGGGACTTCCAGTTCCTCACCAATTTCTTCTGTGCCATTTATCTCCACATTAGATGGTAGATTTTTTCCTGACAATGTATTGTTGAACATTATATGTCCACTGAAGCAATTACCACTCAAACACACTTAAAAGGCAGAGCCTCTGGTTGCTTCCACATTAACTTTTTTCTTTGAAATTACTATCCAGATGGCAATTTTCAAAAGCACTACATTTCAATATTTTTTGTGTTTTATTCCCATTTTCCCAAATTGATCTTTGGTCATTTCCTCGTCAGTTACACCATTGGTCTATTTGTTATGGGCAGGCAGGATGATTTTGAATAACTAATATGCTTTTAATTAAAGCTTCCTCCTACCAGATCCAGTTAATTCTATTGCACTCTATTCAGTGGATCTGATGAAGAGCATTTAATTTACTGGTTTCCTTTACTGGAAGGACTCTAGTCTGAAAGAAGTGCAATTTCCTAAAGTGATCTGTGATTTCCCACTGTCACAAAGCATTAATCATGTATTTAAGTTAACAGGAAGGAAAAAGAAAATTACACAATGTCCTCCCTAACCCAGCCATTCTAATGCCAGTCAGTATATGGAATTTATTTAACAGTAAGCGGAATCTTTCATTATTTCTCAAAATTATTAATATGGCACTTTAACTATGACAACAGTTCCTGAAAATACAATGTAATAAATGACATAAAATTAATGAAAAATAAATTAACAAAATAACTTCAAGTGGATATATTCTTGTGACTATGGCAACAATTCAATATAAACCATTATAAAACTCGCTTTTCATAATTGACCCTGAAATAAAGAACAATGATGTGCAATTGCACAGCCTACAAATCTTTGGGAATACAACACATATTGTATCCAACTACTTGCAGATGCACATCAAGCCATTTTGTTACATACAGTGGTGCCCCGCAAGACGAATGCCTCGCAAGATGAAAAACTCGCTAGACGAAAGAGTTTTCCGTTTTTTGAGTCGTTCCGCAAGACAAATTTCCCTATGGGCTTGCTTCGCAAGACGAAATGTCTTGCGAGTTCTTGAGAGTTTGTTTCCTTTTTCTTAAAGCCGCTAAGCCGTTAATAGCCGCTAAGCCGTTAATAGCCGCTAAGCCGCTAATAGCCGCTAAGCCGCTAATAGCCGTGCTTCGCAAGACAAAAAAACCGCAAGACGAAGAGATTCGCGGAACGGATTAATTTTGTCTTGCGAGGCACCACTGTACAGGTTTTAAAGTAGTCTCAAATTCAAGATGAAAATCATCTCTATTTATGCTGTACACTTGTCATTAAGATGAAGTAAATGAGCTTCAGTTGAGTGATTATTAAATCTGGTTGTGTTACTAAGGCTGTTTTATCTTGCAATAAATAGTTTAGCGTCTGGAAGAAGATTATCAAAATCAGCACACATGCACACTGTGACATAGTAGCAACAATTTATAGATTCTTACTTTTCTTTCTAGTTTTTTCTCCCTCAGCCACTTCTGCAGAATTAGTTCTTTCGTCAGGAAGATTCTCTGCCTCCTGTTCAGAATCTTTTTTCTTCCTTTTTCTCTTCTTTTTCACCATCACTGATTCAGTAACTGTCTGCCCGTCTGCCTGCTCCAAAATGCTAGGAGATTCTTCGTTCTCTTTTTCGGCTGTGCCAGCATCCACTTCCATTTCTGCATCAGAAATTCTGGCATTCTGCGGGTCATCCTGACCATGGTTTGCTTGTCCATTGACAACTTTAGCTATCAAAGTATACAATGTAAATATACCTACAGCAAGACAATTCTCAACAAGGAAGCTAAAAAAAAATACCAAAAAGCTTTTTTTCAAAATCCCAAGAACAAAAATAGAATTCTACTTTCTCCATATAAGATTATTCAAGGTATTCTGCTTTCCTTTCCATCAGTCCTCCTTCCCTCCACTGTACCCCAACCCCAAAGACAGTTTTAGCTGTGAGGAAAAGTATTAATTCCACACATACACCCCAATATTATATGAAAATAAGAGAAATACAACATAACAGAATAGGACTTCTCCTTCTCTGCAGCAAATCTATCCAACAGAGAAGGAGAAGCCAAAGTTTTTTCTGCCGGCAGATGGGCACCATTGGATATCACCCAATGTGACTATGCATGTGACATATTCCAATCAAAACTATTCAAGATGGTAATATTAAATTAAAATAAAAACCCAAGGATAAGACAGAACAAGCCCTAGACCTGTGAAAATAGTGAAAGAAATCAAAACAAAACTAATTCCCGCATTGAAAAAAGCAACAATCAAACATGCACCATGTGAAATGCCTGTAAGGCAAAGTATTTTTGCAGCCTTCATTGCCAATCAAGCCTTCGGAAAGGCTTTCTAGAGTGCAGTACTGTCTACACCAGGGGTTGGCAAACTAAGGCCCAGGGGCCGAATGAGGCCCAACTGCCTTCAGGATCCAGCCCATGGACTGTCCGTGGATCGGCGTGGGGATTCTGTTCATTCGGGCTGCACCATATTTTTTTCTGTTCCATTCCCCCTCCCTCCCTCATACACACCACGGCGGCGCCTCCTCCCTCCCTCCTCCTGGCTTCTCCCCGCCGTGCCTAGAGGAGGAAGGGGGCTGGGCTGAGCTGGCTGGGGGCCATTTTAAGCAGCCCCTCTCCAGAGCCAGCCCTTTCGTGCCATTCATCTTCCCTCCACCATCGCCGCCCTGGTGCTCCTGTGGGCCAGAGAGCGGAGCGAACGAACTCCCTCTGCCTACCCACAAGAAGCAATGGTGGTGGTGGCAGTGGTGGCGGCAGCAGCAGCCCCTGGGAAGGTAAGCGCAGCGGCTGGGGGGTGGGAAGGAGGACTACTTGCCCCCCTCGCCTCTTCTTCTAGCTCCCCCCCCAACCCCAGTGCTGCTTCTCCAGCCTGCCACAGGTCTGAGGGAGAGTGGACCGGCCTGCGGCTAAAAAAATTTGCCAACCCCTGGTCTACACTGACAAATCTAACATTGCACACAGAAGGAATGCAAAACAGTGGCTCCATCAGATCTTAGAAGAGAAGTTTAATAATAAATAGGATTTACTTTTACTCCTTAATACATTTAAGTACTTAGAAATACCTTTTCGCTTTTTTTTGAGTGTTTTTTTCTCACTGGGATTTTTTTCTTTTTGATGCTGACATTTAGCATCCTTATCCTTTTTTCTCTTTTCATTTTCCAGGACCTTCTCAAGGAGTTTTGTAAAGAAATCAAAGTCAAATGGCGTTTTTTCTTCTGTAAAAAAAGGGAGATGATTATTTTATGTACAAACATTCCAGCTAAAAATAATAATTTCGTCTTGAGCGTCTGTTGTCCTGAAAGGATTTGTCACTGAAAGTTCATGCAACTATAAATTAGTATTTTAAAATACATGTAGTCCTGATGCTCTTTAATAACAAGAAAAAACATAATATTTACTGAATATCAAGAACGAGATCTAACAGAGCAATGAAACAGACCCTTTACTCAAAATATTTATCTATTGTAAAAAGGTACAGTTATGCAATTTTAGTTTAGTTTTGCTAGAGTGCACACACCATTTGCCCTAAATGAAAAAAATGATTAAACATGTGGTAATACTTACTGAATGCTTTATCTATTCGCCATCCATTGGCCTTTTCTTCACGTTTAAATTTATTCTGAAAACAGAAAGTTATGCTATATAAGCCATTCTCAGATCATTAGCTGATACAGAAGCAAACTCAATTGAAATGATCTGTTCAAATTTTTAACAGAACAGCATAAAAGGATAGATCCACAACCAGATGATCACTTCTCAATTGATTTTGGGGGTTTTTTCAGTGCTTACCTTAATCTCTGTTCTTGCTCTGTGAGGAAAAAGCTGACTAATCATCGAGAAGTCAGTTCCTACCATACTTATAGCTAAGAAGAACATGTCTGTTTCTGTAAGAGAGGAAAAAAACAATTTAGCCATTTTTTATGAGCAATTTTGGTATATAAATTTTAATCTCATGATCAATAAATGTCCAAATTCAGCTAAATACCGTCTCCCTTTAGCTGCATATTATGAAATGGATAATATTTCATACTAACATTAGCTACTGTACTGTGCATTGTACTGCGCATTTTAATAAGGGTTGCATAGCTTTACAATTCAGTGAAACACAGTTCTGTTTTTCGGTGAAAAGGATTTTAAACTATTCACTCCAAATGTTAGGGTGCAGAACTAAGTTACCGTATTTTTCGCCCTATAGGACGCACTTTTCCCCCTCCAAAAATGAAGGGGAAATGTGAGTGCGTCCTATGGGGCGAATGCAGGCTTTCGCTGAAGCCTGGAGAGTGAGAGGGGTCGGTGCGCACCGATCCCTCTCGCTCTCCAGGCTTCAGGAAGCTCTGCGCAACCGTAGGGAGACCGGCACGAAGTCGCGCCGGTCTCCCGAGGGCTGCGCAGAGCTGCCTGCAGTCCCGGGCTCTGTGCAGCTCTGCGCAGCCCTAGGGAGCCCGGCGCGAAGTCTTCCTCTGGCAGCAATGAATAATTAGTGTGAGTCACCAAGTTTAAAGCACACCGATAAACACTGTCAATTAGCATCCAGCTATTTTTAACTCTGTACAGTGGATCTAGAGTAGGGGTAACTAACCTGGTGCCCTCCAGTTGTTGTTGGGCTACAACTCCCAACATCCCTCACTAATGGTTATGCTGGCTGGGGCTAATGGGAGCTGCAGTCCAACAATGTGTATGGGCACCACTGTGGCTGCCCATGATAATAGAAACAGAACATGAGAATTACTTGAGATTATATGGATACAGTAGTATACATAATCATTTGACCGCTACTGCCAGATTTGCACAGAAAGTCAAAGGCACTATAACTCTTTGCAGCAGTAAATGCCACTAAGACTTACTCTTGCAATTAACTTGCTTGCATGCATGCATGCACACACACACCATGGATTGTAAAAAAATACAAATTATGTTACATGGTGCAACTGTCAGTTTGCATTTCTTAGTGCAGAAAGTATTGATCTGACATGCAGAGATCTTTTCTATTCTAATTAATTCAAGAGGGTTCTGGAAGCTTCTCTGTGTGAAAGAAACAAGCAGAAGGTTCATGATGTTTGGGTTATTCCTTCAGAGAAGCTGAGTACAGCTGGCTTAAACTGGTCCTGTTATCTCTTTCAGTCAAGGTCATGCTGACTATAAAAATAAGGCCAGAAGGAGCCAGGGTTTCACTTTTCTCTTTCTGTCTCTTTTCCTTCTGTACATAGTATGCTTAGTGTTAAGGTTTAGACTATAAGTTACTGTAAGTTTAAGTTAAGTCTGCCTCAACTGGATTTCTTATGGACAATGCCAATCCTGAATGTATTGGATTTGTGACTACTATGCTCATTTGCCTTCAGTAGCAGTAAAGCTCTGCTGGATGAAATACAATTGCCTCTGGTCTCTTTTTTTTTTTAAATCCTGCAATGTATTAAAATTGTTACTCTGCAAACTAGACATTGGAATCTACACTGGATCAATATTGAGTAGGATTCCATGACAGTAACTCCATTCTTTTGCAGTGACTGAAGTCCAGGATAGAAAGAAGATAAGGATGCATGCAGCTCTTGCCACTCGCACTAGATTGTCTACCTCAAACCATACAAGCCAAAATACTTAAAAGAGTGTAGGTCTTCAAAGCCAAGGACACGGGTGGCGCTGTGGTCTAAACCACTGAGCCTTTTGGGCTAGCTGATCAGAAGGTCAACGGTTCAAATCCCCATGACGGGGTAAGCTCCAGTTGCTCGGTCCCAGTTCCTACCAACCTAGCAATTTGAAAGCACACTAGTGCAAGAAGATAAATAGGTACTGCTGCGGCAGGAAGGTAAACAACGTTTCCATGCACTCTGGTTTCCATCACGGTGTTCCGTTGCGCCGGAAGTCGTTTGGTCTCACTGGCCACATGACCTGGAAAGCTGTCTGTGGACAAACGCTGGCTCCCTCGGCCTGAAAGCGAGATGAGCGCCGCAACCCCATAGTCACCTTTGACTCGACTTAACCGTCCAGGGGTCCTTCAAAGCCAAATGCAAAGAACATAACTGAGCTGCACCTACCTTTTTCTGACCATGGCTTGGTATAATAGCTTCTCCTGAAACTTGAGTAGGTTGTTGTGGATCCACGCTCAAAGATGGGATCATTATCTTCTACCACACATTGCCCTTTTGTCCTTAAAACTTCCACAGTTAAGCTAAATGTGAAATTGAGAGATATTAGAATACAAAAGAAATGTTGCAAGAAAACTGTCTTAATAAATAGTGAAGACCAATTGATTCCCACCTCAAATTTACTAGAATTTCTCTTCTTACTAGCAAACACTTTAATGAACAGTTTACAGTTTTTCAGTGAACTCCAGTATGGCCTTAAGTTAGCATTCCGTGCCAATATGAATATAGTTCACTAATCCAGCAACCATTAAGATCAATGTGAGAAACAAGAAGCCTTAAGAGTTCCAGGGCCCAGCTGGCTATTAGGCAACCGGAGGCAAAGCACTCAGGTGACAGATTTGGCATACTTTCCACAGGCAGAATTTCTTTTTATAATTAAAAAGGACAAGCTCCCTTGCCGCCACCACTTATTCCCACTGCCTCAAATCTCTGCTCCCCGTCCTCTGCAGTTTAAAACTGAGCATATGATATTGAAGGGGGGGCAACAGAAAGAAAGTGCCTACGTGAGACCGAAACAGAGTCAGAGGGGAAATGCAGCAATGTCCAATGCAGGTCTACTCAAAAGTAGTTCCACCGAACTCAATAGGTATTACTCCCAGGTAAGAGTTCATAGATTCCAAACTTAGAAAAGGAAGGAATTAAGGCAAGAATTGGTATCTGAATGGTGCAGCAGCTTTCTTAAAGTGCTGGTCTTAGCCGAGGTGGAAGTACTATTTCAGCTTTGCCTCAGGCAGCAAGATATATTGAGCCAAGAAATTCTGCAAATGTTTGTTCTTTTCCTAAAGCAGATACAAAATGACAAAACCTAACCTTTCTTCATCGAGAATAATCGAACCATCTTCCGCAACCTTTACCCGAGGTACAAGAAGAGGGCCATCATCATCATCTCCCCCTTCTTCTTCATCCTCATCTTCCTCATTTTCGCTTTCAAGAATGATTTCAGGCCTGAAATGGGAAGAGATAACAGTTTAAGTAGCAGGGAACTTTCTTCACATTTCCTTTTCAAATAAAAATTCTTTTCTATGGCCCAAGCGCTTATCAGTTACTTCCAACCATGGCACTGGAAACAACTGTCATTATACTGTACACCTTTTTTCAGAAGACTGTAATGTGTTCTTGCACATACACTTTAAATAGGCATATATTTTAAGCTGGCTGTTGAGAGCCAGCATCCACTAGCAGATGAGAAAGTGCAATAAATAAATAAATCACAATCCTAACTCACTCCTCTGATGTACTAATATTTCTCTTGCTGCCATCAACCATGGTATTATTTTTGTACTAACCCTGGGGACTCCTAAGCCAGCATTTGAAATCAAGAATCAAATGCTGGATTAAGACTTAAGGTTAAACATGGTTAATATCAGTGCAGGCAAAAGGTGGAATCCAATTTTGGTAACCCACTTGCACACAAGACTTCTGCTGAGAATTTCTTGCCCACAACTGTTAAAGACAGTGCAGATAAGGTACAGTGAGTTTCCATGTGAGAGGGAAGAAGCTTGGGGAACCCATGTACCCAAGAACACAACTTGTACTTGGTCTTAGCTAGGATTATGTCTAAACTGGTCCTAGCAGAGTTTTACCATATGGGTAATTTATTACAATACACTGCCCAAAGCAGTATTATCTTCAAGTAAAAGAAAAAAATTCTGGGATTATAATATTTAGAGCAATAATTCAGTTTCAATAACATTAAACAAAGACATCTTTTTCATACAAATCCCTCTGTGCTAAATTATTGCACAGATCACTAGTTCTATTTGAAAGAAGGGACAAAAAAATTACTCTTTTGCTTGAGTCACTGTAGAAGGCTTTTCGGATTTCTTTTCTTCCACCAGTGAAGATCTATTAAATATAAAAAGCACAATTTTCATTAGCCATTTATTAAAATAAAATTTGAAGACAGCAACTAGTGAACACTCCTGCAGTTTACCTGTGTGATTTACCATCCTACTCAGAGCACACTTTAATGTGAAATATTAGGCTTTTAATTTAATTAGGTTTATTCACACAAACTTCAGTGGGATTGGGGAGAAATGTATCTATGTGATTTATTGGTTGTCAGAACAAGACAACTATGAATTATTTAGAAATCTAATTACTTAAAATTCCTTTATATGAGCCCTGATGTTTTCCCATGGACAATAGAGAAAGCTGATATTATTTAAAGCAACTTAACAAGGAATCCCAAATTTTCCACAAGCCTGAAAAGTGAAAAGGAGGAGGCCTGGGTATCTTAAAGGAAGGATAAAATGAAGACATAACAAATATATAAAAACAATTTACATTTACAATAAAAAATAAAATGTGTACTTACTTCATTGGATTGTTTTCAGGCAGATAGTATATGAAGTCCCTCATAACCATTTTTGAACGATCTTCTGGCATGCTTTTTTCAATTACTGGGTATTTATATTTCTGTTGTTGCTAGACATAAAAATTAACATTTATATGAGTTTGATAGGGTTTTAGACTTAATCAGCTTTCTTATTGGGAGTCTATACGTTAAAATCAAGTTCATATATTTTGTAACAAATATATAAGCAAAGCCTTCTTTTTTAGACAGATTTATGACAACTTGGTTGCTCTTTTTCTGAGTGGCCTTGTGGGAGCTTTTCATTAACCTTAATTGACTGCTCATTTTATTGTTATTTTTTACTGGAGTAATTGCAACTACTCTGTTTTAACTGTATGTATTGTTTTCTTTTAATATGATTATTTTTATGTGTTTTTATAATAGTCTAAGCTGCCTTAGGCACTGAATGCAGAAAAGCAGTGTATAGGTTTCAGTAATTATTATTAATAATAGTAATAATAATAATTTTATTACTTATACCCCACCCATCTGGCTGGGTTTCCCCAGCCACTCTGGGCGGCTTCCAACAGATTAAAAATACATTAAAATATCAGTCATTAAAAAACTTCCCTAAACAGGGCTGCCTTCATAACTGGAGCATGCACCACTCTGGCGAGACAGTCCGCGGGCAGCTAGGATCTCAGCCTGCATACCAGATGGAGCTGGTAGACAGCTGCCCTGGACACAGAATTGACCTGCACCTCCATGGACAGCTGTGAGTCCAAAATGACTCCCAGGCTTCGCACCTGCTCTTTCAGGGGTACAGTTACCCCATTCAGGACCATGGAGTCCCCCACACCTGTCTGCCCCCTGCCACTAGGTAGGCTTGATGAAGAGCCCTCACCAGTGTTTGACCGCATTTGACTGGAGTTTTCCTCTACTTGTGTTGAAGCCATCTCGCCTAGCTTGTGTCCTTGCCCTAAGCTCTGTTGTGAACCAGTAAGCCAAATAGGCTCCACAAAGCAGGGGAGGAGCTCAAGAGTGATCATGGCAACCCATTCGAATGTTCCTGAGGTCAGCTAGGACTTCGACAAGAGTGCCAGATATATCAGCCAGAAAATCCTCCAAAGTCACCTGGAAACTGATTGGATCCATCAGACTCCGAGGGCAGACCATCCTAACAGGTCCTCCCCCACATTCCATTTTAAAAGGTAGCATGCTTGATTTAAAAATCATATTTCATGTGATGCCACCTTCTAAAGAGAGGCACTAACCAGTTCCATTATATCATTTTTCATTCAGAGCATACTATACAACCATGATAATCTTACAAAAAGACATCCCCCAGATACAAGCAAAGTTCAATGTCTGCTGGCCATTAAGCTACTAAATCCGGCAAGCTAATAAGTGACCTTCCAGGTGTTGGTGGGGTTTTTTTGTTTTTGTTTTTGTTTTGTTTTTAAAGCCAGGCAGCACCCATGGGTCTCAAACTGCTGAAAGCAATTGAGGGATCCAAGCAATGTGTTGGTCGATAGAACCGCTGGGCTGAGCTGCTCTTTCCAGGTGTTGTTGAACTATACCGTCCAACAACTCTAATCAGCATGGCCAAGCATCAAGGGTGATGGGAGTTAGTACAGTACTACAACATTTGCAGGACCATAATTTCCTTATCCTTGTTATAAATTGATGTATCATACAATGTTGCTGAGGGTCACGCCAGCTTTTACCTTTAAAAACTGGAAACCTTTAGCAAACTACCTTTTATAGGGAAGCATCATATCATGACATCAAGAGCTTCCATATGTCTTGTGGAAGTGGCAAAGTGCATGCTTTGAATGCTAATCTCCAGGTAAGACTACATAAATCTCCTATCCAAAACCTTAGAAAATCAGGGCAGAGACAATACTACTGAATCAAATGCCAAATTTGATTTAATATGACTTCTATGCAGAAATCAGGCTATATGCTCTTTCTATTACTTTCCCCTCTTCCTCATAACCAAATCTCTGAAGTGTTGTTATACCTTCTCTTTCTTCAACTCTTCCTTGAGCATCTTCCTTAGCTTCTGAGCTTTGATTATTTTCTCACGATCGGAACATATTCTTTTCTCTTTGCCTGGAATACATTTTGAGTGTGGTATCTCTTCTTGAATCAGACTTTCCTGCGTTGGTCTCTCTTTGAGGGGTGAGGATGTGTTCTTCTGCAGGGCTTCGTCGCTTCTTTGACCTGTTACACATGCATTCGGCTCTTTACTTACAGACTTTTTGAATGGAGAGAATTGTGGTACTTGGGGAACAGGAGTTTTCTTTTCAGGAAGTATGGGAGACTTCGGGGAATTCTCCACATTGGTCTTCTCAGAAGGCGGCAAGTCCTTCTGAAGTGGAGGGTTACAAATAACAGGAGAATGAGGTACTTGTTTTTGAGAACATTTTGATGCTGAAGTGGCAACACGTTGTGTGGATAGTGGTGCAACTCGTGGTTTAGCAAGATTAGGCATTGTAGATATTCGTTTTCTTCTCTGCAGAAGTGTCTCTGCATGTCTACTACAATCTCCATCACCACTAGCGTTGGTCTTTTCATTTCTGGAAGATTAAAAGAGAGAAATCTAAAAATTGTAATCTGGCTGTTTTAAAAATAAATAAATGCACTGTATTCCCACAAAGGCAATCACATCATATTACGAGTTTATTTTTGAAATTGCTTATTCTGATTAGACATAAAAAATTAAAGCAAAAAAATATTACAACTTTATATCTACTTAGAATATAGATGGCTAGAGTCCCACATACAGTTCACTGTTAGCAATCTACTATTTATATTATTTGATACATTCAGTCATCACTTTCCACAAGAAGACATTTCTGACTTACTAATACATAATAATACAAAAAGGTTAACAATAATTTACAAACCAAATACATAGAAAAAATGCAACAGAACAAAATTTCTAAGGGTGCTCATCCTACAATAACTACAAAAAATTACTCTTACCCCATATCACTAAAAGGTAAACACCATAAAATAGACCGGAAATCATAGCACAGAACAATCCAAATTAATGACTAAAAGCTCGGAATGATGGCCGCATATATAATTAATATACTTATATATTATCATTGTATTATGGTATAATACACATTGCATATTATTATTAGTGAAGATGCAGCTAAACTTGTGGTCCTGTAGATGCTATTAAACTACAAGTCTCATCAGCCCAGCCTCTATGGCAAAAGATGAGAGATGATTCAGCAACAACTTGAAGATCATGACTTAGCTACCCTTGTTTCTGGAACCAGGAGACAGCAACTATTTCAAGTCTAGAATTATCGCTCTTCATCACAGCCAACCAAAGAATGTATATTGCGAATTCTCCCCACACCTGCAATACATAAACTTGGTAGCACTGTCTAACGCCAGCTATAATTTCGACTACTCCGTCAAGCCCTAGAATCACACGAGACACACACCACTCTAAATAAGATTCAAAGTCATGCTGGTTAAAGGCGGGGAAGAAATAATAGACGATTGCGCACTTGTGTGCTTTGAGGGTTTACGACAATCAAAGAGGTATATAAATCTTCTGAAATAAAAACAAAAAGACGCCGAGCTGGTTCACCATTCACCCCAACTACACGTGCGTAGTGACTCCAGATAAAAGCGCCGCACTGTGTCCCAGGCGACGTGAAGCACCGGCCTTTGCGAGGGGTTCCTTCACAGGCGCAGGCCATCAGGTGTCGGAGGTGCACGTGAGAACCAGTTCCCGCGATTTTCAACGCGTCTCTCAAAAAAAAGAGCTTTTTGCGCTCCAGCTCATCTCCTGAAACGGGCTCCTTTTATTTTGTGGAGAAAGGAAGCGCGCAGCCTAGTCAAAGGCGAAGCTTACCCCTCGGGGCTGGGGCTGCTACCGTCGTCCCGCTGCAGGCTTCCGGCAGCGCCCAACGGGAGAGCCGAGGCAGCCGCATCCTCAGAAGAACAGAGGGCGGATGCCGAGCCGGGCTGGGGACCGGGGTCCGGGGCCGCGGCGACGCCTGAGGGGCTGGGGCTGCCCCTGGGGTTGCTGCCCCTCGCCGCCGCCGCTGCCGCCCCCGGTCTCACGTTGGGCTTCACGTTAAACCTGGCGCGGCGGAACATGGCGCCGCAAAGGGGAACCGCCGACTCTCGCTAAAGCCCACCGTCCCCTTTTTCCTCCGGCCGCCGAGGCCGCCTCATGTCACCGGCCTGGCTCGCCCAAGCCCAGCTCCCCGCCCTTCCTCTCCGACTCTCGCGGGGGGGGGGCTGTCAGCTGCTCCGGAGGCGGCGCGCGGCGTGGCGTCATCACTCTGCGACAAAACAGGAACATCCCCTGGGCGGCGAGGACAGCCGCCTGAAACGCAGGGGAGCGTCGCGTATTCATGTCGAACTTGACTTGCACGAGGAGAGGGAAAGCGGCTAATTTATTAGCCCAGTGCATTCGTAGCGATTCCCGGCTTAGCGGCTCTTGCCTCGTGAAGCCCGCATCCCGAGGAAGGCACCCGGAGACCGGTGTTTGGTTGACCTCAGTTGGATTTTATGTTAGTGTTTTCCTAGAGCGGATATTCTTTGAAAAGGTAATTCCACGTTGTACATTTCCGAGCACAATTCAAAAGTGTGGATGCTGACCTTTAAAGCCCTAAACGGCCTTGGCCCAGTAAACCTGAAGGAGCGTCTCCACCCCCATCGTTCAGCCCGGACACTGAGGTCCAACGTCGAGGGCCTCCTGGCGGTTCCTTCACTTGCAAGAAGTGAAGCTGCAGGGAACCAGGCAGACCTTCTCAGTAGTGGCGCCCACCCTGTGGAATGCCCTCCCGTCAGATGTCAAGGAGATGAGTATTTATATATCTTTGAGGAGACACCTGAAGGCAGCCCTGTATTGGGAAGCTTTTTAAGGTTTAATGTTTTATTATGTTTTTATCTGTGCTGGAAGCTGCCCAGCATGGCTGGGGCAACCCAGTCAGAATGGAGGGGTATAAATAATAAATTATTACTACTCCTACTACTACAGAATCTGGAACTTTCTTTTAGTTTTGCAATTTTCCTTATTTTTAGATGGTTATATTCTGGAGCCAGTGTGGTGTAGTGGTTAAGAGCGGTAGTCTCGTAATCTGGTGAACCAGGTTCGCGTCTCCGCTCCTCCACATGCAGCTGCTGGGTGACCTTGGGCCAGTCACACTTCTTTGAAGTCTCTCAGCCCCACTCACCTCACAGAGTGTTTGTTGTGGGGGAGGAAGGGAAAGGAGAATGTTAGCCGCTTTGAGACTCCTTAAAGGGAGTGAAAGGCGGGATATCAAATCCAAACTCTTCTTCTTCTTCTCTGCACTCTTCATTTATAAAGCATATTTGTATACCACTATTTCATTAAAAATTATATCGGGGTGACTTACAGAAGAATTTACATGCAATAAAAACTGTGTGAACATTTAAAATTGGAGATCATCAACTATTAGAAAAAGAAGCTGTCTGCATAAGCTTAGTGGCATAAAAAACTTTTCAGCAGGCACATAAAGAAGAGGAGGAGGAGTTTGGATTTGATATCCCGCTTTATCACTACCCGAAGGAGTCTCAAAGCGGCTAACATTCTCCTTTCCCTTCCTCCCCCACAACAAACTTCAGAGAAGTGTGACTAGCCCAAGGTCACCTAGCAGCTGCATGTGGAGGAGCGGAGACGCGAACCCGGTTCACCAGATTACGAGTCTACTGCTCTTAACCACTACACCACACTGCTGAAAGAAAGGGGTGCTGGCAATTATTCTATAGTTGTAACATTCCACTGAATCCAGACATGGACATAGCCAGAGGGGGGCAAGGGGGGAGCTGCCCTTCCCCAATCAAGTAAATAAATAAAAATACTTAACTAACTGACCAATAATGTCACAGATAGCACAGTTCTGCCCCCCACCCCACCCCCAAATCCTGGCTATGCTTATGGATCCAGAGTAGGCTTTTAAAGAAGTAGGCACATGACTGCCTCTTTAAGGGCAGCTGGCAACACACCAACACAAAAATACATTTACTACACCCGTCACTCTCTCAGTCATCTAAATCCACGTAACTTTAATAACCCATGGTGGACAAAGATCTAGTGAGCAGATGTGGTTGGTAAAGTATCTAGTTGGTCAACATAAACCATCCATAAAAGGATCTAAACATTTGGATAGTGATATACAGTAACCAATATACTGAGCTACAGATATGAAAAGGAATGCGTCAGCAGAAAAATAGTGCAGTGCTTTATATAACTATGGAACATGCCATTATTATACTGTTGGTTCCAAAAAGATGTGACCGTATCTTGGACTGCAGCTCTCCACCCATTTTTATGATGGTGTCCTAATGAGTTCAACCTATACTTTTTCAAAACAAGCTAACCAAACAATGATGGGATTTATACAATATGCCAAAAAACATCCAGAGAGACCACATCCTTATATCACTTACTGGCAAAAATGGTATTTCAGAAAAATGGCTCAGAACACCACCTTCCAAACAAAACAAACCAATCAAATTCACAGGTCACATTGGAACAGGTGGGAATGATGCAGTAAGCCACAAAAAGTCCACAGAAACCACATCCTCATTCCTGTTCTAAGCAATAAACAATATTGCAGAAGAACAGTCAGGAACACCCAACTTCTGAGTAGCTAAACCAATCAAATTCATGTCACATTGGGCAATGCGGTTCCAAACTAGCACACCGTTTTGTGGCTTAGTGCTCATTCATATCGGTTTTGATCTGACCTACAAATGACACTGGGCAATAAATGGTATCAGAATGTGCTTTCTGCTTAAGCTTTTGTGACTGCATCAATTCTATCCATTGGTGTGACCTGTGAATTTGGTTGATTTGAGGAACCATAGGAGTTGGTTCTGTTCAGATGAGTTCTGGATGTGAAGGGGCCAACAAAAGTATAAAATTGGAATGCATTTGTTGGTCTTCCTTGCCTTTTTTGTTGACATATTACATCAATACAACAGAAATGGGCAAATATACATGATAGAATTCGAACACTAGAAGTCACCGAACAAGTGGTATATCTCAAAATACATCCCACAGTTTTGGAAACCGATTATAATTTAAAAAGCAGCCTTATCCTCCCAGTTTTCTTTAAAGTCCCCATAATTTCAGATGAATAACGGGTAAGTGCATCGAACTCAGTGGGGCTTCTGAAAACATAGGAATATTCGTTCATTTCATTTCCATCCCGCCTTTTAGGGCAAGAAACTCGCATTCCATTTGAAACCTGGAGATCGTGCAGAAATCGTACCCGCGCGTGCCAGGGAAGTAGCGGTATTTACATCCCAACCGTACGCGCGTTAACTCGGAAGCAAACCCCACCGAGCCGCTCTCCCGCGTTACGCGCGCGCAGCGTCTCAGCTTCAACTCGTGCAGCTGATACGAGGCGTCGAAACCCGATCGGTGGGTTGCGCGTGCGCAGTAAAGGGCACCGCGGGCCCGGCTCCAGATGCGCGGCTGGGAACAGGAAAGGCGTCGACGTGCGGCCTGACGTCACAGAGGCGGCCCCTTACATAAGGAGCACAACGGCGGGCGGGGCGCGCAGAAGGTTCTGGCAGTTGGAGCGAATAGCGGGGTTGTTGCTGTTCGTGCGCGTAACGGTCGTCGCCGCTGGGGTTATTGTTTTGCCATGGCCCGTAAGTATGCGGCGTGGGCGGCGCCCGCCACCGCCCTGCTGGTGGCCTTCCCTCGCCAGTTGGGACTTGTATAATTGGTGGCGGCGGTTGCGGCCTGGGGCCGAAGCGGGCCTTGCGGGGACCGTAGGCCAGCCGTGGGTTGCCGCTCCCGTGTTGTGGTCCCTGGCGGGCGGCTATTGTAAGGTCGCCTCAGAGACGTTGGTAGCTTCGCTTGCAACCCTGGCTCCTCTTTGTCCGGGGAAGAAGCCCCCGTTGACTTCAGTAGGGCTTGCTCCCGAGTAGACCCGGCGAGGGCTGCTGCGCCGCTGGAGAGGCCGGTCGAGCGCGGGGGCAGCAGCCGCCCTTGTATGTGTCTGTTGGGGTGAACGGGGACTCTGGCTGGAGGGAAGCGGTTCTCTTTTAAGAGGAAGCGATAGGCAGGGCTGGCCTGAGAAAGCACAGCTCTGTTTTCCTTCCTCGACCGGGGAAACAACATGCTCTTTGTGAGCAGGATACGTCCCTGCTGCGCTCGCATTACCGTCTCCCCTAGTCGGAATGAGCCGTGTGAAAGGGCCCTTTTCACCGAATCCGGGGCCCCAAACTGCCTTCCCCGAGTGGAGAGAGCTAGCGGGGACGCTCGGTGTCCACGGGTGGATGCTAAATATGCCTCAATAGTTGTTTGCACTATGCGGGCTGTACTGTACAGTATTTTTAAACTGCAGCGTAACTTTTTAGAAACAACAGCTGCGGCGGCGCCGACTTCAGTTTCCAGTGACTTCAAACTGAAACAAAAGATGCTCAGTGTGTGTTATTTCTATATAGGAGCGTTTCGATTTGTTCCCTCAGCGGGAACTAAGACTTGCTGAGAGCTTCATTGAAATGTTAAGTAGACTTGTACGCAGGCTTACTTGGAAACGAGGTCCCTTAAGTTCATTCCCCCAAAGGTGGTTCCTCAGTTCCTAGTTCCTTATTCAGCACAGAGAGAAGCTGCCTGGATAGGATGGTTACAGCTTCACTGACACCAGAAACAATTCAAGCAGTATATAATGCCTAAAGAGCTGTAGAGTTATCTGGTTCATATTTTCTGACTAGGAGTTGAACATTAAACATGACTGATATTCTGTATTTATTTGCCTTTAGAATAGTGTGCATAAACTTTGCTGAATGAAACGATGGTTGTTGATGTTTATCATATGATTGTATTACTTTCAAAGAGCTCAGGGCAGCATACACAGTTATTGTCCAATCTATACCCTTGCGTCAGATAAAGGCAGTTATGAGGCTGGTTGTGCCTGTGCAATTGTTTGCTGAATTGTTTTAGTTTCAGAGCTTGCATGATTCTCTGCGTCAAGGAAATATGTGGATGGAATTCAACAAAATTGAGTATTAATGGGCATAAAAAGCCTCTTGAGCTTGCCACTTGGTGCACACTGGACAAAGAGTCACAGCCAGTCTCCTGGGCAACTAGCAAGCATAGTTGTCAAACTCATTGTACTTCACATGACTGAGCATACAGAAAATAGATTTTGAACTTTACAATAAATGTGAGTAGCAGCCCATTAATGGTATCAAGTTTTGAGAACTATAGATTTCATTTTGATAAGATGTGAGGTATAATAAAAAGTAATGATTTGGTGTGAAATATGGCTGAAGCATATGTAAACTGTACTGCAGCACTCAAACTTTTTCTACTACAGAATTAGTTGGTTGTTGTGGCATAGAGGTTGTTTTTTATTTATTTGTTCAACTTACTAGGTGCTTGCCACCCAAAGGTCTCCAAGCGACTTGCAGCAAAATTATATGCACGCACACACAATATTTCATATTGGGGATCCATGGCATCAAAAGACTAGCATAAAATATTTGTGCATGCATACCTAAAGGGCATTGGTACCAGTGCTGCTCAAGTTCTTGTCAACATGTATGTGCAGTAGCCCACTTTGGTTATATCAGTTATATTAGCTTGTAGGCTAAGATGTCACCATGTTATTGGATGAAGCACATTCCTTTGCAAGCCAGCCTGAATACTTGCCCACTTGATTGGATTTCAAACTACCTGGGCAAGCTAAGTATTTCCTTGGTGACTGGCGCTTACCAAAGCCACACTTTGTCGGGAATATTGAAAATATTGGCTATACTGTGGGCTGCGTAGTTGGGAACTCAGTGGTGCAGCTGATCCAACAGGGTTTGCTTACAAGCCTCATTTACCAAAGAGCAGTCAAAGTGTGGTACTTTTAACATAGTGTAAAGGGGGAAATTTGGATTATCGGCAGCAGGATTTACTATTGTGCAACTAAGAGATGGACAATCTTTGGCTCTGTTGGTCAAAAGTAGGTACTAGTAACTGGCCTAAAGCCTAACTCTTAAAACTGTTCCAACTTTAGGTGGGAACCAGCGTGAACTTGCCCGCCAAAAGAACATGAAGAAAAACCAAGAACTAAATAAAGGAAAAAGAAAAGAGGATACTTTGTCGGCTTCTCAAAGGAAACAGAGGTATGTTTGAATAGCAATCTCTGACAACCCACATACCCTGGTGCATATGTAAGTAGTGTAAAATTCTGCCTCAGAATGCTTAAAGATAGAATACAATTTCTGTACTGTGGCCCTGTCTTAGACTGAAAAAATACATTTGATGTTTGGGAAGCTACCTTAATGTGCTTAAGCTTGCATTTGGCTATTTGGAATGGATACAGTCTTATTATAATTGAAGTTGGGTGGGGGAGGTGTAGTTTAGAATTTAGAACTAGAACACCGAACTTTAAAACATTAAGAACCAACATTGTTGTTGAACCAACAAGGCTTCTTATTCTTTCCCATCGTGTGCTCCAAAATCCATTCTAGAGGGTTGGGGGATTTTTGAGGAAGGTGAGAAACCAAAACTCTTGTTGCCCTGAAAAATATTCATTGTTTCCACTAAACATGGACGTCACTCGCTCTTCATCTTTTCTTTTCCAGAGACTCCGAAATTATGCAGCAAAAGCAGAAAGCAGCTAATGAGAAGAAAACTCTTCAGACAGGAACAAAATAATCTGTGGCTGCATGAAGGACCTAATAATGCTGCAGTGCATCTCAGAATAATAGGGCCTAAGAAAAGACATATTTGTAAAAGTGGCCAGCCATTAAATGGTTAATGTTTATCTTCTACAAGCTCATTTGTCCAGTATGCATTTCTTTTAGAATGTCTGATTAGTAGAGTGCAGTTGCAACTGACTTGGCTTTAACTGAAATACTAGAAATAATTCCAGTAAAATTGGATTCAAAGTTCCCTTTGCATGTCTACTAGTAATGATAGCAGTGGCTTGACTGCAGTTTTCATTGTTAAGTGTTGGCTTGGTAAATGGCTTGTGTGACTGTACCAGTTAATAAATATGCAAATAGACTGAGAATCCTGTCTGGCAGCCCAACAGCATTCAAAAACTATACCATTTTTAAAAGCCCAGGTCTCTGTTCTTGCTTTCCACTTTGTAAAGCTCAGCTGTAAAATTAACCGTAAATTATTTTTACAATAAAATGTTGCATGAAGTACTGTGTAAGTTGGAAATGGGTACACCAGACAGTTATAATAGCTTTTCCATTGTTTCTGACACGTTTGGCACAATTCAGAGGGTTCTTAGTCCTTTCATCAGCACAACTTTTCCATTGTGTTTCAATTGCAGCCTGAATACTTAATACAATTCTTCAACTGCTAAGCAAGATTCTCTAAATATATTACTATGTATAACTGCAGCTTAAAATCTGTACTCTGAACTAAAATATAAATAACCTTCTCTTTTGTCTAAAGCTTGGTTGATTATAAAAATGGCAGCCAAGAATAAGTTGCTTAGTTTTACTGCTTTTTTTTAGGCCTGACTGTTTTCCATAGTGATAAAGGTCTAGCGGAATTACGTATTTGACATTCATGGTTGTACTTCAGCTAGTGAGCAAGAACAAAAGCCTGTTGACCTGGGATTAAGCCAAATTTATTCTTCTGTTTCCTGCTACTTCTCTTAAAAACAATAGAGCTCTGTAGCATATTAGCAGATTGGGATGGAGGCAGTCGGGGTGACCCTAACTCAGGTTTCAGAAGTTCAAAGACACTGAAATCCAGCATACTAGATAAGTTGTTCTAGTACAACAAACACTCAGCTCTAATACTTTGACTTTTCTATAACAGACTACGCAACTGACCCCTTTGGAATTTTACCCAACATTCAGTGTCTTTGAGCAGTAGTATAGCAGTGCGTTAAATAAGGATATTTATGAGTGCACTAGGGATGCGGGTGGCGCTGTGGGTAAAAGCCTCAGCGCCTAGGGCTTGCCGATCGAAAGGTTGGCGGTTCGAATCCCCGCGGCGGGGTGCGCTCCCGTTGCTCGGTCCCAGCGCCTGCCAACCTAGCAGTTAGAAAGCACCCCCAGGTGCAAGTAGATAAATAGGGACCGCTTACTGGCGGGAAGGTAAACGGCGTTTCCATGTGCTGTGCTGTGCTGGCTCGCCAGATGCGGCTTTGTCACGCTGGCCACGTGACCCGGAAGTGTCTCCAGACAGCGCTGGCCCCCGGCCTCTTGAGTGAGATGGGTGCACAACCCTAGAGTCTGTCAAGACTGGCCCGTACGGGCAGGGGTACCTACCTTTACCTATGAGTGCACTACTAGTTTGGTAAAAGTTTGGGAGGGGAGAAGTTGGCTTGTAAGACATGTTGGTAGTCACAAGTAACTAAGTGATAGATGGTTCTCTAATACTGCTATCCCAAGGGAAGATGGATTAGCCATACAAACTTTGTGTGTGTGAATTAGAAATGTCCAGCTTTTTAAAAAGGTAAAGATAGCAGCCACCCTACTTCTCCATTCTTTCCTGGTGCTGTGCTGCTATAAGCTATGGTTTGGCTTGGTGTTGCATCCAAACCTAAGCTCATGATTTTATCTTTCATCAAACAAACCATAACATATGGCTAAGGTATGTTCTATAGCTTACCACTTGTGGCTTGTCTTGAAGAGATATACCCGAACCCAGACCCATGCTTTGATCAGACAAGTCATGACTTCAATCGCAACTGCAGAACTGGAGAAGCAAGGCAACTACTTTCTCTCTGGGAAAACTACATGTTTGCTCATTTGCAGTAAGCCCATGGCTAGAGTTACCTGTGAACTCCCCTCTTGTCTTGCCCTAGGCAAGGTGGTTCTTCTAAAATGAGATTCAGAAGCAATACAAAATACACAAGTGAGTGAGAAGATTAAAGATTTTATTCTAAAACAGCAGGCAATGTATACGTACCAAGCAAGCACTTCAGTCTGCCACTTGGAAGCCCTCAAGAAGCGGTGAAGTGACTCCCCCAGGTAGCCTCAGTTTCCATGGTTTTGTGGCCAGTCAGTCCATGCACGAGCTTCAAAGAAACTGCCCCAAACCGTCCAATTTTATAGATAGCCTGTGTGGCTTCCAAGACTGGCTATGTGCAGATCACCCATTAGCCACCCCCTCCCAAGGCCTCACTTTCTTAAAACAATGTCCAACATCAAAGAAGGTACCCAGTATTATCCTCCACAACTGATTAAGGCAGCTTTGTGTGGTGCTTCCCCTCCTCCCAAGTTCTCAGGACATTAGTGTTCTCACACCATCAAAAAACTTAACAAGAGTGAGGGAGGGGAAAGGGGCAAGCTGGCAGGGCTCTATGTCAGACCATTAATTCCTCGATACATTTTTTTCCTTGCAGATGCATTTCCCATACACCTCTCTGTTGGGATATGCACAACTGAGCTTTAAGAAATTGAGCTGGGCAAGTAGCTGTGTATGCACCATGTATTGTACGAGTGCTTTATACAAGCCATGCTTGCATCAATAGAAGGTTCAGCTTCTGTTTGAGATGCATTGGCTGTGGTCATAGCTGTCAACTGTGATAGCTAAACACCAGTATTCCCTCCTAAAGAAATCACTCCCTTATTTCATGTCTGTTTCCATACAGAGATAAACTCTGGAGCTGTATAATGATGGCAGTCTTAATCCTACCCATGTGGTGTCTGCTTTTACACTTAGCTAGAGGCTGTGCACAGGTTTGCAGAATGCTGCTGTTGCAAGTATACATTTTAAAAAAAAACTTTGTAGGATTTCAGAGCAGTGTACAGTCATAACAAAAATACAATGAACCACATACAACCAATAGAATTCATTTATATGTGTTTATATGTTGCTGTAAACAGATGTTTACCTTGTGCTTGGAATGACTGCAACACTGGCACAAGGTAGCCTGCTCTAAGGAAGATGTTTCAAATTTAGCAAGCCACCATTGAAAATGATGCTTTTTGTTAAGTACTATATATCTAAAGGATGTAAAAGGATATAAAAGGATGTCACATAGAAGAAGGAGAAAGGTTGTTTTCTGCTGCTCCAGAGAAGCGGACACGGAGCAATGGATCCAAACTACAAGAAAGAAGATTCCACCTAAACATTAGGAAGCACTTCCTGACAGTAAGAGCTGTTTGACAGTGGAATTTGCTGCCAAGGAGTGTGGTGGAGTCTCCTTCTTTGGAGGTCTTTAAGCAGAGGCTTGACAACCATATGTCAGGAGTGCTCTGATGGTGTTTCCTGCTTGGCAGGGGGTTGGACTCGATGGCCCTTGTGGTCTCTTCCAACTCTATGATTCTGTGATTCTATGATCTAATAAAGGGAAGTACCTAATGGAGAGCTTTAGTAGAAAAAGAGAAGTACAAATGCTATCAAGACTGAGATGTACATGGAAGAAATGTGGCTGACCTGAAGAGGTCTAGTGCATCCCAAAACAGGATAGCACTTTTCATATTACTGTAGCTGTAACAGGATGAAAATAAAAAATGGGTATATTACTATCCATTGACTTGCCTAGCAATCAGAAAAAAATAGTTAATACAAAACAAGATGGCTAAGTAGGAAACTGGTATTGGCAAAAATTATATGGGAAGGTATTTTTGAAGGAAATATACTGTTCCCCATATACACATACAAATTGATATGTAAATTTCATGAGACTTGCTCAGGTCAACTACGTTTTTTGTTATGCCCACTTAAATTTATTAAAGCATTTTTACCCTACACCTTAACAAAATAGACTCCTAGATCAATAAAAAGTCACTCCTTGGCCAGTTTAACAATTCAAAAGACATACTGTATCACAAAATAAACTGCAAGGAAGAGAAGACTGGTTCCTATGGACTGAATGAGATCCATCTGCTCAGTTGCCATTGAGCACCTGGGTGGGAGCTTGGGGAAAGGGAGAACAAATGCTGCTTAAATATTTCTGGTTTCATGTGGGAAGCATGTAATTTCTGCTCCAGTATTTGAGAACCTTTCGTAAGCTACTTTGAGAGCTTTTTGGAACTATAAAGTGAAATATAAGTTCTACAAATAGGTTCAGGAGCAAGGAGGACACCAGTTCTTAAAAGGAATTTCTTACAGGAATTACAATCAACTAAATGTGTGACATGTATGGTAGAATAACTGTTACTAGGTACTGAGGAATAGACAAAGGAAGTTGAGTTAATGGAATAGCTTTGTATCCATTCTCTCCCTCAGTTCAATGAAACATTGCCAGAAATCCATAGAAATGCTGGTTTGCACTTGGCTACCTTTAGTTAAGCAGTTCTGAGAGGTCTTTAAGAAGACTTGGTTTTCTACAGGTTACATCTAGCAGGTACGGATTTTAAACACTTTACTGGGAAAGGGCTATGTGCAGAAACAGGCATTTGTGAAGAAACTGATAATAGACCACAATAATACAAATGGTACACCAATTAGAAAAGAGGAAGGACTGGGAACTTGTGGCCATCCAGTTCTGTTCATCCCTGACCATATCTTATCCCAGGGTTGAGGAATCTGGCTCTCCAACACCTAGAGGGACACAGGTGCCCCCCCCCCCGAACTAATATATATATATTTTTTGAATAATTTTTATTAAAGTTTTAAACAAAGAAAAAAGAAAAAACAACACACACAAAAAAACAATACAAAATTTAACAATAAAAACACACAACATAACAATTTAAAACAAACTCTCTTTTACATTCCCAATTTTGAATTACTTATTTTCTGGACTTCCTCATACCTCCCTCTTTTGTATTCCAATCTACATTATTTGTCCAGCAGTTTCTTTTCCACTTTTTAAACCCAATCTTTAATTTAATGAAATATTAAACTATATAGCTTCAGCTTTTTTAAACATAATCCTTGTTCTTAATGTCATATACCTTTAAATTTTTCCCTTTTATTATCAAATTTCCATTTCTTTAAACATCTTTAATCTTAATCTTTAATCTTAATCTATCCTTAGCTTTAACCTGTACAGCTGGAAACCACTTATTTTCAATCCAACATCACTCTAACATTCCTTAATTTTGCAGTGTTTCTGAAGATAGTCTTTGAATTTCTTCCAATCTTCCTCCATCGACTCTTCTCCCTGGTCACGGATTCTGCCAGTCATTTCCGCCAATTCCATATAGTCCATAACCCCCCCCCCCGAACTAATATAAAGGAAATCATTTACCACACAAGAATGGCTCATTCCCTCTGAGTGCAAAATTGGGGTAAGCCTTGTAACTCGCATAGCTTGATAGCCACTATACGACTTCCAGGTTGGCGCCTCTGGCAATGGCGGATTTCCTCCAATCGGGAGGAACCCGCTCCACGAAAAACAGGGTCTGAACCGCCACGGCGAGGCGGAGACCCATTAAAAACCACAGGCATGAGAAGCCTGTGGACGTGGGATTCGGCTGGCACCTTTGCGCCTCCCCTACTCGCGGGGAAACCCTGTTTTGGGGATCCGGAGCGACGTGGGGTGAGTGGCGCGGTGCTTTGAATCGACTGCTTTTTTCACGGAGTGAAGCCGCATTGCTGTTGCCGGAGAGCGCTGACTTTTTCCTGTGGACATTTGGATTTCAAACAACTACTCGTGAGTAAATCGGAAAATTGGATTTTTAAATACTTTAATTCGGCACTGAAGCGGGAGGTCACAAACAGGAAGTCCGCCTTCCGTTTTTGTAAATAGACTGAAGCAAAGACGTTACAAGTAAAGCCTTTGGTAAAGGATTAAATTTCCACCGGTTTAAAGTTACAAAACCCCCTTGGGAAGCAGGAGAAGAGGGGGAAATTTTGGATCTAGTGAGCCTGCAGGGGAGAGAGTAAGAAAATCAGATTACCACTGCTCTGAACCTGGGAACGGGCTGCCAGATGACGTTTGAAGAGAGTGCTTTTGACAGAACGGATTTGACAGCTAGCTAAACAAGAGTAAGATACTGTTTCCATTGTCCCTTTCTGCGTTTAAAAAAAAAAGAGGAAAAGTAACTGAAATTCATCTTTAATGTTTGAAATTGTGCTTGAAAGAACTGATACAAGTGGAGACTGTTTCCCTCTAGAGGGAGCTTTTGAAACTGTAACAGGACTGTAACTGGGGAATCTCCAGTTGCAGAAAAGGAGTTTGGGAACCAGAGAGTGACATTGGGCTATTTAAAAATGTTGATAGGAGAGGCCATTGTGACTGTTTTATGTAAGATAAGCTGTTCGCTGGCACAGCTTCACAAGAAGATGGATGATATGACTCTCAAAGTTGATAATTTGGAACAGAAAGTGACCAACTTGAGTCAAAAAAGCGAACACTAACACAGAAATAATTCAGGACTTGGTACAGGAACCCATTTTGGCAGGACAAATGGTGGAGGAGAAGGAGGAGAAGGAGAAGGAGAATGCAGCTGTTGTTCAACATAAAACAATACAAGTGAGATCTGTGGATTTACAGAAGCAAATTGGAGATTATAAATTGAGGCCTTCTATGATTGAATCCAGGAAAAGCCAGACTCCGAGGAATGGATCCCGGTTTGGATTAAAGAAGGAAAGTTGGAAAGAGCCCTCTATGCAGGGATTAATTGACTTTTGGGACATGGACTCGGGCCTGGAGGAGATTGAAGTTTTGGGGGCCTTTGGAATTGGAGGAATTTTGAAATATACCCGGAAATACTTTCTGGACTGTGGTTTTAACTATGGAAACTCAGCTGATTTGTTCAGAAGGAAGAAAAGGATTGATAGGTTGGAATTTCCCTGAGATTGGCTCTCTAGCATTAAAGAAAATGAAGAAGACCTGCAGAAGGGACTTGGAAAAGAGTTAAGAGCCTCGGACGTGAGATCACCAGGTTGATGGACTTTATGGAATTGACGGAAAGGACTGGCAGAATCCGAAACCTGGGAGAAGAGATGGTGGAAGAAGATTGGAAAATTTAAAGTTTTTATATAGACTTATGGTAAAATTAATGAGTGATAGAAAAATGGTGGAATGATTTTTTTTATTTTATTTTATTTTTTATGGGCTTAATAGAAATGTTATAAGGAGTTAAGCATATATAAGTAATTTAGTTTTAATGGAAAATAAGGTTAAAATAATACGTTATTTACAATATCACAGAAAATGGAGAAAGATGGAAAGGATTTGCTGAAACAATTAATAGAAGCGGAACACAAAAAGGGAGGTGTGAGGAGGTCGAGGAAACAAGGGAACGAAAGATAGAGTATGGAAAAGAGAGGATGTATGTTTTTAAATTGTTTTTGTTTTGGGGAGTGGGGTTTGTTCAGTTTAGTTTGATGTGTTTAGTTTTGAGTTTAGGTTGTGTTCTGTATTTATATATTGTATTGTATGGTGTTTGTTTGGGGTTTTTTCTTCTTTTTGTTTTTTTCTCTCTGTTTTTTCTTTTGTTTTTTGTTTTTTGCTTTTTTTCTCTCTTTTTGTAATCTATAAAAGTAATAAATATTATTTTTTTTTAAAAAAAAAGCTTGATAGCCACTATAAGTGGCTATCTGCGATTTCCTGGTCACACAAGTCTATGGATGATTTCTGGTACAGATTTGTTTCATGACCTTATGGGAAACGGCCACTACTATAAATCGTTTTGAAAAGGCATTATACAAATCAGTGGAGATGTGGTTTATCAGCAGCGGTTGAGTTTGATGGCTAAACGTTCAGACTGAGGCAATAAGCATCGGAATATCAAGTGCCCCATATAAATGCGGGCTGTTGTGTGTATTATTCATTTACTCTGCGTGCGGGCTTTCCTATGAAGCAGATAAAGGGGAATTTTCCCTCTCCGGATGTTGCTAGGCTACAGTCTCATCAACACTGACTGAACCATCTCAAGTTGATTTACGTATGAACGAATTAAAAACACACTAAAAACAACAACAACAAATACCTTTGAAACAATACCTCAAACGCTAACAAGGGAACAAGTCGTAACCCTGGCGAAGTCAACCACTAACGAGGCTTGGTGGGGTTTGGTCTCCCACACCTTCCCCATATACGTGGATCGAAAGAAGGGCTGGGCAGCTGGGATGCGAGGATTCCTTTTTAATCCCTCGGTCTCTCTGCCCATCGCTGGAAACGGAATCCTGCACCAGACTCTCGTTGCGCAGCAAAAGCGCGGCTGCTACCTGTGGAATTCCCACCCCTTGCCCCGCCCCGCTTTTGTCGCAGGAAGGAGGAGGAGGCGGCCGCCGGCAAGAGCTTGAGGCCTCCTGGCCTGCAGGGGGCAGTAAGGCAATCTCCCCAGAGGTGGCGGCGCTCGCAAGAGGCCTGTCGGTGGAGCTCCTCCCCTCCGGTCGCTGACTGATGACGTATAAGAAGGCCCTGTGGAAGAGCGCCTTCATTCCGGAGCCCTCATGGCTTCTTGCGGCGGCGACGAAGCGGTGCTGTTCAGACGCGGGGCCGGGCAGGTACTGGGGTAGGCCGGGCTTTCCGTGGCCCTTCATGGGGTTTCGCTTTCCCTCCGTGGGGGCCGCTGTCGGCTGAGCGGGCGAGGCGAGGCCGCTCCTCCCGCGTGAGGCGCTGCTCAGGAGGGACTCTGAGCTTCGCAGTTCAGCGGAGCGGATTCTGAGGAAAAAGGAGCTGCTTTTTTATTTTTTACTTTGACGAAGGAATAATGATAAATAAATATGAATAAAATTGTACACCCCACCACCGAGACCATTCCATTGTAACCTCCCAAAACCTCTTGCGATGGTTTGACCCCTTTCCGTTTTAACAGTATAAATTCTACAAACACCTTCCATATCTCCTCAAAATCATTTCTCCTGCATGTTCCCCTTCTTAATGTCACGTTAGAAAGTAACTGCTTAAGTGGGGTGGGCAAGAAGGTCGACTCGCTTCCAAAACGGAAGCAAGCAGTGGTATAGTAAGGTGAGTGGATTTAGTGGTCTCATTGGGGATATCTTCTTTAGATGGCACTGTGGACTAGGCTTCAGTCCACTTACCTGGTCCTGTTGGGTTACTTCTGAGTTAGACGTGTACACCAACTGCAAATGCCGCATACCAGCCCTGTTGCATTGGGGGGTGGGGGGCTCCTGTTCATTCTGCTGAGCGGGGCCTTGAATTTCTGCTCCAAAGGCTTGCCCTAGCAACTTCAACAAAAGCATGAGCTGGAAAGCTGTCCCAGAATGCAACTAGTTTCACAACTAAGTTCTACGTGCACAAGGGGATGCTTGCATTTGCACATGGCAACCAGTTATTGTAACCAGGGGAAAGCCTCTTATGATGTGGCTTGGCAATCAGTCATTCAAAGATGGTTTAAGGAAAGGAAAGGAACCATGTGGCAGCTGCCCATGCCTGAACTACGTAACTTTCTAGATGCCAGCAGTAATATAGTATATAGCATGAGATAATCTTGATATATTGAAGAAGCCGCACCTTTAGATTTGGCTGTAAGTCTCAAAGTATATTTTGGGTTTTTTAAAACAAGTTTTAAATAAAAAGGAAACCTACAATTCTGTTTTGTCTCTACAGAGTGATGATTCTGATATATGGGATGATACAGCGCTCATAAAAGCATATGATAAAGCCGTTGCATCCTTCAAGGTAAAACATACTCTAGCATGACCCACCTGCTATGCAACATGTGAACTGCAAAGATTCAAGCTTGTATGGTGGCTACCCATTCTGATCCTTCACTGTCACCTCAAAGATAGGTGGATTGGAAGAAAGGGACAGAAGAAGATTGTTGCATTTTTCTTCTCTCAATATCCTTGTGGTTTTTAACAGCTGAGATGGAACAGTTCTTAGTGCAGAAATGCAGTGACAGGGAAAACTTCACCTGTTCAGTTTGTCACATATATTTTTAAAGCTAAAGGAGCCTGCCAGGAAAAAGCTGGCTGCTCTAAGAAGGACATTCTGTATATGTACTATTTTATATTTTTAACATTGACTTAGAAGTTAAGTTTTTATGCTTGATATGTTTTGATTAATCAAATTTGGTGCAGTGCATCATTATATCAAATGATCTAGATGAAATATATGAATATTTGAAGTAATAATTATTGTATTAATACTAGTAAAAAAAATTAAATACCAATAGCTGTAACATAGTTTAAGGAGTGAAGGGAATTGGAAACCTGCAAAATAATTATTTTGTATCTTCTTTCCATCAGAATGCTTTGAAGAATGGTGACTGTTCAGAGCCTTTGGATAAAACAGAACAAAACGCTGGGACGAAAAGAAAAAATAATAAAAAGAACAAGAGTAGGAAGAAAAGTAATGCTGGACCACAGAAACAGGTGATTTTTGGGGGGAAGGGAACCATGACAGGACATAGTACTAAGAATGTTGTTTTTAAAATCATGGAATTAATATCCTGTTTCTTCAAACATAAATATATGCTCCCATATACAAAACCTAAAGCTTTAGCCACCTTTTTCTTGTTGCACTTGAATTTTTACAGGGAAATAACCTGGTTTTTGCAATGGCCTGTATTGTGCCTTTGGTTCAGTTCGGGTATTCCAGTCCCTAAAATGGGGAAATACTTTTTATATATGCAATAATAATGTATTATGCTGCTGGAAAGTATTTTTAGGTAGTGCATCTACAGAACTATTTCAAACAGAGGTGATAAAGGATGAAGTTTTAAAACAGATTAATACAAAGTAAAACGTAGCATGATACCCAAAGTTGAGTTTTTAAAGCTAATGTGGCTAACAAATACTGAAGGAGAATGCAGTTTACAATATGTTAATTTTTACATAGGTGTGTTGAACAGGTATGTCACAAATATGACATACATGTATGCAGGAGGGAAATCATACTTGTATAGTAGAGTGAGGAATAAATTCATAACACCACCAACTTAACTTTTTTCCTTTCAATGCAGTGGAGAGTTAATGATGCGTGCAGTGCAGTTTGGTCTGAAGATGGCAACGTGTACCAAGCAACTATTACCTCAATTAACTGGAAGAAAGGGACTTGTGTAGTTGTCTATACTGGATACGGAAATAAGGAAGAGCAAAATCTGTCAGATCTGCTACCACCAACGGATGCTGAGGGAACAAATGAGAAAAGTGCTGCTGAGGTGAGGCCAAGTAGAAAATTTACACTTGACTGAAATGGGAACAATTTGTCATTGCTACACGTCTTTCACAGCTCAGGGAAGTACAGTGTGTGATGATTAAAGCTAAAGCACATGAAATATAGGATTTTACCTTTTTCTGTGGGAGCTGAATTTAGTCCTGGGCCTCCTGCACATGATTTATTTCAGGGGGGGACAGCCAAGGCACATGAAACCCTCACAGCAAGTCTTTCTGCCGGTTTGCATCGAAATTTCTGATTGGGAGATTAAAATTATACTGCCTGCTTTTTATAGAGCTTCTCTAAAGAGCACACAGAAAAAAGTTTGTAGTAAACACACAACACAAAGGTTGGAGATGAAACATGCCTGCAATTTCAGAATAAAAGGCAGCATTTCCACCCACACACATTCCGGTGATATCTCCATAGTTGTTGAGCCCAGTTGTATAGTAGTAGCTTTGATCCCATTTACTCAAGCAACTGCTGTATATCCATCCGTAAGACCACATGGCAAGCAGCTCAAATAGTGAGGTAATACAAAAATTCTACTGGCTCCCTTTGCAAAAGATCGAAAGCATTTTGCTGTGTTTTCACCTTTTTGTGCTGCTTGTGGCAGGCTACTTCTGTTGCAGCCAGGGAGTGGATGTGATTGTGCATATTTGAAGCATGTTAAAATGCTTCAAAGTAACACCCAGTATTTATTTATTTATTTATTTAAATCAAGGCAAAGGAGTAGGACATAAGCAATAATAGTTAAAAGGGCAGGCATGGATAAGAATATGTCAAAACTTAAGTAGAAATAGGGAAAGGATGAAAGTAGAGTTCCAGAAGGACAGGTTCATAAAACCTTTTAACAGTTTGCATTTAAGAGGGTGTCTTTTGGAAGGTCACAAATTCAGAACAGAAGAAAATAATGTTGCCTTTTTTGAGTTTCATTAGCTATAGCTACGTATGGCTTGCAAATACTGGTTGCAAATTCCTAATTCCTATTATTTTTTTAGAATGAAAACGAGACTCAGTATTCAACAGATGAAAGTGACATCTCATTCCGGTCACCTGGAAACAAATACAATCGTACCAAATCAGCACAGTGGAATTCTCACTTTCCTCCACCACCAGTACCGGGCCTTGGAAGGGTAAGCATAGAAGCAAATCTGAAAGACACCCAATTACCGTATTTTTCGCTCTATAACACGCATCTGACCATAACACGCACATAGTTTTTAGAGGAGGAAAACAAGGGGGGAAATTCTGAATGAAACAGTGGATGTATCATTTTTGTGCTTCATGCTGTGGCCACAGACATGTGATTTGACGGTGAGTTTGGGGTAGCCCAATGCAAAAATCCTGAGGATCCATGTGGATCCGTGCTTTGTCACCACGTTTTAAATGGGGAGGGAAGGAAAAACACAGAAGGGACAAGGAGCACGAGAAGGGTGTGCGGAAAAGCAGCTGGCTAAGAATGCAGGGGAGGGGTTTAATGGGAGGGAGGAAAGGAAGGCAAGAGTCCCCCACCCACCCAAGCCAGCCCCCCCTCCACCTGCATGTTTTTCGGCTGCCTGCGAGTCCCTAGAGCACGGAGAGGATGAGGTGGTGGGCTGGAGCCTGCGCGCAGTGTGACTAGGAAAGAATTAGAAGGAAGGACTCGATCCTTTCCTTAACCCTCTGCTTGCCAGGAGGGCAGGGGATTCCCTGCTCTTTGTTGAGTTTGAGCAAACGCAGCAACAGAAACAGAAGCAGGTGGCCAGTAAGACCCTGAGGCAGAATGCAGGAAAGCAGCAGCTTCCGCCTTCCCTCTGCCCACCCGCCCAATCTTATTTTTGCCTGATTTTTGCCTCTGCGCGGGCGAGTGAGCTCCAGGGACCACACATTCGCTCAATAACACGCACAGACATTTCCCCTTACTTTTTAGGAGAAAAAATCTGCGTGTTATAGAGCGAAAATTACGGTTCTATATGGTACTGTTCCAGCTATTTAGAAGAGTAGTATCTTTACCTTTACAAGCAGAATTACAGGTGCCATTCCAGTCATGGATGTTTTTGTGAGATTTGGGGGTTGCTGTATCTTGCATGATTAATTTTGCAAGCATTGGTATAATGAAGACCTTTTATTGTATTTTAAATTACTCTCGTGTAGACTGGAATGAAATTCAGTGGACCTCCACCCTTTTTATCAGGCTGGCCTCCACCATTTCCATCAGGACCACCGGTGAGTGATGGGTAAAATGCGTGACAGTAAAGGGATACTCTTGTCACAAAAGAGAAAGTTAATAACCCAGACGCTGAATGGTACCACCTGAGCTGGGGATTTAAATAATGGAATGTTCCCCTACAATTATAATTTCCCTAATTCAATTAAATTTGCATTAAGAATTGTTCTAAATGTTTGTAGTGAACAATTGTTTCTTGTTCAATGTCTTGAGAAGAAAAGGTAGTTAGTTATTCCAGTTCAGAAGTCTTTCATTTATCTTTTTAGTTGATACCACCTCCACCACCTTTCAGTCCAGATTCTCCTGACGACGACGAAGCATTGGGAAGTATGTTAATAGCCTGGTATATGAGTGGCTATCACACTGGTTACTATCTGGTAAGAAACATACATCTTTTTCTGTACTAAAATGCAAGCAACTTGCCTAAGTCACCAATTAAGGTGCTAACACTGCTTAAATAGGTTAATCTTTCGATTTGTGGCTGGTCAGCACCTGACAGATTACATAAAATAAATATTTCTGTAGCTCATTAAAGAGACATGGAACACTGTGGCTGACAGACTTGCACACATTTAATCGGGGGACAATTCTGCTGTGTATTATCTTCCGATTATAGGGAGTGCCAGCTGGTGTGCCTTCTCTTAACCAAAGACCTACTGAACTGCTATTAAGAACATTTAGATAATCAGGTTGAGTGTCATATGATTTCCACCCCAGGTAATTTAGAGAGCGAAAATATGAACAGGTCCTCTGTAACAACCCATTCTGTCTCTTCTATTGCACAGGGTTTAAAGCAGAGCCGCATGGAAGCTGCCTTGGGGAGACATGCCCACTCTAAGTAGCTGTTGTAAGTACTGCATTTTGTTTTGACTTTAACTTGCAGTGGAGGGCAAGCTGAACTTAGTTTCATTTTGAAGGCACAAGGTCAGTTTTGGGCTGGTGACATTTTTTTTTGCTTGTTGGGAGATGGGGAAAACACACCTTATGGTGTTTCATTGGGAGACCACAGAAAATAGGCTCCTGTAGCTAAATGAGTCCAGGGTTGCTGCAAGGGGGGGGGGCGGGGGTCAAATACTAGAATGTGGCTTGTATGAGTATATTCTCCGTAAAAGAGTGCATGTGTATGAGGGATGGATGGCTATCAACATCAGATTTTTAAGTTTCCTCTATTTCTGATATAAAGATCAGCTTCGATAGAACATGACCTTAGCATTGGCATAACTTCTTCTAAAATGAATTTACTATCCCACATGGTCTTTTTAAATCTAGGTTTTAAAAAAAATTCCCATGAAGGAGGACATCCCAACTCTGTATTGGTCAGCAAAGAAGCTTTCAATGGTACCAGGATTACTGACTGGATAACTCGGAGAGGAATCTGCCAGCAATCTTTTCATCATCATTAGCAAGATTTCTGAATGGATAGGCCTGCTTTTTTTGCAAGGTGCCCATATCTTGTTAATCATCGGGTACCTGTTCTGGACTAAGTGAACTGTTCTTCAAGTGAATCTGATTATTTGGACTTGCTTTGATTTGTAAAGCAATCTTTCAATTTATAGAATATCTTCATTTCTAACTCTTCAGTGATGCCAAGCTGACTACACATTTAAACCTTAAACGAGGTCAGTTTTATGGGATCTAACCATATTTTGCCGAAACTGATGTTTGTCCCTTTCTAGCTGTGGATGGCAGTGGTGATAACAGAAACTGTGTAGTCACATGGTTAATTGTAAAGCAGTCCAAATCCCAGGACTAGAACAATTCCTAGGTAAGTTGAGAGAGAGAGATTACTTATCAGTTACACCATTCAACTGGTTTGTATTAGTGAACAATAAAATTATTTTTTTCCAACTTGTGTTTGTATAATATGTCAGTGGGTGGGTGTTTATATTTAGAAAGCTTCTAAGTAATTTGTAAGTTACCAAACATCTTTTTACATTTTGTTGTGGATAAAGATTACATCTCTGAGGAAACTGAACTTGAATTTTTAGGCAATGATGTCTTCAGGTTGTTCATCACACACCCATCTAGGTTAAACATTTTGTTAGCAGGAAAACATAGCACTAATTTCAAAACCAGAATGTAATAGTATTGCTAAATAAAATACCATGAGAGATTATATTATTTCGGAAATACAACTACCCTTCATCTCCTTAATCCTAGCTTCTGAAAGTCTAGGTTACATATGGCAGCAACTTCCCTCTCTCTTCTCCCTTGGGTCTTGGGTCTTTCCTTGGGTACCCTGTGCAAGGCCAAAATTTGCTTCCTTCTGGCTGTTGAACTACAGGTTGTGGCAAGATGCCGTACTGTCTCCAGTGCTATTTAACACTTATGTGAAGCAGCCGGGAGTGGTAATGAGATTTGGAGGGAGGTGTCACCAGTACACTGATGATAACCAACTCGGTTTCTATGTAAACTCAGAATTGGGAATACTTGAGAAGCTCCTGGACTGGTGTCTAGATGTAGTGGTGGGCTGGATGTGAACTAATAAGCTGAGTCTGAAACCTGGCAAGATGAGGGCTCTGTGGGAGAAAGTCACAAAGTTGCCTGCTCTAAATGGGGTTGCACTTTCCCTGTAGGAGCAGGTTCAGTCTCATGTGGCCTCTGAGATCCAGCTTTGCCACTGGAGTTGCAGGTTGTTACAAGGAGTATGGCTAAAGCCACAGGCATGTCCACTGCATATGTGAACCCAACATATACCCTGAGAGGAATGGAAACTTGTGTGGAGTCAGAACATGAGTTTATTAAGTAAGCATGTATACATGTATGCCTAATAAAGGGCCTGCCACAACATAAAGTAGAAACGATTGGTTTATTATTGAGAAATGAAAGATGAGCAGTACAAGTGCTTTAGAAAACGATGTTACAACTATGCAGGCTGCAAATACAATTTAATATGGTGACCCACCTTAGTTTTGAAGAGTGAAAGAGTCCCTAACTACCCAGAGCTTAGAGAGTGAGAGCAGCAGTTTGCCAGAACCATACTGAAAAGAAAGGAGGGAGTATACACCTAATGAAGCAAGTGGAACACAAAAGTCAGGGATCTGACATACCGTATTTTTCGCTCTATTAGACGCACCAGACCATAAGACTGGTTTTTGGAGGAGGAAAAGAAAAAAAATATTCTGAATCTCAGAAGCCAGAACAACAAGAGGGATCGCTGCGCAGCGAAAGTTCTGGCTTCTGTGATAGCTGCGCAGCCTGCATTCACTCCATAAGACGCACACACATTTCCCCTTACTTTTTAGGAGGGAAAAAGTGAGTCTTATAGAGCAAAAAATACGGTATGTGAAAGTTAAGTTCTCCCTTTCAAAATCCCATGGCAGCAAGGCAACAGAGGTCTCTCAGCCATTCCTTTGGTCCATGGTCATGTGCCTGATTTCTTCTTAAAGGATGCATCTAAGAGAAGTTTTTAAAAATTCATTTCATAGTCCTACTGATTTAGATCATAGCACTTCCCTCTCCCATCTTTTCATTAGAAGGTGCTTTATAGATTTCTTCTACTGAAGACTGCACCCCATAGTCGCCTTTGACTGGACTTTACCTTTTTCTTTTTCTTTTAACTTTGTGTGGTACAGTTCTATCTCTTACCTGCAGAAGCTGAAGTGCAATTGAACTTAAAAAGACTCTTCCATCTGTAATCATTATAGTAAAAACAAAACACGCAGCACACTAACACTGTTTATTGAAACAGATACTGCCTGACATCACTCTCAACCTTTGCCAACACAGAGAAGCAGCTCTTATCATGAGATGGTCTAGAGTGACCATCGCACCAGGGATTTTGCATCCTAGATTTTAAATCCTAATGACTTACATTAAACTTGCTTCTCCATGACTGTGCTTTGTGGCTTGTAGCCTATTGTGCTGATTATTATTTAAAATGAAAGCAAGGGCCATTAATTTAGGACACATATCCATTTCAAGTTTCAGAGGTACAAACTTGCACACTATTCAGATTATATCAGAAGAAGAAAAAGTTTCAATAACTAGTTCCACATACAAATAGCTGTACACACATGTATATTCAAACTGGGTGTGAAAATAGTAACATTTACATAAGCATTCAGCAAGGTGCTCTTCCTCATCTTAAGCTATTTTGCTGAAGACCTTCACTGAACAGTCAAGTTGAATTTTTTACTCACAGAAAAGCATCCAGCATTGTTGATCATTAGGTAGCATCACACACAGGGAGGGGCAGGATGCTTGTGAATGCAACCCGGACAGCAGTGCAGAGTATCATGAGCAAAAAGATCACATTCTACACAAAACGCACTCTGGCAGACTTTACATATATAGACCTACAAAAAAGAAAGAATTGAAATTTAAAAGGTTACATTACAACAGATACTAGAATTATTTTTTGCAACTATTGCCTCGTGTACTGAACACCTAACATGGATTTATCTGCTATGATCATAATTAATGCATATTATTTTAAGTTGCCCTTCTGTTTGTGTTTTTGTTTGTTTTGTTAGCCACTCAGAGCTTTCAGGCACGAAGTAAAACACACTAAAATGTTTTACTTCATTTAATAATATGGACTACGTTTTGCAGCACAGCACAGCACATCATGGCGGTTGGAATATTCCAATGTGCTGAACTAGTCTTGACAAGGTAGCATCACTGTGAATATTGAAGCCCACCCCCTTTGCCAGCTGATGCTGGGTAGCAGGGATAGGCTTCACCAACAAAATGTTGGCTTCACCAACAAAATCCCTGCTTTATCCCTGCCCAAACACCAGGAACAAACCCTCAAACCCAGTTTTCAGGTGGATTGGTTTGCTGGAGAGAGACACCGTTGCACAGACAGGTAGGTGATGCACAAAGGAACCCTTTCACCAATCTATGTTGGTGTGGCATCAACTGGACAAAGTTGGGTCAGGTCTGGCCTGCCCAGCTTGCTCACACAGGCCTTGGAAATATATACCAGGTCAGACACCTCAGCTATGATTAGGTGACAGATGAGGGTTGTTTTATTGAGAACTGACCTGGCGTTCATGAACAGGACCACATGGTGGGAAGGTTGGTATAGCACAGACTTACATTGCTACCACTCCATAAATATTTTGGTTGATCAATCATTGATATTTTAACCAATGCACCACTTTGCTTTTAATTTGAATGTTACCATATTAGCAAAACTTCTTTTATATATCAGGAAAGAGCCTTGATGTATCAACTAGCTGAGACACATTTTTATAGCCTGCAAAGAGACAATCCTAAACATTACTAAATATTTCTGATCTCTCTGATGTAAAAGTTATGACCTTTGTTTACATTGTATTAAGTATTAAACATTCAATAACAAATTTTTTTAGGGGGAAGAGAAGGATGTGGACAAAAAGCATTACTTGCATGGAAAGCAAGCAAATATAATGTAATTTATAGGTTGAACGCTGAAGACTTACATGCTGATCTGTAATTTCTCCTTGGCATCCTTGGCAATAGCTGTTTAAAAAGAATATTTATGAAGAGATTTTAGAGAGACTAATTAATACATACTTCATGTTAAACCTCTACTTCTCATGCCTTACGTTATGGGTGGAGAACATTTTGGGCCTCTTACAACCCAACCAGCAACTTTGACAAGTGGGCAGGGACCACCACCTGTCAATCATCTTACATCATGATGACGTAAGGCAACTGGTAGGTGGACAATCCCACCCACCCATCCAAGCTGATCCACAACAGTAAGGAGAGGGGTCTGCTTCATCAGCACATTCCCCCCAGGAAATACAGTGGAGAATTAGCACCCAATACACCCCACGATGTCAACTGATGGACACATAGACATGGTTTGGGGCAAATGACCTAGTGAGCCAACATTCACCCAAGGGCCAGAAGTTCCGCACCCTTGCCTTAAGTATATATAACAGAAATAATGCATATTCTTTCTCTATTTATTCCTGCTTCCACTCCACTCCCTTTGTTGTCTCCCCTTTGTTGCCTTACAGAGTATAAACCCTCTGAGGTAGGGACCTGTTTCCTGTGTTTTGTAAAGTGTCACGTGCATGCATAGGGCTTAAATAAACAGTAACAGTGCTGCTACTGTTGTGTTTATAAAGCAACTATTACTTTAATAACAGAATATAGGATCAGAACCAGTTAAATCGAATGCCAGGAATGTGTTGCAGCTGTTACGGGTACCTTGCAACTTATGCACATTTAATTTGCATGCAATCAGCTTTACATGCTTGGCCCCCCAAAATATCATTTTTCTGAAAGTGGGCGGAAAGGGGGCGAGTGGGGATAAAAGACTTTGGCAATGCCACCTGTCATTGAACCCAATGTGTTTTGACCATATGCAATTTTGGCTTTATGCGTTATCCCCAGAACGTAACCCCTGCCTGTATAAGTATTACTTTTAATGGGGACTTAACGATGCACAGAGAAATGTCCAATAGTCCAGCCAAAACAGGGATAACCTGTGTCTAGCAAAAAAGATCTCTCACATGTTCCTACTTTCACTTGTGTCAACCCAAAAACTGCACGATTATATTAATGATATTGTGGCATAAAATATTGGACCCTGTGAAATGACAGAAGCTATAACTGTAAAGAGCTGAAGTTCTTTATTTGAAAATATTCCAATTAGTAACACAAATTACTATATGAGAATATTGCCTCTCTGGTCACTCAAGAAAGAAGAACAGAAGTGTCAGTTTACTACCATACAATCACAGTCCCCAATTTGCTCATAATAATGAACACTTATATCCGAAACAAAAACCTGTTTCCAAAATGAATGATTGATGATGAGTTGATTGACACAAAACTGGGGGGGGGGGGAGATGTTGTATCACAATTTGTTCTTATTCCAAGCAAAACATTACCCTGCCATCTTTTTAAAGGAACTAGAACAGTGGTAGGATCAACAGGAAGTAATGGCTATTTAGAAGGAAATAGTAGTCAAACCCAAAAAGGTGATAATCCTTGCTCTGTTTCAGTAGCCACAAGCTCCAGAGCCATTCTTGGAAACAGCAGAAATGGGAATTATGAAAAGATATTTCACCCTTTGGTTGGAAAGAAACCCCCTGCAAATGTACCATTGTTACTATGTGTTCACCATGGTGTTGTGGTCTGTAGGCAGAGATAAAGCTATCAACCCATCACATGCTGGAAACATTAACCCCTAGTATTCAGACTGGTTATACGAGACATCTTTTACACACCGTTCTCCTATATATTGTTCCAGTGGGACTTCCTGAAAGGCATCCAAAGGAAATAGGTGATGGTAAGATCGAGCCAGATGGGGTGCAGATACTAGTGTAAGACCTACAAAACATTATCGCCGTATTTATAAAGGGTTTCTGAAAAACAATTCTCAATTATTCTTTTTAAAACGTAGCTTTAACTTATTAACCCTCTTATTAGTATTTCAAACTTCTGCTCCCATCATAAAACTTGTTTAACATATACAGCCTTACGGATGTAAAAAGTATGCAAATTCTGCTCTTCACCATGTAACTGTAAATGACCAAGGTTTAGTTCTGGATGTCACTTCTGAATGCTTGGAAGATATGAACAGAGTAAAGGAGTGCTTTTGGTATGTACAAATGATACTTAATTCATGATCAAGAGACCACAACCAACCCTCTATCTGTGACTAATGTGAAGGGTTTCTAGATGAAAGGATATGACTTTTACACAGGCCTGATCTGTGGCAACATTTCGTTTAGAAGCTAAATATTGGGGAAACTCACCACCTTCCACCCCAGAAAAGAAATTGAGTACCGGGAATGTCATAATTGCCTCACACACTGAAACTGAATAGCATGCACAATTGTGAAGTGTGTGGCTAAATCACAGTGGATGCAGCAAGTCAAGGCTAGTGGCTTACTTTTCTGTTTTCCCAGTTGGGGGTTGGCGCGCACACACACACACACACACACACACACACACACACCCTATTATAATAGACAAAGATAAATACACTTAATTACTCACCACAAACTTTGCACTCCACAGGAAGCTCACAGTATTTGGCTCTACATTGGGGGCAGAAATATCCTCCCAGGGTAAGACCTGGATCATTGCTGTTTTCTAGCTGCCTGTAAAAGAATAACATTTCCCCCACCCTGACAATGTTGCACAGAAACATTTTGAACAAATTGAAAAGGGTTGTAACGGTGAGAAATTGCATTAGGCCTCAAAGTTTATGGTTTAAGTTCTTGGAGAAGCCAGTATGGCTAAAGAAATCGCAACGCTTTGTCAAGCACTTGAAGAAGAGTTGCATTTTCCAGCAGGGGTGCTTCATCACTAGATTCAGTGCTGTTTACTGAGAGAGGGAGGGGAGAGGCCAGCATGGTTCAAGGCATGGGAAGAGCCAATCCGCTGCTCCCACTGGTGCCTTTGTACCACACCATCCTCACTGCTGCCTTTCCCCTCCCCTCCCAGTAAGTCACTCGAGTCCATTATAATATCACAGAAGAAAAGGTGACTGTTCTGCAATGGAAAGACATTGAGATCTCCTTCTATGGCAAAAGAACTCTGCATTTGTTGTGCCATAAATCCATCTGGGAAGACCCATACAGACAATGTGTCCTTAAGAGTTCTCTTTCATACAGAAAGTCGGTTCAACTGAAATTCTAGCAATAATAAAATTTACAATGAGCAAAACCTAGTTTTAGTTAAACAGAACTGAAGACCAAAATCTAGACATATGGAGAAGAACAGCTACACAGCGAAACCTGCCTTGGATGTTTCCACCAAATTATTTCTGAATGCTGAAAGAGACTGTGAGCTGCTATTAAAATGATGTTTTCCCTTACACTACTGGAGCTATTGAAGAAGCAATTTCAGATAAAATGCTGGCTGCTCAATGTACACATTCAGACTTTTAAACCGCGGTCCATGCCGTGTTTAAATAAAGCAACCCATTACTTACGCCATGCTAAAAGATGGCTTTGCGTCCTGATCAGTCAAAGATGCAATGGTGTGCTGAGGAAAGCCTAGCGGAAAAGAACAGTCATAGTTTTGAGTCACTTTATATGTATTGTGGTCCTCATTTAAGAGGAGAATCTTAGTGTGCACTGGTTTACATCCCAATATAAGCCACTTTACCGTACTGACACACAAATCTCTGTGTGGTCGGCCTGCACCATGCCATCACTAGATAGACAGGGCAAAATGTATGTTACAGATAACTGAAAATGGTAATAACCTGTAGTTAATAAACAATAATTGTCTAAAGCAGTGGTTCTCAAAGAGTGTGGCATTGCGCACTGGTGTGGCAGGAGAGGATGGCTATTGTGAGGGAAAGATTCAAGGATAATAAAAAATAAATAAACATTTCAGTGCGGTATGGATATACAACTGGAAACAGTATCCACACCTCTCTTCAGGAGTATTGGCTATTCTTCTACAGTTCTCTACAACATATTGTTGTGAACAAGGATTTCCAACTCTGACAAATATGAAAGATCAGAAAATGGAAAGGCTTCTTTGTTTTTGATGAGATGAGAGTTTGTCTCAAATTAGACCTAATACAGTTGTACCTTGGTTTTCGAACAGCTTAGTTCTCGAACGTTTTGGCTCCCAAACGCCACAAACCGGGAAGTGAGTGTTCCACTTTGGGAATGTTCTTTGGAACCCGAACAGCCGACACAACTTCCGATTGGCTGCAGGATCTTCCTGCAGCCAATTGGAAGCTGCGCCTTGGTTTCCAAACGTTTTGGAAGTTGAACGGACTTCCAGAATGGATTCCGTTCGACTTCCGAGGTACCACTGTATTATAAGGTAGTTGTGTTCTACGTTATAAATCAAGCACTGATAGGAGTTACTTCTTTTTGTTTTCCAATGCATTTCTTATCAATAAAAAATGCAGTGTGGCACAAGCAAATTTTTGTTCTGACAGTGCAGCCCAAAGTTTGAGAACCACAGGTCTAAAATATCTGCAAAATACAAGTGAAATATTACCTAGTATGGCAGGAAATAAATTATGCCAATTACTTGCAACCACAATATAACAGTGAAATCGCCAGCTCAGGATAGGTGGTCTTTAGCATTATCCTAATTGCTTGCCTCTGGATTTAGAGTAAACTATTCTGTGTGTTCAATACCAGTATACCAAAATATTAAAGGACAATTTCTTACCCATTCGAATAAGCGAACTTTCAGAACTTGAACTAGCTGGTGGTGGACTGACGTGGTGCATCAGAAGTTCCCTATAATGGCTTTCATCTAAAATGACATGATAGGTCCCTGCCACAAAAGGAAACAAAATAAAAATTTAATTAACTGAGAGCAGGCATCTCAACAGTTGCTCATCTGGTTGCCAGTGGTGAGTAAGAATTGTCAACAAGTGACCAAGGAAAGAAGCCCTGCAAAACCAATTAGTTCTCTTCCCCCCCTTTTAGGCCAAACCTGACACGGTATATGTGGGCAGATGGGCAAGTAAAAATACATGTCATCTACTACCTTGTGGATCTAATTGTGAGGCTTTTTGAGAGTATGTCAGAGGAAAGGCTGCAATGGTTTAACAGCAAATGAAAAGTTTTGCACTAATTCCATCACAGCGCAAAGAGATAAAAAGGTTTTGAAGTGAAAAGTCATTTAGATAAGCCTAGATAACGCTGACTGACTTTGTAAAGATTAACTATTTATGAATTTTTCCTTCTGTTAGCATCAGCTTTTAGTGATTTGTCATCAAAATATGTTAGATATGAGCAGTTTTTATTTTATTTATTCCAGACAGCTCTTTGGGGCAAATGCCAGTCAAAAGCAGTAACAATCAAAACCAAAGAAAGATTTTAAAAACCTGATAGATATTTTTAAAAGCTAAAAACTACAGTCAGACCATCATCCAAATTATAAACATCACAGCTAGAAGGCCAACTGAAAATGCAGGCCTTCAAGGCTTTTTCAATTTAGTTCATGGTTCTCTCATTCACTCTCTCTCTCTCTCTCTCTCTCTCTCTCACACACACACACTCAAATATATACATACCACCAGTTTCCCGGGCAAGTACAGTGCAAACTCGAACTTCAGCAGAAAGGCCAATAATAGACACTCTGATCTTAACTGCCTTTAAACTCTTCGAAATAAAAAAAGAGAAAACACATGCAATAAGAGATCTAAAAAAAACCTATAAAATGCACAAAGCTTTCAGGATTCTGTGCCAAATATTTGTTTCAAGCATGTTAAGTATCTCTGCATATTCCCAAATGTCAAGAAAGTCCAGCATTCATTCTGGGTTGTTTTAACAGAAGAAGAAAAAAGCAAAAACTTGTGTACCTTAATTAGATCATAAATATTGGAAGGATCACATGTTGTCAGACTGCTGAATATTACTAAGACTTCTCTGCTTGTATGCCCTGGCATATGCCTAGAGAGAATAAAACACTCTTTTATGTTTGTGACAAACAAAAACAAGTGCCAAAACAATCAAGCGCAAGACAGAGACCCATTTCTACATAAATTACGTGAGAAAATTATTTTACACTCTGACAGCAATGAGACTTGTTATGAATCGGTGCAGAGAAGATGTTGCATATACACACAGCGTAAGTAGGTGCATTTATGCTCACTAAGTACTGTAGTTTGATGGTTCAGCCAAGGCTGTTGAAAGCAAAGTAAGAAATAGGGGAGGGGAATCAGTGTTGGACATATGGGCTTTAAACATTTACCACTGTAACTTAGCACATACTAATCTCCAGGATAATTCTGCAGTTTGCTTTGAGTTGCTGCAGCACCTTCAAATTGCAGAATGTCCAAGAGCCAGAGTGGGCAATCTCTGGCTAGGTCTTTGAATCTGGACCACAGCCCGCCCTCTTCAGTGCCATTCACCATGTAATTAGCCCTTGGTCTTAGGAAAGAGGTCCCACTTGCACAAATGGAATCATCCTTTTCCCTGTGACTACTTACTGCATGGGGAGGAAGCTAACATTCCCCTCACCCTATGCACAACCCCCCCCCCCAAAAATCTAAGCCTAAGTGCCACACTGAGGAGGGACAGTGAAGGAAGGAAAAGAGAAGAGAGAAAAGGTGGAGAGATAACGTAAGTGACTGTTTAAATGGCTGTGTGAGAATTGGGTTTGTATGGATGTGTGTGAATGGGGAGATAATTTAAATGGATGGGTACATGTGAATGGGGGCAGTGTATGCAGTTTTGTTCCCAATATGCAGTCCCTGGAAGTTTACCCAGGACTCTTGCAAAAAGATTCCCCAAACTTGACAAAGAGGAACAATCTAGTTCTTGAACAAAATATTCTATTACTGGATAAAAGAACTTCAAACAGGAAATTCTAGTATGAAACTACTTATCAAGAAATTTGATTCTATCACCTGTGGCCTGAATACAGAACAGGTGCTTATCCCAATATAGGTGTTAATTAGCTAACCAATGCTACAATGTTTATGGTATCATCAACACTGCTCTGGGAACGGTCACTGTAATTATTTTACATGCATTTAAACTTTAACACAATTGTCAGACTGTTTTATTGCATTTTATTTCCTTCTAACCTAGTTTACACTCTGCCTCTCCGCAAACCATGAGTAAAAACATTCCATATGTCTGATGAAGTGCATGAAAGTTTATACCATAATAAATATACTAATCTTTAAGGGGCCACAAAACTTGGCTGTTTTTGCTGAAGCAGATTAATGAATGCTGAAAAGGGATACTTGATTAATAAATCACTCTCCCTATGATTATAGTCAGATCGATCTCCATGGTTGCTAAACAAAAAAAAGCACACTACTGTACAGTAGACTATATATACTTACTTTAATGTTTGTGCGGCCAAATTTAAGGCATTATATAAAGATGGCTCTCCGAGACAAGACATATCTACAGCTTTTTTCAAAGCAGCTGTGTGTTTTCTCGGATTCCCTAGGACGAAAATCACTCATTATCAAACATCAGAAAATAGCTGAATTAAAAAACAAAAATCAAATATTCTGACATAAAACGCTGCTTTTATTAGCAGGAAGGAAGGAAAATACAAAGGAAGTAAACTGACACACATTCATGCAATATCAACCCATGGTCTGGCATTATAGCTGAACCAAGACTATACCAACAATGCTCATCAAGTCTCCAGGCACCCCAAGACCACCTTTCATTATCACATGAAAGCTCAAATCAAGTATTTTTCATGCACTCCTTCTCCTTTGCCCCAAGAGGGTCCTCTAACCATCCAATCAACTAGTTTCCCTCATTCAAGCCCTGCTTCATCTTTGTCCAGTGTCCATTATGCCTAAGAAATGGGGCCTACAACAAAATGCTGCAATCTAGAGCAGCCTTTGTCAACCTTGGGAACCCAGATGTTGTTGGACTACAACTTCCATCATCCCTGACCACTAGTCCTGCTAGCTAGGGATGATGGGATTTGTAGTCCAACAAAATTGAGGGACCCAAGGCTGATAAAGTCTGGTCTAGAGTGATAAGAGTGATCCTGTTCACAGCTCCAGTCAGCCAACCAGTCAACCATCCACTTCTCCAGAAAACCATTTCATTTCCTCCACCCCATTTTCTTTTCTAACTGATTGTCAACATTCTGGGACTGAGAATGCTTAATCTTCATTGCACTGGTTTCTTTTGGGGGGGGTGTACATATACACAACTAAAACGCTGGTTCAATGCTTTATTTAAAATTTTAGAAATTAAAAGCTTGCTTTGGGGCATGTGACAGCCAATCAGCACTGGGCACATCTGGCTGCTGAATCAAATTTGCAAAACCAAACCTGTCACCGTCCCCACCACATACATACACTTAAGGTCAATACCATCCTGGAGAAAACTTAATTTAAACATCACACAGTGAATGAATTTACAGAGTTGCCCTCAAGTAAAATTTCATTTGTATATAGTCTAAGGTAGAAACATTATAGGGAACATTCTCTTTAAACTTGCTACTTCCCTCCAGCAACTATCCTTAAATTTCCAGTGTATTTTTAAAGTTCACACTGGGTCAAAGTCAGATGTCTGTATCATGTTTAATAGAAAGAATGGCCGAACAAGTTAGAAATATAGAAAATATTATCTTTTTTGCTTTTTTTAAAAAATGACAGGGCCATAATAACGAATCTCTTCTTAGTATGAAAGAAATAATTTGTTCATACCTGAAAGCTCAGTAAGTTTTTCAGCTCTTTTGCCCTTAGTCACAATAATGCCAACCTGCCAGAAAGATGTCTGCTATTAACAGAGTCACAGAGTAATGAAGTCTCCTTGAGCCAACCATGTTTTCCAACGTACAGAGGTGGCAGCAGAGAGCCAAGAATCATTTGCAGAGCTTATAGTAACAAGAGTTACTTGAGATGCAAAGAGGAACAAGAGCCACCTAGCACTCCTGCAGCTTCCCATCAAAACATGTAATGAGCAACATTGCAGGGAATTCGACATGGCAGAGCTGGATCTCCACCTGCCTTTGAATTATGGAAGCCATTGCTACTTCCACTTACCCCATGAGATCAACAGCTGGGGATAAGTTTGACCAAGAGCTATAAATATGAAATCTGTGGGCGGAAATGTTTATGCAGTTTCTGGTAATCTATATAATTCCTTCTACTATATTTACAGCAGCTTTTATTCCATAATCGTGATGAAGAAACAGAGTTTGACACTGCAAATTTCAGAATCTTGAGAGTCTCTGTTTTAATATTATTATTATTACCCACTTCCTAATTAGTTTCTGGGACGCGGGTGGCGCTGTGGGTTAAACCACAGAGCCTAGGACTTGCCGATCAGAAGGTCGGTGGTTCGAATCCCCGCGACAGGGTGAGCTCCCATTGCTCGGTCCCTGCTCCTGCAGTTTGAAAGCACCTCAAAGTGCAAGTAGATAAATAGGTACCGCTCCAGCGGGAAGGTAAACGGCGTTTCCGTGCACTGCTCTGGTTCGCCAGAAGCGGCTTAGTCATGCTGGCCACATGACCCAGAAGCTGTATGCCGGCTCCCTCGGCCAATAAAGCCAGATGAGCGCCGCACCCAAGAGTCGGTCACGACTGGACCTAATAGTCAGGGGTCCCTTTACCTTTTTAATTAGTTTCTAGCTAGCCTAGGTGGATACAAAGACAGGCTTGATGGGAGGTGATGCCTGATGAAATCAAAAGCCTAGGGAGGCGAAGGGCAAAAGGAGGGGTGGTCAGAGGCTTCATTGCACTGTGTCATTTCTTCCTCTTGCCCATACATAACAGAAGCAAAATGAATTGTGCAAAATCATCAAATGCATGCTCATTTATATATGCTGCAGGACCAAACCCTATTCAGGCATTATAAATCACCTTAGTATTAATCACATGGATTAGAGAGCAAAGTCCACCTACTGGCCTGACTGCCAGGTCCCCTGCTGGTGTCCAGCCCCCTACTGGCTATGCATTGGAAGACAGCCCTGTGATTTGGAAGCATGATCGCATAGAACTCCAAATCATGGTGGCAGCCTGTGTGCATACAGCAGGCTCCCTTCTTCAGACATTCTCCAATGCACAGGCAGGGATGAAGATATTAACTCCCTCATTTAGAATGCCAAAATGCTTTGGGCTTTATTGACAGAAAATTGAATTATCCCAGTAAGATAAAGGTAAAGGTACCCCTGCCCGTACGGGCCAGTCTTGACAGACTCTAGGGTTGTGCGCCCATCTCACTCAAGAGGCCGGGGGCCAGCGCTGTCCGGAGACACTTCCGGGTCACGTGGCCAGCGTGACAAAGCCGCATCTGGCGAGCCAGCGCAGCACACGGAAACGCCGTTTACCTTCCCGCCAGTAAGCGGTCCCTATTTATCTACTTGCACCCGGGGGTGCTTTCGAACTGCTAGGTTGGCAGGCGCTGGGACCGAGCAACGGGAGTGCACCCCGCCGCAGGGATTCGAACCGCCGACCTTTCGATCGGCAAGCCCTAGGCGCTGAGGCTTTTACCCACAGCGCCACCCGCGTCCCAGTACAACATGTTTATTATTTAATTTTAACATAAATCATGGCTTTTATTTTGTCTTTAGAATGTTTTAAACTCACCAATATGCTAATAGTCACACTTAAGATTGCTTTTAGCTAAACATTCGAAGAAGTGATTATTTCTAATCCGCAGCAACCATCTCCAGCACAGTGTACATACCTGACTAATCGGATTTTGGTCAAAATATTCTTCAACAAAATATTCCAGTAACTACAAAAAGAAAAACATCACTAGAGCCATTAATTCTCAAGTGTTACTTTACATTGCACAACTCTATGAACATCACAAAAGTCATTTTATACCTAGTCATCAAAAAAGATAAAAGCTTCTTATTTTCTAAAAAGTATGCATAAGGACAACTAACAAAAAACAAAGTTGTGGTTACCAATGTTATTTCAAGAGTGATGTTAAGGTCCATCTAAACCTTATTTTTAGGACAGTTATTGACTTTCAGGAGGAATTTGAAAACATTCCTGTTTGATGGCTGAAAGACCCTGTTCCTGGAAACCCTGAGATTACCAGATGAGAAAGGGAAACAAATGAAGGGTAATTTATCACATTTGTTTCCTTCCCTCCCCCTTTCCTTCAAGAGGTTCTAGGTGATGTTTGCTGTATCTAACCACACCCAAGTCATCCTCCAAACCACTCTGCAAGGTACATTAGGCTTAGAAATGGGACTTGGCCCATGGTGATCCAGTGGGTTTCAGAGCTGAGCAAGAACTTGAATCTGAGTTGTCGCAATCTGACATTTTATCTATTTTCAGTGATTTCAGTGGTCTTAGAGAAATGCAAGTTATCAAGAATAAATACCTTTAGGGTACAAGTTAGCCTGGTAGGTTTTAAATCTTGGTCTTCCATTGTTCTTGATCCATCAACCACTACATACAGGTGACGCATCTAAATATGGGTAAGATATTTTTAGGGAATTAAAATATATTTTATTATAATATTCATAAAATAGAGTATCAGGCCAATATGATTCACAAATTATTCTAAATGCACACACAGGTTTTCAGGAATTGTGGGCTGTTGGCCCCTTCTTTTGGAGTTACAGAAATATATCTGAAAACTGAAAATCTATGCGTACTTGCTTTTGAGTGGTCCGTATTTGCTTTTGAGTAGTATGATATATATAGTATATCATACTATATACTTCTACCTTATCCCCTGAAACACATATTTTCCACCAATCCTGCCCTGACACCCTCTTAGACATCCATGGGTTGTTGGTTGTTGTTTTTTTAAATGATTCAGTTGAGATACATTACACCCAACATCCAGATTGGTCAACCACCAAAGCAGAGGACTAATGATAATGATAAAAGATACAGAGGGTTATATCCAACAAAGTTGACCAGTGCAGGAATCTCCTCCCTCACCCCTACAAATAGGTTCTGGGATTCCTCCAACCCTATGAAGCACATGGGGGGGGTATGGGGAGAGAAGAGGTAGTCCCATTCAAGTCCTTGTGCTAACAGCACAACATCATTGGATGCAACCCAGAGACCTTTCCATCTGTTGATGTGCCTCTAAGCACATTAAACTGGTATAATTTTAAACCGTTGCTTCATGACCCATGCTTTTAAGATTCTTGTTAGCCATCCTGGGTCTGGTTAAGAGGAAGAGGGGGGCAGAAAAAAAAAGTTTAAATCCAATCAATTGTATGTACAGTAATCAAAATACATTTTTATCTTTTTATTAATAGTCCAATAACATCACAAATAAATGCAATGTAAAATTTGCACACAGCCTAAAATAATAATCAAGTAGAACTTTTCTCACATCTTTATCCTAACTGAAGAATCCAGCATTTTACTATAGCATCCCAAAACCAACTCTAAAAGCTGGTAAGCTGCAGTCAGAATCCCAGAGTCTTTATTGAAAGCACTTAAGCAAAGCTAAGACTTGTTTAAACTTTATTTGCTTTAAACAGAATCCAACTTCCCTCAACCAAAAAACAACCAGAGCTACCTTTTGTTTAGGCTGACTTCAGATTATCTCTGTGAACTTGGATGGCTAGAATTTCTGCTATGCAATTTGAAGTTTATTGACCTGCTTGCTTAAAGCTCAAAGGTCATATGAACATGCCTAAATAGTTCTAGTTACAGGTAGGTAGCCGTGTTGGTCTACCATAGTCGAAACAAAATAAAAAAATTCCTTCCAGTAGCACCTTAGAGACCAACTAAGTTTGTTATTGGTATGAGCTTTTGTGTGCATGCAGGTATTCTTCAGGTATCTGAAGAAGTGTGCATGCACACGAAAGCTCATACCAATAACAAACTTAGTTGGTCTCTAAGGTGCTACTGGAAGGAATTTTTTTATACCTAGCTAGATTATTGTTAAATGTCACTGCAATTTTACAAGAAGGTGTCTATGGTGTAGGGAAAGTTTTTCTCCCTCTCTCACAATACTAGAAGCCAGAGTTATCCAATGAATCTGAGTAGTGGGAGATTCAGAATGGACTAAAGGAAGTACTTCTTCACACAGCACATCCTCAGACTATGCAATTTGTTACCACAAGATGTAGTGATGGCCACCAACTTGGGCAGCTTCATGGAGGACAAAGTCTCTCAATGGCTATTAGCCACAATGGCTATATACGACCTCCAGGATCAGTTGCTAGGGCACACAAGCAAGAGGGCTCGTATCCCTCATGTGGGATTCCTATACACCTCGGATGAACTACTGTGACATCAGAATGCTTTACAAGATGGACCTTTGATTTGATCCAGCAGGTCTCTTCTTGTTCTTATTACTGATTGACAGTTCAGCTGCCTGCCCAAAGCAAACTGCAATCTAAGGAAAAACAAGTGGCTGACTATGCTCTTATTAAGCATATGAACTAGACCTATTTCATATACAACTTCACAGCAAAATAAGTTTAGAGCCAAGTAGAAAAGGAGAACTTACCATCCCAAGTCGAACTTGTCCATGATGCTCAAAGATTCTGCAAAGTGTAAAAAAAAAGTTAATTGCTAATTGTTATAGCATTCATATATTATAGCATCAATATATACAATCTATTCTCACTTGTGAAAAACAGATTATATTCAATGAATCATATTTACTTTTTTTTTAAAAAACTGGAAATCTAAGAGCATATTTGATACAAAAGTTTTTAATTATGCTGTGAAGATGGATGTCAGAGCCACATTGTAATCTGATTGACTATAACATTATACAACCTACGGTAAGTAGAATGAAGTTAGATTTGAATTTAAACTGGAAACTTTTCACGCTTCTCCTTGTAAGACTGCAGCAAAATGCAATTTATTCTGAAGTGTCATTCATAGTGCATCCCTACATTGTGCAGCTTAGTGATTACCTTTTTCTTTTGGCCTTAAAAAGAATATCCTCTATGCTGGCTTTCAATGATCCAGATTCATCTTCTTTAAGAACTTCCCTAGAAGCAACAAAAATAAAGTATAATGTACTGTATATAGATAACAAAAGACTACAGTTCTTAAACAATGGGGGGGGGGAGAGAAATATAAAAGCTTACCAAGTTCTTTCATAACCCCCTTCCCACCGTTTGGTTCTCTCTGGTTCATCATCCATTTCTCTTCCAAGTTAAGAAACTAATAAGGAAAATTATGATACTGTAATTTAAAACTGTATTTTGAGATATTATAATAGAATTTATGCCACAATAAATTATTAAATAACACACATATGTACAAACGGCTACATCTTGTCAGGTTCAAGGTTCCTGAATAGTACATAAATCAGAGCAATCAGATGTAATTCTCAGCAGAAGCCCTTATGAAACCCCATCAGCTTTTGTGGTCTTCAAGACTCACAGAGTCCACAAAGCTCCATCCAGTACTAAAAACTAGGAAAAGGAGAGGTATTTGATGGGAAATGATTTATAACATCCTGATTCTGCTGCATCAGCACACATCACTACTCTGGCTGATCCGGAGCTGGGGTCCCAGCCTGGGCAAATTTCTGGCTACAAGGAAATCAATTAGATTTTATTTTTTTTTAATGCTCGCTTCAAGCCCTCCCCCCCTTCAGCTTAGGAAGTTTTGCTGATTTTAACGAGCCTTTTCCTGCAACTGACTTAAGAGTACAGAACATACAGTCAGCACGTTTCAACCCTTACCCAAATGGCTTTTTAAAAAAGAAAAGAACAAAACCAACAACATGAAAATAGCTAGGATAAAATGACACTTCCACCACCGAAAACTAAGATAGCTGCCACATATTACAACTTTAGCACCTCTAAACTCTCAAGAGCCAGACAAGTAGAACTACCCTCCTCAGCTAGTGGACAAGAACAAGGTTGGGCTTGGGACAAAAGCGTCTTGTTCCCACAAAGTCTCCTAGCTCAGGAATAGGCTAACAGCTCTCAGGGAGGTCTTGGGGGAGGCTGTTCTTGCCACCTGCCTTTATCTTTCAGGAGACAGAAAGAACCGAAGAGGAGGAACCAAAAGAAGCGCGCGCCCAAGAACCTAGTCGCACGCACTTCGGAGCCTCTCTAGGAAAACCATCTCTCTGGCTAAAGGTTCCACACTTTAAACATTCCGGTGGCAGCGCAAATATTAAGAAGAAGAGTTCCGCCGTGCAAAGAGCTTGTTGCGGAGAAAGATTAGGAGAAAAGAGCAGGGTGACTGACATAGATGTAGGGGGGGAAAGTATGTTTCTGCTGCTTTGGGTGACGCAGCCTCAGCTTCTGGCAGCAATTAAAACCCACACTTTGCTATAGTCTGCGTTGCAGCAAAAACAACAAAGCCCTGTGGGACTTTAAAGGCTGAAAAAGGACTCTGAGTCTTCAAAAGCTTATGTCATAAGGAAGTTTCTTCTTTCACGTCCCTGCCCCCAATGTGGGGACTCTCGGACTCTAAACGGGCAGGACTATTTTTAAACGTTTAGAAACTATTTAAAATAATGAACGGTTCAGGTGAAATAAGACTCCTCTCTTTGCTGCCCTTTTGTCTTGGAAGGAGCGTGGGGCGTGGGAATAAACTGGTGCAGCTGCTATGGACAGCTATTACTTCCTCCAGTCCAGAGAGACGCTAAAATGCTTCTCTTTTGCTAACGCGGCGGTTTAAGCCTACCTGTAGTGTCTACAGTGTTGCAGACCATGCCTTGTGACCTGGATAGCCTTCCTCGTCATCCAGTAGGTACTGTATTTTAGAGGCTAAAATTTAGAGGCTCGTAACTTTGGGGCGCATCTCAGGGTGGGAAAGTTCTCCTTCTAACCACGCAGACTTTATTCCCCCTCTGAGCTTCACCAATTCCAGGGCTTAGCTTCAGCATACCCTCCAACATTTCTCCAATGAAAATAGGAACGTCCCATTCCATAATGATAATTATACTATTCCCGACACATCTTACTGGTTTCCCCAGGCACTCTGGGCAGCTTCCAACATATACACACACACACACACACACACACACACACACACAAACATTAAACATTAAACTTTTTTTAAAAAAAACTTCCCTATACAGGATTGCCTTCAGATGGCTCGTGAGTCGGATAACTCCATACTCTCCAACATTTCTCCAATGAAATAGGGATATCCTAAGGAAAAGTGGAACATTCCAGGATCAAATAAAAAACCTGGGCTTCTCTAAATCAAGGACATCCCTGAAAATAGGGACACTTGGAGGGTCTGCTTTAGCAGAGCATGTAGAAATCACAGGTTCAACTCAGCATCTCCAGGTAGAGCTGCCTGAAAACCTGTGGAGCTGCTCCCAGTCAGACTAAGCTGAGCTTAATGGACCATTGATCTGATTCATTATAAGGCAGCTTCCAATGTTCCACTGGCCAGCTGATTCAGAACTATGCATTGCTTAAAGCAGGTGTGGGGAACCTTTGAGCCAGTTTCTCTTTAAGTCAAGAGGGGGCCCTTTGGACCGCTGGATGTTGCTTAACTACAACTCCCATCATCCATAGACATTGGCAGTGCTTGCTAGAGCTGATGGGAGTTGTGGTCCAGCAACATTTGGAGGGTCAACTGTTCCTCCCTCCTAAAAAGAAACTGGTACTGTAAGCCTTACATTAATTAAGTATATTTAATCAAGTATATATCTGCTCAGCTCACTTCTCTACTCCAATTTATTGATAGTCTGTTTTTAAAAACTTATATCTCGTCTAGTTTTCAGAATAAATTCAAGGCGGCTAATAATAAAATTCAGTTAAAATATAAAACCATTCACAATTCAACCAAATTATAAATCAAAATATTGGCATCCCCAGCTTCCATCAACAGAAATCCCAAATGTGCCTTTCCTAATCATTTTGGACTTTCCTGAAACTCATCACACCGTCAGACACTGGGATCATCTTTTCCCAAAAAAGGTGTTGCTAGCTTTCAATTTCCCAAGGACAAGAGAGTCACTAATCACAGGTGAACAGACTCTGTAACAGAGTATTATATCTGCTTTTTTCCTGCATTGTAGTTTCTTGCTTATTATCTCATTCTGGAATTCAGTGTCAAAACATATTTGGCGGCGTCACGTCGCGCGTCGGACGTCGTTTGCCGTCGCCGCCGGTCCGCGCATGCGCGGAGGCGGGGCCTAGTCCTCCTCCGGGTCGCCGCCGCCGCGTTCGGACGCAAAATGGAACTGTCGGCGGCCTGGAGCGCGCTCAGCACCGGCCTGGTGCCTCCCGAAGCCCTGGGGATGGAGGCGCCGCCGCGCTACGACTCCCCCCTCGACCTGCGCCCGGCCTGGGCCGCCCTCCGCCACCAGGGCCTGCAGGGCGCCCTGGAAGACTGGTTCCTCGAGGTCCTCCAGACGGACCTCCAGTCCCGCCTGGGCCCCGAGTTCTGGAGGCGCGCGGCGCCGGCGCCCGGTGAACCGCAGCACGCCCATTCCCTGCTGGAGGCCTTCCGCTGGCTGGAGGAGCGCCTGGCACCCTACCTGCGTGGCGCCGCCCTGCTGGAGGAGTGGGTGCCCGAGGCAGTGCCTGGCACCGGCGCCACTGGGCGCCTGCGCGGGAACCTTGACGCCCTGCTGCGCGCCGTGGTTTTCCTAGCGCCGCCAGGGGCGTTTCAGGAGGCGCTGGGCGACCTCTATGGGCGCAGCTTCCGGGTCTACATGGCGGGAAACGTAGCGCCAGCGGGCAGCGGCGAGGAGGAGGGAACCGTAGAGCGCTTTGAGGAGCTGAACGGCGTCCTGCACCGCCTCCGCCTCCTCGAGCGAATCAGCACACCCGCCGTGACCGACATCCTCCACCGCATGATCGCCGAGCGCCTGGAGGGCACCTGCCGGGGCGAGTTCGAGCGCTCCTTCCTCCCTGACTTCCAGGAATGGCTCGAGCGCGTGATTGGCTGGGTCGGCTGGGTCTTCCGGCGGGAGGGCGGGGCCGAGGCCGCCCCCCTGCGGCGCTGGCGCTGCCACGTCCAGAGGTTCTTCTACCGCCTCTACACCGCCATGCGGATCGAGGAGCTCTTTGGCATCATCCGAGATTTCCCCGACTCCAAGCCGGCCATAGAGGACCTCAAGTTCTGCCTAGAGAGGACCAACCAGCGCCAGCACCTCCTGACCTCCCTGAAAAGCGCCCTGGAGATGCGACTCCTCCATCCTGGGGTCAACACCTCGGACATCATCACCCTCTACATCTGCGCCATCAAGGCCCTGCGCCAGCTGGACCCCTCGATGGTCATCCTGCAGGTGGCCGGGGAGCCCATCCGCAAGTACCTGAGGACCCGCGAAGACACCGTGCGGCAGATCGTGGCCGGCCTGACGGGCGAGGGATCGGGCGACCTGGCGCACGAGCTCTCCCGAGCGGATCCCGTCGCCCTGGACAACGGGCAGGAGAGTGACGAGGAGGCTGGCGCCCAGCCGGAGGACTGGGTGCCCGACCCGGTCGATGCCCACCCAGCTGGAAAGCCCGCTGCCAAGCGCCGCTCGGCGGACATCATCACCCTGCTGGTCAGCATCTACGGCAGCAAGGACCTCTTCATCAACGAATACCGCACCCTGCTGGCCGACCGCCTGCTCCACCAGCTGAACTACAGCGCCGAGAGGGAAATCCGCAACGTCGAGCTGCTCAAGCTGCGCTTTGGGGAAACCCAGATGCTCTACTGCGAGGTGATGCTGAAGGACATGGCCGACTCGCGCCGGATCAACGCCCACATCCGGGACGAGGAGCAGAAGCTTCCGGAAGGCCAGAGGCCCCCCTTCCGGCTGGCGGCCGCCATCATTTCCAGCGAGTTTTGGCCGCCCCTCAAGGAGGAGAAGCTGGAGCTGCCGGCCGAGATCAAGGCCGCCATGGAGGACTATGCCCGGAAGTACGAGAAGCTCAAGGCCATGCGGACTCTGAGCTGGAAGCACCACTTGGGGGCGGTCTGCCTGGAGGTGGAGCTCGCCGATAGGACGCTCTCCCTGTCCGTCACGCCGGCCCAGGCGGCCATCATTCTCCACTTCCAGGACAAGGGCACCTGGACCCTGGAGGAGCTGAGCGCGGCCCTCCACTGCCCCCCGGCCCTCCTGCGCCGCAAGCTGGCCCTCTGGCTCCAGCAGGGGGTGCTGCGCGAAGAGGCGCCCGGCACCTTCGCGGTGGTGGAGGAGGCGCCCAAGGAGGCGCCCGAGAAGGTGGTCCTGGTGGAGAGTGACGAGGAGGGCGACTCCGCCATGGCCTCCCAGGCCGACCAGAAGGAGGGGGAGCTCCAGGTTTTCTGGACCTACATCCAGGCCATGCTGACCAACCTGGAGAGCCTGCCCCTCGAGCGGATCCACAGCATGCTGAAGATCTTCGTCATGACGGGTCCCATGGTCAGCGAGATCGACTTGCGGGAGCTCCAGATCTTCCTCCAGAAGAAGGTCCAGGACGAGCAGCTGGTCTATTGCGGCGGCGTCTACCGCTTGCCCAAGGCCGGGAACTGAAGCGCCGGGTGCGAGAGATCAACTGGGCGCCATCCGTTTGGGGACGCTACGGTTCCCACACAATAAAGCTATTTGTTTGCAACAAAGCACCTGGTTTTTCCCCCCCGGGAACCGAAGCGCTGGGTGCGAGAGATCCGCTGGGTGCGAGAGATCCACCGGGCGCCATCCGTTTGGGGGCGCTACGGTTCCCACACAATAAAGATATTGGTTCGCAAGCATTGCGCCTGGGTTTTTTCCCCAAGGCTGGGAACTGAAGCGCCGGGTGTGAGAGATCCACTGGGTGATGTCCGTTTGGGGACGCTACAGTTCCCACGCAATAAAGCTATTTGTTCGCAAAAAAACCCCAACAACCATATATTTGGCACAAAACATATCTGGGCACCAAAAGGCTTTCCTCCGTCTCTCTCTGGAGACTGCAGTTCTTTGCTGAATGACTAAACACAATGTGGACAAATATCACATCCATCACCATAAGATGTCAAAAAACCCAACCCCCATATGTGCTCATAACTTTCAAGTAGAAACCTGCCAAGTGAGAGTGCATTTCCTGATACCTTCAGTTGCCCAACAGCTGAACACGTCTACTTGTATATCCAAACAAAATGCTTCGCTACGTCACATGACAGAAACCCACAATCATAACATGAAGATCAATAGTCATGTTCTCAAGGGGAAAATGGATACACGCAAGCCTGTTCTAAAACAAAGTAAGGAAGGAAGTAAAACCAGGTAGTTTTTAGTTCTTTTTTAAAATAGTAAGACTTCAAAAGACAGCTCTGTGACCAAATTATAAACACTTTGGTTGTTAAAACATTTGCATCTGTGGCAATTTTAGTCTAGTTTTTATGAACAGAATAATTTCAACGGTCACCCAGTCAGCCCATGTTAGCTGGTTAAAAAGAGGTATAAGAGCCCAGGACCCATCAAGCAGTTATTGATTTGTATTTTGAGAAAGTTAAACTATTTTAATAATTTATGTGGTTTTATAGACTCTAGATGTTTTTGACTGCTGTTTAAATTATTATATTTCATGGAAATTTTACATTATTTACTTTTAGATCTTTAAAATCAATAAATAAATAGCCCTCGTATACTTAAGGTTTTAGGTTTTGGGCTCTGGATATCACACACACAAATCAGACTATCCAATTAATTATATCCGATTATTTAAAAAAACTACTACAAAAATTGCCTAATATTGCTACAATATGGAAACACTCATTTTTCAATATAAAACGTCAAGTTTGAAATATGTCAACTTTCACCTGCTTCTTCTGTAGAAATTAGGAAATACTGTAGTTGAAAGTTTTGGGGAACCATCCAGTAAGCTTGCTGCTGCTTCCATTCATTTCAATATTCACTGTGACCCATTTGAAATATCATTTGTTTTCCTTCAGAACACCTGGCTATAATCTGTTGTTCCAAAAAGGTTTATAGAATGATAGAATCATAGAGCTGGAAGAGACCACAAGGGCCATCGAGCCCAACCCCCTGCCAAGCAGAAAACACCATCAGAGCACTCCTGACATATGGTTGTCAAGCCTCTGCTTAAATACCTCCAAAGAAGGAGACTCCACCACACTCCTTGGCAGCAAAGTTTTAATAGAGGACTAAGTACACACTATAAAACTCTGATCATTTAAATTACATTCACATAAAACATTTCATTTCAACAACAATGTGCTGGGTGAAGGTATTTAGTTAGAACTAGAAGACAGGAGTGCCTGGTGTGCTCTGGTCCATGGGGTCACGAAGAGTCGGACACGACTAAACGACCAAACAACAAGCGCTGTGATGTAAACCACTGAGCCTTGGGCTTGCTGATTGGAAGGTTCGCGGTTCGAATCCCCGTGACAGAGTGAGCTCCCGTTGCTCGGTCCCTGCTCCCGCCAACCTAGCAGTTCGAAAGCACCTCAAAGTGCAAGTAGATAAATAGGTACCGCTCCGGCGGGAAGGTAAACGGCGTTTCCGTGTGCTGCTCTGGTTTCGCCAGAAGCTTAGTCATGCTGGCCACATGACCCGGAAAACCTGTCTGCGGACAAACGTCAGCTCCCTCGGCTAGTAAAGCGAGATGAGTGCTGCAACCCCAGAGTCGTTCGCAACTGGACTTAACTGTCAAGGGTCCTTTACCTTTTTTTAAGGCTTGAAAATATTTTCCCTATATTAATTAATAGCTGATAATTTACATTTTCTCAACAACATTTATTTGCAAGCATGGTATTACCCTTACAGTTGTTGTGTGCAATTAAAATGTGTGGTGTTTGTTTTAAGATTAACACCCTGCAGCTTATTTATTTTGAAAAATTATATCCATCTTTTCACCATCTCATTCTCAAAGCAGCTTACAATGAAAAAACCACAAAATTTCTAAAATAAAAACATAATTAAACTGCAAAAAAATTAAACCTCAGAAATTTAAATATCCAACATCTGAACAAGAAAATGAGAATGTTTTAGGAACAGGGGTCGGCAAGGTTTACCTTGCCTGGTCTGGTTTACTCCAGCAGAGATCCCTCTGTTGGCCGGATCAAGCTCGTTCGTGAGCACACACAGCTGCAATTTCTGGTGTCTCCGTCTGCACAGACGCAATTTTCGGCATCTGAGCATGTGTGGACGCGATTTCCAGCACCGCGGAAGCGAGTCCCTGCGCCACGCTGTGCCGTTTTAGCACAGTGTGTGGGGACTCGCTGAGCGGGCAGCTCGGTTCAGGGGTGGCTCGGGGGCCGGTTAAATGACCCCTGTGGGCCACTTGTGGCCCATGGGCCTTACGTTGCCTACCCCTGTTTTAGAACATTGGAGAAGCATCCATGAAGCAAAGGCCTCCTGGAATAAGATGGCTTTAACCAGGCACCTGAAACTAAACGGAGACAGTGCCTGTCATAATATGTTTGTTTGCATAGTTTTGATACTGAGCGCTGCTTCAGATTCTGCAGATACCATATTCCTCCCTGCAAAGACGAGGAACATTTTGCATCATCATTTATTATGACACAATTGGAACTGACAAATGTTAAATCAAAACTGATGAAATATTTCAGTGCAATTCTTGACTCCACACCCTTACCCTCCTTCTCTCGATTCAGCCTGAAACTGGGTGAGAGCTGCATGTGTTACCTCTTTTCTCCTAATTGAAATCCTCACAGGAGAGGCCAGACCAAATATTTCCATATTCTTAGTACAATTTGTAACACAAAATGTGTTTAAGTAAAGATTATAAATGAAGGTGATCGTTTAAGAGCTTAAAGAAGTGTATTATCATAATTGTTTCCTCTTAGGCACAAAGGAAGCTGCTTGATACCAAATAAAGTCCAGTGGTCATCTAGTTCAGTATTGTCTGAGCTAGACAATACTGAAAGACAATGTTAAACAATGGGGAAGGGTGTCATGAATCAGCCAGCCCCCAGGGACGGTTTGCAGCCGGCTCCCAGAGAATAGTTGCTGACATTTGAAGGAAGCAGTCAGGAACAGAGAGGGTTAACTGCCATGCACCCACCCCTTGGAATGCCCGCTGATAAGGGAATAGCTGAGAGCAAGCTAGAACACAGTCACAGCTCACTGGAAGCACAAATAGGTGAGAAAGAGTTAAGAGACAGCCTCTCAGAGACTGGGGAAGAGGAGGGAGCTGACCCCCTCCATGAATGAGAGGGCTGCAATATACGAAGTGAAACAAGACGTACAAAGTGAAAGTTCAGTTGCTTCTGGTCTCGATGGAAGCATTTTTCAGAAGGGTCATGATGGTGGAGGCTGTGTTAGAGCCGTCTAGTTATCTGTTTGTTTTGACAATAAATCATCCTTTTTAATTAACTACACTCACTGTATTATCAAGCCAGGGACCGGACTCCTGACAAAGCGTTGCATATCCTCCAACATGTCTCCAGTGAAAATAGGGACGTCCTGTTCCATATGTTGTGATGATGTAAACATTTGAATTGATGGAGCTGCAGCACAATCATTAATGAAGCTGAAGTGCAATAATAATAAACAGTTTTTGCTGCTGCTTCATTAAACATCCACATTACAAAATGTCCAGTGTATTTTGGGTCAAAGATAATTAATGCTGATTAAGAGATTGTAGGCTTTGCCTCTATTTTCTCTCACCACCTTCTTTTAGTATCTTGAACCTCTGTGTCTGAGAAGGAAATGTGGCTGTGCTTCACGTCATGATTGATATAGGACAACCAAGGATGCCAGGCCATCCTCTCTCAACTAGGTCATTCTTTCTAAAGTCTGTTTTGAAAGAGCTTGTACTCAGCTTCTCCACCTCTCCAGGAAAACACACACCTGACTCCACGGGTCTGTTTTCTGGGCAGTTGGCAGGATGCTGTGTGGGCTAAAGTCAGCAATAATGGAAGCCCATATAAAACCACCCTGCCAAGACCTGTCTAGTGCAACAAATACTTTAGGGATGCCTACAGGCTTGTCTGTTCTCCAGCAACTGGCAGAAATACATTCCCCCTGAACTTGGAGGGTCAACTGAGCTATCATGGTCAATTACCCTTCATAGACCTGTCCTCTGGATTAACTCAATCCCATTTTAGAGAAAGCTTTAACTCGAGGGTTAACTGCTCCCGAAAAGACTCTCAACATTCAATAAATAGCTGCAAAGCCTCAGTAACCACTCCCATATTGACACTACAAAAAGGCCCAGCCTCAGCTATCAAGTTTTCAGAGGATCATAAAAACATACAAGAACAAAACAACTATATAAAACACAGTAGAGCGATTAAAACCAGCTACTCAATATGCTTGGAAGCCAGTGCAAATAAAATAGTCTTCACCTGGTGCTGAAAATGACACAGAGTTTATTTTACTCCAAGGAATAGTATTTTCCATAAGAGGTGCCACCACTGCAAAGGTGCCCCTCTCTGGTCACCATCAGCCTTCAGTGGAGAAAAATCTCAAATAATGATTTCAAACGGTGAATTCAACTCAGGTAGGCTCACGTGGAAGAAGGCACTTCTTTATAAGACTCAGGTCCCAGGTTGTTTAAGGTTAGTTCCAGTGGCCTGTGGCGTTGTTTAGAGTGACAAGATATAGCCAGTTTCGGTTAGAACTTAACAGCTGTTTTGGACTAATTAAAGTACAGTATCTGACAGGAGTGCCTGGCGTGCTCTGGTCCATGGGGTCACAAAGAGTCGGACATGACTAAACAACATCATCATCTGACAACACAGTCCCCTGTAGAATTCATTGCAGTACGTAGTCTAATCTGGAGGTTACCAGAGCATGAATCAGAGGACCAGACTCTCTCTTCTCATGAGGGGGTCACAGCTGGCAAACCATCTGAAGTTGTTGAAAGGTGCTTCATATCAACCACAGAAGGCACTCAAGTCTCCATTGACAATGCCGGATCTTGCAGCAACCACAAATTTCACAGCTAATCCGTCATAAGTGATACCCCAACCAGAATGGTTTGGCTACCTCTATCTTATCAGAACTGAGCTTCAATGTATCAGTCCTCATCCAGTCAATTTAAAATCCAAAATGCTGGTTCAGCAAGGCTACAGCCTCAGCTGAATGAGATGAAAAGAAATGGAGCTGGATGGCACAAACATACTGATATTTCCAGATCTTCAGACAACCTCATTCAACAGCTTAACTGAGATATAAGTATAAAACCTGTACTAAAGGCTGATGGAATTTCAAAGTTGATTTTGCTGGTGCTTTCTTCAAAGGAATGCTGAGACATGTTTCTTTCGACCAACCACGGATGCTGTGAGCCTGTCAACTTGATACAGGTGCATGTTGGGAATTGTAGGTTTGTTTGCAATCTTGCCTGAGACATGTATTTTTTTGTTTTGTTTTAAGCGAGAAGTTGCTTCCTGTTATGAACTGGGCAGAGGGGACTGAGTTAATCCCATTTATTCAAACTGTTCAGAAGAAGAGTTTGGATTTGATATCCTGCTTTATCACTACCCGAAGGAGTCTCAAAGCGGCTAACATTCTCCTTTCCCTTCCTCCCCCACAACAAACACTCTGTGAGGTGAGTGGGGCTGAGAGACTTCAAAGAAGTGTGACTGGCCCAAGGTCACCCAGCAGCTGCATGTGGAGGAGCGGAGACACGAACCCGGTTCCCCAGATTGCGAGTCTACCGCTCTTAACCACTACACCACACTGGGTGTAGTGATTGTTGTTGTCGTTTAGTCGTGTCTGACTCTTCATGACCCCATGGACCAGAGCATGTGTAGTGATTACAAAACTTTATTGTTGTCAATACTGTGGTGATGGTAGGATGTACTCTTTCTATGAAGTCAGTCTGCTGTGGAATCCTTACCGGCAAGACTGGTGCACTCTGTACATGCTTGCGCCATTTATTTCTGAAGCATTCACAGCAGATAGCCACATAGTGCAATCTTGTACATATGTATCAAGGAGCAATCCCCATTAGGTGTAGTTTACTTCTGAGTAATGTGGTTATTGTTGCATGAACCCACACTAGAAACTGTGATAGCATAAATTCCTTCAGAACAAAGGTAGCACATATCCAAGTATTTATGCAGCTGTAGTGTTTAAGTGCCTACTGTTTCTTTGCAAAAGAGAAGGCGGAAATCTGAACAGGTGGAGGGCACATTTTCCCCCTCTCAACAAAAAAGCAACTGTGTCAGCAGGGGCCCCTTCTGAACCAAAGACTTTGGGCTTCATTAGGGGCTAAGTATTTGTATAATTGAAATGCTTAAGTGTCCAGTATCTTTGCAAGGAGGACAGAAAGAACCTGAACCTGACCTCTGGTTGTCAAGCAGCCCCACCAGGTCCAATATTCAACAACCAGAACTAAGACAGGGTATTTTCAGTATGTCTTAAATTGTGGAAATAATTTTCAGTATTGTCTGGATGGTACTTGATCTCCCCACTCCCACACATGAGAGTACATATCAGGGCTTACATTGGAAGGGCTGTAGTAGTATTTTCATATGTGGCAGAGATTTCATAATGTAAAAAAATATTGTTCTAAAATTATTAGTAATAAGTACTTTATCTGATTGCTAGACTCCTATGTCACAAAGACTGGTTGAACAGGTTGCAGAGCATAGCCATAATGGAAAATGCTACATGCTTTATTAAAACAGTAACTGACCAGCTGTTCATTATTCTTTTTTAGAATGCTCATTTTATTTTGGAGACATCATGGGCATAATTCACAATGAGACCCACTGGACTCTGATCTGAAACTAGACCTGAGACAGACCCACATAATTAGCATCATTCAAGGATAGCTGGAGTTTCATTAAATCATTGATGCTCATGGAAACTTTTCTGGGCACCCATTCTTACAGTTCATATACAATGTGTATCGTTATGTGTGTTTAAAGGAAAGCTACATTTTATTGCTTCACCCACAGCCATGTCCTGTTAAATGCTGTGTATGAGCTTGCCCCTCTCAACCATTAGAAACCACCAGTTGAACTATCCCTTTGGGAATGGTGTGCACTAGTTGCCAGGCAGATATGAGGTGCAATGGCCCTTTGCTTAAATCCATGCTCTGCTCCCATAAGGCATGACCCTAGGTTCTTAACACAATAGAATATTCTGTTGTTGCTCTATAGAAAGGCTCCTGTGACACCTTTAGACCAACACACCTATTTGTAGCACAAGCTTTTGTGGATTAATAGTCCATTTCATCATGTGCTCCAATGACATACTTTGCTCCATGAAAGCTTAAGCTACAATAGATCTGTTAGTCTTAAGGAAGCACATACCTCTTCTTAATTTAATTTCTGCCACAATAGATTAACACAGCTGCCACTTGAAGTTCATACATAGTTCATGAAACCCCCCACCCCCCAAAAAACCCCTTAGCAATGGAGCATGCAATAAAAGTAAATATGTCCAAGCACTCCCATCTTAATCACTAGGGAATTAGTATTAAGCACATTATTTTATTGACACCATATAACAAAAATACAAATCAGCCATTATGTACACAGTTATAATGTTCCAATTCAGACAAATTAAAAGCACTTTCCATTCTTTTCCCAAATTCAAGGAATTTGTTTTTCTTTATTCAGTCCATTAAAATCCTTATGAACACTGTCCGTTATCTAGAGCAGGCACAGGCAAACTCGGCCCTCCAGACGTTTTGGGACTACAACTCCTATCATCCCTGACCACTAGTCCTGTTAGCTAGGGATGATGGGAGTTGTAGTCCCAAAAACATCTGGAGGGCCGAGTTTGCCTATTCCTGGTCTAGTGTCTTGGATGTATACGGGCGCTTTCAGGCGAATATACTTTCCCCCATAAGCAGTGCAAGCCCTGCTTGAATCTACAGGGCTGCACAGCTACAGCACAGCCAGGGCTGCAGAATGGCCAACTAAAACTGTGGCCTTTACTGAACAAAAAACTGCCATTTTTAATTATCATGGAATGCATGAAGATTAGACAGCATCTATATTCCACTAGCAGACATGGATAATATTGTGCTGTTATTCACAATGCAACTACAGTAGACTCGCAAGTTGCTCAGGGGTTACATTTATAAAGCCAAAACAGTATATAGTCAGAACAATCCTTGAACCACCCCTGGCATGATCACCCCTCCCCTTCTTCTGAAGCTGGTGTGCTGAGTGGGCCTTGTCCCCCATGTAAGGCAGAGAGCTTTTAAGCCTTGCTTAGCAGGCTCTGGGGTCTCACAAAGTCCCAACAAGATCTTGAGGAGGCCTCCAGAACCCTTGCAACAGCCTAACAGCTCTCTGCCTTGTGTGCATTTAATTTGTGTGATGTCAGTTTACCGGCTGCCAGGCACATAAAGCTGTATTCACACAAGTTAAATGCACGCAGGGGGTGAGTCTGCTGTGTTTAAAACTGAGCTACGGTAACTGTAGCAAAGAAATAAGTAAATAAGTCTGCCCACAAGAAAAATGCAAAAATTTGTATTATCCGTTATTAAGTCAAAAGTGTTACAAAATAGGAAGTGTACACACTTTTTTGTTGTATTTTGGTTTGACTACAAAAGGGATTACCCTAGCATGAATATATCAAAATAATGTGTGAAATATGCCTTAAAAAGAAAACAACAACTAAGTGTTAAACTTTAGCCTTGATATGCCAATATAGATTAGTAGTTTAATCTCATGGAACCAGTTTCCTGGTTCAGATGTCAAACTAAACCATAGTTTAGCATAATGAGAACTTATGCAGCAAAGTCTTCGTCTCAAATGCCCCCACTCGCCAGTCACCAGCACAAGTGTGAAGTGGAGCTGGGAGACTTAGCCACAGCTTGTCATGTTATCTAAACTGACAAGGTGCAGTTAATGTTAACAATGGCTTGTTTGCTACTTCAGATGATGTTTCACTTTGGGAAAAGGGGGCCATACAAATCTTGGAGAACTGAAGGCTATTGCATTTGCGCTACAGCAGGCATGGAGTGTGCCAAGAACTGACCTAAGAGAGCACTGGATCTCAGTAAGTATACAATTCATTTGGATTTTCACTGGGTATTCCTAAGTGACGGTGCTTTTGTTAAACATAACATTCATGTTTATAAAATGATCAGTTTCTACTTTGGTTTCCATTCTTCTTTGGCTATGGCAAAACTGTTTTGCTGTAGAGTGGTCCGGACTTTGGCAACTTAGAAGAACCAGGCTAGCTGTAGTCGATCCTTTTTTACATACTCAGATACAACTCAAAAGTCAATCCACAGAAGATATTAAGAGTCAAAACATTGCTACTGAAAGCTACATTTGTACAATGAAAACATTCCTTACAAGACAAATGGTTATTTTAAAAAATAACAGATATATTTACATTTAGTTTCACATTGACATTGATGATACCATACAGAATGATCAACACTGGCTGCACCTAAAAATACAATTCTTAATATTTTGACATTTACAAGGAAAATTGGTTGCTATGTTTTGAAAACAAAATAATGAAGAAACGTACCTTTTGGAAGAAGCACCCAGACCACACTATGAATGGCATTAGAAAGATACAATGTGGCAATAAATCTTTAAGAAAGGGGGGGACTGGATTATTTGGGGGTTTTGGGGGGGGACATTTCTCAACTGCTTTTAAAAGTAAGATGCGACATACAGAGGTGAATGGAGGATGAGTCATCGCAGACAAAGGACAGGAAGATGCCCACTACATGTTAAAACGGATGAACCTGATGTGATGAGTGGTGAAATTCCTTGACTCAGTGAAACAATAAGAGGTCTCATATACTGAGTGCTCAATTTCATACTTCATAGTAAACATGGCACAAGTGTTGTATTGGTGAAAATATCGCCCTGTCATTATCTGTGGTCCAACACAATCATGTCCCACCTTTATGAAAATTAACATATTTAAGCAACCAAGCTGTCTTTCTTTCTTCTTGTTATGACTTTCGTCTGTCATAATCACTGACCATCCTCTTGATGTGCGACAGTTTGCTCTTTAGTACTTTGCAGTGGGCTTTGCGGTTCTTATAGTCTGCTGACTAAAACACAGAATGAAAACTATTAATAAGTGAAGTAAATCAAATTTCATCTTAAAAACGCTAGAATAATATACTGTCTTATTCATTCAAAGTGATCACTATCAGAAGAGACAAATGAGCCTATTCTGAAACTCTCAATAGTTTATGAAGTCCTTAAAACAATGAATTTGCAGAATAATCACCAAGGGATATGACCTCATGTGCTTCTGTTCAAAACTGAAGGAACACGTAAGTTTGAATTTTGAATGTGTAAATGTCTAAAGACAATGCATAAAACAAGCACCCTTAGATGTACTGCTAGATAAGTGTTTAATGGTCATTGTATTTGTTTAAAAACCAATGAAAATTTGTTAAAAAGGGGGGGGGGGAATAAACGGAAGGAACATGTACGGCAGACCAATAGCTGTGCTTCTGTTTTAAAAGAGACAGAACAGTTCAAATACAACAGTTTGAAAAGCAGGCTGCCGCTTTAACAGTAAGAATTCATATGGTGAACACACCCAACATTAGATTCTGTCCAATATTGGTGCAGGGAGGGAAACACCCCAAACAGCTAGAAACTGAACATATTTTGGCTCTGTATTTGACAGGGACAGATGCAAGCCCAACCTCGGCTTGCCCTGCCTCTGCAAACCTGCAACCTGCAAAGTGGTCTGAATTTTGGAATATCCATCAGGTCAGAGCCAAATTCTTAAGAGCTGGAGCTGGGAGGCAGAGGATTGCTATGGCTATGAGCTTGTACCTGGACAGTATAAAACCAAGACAGATCTTAGCCTTCTGCCAAACTCTGGTGATTCATCCTCTCTCTTCCATAGCTCCAGTGTTCAGAGGAAAATTGGTTTCATCTTGCCCACCAGAGGCTGCCTGGCCCCCTCACCTGTAGATTCAGTGACAGAATCCGTAGATCCAACTTTTCCACTGGAGGCTAAAGTGGTACTGGTGGCACAGAAACCCTTTCACCAGCTGAGGCTGGTGTGCCAACTGCACCCTCTCCTAGACAGAAATCACCTGGGCCAGAGTCATCCAGGCTATGTTAACTTGGCAACTTGTTCAACAAGAACTCAGTCACAGTTGAAGTCTACATGTTCCGTGGCCAAGGATTACTGCAACACATCTGGGACACTTCTAGCCCCATCATGTTGCACATATGTTCAATGACTTAGGTCCAAACTGGTGAAGAACAAAAATCAACAACTGTGGGATGACTAGTGTTTTTGAAAAGACACCACAAGCTTTTTAGAAGACAAAAACAATTGCAACAGGTTTCAGGAAGCAGCCACTGAAAGTCTGCAAAAATTGACAATCCAACCGTACTTCTTTCAAAGTGGGTTACACAGCCTGCTGCAACAGGAGATATCTTGGTTTACGCAGAGATTACTTAAGTAAACTACTTACTGCCTTTATATCCTTCAGTCGGTTGTATTCTTCAGCAGCAGACTACAAGTAAAAATAACTCAAATTAGATATCACAAACATTAGCAAAACACAAAAGCAGAATGGAGGCAGGCTTCATTATGATGCATGTATAAATATTTAACTATTAAACCAATATCTTTATTGGTGACAAGAACAGTTGCAGGAACATAAGGAGAGCCTGGCTGGATCAGAGCAAAGGCCCATCTTGGCTACCATTCTTTTCTCAAACAGATGCCTATGGAAAGCCTGCAAGCACAGGCATCTGTTTGAGGAATTCCCATCTACCCCGATCCTTCACAAATAGGGACTGGAGACCACACACTACTTGGGAGTGGGGAAGGAGAGGTATGGTTCAGTGATAACCCACGGGCTTTGCATGCAGAATGTCCCAGGTTCAATCCCCAACTCCTCCAAGTAAAGCTTGCAAAGACTCGTGTCTGAAGCCCAGGAATGGCAATACAGTGGTACCTCGGGTTACATACGCTTCAGGTTACAGTCTCCGCTAACCCAGAAATAGTACCTCAGGTTAAGAACTTTGCTTCAGGATGAGAACAGAAATCGTGCTCCGGCGGCGCAGCAGCAGCAGGAGGCCCCATTAGCTAAAGTGGTGCTTCAGGTTAAGAACAGTTTCAGGTTAAGTACAGACCTCCGGAACAAATTAAGTACTTAATCCAAGGTACCACTGTACTCAAATAGATAGTCAAATGGTCCAACTTTTTAATGCAGTTTCCTTGATTTCTATAACCCACATAAGCCACCACCAATCAAAGATGACAACATTGGGATGGATGGAGTAATGGTTTAACTCAGCCTAAATAAGGAGTAGTTTCCAGGAAGCTAGCTGATAGGTTATTGGGGGGGGGGGGGGGAGATCAGAGATAGCCACTGTAGGAGTCTAGACTGATTGACCACTGACAAGGGCCAGAGTCTCTATCTTTAAGCAGTGCTAAAGAGGCTAGAAAAGGGGATTGAGCAACAAACAGCAGGAAAGGAGACAGAGAAAAATATCCCATTATTTCATCAGTGTATTCACTCAAAAGCTGACTCAGATCCTTCAGAAAGAAAAAGGAAGCAGCAAACATTGTGCAGTCAGCCCCAAAAGTCTTCCTCAGAGGTCACCAACATTAAATACTTTCCACATTGCTAACTCCCACAACACTTGGGATTCTTGTTGGAAGAAGTAGGTTAGAAAGCTCCTTTATCAAGCATGTTACTTCCTCTAAAGCTACAGGCATTTGAGTCCCAGTCAGTATTAGTATTAAGGACTGCTTTCTACATTACAGTAACTTATAGATCTGTCTTTTCAGATCAAAGAGCAACATCCTTTCTTCGGAAAGGGAAAACTGCTTCCAGCTACCTAGCCTAAGGGAAGCCTACGGTTAGAGTTGGTTTCAACAAACACTGCATTGATTATTAGGAGTTTAGGTGCTTCTTTCCTGGTTCCTTTTTAATTACAGTATCACAGACTTTAATAGCCTGTGATTTTTTTAGGGGAAAGCATATGGGACTAATAATAGTTGCCCATTGGCTACTAATACTGCGTTCAACATCTAAAGCCACATTTCAAAAAAACAAAGAAGAGCCATAAAAAATACAAATTTGCCTTCACCAAAACACCACTGAGTCACTTCACCAATCTTTTGCTCTTTTCAGTGACTCTTCAAGGCAGAGCTCCTTCCCTGACCTATTGCTTAAGAATGTTTTAAGTGGAGATGCCAAGGATGGAACCCGGGTCCTTCTGCATGAGAAATATGATGTCCAGTGCAATGCCCATCATCCATGCTGGGTGGGGTTGATGGGAGTTGGAATCTGACAACATCTGGAGGGATATCCTACCCTGCACAGCCTTAGCTAGACTGTAGTTCTGGGAGATGGGATGCAAGCGAATTTAGTGCATATTACAGCACATGTGCAGATGCAGACATAATTCTAATGTCCAAAATTCTCTCAGGAGGCAAAAGGTGTATGTACCACTAAAGCAACACTCACATCGCAATATATTTCAATGAATGAAATTACCCTATATTCTTCACTGTCTTCAGGGTAGTCATCCAATTCTTTATCAAGACGAGAAATTTCTCTGCTGATTTCATCAAGCTCTGCTTGCAACCGCTTGTATTCTTGTAGACCTGCATCGAAATCTCGCTTGTATGCTTGCCTTTGTTGATCAGATGATACAGGTGGATATTCCCTGGATGAAGAGTGATTTAAACGTCATTGTTTGTAGAAATGGAGTGGGCAGTTGCAGAGAGACTTGCTGATTTAGCATTTGTTTATAGGGAAAGGATACCTATGATGCAAATTAATCTCAGTTGGTCAAAGCATGAAAATGTAGAATTTAGATCCGCATTCTCTACTAGAACTGGCAAATGCCTATAGGAGCCTTGTACAAAGATGAGCCAATGCCATAATAAAGAAGTACAATTCCACACCTTTAAAGAGTAAAGTTTTCACTGTACTAAACATTAACCTGTGCAAAAGAAACATGTTAATAAATTGAAAAAACAACAAATATCATGTTTGTTTTCCCAAGAAGAATTCTCAATCCCAGAAAGTTACTTCATGTCAACGATTTCTGCAGTATATTGCAACACTTGCTTGTTAAATTACATTTTTAAGACAATATCACAGCATATTTTTGAAATGAACATTGACATGCTATTTAACCTGATTTGATCAAATGGACTACACAAGTATGTCACTGAACACTTCCTATTTTTTTCAGTCATGAAATGAAAGAACCAGACAGGCAACGTACCAACGTGCTTATGGTATGCATATTATTATAGTTTTTATACTGAGTAACAATCCCATATAAAGTCATGATGGTAGACCATTTGCAACTTTCCTTCAGCAAGACTTCAGTTTCTAGAAATTATTACCACTATTTTGGGCTCCATCTTTTTTCCATGTACATATGGTTACCCAAAGAAATCTCTCTCTCTCTCTCTCTCTCTCTCTCTCTCTCTCTCAGACACACACACACACACACACACACACACACACACACGAATATGCATTCCACATAATATGTTTTTTGCACATTGATTGGGCACATGCATGGAAAGGGCACTGTTTACTTAACAAGCAATGCGTGCTTTCCTTCATACTTCATTATCTTGGCTGACCGCATGAGTTGCCATAGTTACGCATAACACACTTGAGTTTCTAACTCAGGTTATATAAAGGGTAGCCGGAGTGCATTTCATTTGTACCTCTTATTTTGAAAATTGGTTACTATAAGTTTTACTTACAAAAAGGTCTGTTAAGGGACAAATCAAGAATTTCACAAACTATGTTACTATCTGATTAGAGTGAGGTATATTTACTTAATTGCTGGTCAGTTTTTACCTATTTAAGCAGTGATCCAACAACTTTTAACCAACTGAATCATATCACTGAAACACAGGAAGAGCCATTTCTGAAATCTTACATACTTGTGACCAGATTCTAAAAACAGAGACCTTCCAAGTATGCATACAAGCAGCAGCTCAGGATGAGTCAGTTTCAGCAGGCAGTTTTCAGAGGCTAATAATGTTCCAAAATATGACATCTGCCTGCACCTCCCTTCATTTTCCTGCTCTGCACTAACATACAAGATTGACACCTTAATAGGTAGGTAACACACAGAAGCTACAGCAACTAATTTTTCAATCCATCACATTCATGTAAAATACTTATATTCAAACACAGTGATGCTTCCATCAGTAGTAGGAAAGGCACTGCACTTTTATTTTCCCTACTGAAATACTAGCTTTTCACTAACAAGTAGATGACATCAACTTCTGAATTTCATATCCAGTTTCCATTTATGCTACCTGTTAAAGCCTCATGGTAACCTGCATCAACTTGAGTTAGAATAAGTGGGGTTCTCTGTACTGATGCTCTACAACCAGGCTGCCATTAACATGGTACCAATGCCCAGGTTTTATGGAATTGTCCATACCTGTCCCAGTCCTCCTCCAGTTCATCACAAGACTCTCCTCCAGTGGTGTAATCTGCATCATAGTTGTCAGTGTAGGTTCTCTTTGCTCTTCCTGCTCTTCCTTTTTGTGCTGGCTCCTTAGCTGACCCATTGTAACTGCTAGTGTTGGCATACTGAGGTGGCATTGGGCTCTTTGTTAAATTCACTTCAGGTATCCTGTTACAAAACAAAAACAATTCATTTCCACTGAGCAGATATTAAGAAAGACAAAATAAAGACTGCTGGTTGTCAATGCTAGGCTTCCCAATGTTAAGATTATTTTCCTCACCACACAAAATGACACTATTGTCTAAGAGCTGTTGTACGAAGTCAGGGGGACTAATGCAACAGGTAACAAAGTCAGCGAAGTCATGCCAGATACTTTCTGCTCTGCAGCATAAGCTGGTACCCTTCTCTAGAAATGTTAATCAGAGTAACCCCTGTAATTCTAAGGGCTCAGAGTTACTGTTCAGCTTTAGTAAACTAATGATTAAAATATGAACAAAAGGGACCTACGTATTGAACTTGATGAAATAAAATGTTGGACACATTTAATCTCCCTGTCATTTACAGAAAACAGTTGACTTCAAGAATCTAAGACAAAATGATATTAATTATTGTTTTCTTTGGCACACACACAACAGTCTTCAAATCCTTCTGTAAGCAAACCTCAGTATGTGCAAGTGAAACTACCAGAGATACATCCTGCCTTAGTTTCCCTCATCATCTTCTGTGTTTTGTCATGTCTTTTTTGATACTGAAAGCCCCTCTCAACATGGCTCACATAATTAAAATTAAATTTTACTGTGAATATGGTTCTGACCCTCCCTGCTATAGCCATAGTTGGGGGCAGTTTTGGGAAGGGTCAGACCAATATTCATAACAAAACTTATTTTTAATTATGTAAACCACCCTGAGACTTGTGTTTAGCCATTACTGAAGGTGGTTTACATTTAACTTAGTCTTTAAGTGAGAAAACAAGAGTGGCACATCTTGGGTCAGGCACATTTTGGCTGGCCCCGATAGCCAAAATGGTGTGGTTTCTAGGACCCTGCCTTTTGCTTTCAATGCAATCCTGGGTATATTTATTTGAAAGTCAGTCTCGTTGCATTCATTGGGTCTTCTTCCTAGGTTAACAGGCATAGAGTTGCAGCTGTAGTAATTGACCTTACGCTGTGCCTCCATGGGAGGTCAGGCACAATTTCCAGTTCTATTTTGGGGGAACTGCGGTGAGACAACAGGAGTTTGTTTTGGCAGGGACTAGTTGAGGTGGCTTGAGCACCAGTCAAACAGATGCCCCAAACCTTCCTCTCTAGCTGTTTGCCTGCCATGCCATGATGAGTGTTTTAGCAACATAGCCTTCCTTTCTAGCTTGAAGGTGGTGGGGAACACATCTTCTTCCATCTGCTCAAGGGTGATCCCTGCCCAACTCTAAGCTACAAAGAAACTTGATTGGGCTGGTAGAACACTTTCCAATGCATGGCGATAAAAATATTAGGCCCCCCCGCGGTCAATTTATTTCCTGCAATTAGACCCCAGATGACCAAGGGACTTACACATTCTAGGTTAAGACATGGTTGTGAAACTTCTGAATGCCACTAATGTGACAAGCTGCCCCGCCTGCCCCCGCCCAATGAATGCAGTGTTTTTATTTCATTCAATATAGAGACTGAGAACATTATGAAATCTTCACTTGTGAGCTAAATTTGCAAGCAGGATGGTGTTGCTGCACCTCTCAAAACATGGCCATCAACCTTTGACAACCATTCATTACAGCGCTATTTCATGTAATATGTATGCAAGGACTGTCCTTATTCCATTATGTTCATTCATAAGCAGAATAACTAATAAGTTCAACTATGGCTATCTTCCAGACAAAACATAGTTCTGAAGGTACAAAGGCAAGCTGGATGAACGACATACTTTCTGATCACCAGTTCCTTTTGAACCCAATTAAAAGGTGATACATGGGGGCAAAGTAATGATAAACCACCAACACATCACCTAAGGCAGTGGCAGCCGGTATGATGCGCTCCAGATGTTATAGACTGCATTTCCCATTAATTCCTGGCCATTGGCCATGCTTGCTAGGGTTGATGGGAGTTCTAGTCCAAAACATCTGGAGGGCATACTACCTGATGTAAGGAACGCTTGATGAGCAAGTGGGCAATGGAAGCCAATACAGTGGTACCTCGGGTTAAGTACTTAATTCGTTCCGGAAGTCCGTTCTTAACCTGAAATTGTTCTTAACCGGAAGCACCACTTTAGCTAATGGGGCCTCCTGCTGCCACCGAGCCGCCGGAGCACGATTTCTGGTCTCATCCTGAAGCAAAGTTCTTAACCTGAAGCACTATTTCTGGGTTAGTGGAGTCTGTAACCTGAAGCTTTTGTAACCTGAGGTACCACTGTAATAGAAGGCAAGTCAATTTTCTAAACAATGGAGCCAGAGAATATTACAAGAAGAGCAATCTCTTCAAGCAACCTCTACAAGCCCAGAGGATAACATGATTCTTTCAAATCACTATGCTTAACGTTCTCCCAACACACCCCTAAGTTGATATTGGCTCTTGATTAAAAGCTTTTTAAAAATTTCCACACACCCAAGAACTTGGGAGAAGTTTTTTTAAAGGCTGTTCAGTATTTACAAGATGCATGAAGGAAGATAGGATAGTACTGCTCATTCTTTAAAAATCCCTAGAGTTAGGATTCTTAGCGCTGCTTTAATGTTTCTAGGTGTTGGCTTTATGTTATTGTTTTCATCATAAATTCCCTTACAAAATGCTATGAAATGCAGGGTGCAACAGTGAAAGAACAATACACCCAAGGGACTAAGTCTGTAATCCTATGCCCTTATCTGACAACAAGTCCCACAGAACTCAGCAAGACTTACTTCCAGAGGACTGTAAGTGTATGTTTACTTCCTAGGTTATCAAAATGCGGATTGGTTATCCTTATCCAAATACTTATTAAACAGTGGAGGACACACACGAAAAGTAAACAGCAGTGTAACCATGAAACTACGCTCTTAAAAGCACAGGGCCTGTGTTTGTTCTCTCAGGTTGTGTAAGTGTGAATGTGGACATTCTACATTTTATAAAATATTTGCACTTTTATTGTTAGGTCTGCATACCTTGAAAAGTATACCCACTCAGGCTCCAGCCTTGCTTTTACCTCAGAATATTGAAGAAAAAACCCCCACAAAGCTATGCACATCCTAGATGAACACTGTAACAAATAAATCCTGTATATTACAAAGTGATATGTAGCTACGAGATGAAGATCAACAGTATGCTTTTTTTCAAACACCCTAGTCTCTTAACTCTCTGGACAGGTCAGATCCAAGTGTTATTTATTTATTGAAGTTTTCCTATCCCCTCTAGGCTGGAGAACTTCATGTAAGAAAAGCTTAAAACAACCACCCTTCACCCCATCCTCAACCTAGCTAGTTAACCTATCTGCCAGCTGTTCACCTAAACTAATCCATGATCCAAAACAAAGGTGTAATTCAGATCCTGGGATCACTGCCAGTGTCAGAATTTGGACTTTCAAATTTCAGTAGGACCCTGTGTAATGCCAAAATTCAGCACCCAGTGCAGGTGAACCAGTCGCACTCCCCTGAATCTGCCGCTGTTACTGCCCCCCACCCCTTTCAACTGCAGGTCAGTGTTACAGTTTTGTCAACAGGAATCTTAGTAACTGATTAATGTTCCGAAAGGGGGGGTGGCAGGAGAAAATGATATCACAACCTGCTTTGAATTGCTTAATATTGATCCTGTGTGGTCTTTCTATTGCATTGTGTCCATTCAATTAGAAAAAAAACAGGAACATTTATACTTACGGAGTAGCTCTGTAGCTATTGTCATTATAGATCTGTTGTACAGGAACTTCAGAAACCGAGTAACCCACAGAACTGGCAACTCGATCTGTATAGTCAGCCACAGGGGTAGGTATTGCTGGCTCCGGATTTATGTTCTTCACCTGGAAGGACATACATGTGTTAAGATAAACATGTAACACTGAACAGGATACCGTCATCCCAGAGCAGAATACTTCTCTCTGCTTTTAATTGGCTGCATTTCAGATTCTAAAATGGCACAAAATGTGTATTTAAAGAAAGGATTAGACTCCACAGTAGAGAGCTGAACCCACAATGCAGCACTAAAGAACAGGTTGCCTGCCAGCTCTCTCTGCCCAAAGAGGTTATAATAAGCAACTACACTCAAGGGAGAATTATGCATTTTTCAAATGCCAAAATTTCGCACCAAACGAAGCCTGCCTCAAATGTGCATGTTGAGAATAAGGCTTTGTACAGATTCACTCTGGCTCCAGTGCGCTCCCGTTGCTGGTGTTTGAAACTGTGTACGCATGACATTAGCCACTATGAATATCTATCCTGTAGGGGTTTGAGAAATACTGCTGTTTAGTGCCTCATACCAGCTTCCATCCAATTTACTAACTTAAACCACAGTTCAACAGCTGTTGTGCGTGTGCAGGTGACAGCTTCCTGAATAGGGGTTTAGGGGGTTGCTGCAGTGGGGAAACCAAACAGGTAATGCGCATTCCTGTCCCTTCTTTGGTGCATACAGCAATGTGCAAGTGAGACTTGCAGAATGGGGTGCATAGTAATCATGTCTTCTTAGTCTGACCCACAGGTGAAGAGATCCGAGATGAGACACCTTTCTAGAAGTCATTCTCAACAGCCCCTCACACATGGGACTACAACTGGAACAAATGCTGAACTTGAATTCAACATCTCACTATTATGTCTGCTCGTCAGCACAAGCATTTCTGCTTACTAGGACAAATGCTATTCCCTGCCCCTTGTGTACTGTTCTGAGGTTCTCCCAGAGCTGTTTGGGGGGCACCCGGGTGCCCAGGGGTAGGAGACGGGGGGAGACCCATTGTTCTAGCAGGACTCGTTGTACCGGTTCCTGCTACCACAACTGTTTACTTGAATTGGACCTATTGCAGTGATTTTTGCATGCCTGTTGATGGAGCCTGAGAATTCCCAGTATCCCACACCAAGAACACCCGAGAGCTTCCCACTGGGGAATCCCCTTTCTTGACTCATCAGGAAAATACAGGCATTTAGTCACCTTCTCTGCTGTAGAACAACAGCAGGTGATGAAATGCACACATGGTAGCATTAAGGTTCATTAAAAAAAATCCATATAAACAACTATCGCACGAAAATGAAAAACAAACAAACAAACACAGCAGTCCAGGAATAACTCAGACATCAAAACATAACTGGCTAATTAAAAGCTTAAGCAAGCTTAAACACACAAACCAAGTCAGCCAGTAGAAAAAGCTTTCAATGAGAGCCACAATTTCACCTGTCAGCAACAAGCTATCACCAAGGGAGCCAGGCAGCCCACTCTGGGAAATGCATTCCACAGAAAAGGCTCAGCTCTCTACACCCTCATTGACCTCACCCAAAGCAGGCTACCCAGAGCAGAATCCAAGTGCCTCTCCCTTGAGTGACTGGCTTTCTTATCAGCCAACTTCTCAGTTCAAAGAGCTTCCCATGAGGCGGCTCCGACCCCCAGGCATGCTGGCTGAAGGCAAGACCCAGGATATCAATCCAGAGCCATCCAGGTCAGTTTCCAGGCTGATGCATGAACAAATCACCCAGTCTCAGGAATGTTCAGCCCAAGGTGGCAGAATTTGTAAAAACAATTCTAACTATATGGCACCATGATATAAAAACAGGGTGGGTGGGGGCAGCTGTGACATCTTGCTAAATAATTCCAGTCGTGCCATTCTGAGGTGGGGCAGAAGTTACATATGGAGTGCACAGAAGAGAGACACAGAACACACGTAATTCTCTTTTAAGAAATTTCTCTGCATGGATTGGAGCAGCTCTGACCACAAGAGATTGATGGCTAAGTATTGGCGAGGAGCCTTCTTCAGCTCAAAAGCTGCATTTCCTGTTGTCTAACTTGGGGGAGGAGGGCTGCATGCCAAAAGTGGGGTGTGGCTACCCCACCCCCTGCTCACACATGCTTTTTTAAAAAGAGTGCTTTTAAAAGCTTTTAAAGTAACAAACCCCAAACAACAATTAGCATGGAAAGGAAACCTTATTTCACTCGTACCTGCAAGCAGGGATTTTCTGGGATCACAGTTGGGGAATGAAGGGTTAACTCTCCTCCCAAGCTCTGCCTGGAGGGCGGGGGAGAGAAAGCCCCTCTCCTACATCACAATTAGGCTTCTGTTGTTTGGAAGTCTTTCAAGCCTAATTGCAGCACAGGGGGTCCTGGCTGGGGAAGGAAAGGTTTACAATGGCCACCCCAGGGGACAATTGTATATAAATGAAGGCTTTTTTTCAAGCCTGATAGCTGGAGGGCAGGGGTGCAGCAAGAAGGGGATGCTTATGATGCAAATGAGGAGGATCCTGGGGCTACATCTGGCTGATACACAGGCTGATATTTTCCACCCCTGAGTTACAGGGTTTTATCAAATTCATACTGGCTTCAAAGCTGCATGGGGCTGCAGTGATTTGCAGTTTAACCAATGGGGCAAAATATTCCCTGCCAGTATCTGGATACCACAATAGAAAGCACCATGGTTCTAATCTCAGCATTTTGTAAAATGGTGTGCATAGACATTTGTTCTGTGAGTATACAGTCAAAACCTCCACTGCCTTGGGAGAAGAAAAGGCAAAGGAGTAAACCTTACAGAAATCCGGAGTGGAGTCCCTAAGGTGGCGCCTTGTACACCTCTTTCCAGTGACCCCTGCAGCCAAGCTGGTGCCAAATGAATAGGGAAGCATTAAGTCTGGTGTTATTATGCTTTTATATTTGTTGGAATCTGCCCAGAGTGGCTATGGCAACCCAGTCAGATGGGTGAAGTACAAATAATAAAATTTGTTGTTGTTGCTGCTGCTCCTTTGGACCACATCAGGAGAGGGGGGTCTTGTCATCTGGGCAGCCCAAGACCTCCATACACACTACCTAGGCTTGCACCTCAGGAAGGTCACTTCCATGCTACTAACAGAGCAGTTTGCCTTCACCCATGGAGGCACAATCCATTGTCTCTCGAGACAGAGGGATACCAACAACCCCATCCAAGAGGCTGGGTGTAACTACTTTCACAAAGGGACTACTTTCTTCTCAAATTCCATCTGATATTCAGTATTAGATATGGAGTGCTATGTGTCTTCATCTCACGATCTCTTTTGGGCAGAGGAAGGAGGGAGGGAAAGAGCAGTTTGACTGGTTTTTCAAACTTTACATGGATATTTGTTAAGAGTGTTTAAGGGGAAAGGTATTCCCCCCCCCAAAAAAATGGCATTCTTCCACAGTTTGCTCTATGTAGAACTAATATGACAAAAAGCTTTTGGCTCCAAGTTCTCCAGAGGTTTAAAACTTCATACAGAGTTGCTGAAAGCCTACATCTCTTCACAGCCATAGCATAGCTTTGTCAGCTATGTTTTCCAGAGCACAGAAGCAGCTACTTAAGAGGGAAAAGGAGGGGGAGAAGTGCGACGTTCCAGATGAAATAATTTCATCTTTCCAAAACACAAACAGTGCTGGAGGACAGCTCATACTCATTTTAATTTATACTGAATTTCTTATTCTTTCTCTCTACCTTGGACACACCGTGTTAAAGGTGATTAATGCTGTTGGTTTTTTTAAAGGCATATACAATAACAAAGCCAAAACAATGGCAATGCATAATGCAGGACACCAGAGGAAAGAAAAACAAAAACCAAGCTGGAAAAGGTGGTCTGCCTACAGTGGAAAGCCAACAGAGTACGGACTAAGCGGATTATGCCGAGCAAGGAATTCCCCATTCTGGCCATCATGACCAAGTAGACTAAGTGTGCTGGACAAAATCTGCTCCTTATCTCTCCCCTTGTGGGGCAAAGGAGAGAGATGGGTAGAGTCACTCACTGGTCAATCACCTGATATCACAATGATGCCAGATGATGATTGTTAGGACCTCCTATGCAGGGCTTGCGAAGAGCCTTCTGCAGTCTGAATGTAAGACAGTCTGAATGTAAGGCGGGTGGCTCCATCATGGAGCTACAGCTCTTTCTTTACTAATGTTTCTAGGAAAGCACTATTTTCACTTATGTACCCAGTCATTGTATTCTTTTCAAACTTAATCTACTTTCCACACACCACAAACGAAAGATAGCTGTCCAATTAACACAACAACCCTTTTTCAAGGAATAGCTCCAGTAACCATTTAACCCTGAGAACTGGAATGGCACAAATTTCATCTATTGACTTAAGGTCAAAGGAACTCACTTATTTAGTTTAGCTGGTTTGTTGACCCAGCGTGTAAAGAATCAGTACTACATGAGAACCAAACTGATTTTCCCTATGGCGGAGACTAGAAAATTTTCAACTGCCTAAATTCACCTAAAGTGATTGCACATATTAGCATGTTAGCTGGAAGCAGGATTCTTGTGGGAACTACGGCATAAAAAAAAAGAGAACGTGCAAATCATGGTAAACAAGACTATTTCCCTAAGTTATAAGAGCTGCAGCAAGTCATCCTCTTGTTTGGCATAACTGAAATCCATGCATGACCTCTAGCTTTAAAGAGTGATGAAGAACAAGCAGATACCAGAGTATGGTGGTTCGCATTATATTTAAAAGGGCACACCTAAAATATGAAGTCTGAATGCAAACACATGTATCATCCATGATTGGCTGCAACTCCCAGTTGAGAATATGTTTGGTTGTAAACCCAAGTTTGTCTATTTACTGTGTAAAGTAAGCCTGAGGACATATATAATGGTTGTGGTAAGACACCGAGGCACTGAATAATCAACTCCGGAAGTCCTGTTGATCCCATCAATTCAATAAATATACAAGACAAACTATGGTTTAGCAATGCAGGAATGAAGCCTGTATTTACATATATGCTCACACCTCTCCCTGACACTTCCTGAGTTATGGCAAATATAGTTTGCTGTTAAATATGCAAAAGCAAGTCATGATTGGCTGCAATCCTGAAAGAAACTTATTAAGTGGAACATGGTAAAAAGGGGAGGGTGCATGCAAGCCTGAGGCTTGCTCATGCAACGCAAAACCATGGTTTGCCATTACAGAAACTGGCCCAGTATTGGTGGTGTTACTGCACATGGTACATCCTGCACAGAGGAATGTTATGCAAGTCCCGGGAAGCTTGGTACCCTCATTTCCCCTGCACGTCTAGTTTATGATTACTGCCAAAACTAGGTCAAAATCAGCATATGCCAAAGTAAAAGGTAGGTTATCGGTTTTCTGACATGTGGATGTATCCAAACACTCATCCATGTATCTCAGAAACCTAATCATGTATTTCATTTTAGGTTGATATATTGTACAATGGTAAGGGACACAGGTGGCATTGTGGTCTAAACCACTGAGCCTCTTGGGCTTGCCGACCAGAAGGTTGGCGGTTCGAATCCCCACCCCGGAGTGAGCTCCCATTGCTCGGTCCCAGCTCCTGCCAACCTAGCAGTTTGAAATCATGCCAAACAGTGCAAGTAGATAAATAGGTACCTATCCAGCGGGAAGGTAAATGGTGTTTCCATGCACTGCTCTGGTTTCGGTGTTCTGTTGCGCCAGAAGTGGCTTAGTCATGCTGGCCACATGACCTGGAAAACTGTCTGTGGACAAACGCCAGCTCCCTCGGCCTGTAAAGCAAGATGAGCGCCGCAACCCCAGTCATCTGCAACTGGACTTAACTGTCAGGGGTCCTTTACCTTTACCGTGGTACCTCGGATCCCGAACGCCCTGGAACTCAGACGTTTTGCCTCCTAAACACCGCAAACCCGAAAGTGTTGTTCCAGTTTGTGAATGTTATTTCAGAACCCGAACATCTGACAGGGCTTCCATGGCTTCTGATTGGCTGCAGGAGCTTCCTGCAGCCAATGAGAAGCTGCGATTTGGTTTTCGAACATTTTGGAAGTCGAACGGACCCCTGGAACGGATTCTGTTTGACTTCCAAGGTACGACTACATTACAAAATGTGAAGAGGAAGACTTTTTTTAAACCTCCCCCCCCCCCGCCACAAAATGAGAGAATGCTACAACTGTTTCTAATTACCATTTGAAGTATGGTGATATAAGAGTGTTTTTATGTGCACTCTAAAAGCTGTGACAGCCCACCTAACCTGGCTTTACAACTTGAATATACAGAGTGCTAGATAAGGCATTGAATATACTACTCGACAACAGTAACTATGACAGATTTTCATAGTTTTTGGAGATGGCTAAGCTGTTGTCTCCAGATGTTGCTGAATTCCCCGCCCCCATTCCTTTTCAATTGTAATTATGACTGCGGCTGATGTGAGTTTTACTTGAGCAATATCTAGAGGACCACAAGTCAGCCACACCTGGTTAAGCATGAATGAGCAGTGTTGTTAATACGTTACTCTCAAGTCATGGTTGACCTTGACCATTTCCAGGACATCGAAAAGGCAATATACATCCAATCCCACTACTTTCTGCTTGATCTATTAATAACTCTGGTCAACCACAGTTCTAGGCTGTAACAAGTTGCAGAGCTTGGAACATGCAGTATAAAAGGCTCCGTGAGTATTTAGTACTTTATCTGGATAATTCTAAATTGGTCATTGTGGATTTTCTGGGTGCACCTGAACAAAGTGTCATTTTTTTAAAAATTCAGTTACATATAAGTGAACCTCAGAACTCCCCCGCCATTAAAACAGTAGAGATTTCCTCTAAAGTGTTAATGTAGTTCTTCACAAAAAGCCACCTCAAATATCAGAAGTTAGCCATAATTTTCTGCTTGGGATATCTGATCTCTGGTAAAGACAAAAAGCTACAGGTACTGTATAGTTATTCACTGGGATTTGTTATTTGGCTCAGGGTTTTTTTTTCACCCGCGCTTCCCCTGGCAGAGTGAAACATGAGTAAACAAGTTCATTAGCTAGTAAAGAACACGCCCCGAAACTGTCTCACCGAAACATTTGCTTCATATCATGTAAGGCACTATATGAAGCAGTCAGTCCCTTTACACTGGCCTGATGGATAAAGGACAAACGAAGTCCGTGTCATGTGCAAGTCATAAAATATCAAAGTGCACAGTGAATACTGTACTCATAAAAGAGCAAGCATTAAACTGAGTCATTTTCCTAGTTAATTAAGCACCTCCAGCATAAGGAGGTGGGTTGCTTTTTATATTACAGTGCAGGTATTTTAAATGCTCAGCCTTGCATTTATAACATTTGCATCGTTATCTCAAATGTTGTACTACCACCTCTCAAATTACCTGAAGTTACATTGAAAATTCTTAGTATTTATATTCCAAAAGAGCATTTAGACTTTGTAAACAGCACCAGCAAAACACAATCCAAGGGCCAATTCTGGACTGTATATGACCTGGGATATTTTTCTCTGCCCAGAACACACCACACCCGTAGTGAACAACTCATTTAGTTGTTCATTCTGAGTGCAAACTGCAATTTTACATGCTACAAACCTATCCAGCACAACCATTGTGCAACAAAGAGATAAAAACGCGTTGTCTTCCCTAGACTCCTATCAAGAATGAACCCTGCTGCCTCAAGAAATAATGCTGAGGAGGTGGGTTTTAAAAAAACACAACTTCATATAATCACTAAACTTAATGATTCTTCAGAATTGTAGTCGCTAATGCACATATATAATCTTTAATGCAGGCTCACAATTATTGAAGACAAAAATTCCAAAATAAAATATTAAAACATAACTTACCCACTCTTCTACATTGGGAGCCTCTTCATAACTTTTTACGTGGTCCCACAGGATATTCACTTTGCCATAGTAATTCATTTTACTTCGGGTTCTTGCTGCAAAGAATATTATTATGGCAAAAGCTACAACAAGGAGGAAGGCCAATACAATGGCAATAGCCTAGGAAAGGAACAGATCAATAGGAGTTTTAAAATGCAACAAATCAGAACAAAGATAAGTCTTAAATTCGACTATCTATTCCTTTCAAAACTACAAGTAACAATGAGACAGAAACACATTGGTCTTAAGCAACTTACTCTTTTAGCCATGGTTACTTAACTGCACTTAACAGAATAGTTAAAATGGTGGCCCACCTCGTAAGATTGTTGCAAAAACTGATTATGACAGGACTTGGTATGCAAAGTGCATCGTAAATTACTCGGGATCTCAATGCAGGTAGAAATTCCTTACACTTATTTAGGCAAGCCATTCCTCAAACTTGATATACTCTATATTCAGAAACTCAGACTTTCATAGGATTAAGAAAGGAATAATGAAAGGTAAAGGATAATTTAGAGATACCTGCCTTTCTAACAGTCTTTTTTTTAAAAAAAAAGAAGAAATGCTTAGCTCAATTAGGTGAACCTAGTGCTTAAAAATAAGGTGTCCTAGGGCAATCTCATTAACTGAGAAGTATGAATCCACACCTGCCTGTGCTTTACTGGCAAAATCCACAGTATATGAATACATGTGATCTTTTTAAAAAGTCTTTTTTGTGCTCAGGAACAGGTTCCCAATTATCAACAGCAATGCAAGAAACCAGTTGCAGATGGCATGGTGGAGCAGAGGCACTCACCCTGTTTCTCAGGAGAACAGTGGGAGGGGCAAGGTGGCAGCACCAGTGGAGCTACAGAAGTGCTCCTGCTGGTGTGTTTGCACTGTGCTAACATCTTCCTCCTGGTAAGCAGCAGCGACTTGTCGGCTACTGCAAGAAGCAATTCTCAAATATTTGGGGGGAGGTCATCTGACATAAGCTCATACTTTGATTGGTTGGCTCCTGTTCTGCCAGTTCTGAACTAGCTCCCCATGATAGGGGCCCATCTTTATTTCAGCCTTCAGCCTACTTTTGTGTATCATAGGGCAGAAAAGAAACAAAGAGCCATTTCCTTCACATTCACTTCTGCAAAATTTTCTTAATTGGAAGGCAAGGCTGAGCAGAACTTTCTTGTGAGAAAAATGTTTTAAGATCAGGCTGTTGCCAGGGGGAGTGGGAGAGGGATTTGAGCAAAATTTTTCATGCTTAGCCTTTAACTTCCTTGGGCAGAAGCAAATAATTGCATTCTTGCAATCAAAAAAATATGACTGCAGCTATTTAGCATCCCCATACTTTCACTTAAAATTATTTTTATTAATCCCCTTGAGATTTTTGCAAAAATCCTAGGTGGTGACCGATTGATTTTTTTAAACAAACAAACAAACAAATGGAGAATTGAAATTTCTCCAAGACCATTCAATATGTCTGCAGAGTTGAGTTACTGTCCATGAACATAATTGCCCAGGACAGCTAGCACAGGTTATTCAATTAAGGATCAACATAGACAAACCCATAAAAGGAACAGCTAAAAGGATTAGCAGGGTTTGTAGGCTCCAGCTGCTTCCTAACAAGTGTTTCAATAATTCAAGTAGGGCTTAAATCAGGATACATAGATCTGAACTCAAGATTTAGAGGTGCAATGCAACTCCAGTAAATAAAACCAGTCAAGCCATGTTGAAACCCTGAATCTACATAGGATAACCCCTACTCACTAGGTCTAGGCCTCCAATTAATCATCTGAATCCTCTCTAGAGCAGTATAGACAGTATTAAAAAAGAGAGAATAATCACATTCTTGCAAAAGCTTCCCAAGGTTAGCTAAATAGCCACCAGTATAAGCTAATCAATAATAGCTCAATTACAAAACTAGTTTTAGCATTATTATTCAGCACACCATTTGATTCAGGACTGAAATACAACTAGTATTTTGCATTTTGAATTTCTTAATTATCGCATCTACATACCTCCTGAGGTTCCACCACACAGTAGTGATACAAGTACTGATTCACAAAGACTCCAGTGGTTGTAGGATTGTAAAAGGAGCTGCACATGGCATAAATCTGATTGTAGTACATCGATCCAGAAGCTTGTGCAGTTGGGTTCACTGCTAGTGTATATACAATGGCCGCGATAAATACCAAAAAGAGGAAGATGGAGCTTCCTATTATCAGGAGGAGGTAATACATCCTTGACCTGGCTATGCTAGTCTTGGTAACGCCCGTTACAAAAACCACTAATCCAGCAATAAAGCAAAAAGCTGCCATTGCAATGATGAAGCCTTTTGCTCCTCGTGGATCAATATAATTTCCTCCATAGCCATAGCCATAAGAACTTCCAAAGCCACCAAGGGAGCTACCATAGCCGTAGCCAGATCCCATACCATAGCCATAGCCAGTTCCCATACCAGTTCCCAGACCAGTTCCCAGGCCAGTTCCATACATATCCATGTCCCAAGCCAACGTGGATGCAACACATGCAAAGATGCCAATGGACATCACTATTATGAGAACCGACATGATCTTGATTATTCCTGGAGGGGACGACCATTTGTAGAAGTGTTGAACTTCCTCTTCCGGATAGTAGGAATATGCAGGCTGAGAGTACATTGGCTGAGAATGGAATTCACCACCATACGCATTATTGCTTGGTACATAGTGTGAAGGTTTGCTGCAAAAATCCAAAAAAACACACGCCTTATTATGAACCGCTATTAAAATATGAAATATTAATTTCCCTAGATACCTCTGAAAATCATTTAATTACTGTCTTTTATAATAGAATACAGCATTATTATTATTAATTATTATTATTATTATTATATTTATACCTTGCCCATCTGGCTGGGTTACCCAGCCACTCTGGGTAGCTTCCAACAAACACAAAAGTAATAATAAAACATCAAACATAAATAGTAACAATCAGATATTATATACCAAGTCACAAAAAGTTGTTTAAAATAAACAACTTATACCAAATAAAGTAGTATGCAATAATGCATTAGAATCCGATAGTAAACACTAAAATTAAACATCAGCAAGTAATAATAAAACTGTTTACACTTATCAATTACAATAAAGAATTACATCTGCCATGTTTGAAATATACATTATATGGTATGCATGTATTCTGTACAGCATTTCACAAACTTTGACTGGCCTTAGTAGTCAATCCAAAATTTGTTGTCCGAATCCTACCCTTGGACGACAGGGTCTTTGTCTGACACTGCACTCAATATATGGCAAGCAAGAGGCTGCACAAGGGTTGGCATCCATCTCCCATTCCAGCTGCATGTTCAAAGGACTCTGCAGAGGGTGAGTCTGACCCACTTTCTAAAACCTTACATAACTTACTTGTGCTCAGCCATAAGTTGCTGCTGCCTGGCTAGCCAAAACTGACTGGGATGGGGTGGAGTAGGGGTTGTATGTGTGTACACATACACCTTGCAGTAAACAGTGGTGATGGCTCCTTGCATACTGGTCACTTTCTAAATGCTGGAAAAGGAGCAGGATGGATGAAATGAACATCTCTGATGGGGCAGAACACCATTCAGATCACCCCCTACCCTGCTTCTGAGCTTATGGGGAGTGGGCCCCTGCTGCACCTTCCTCTCCCCTCCACCAACACAGCTCTGTAGCTTTCATTTCAGCAACCTCTCCCACCTCTTGGAATCAAGCTTCATTCTCCCTCTCCAGCACACCTCTTGGTGCTTGAGCCTCTGCCGCTGTCTGTTCCACAGAACAGGTGTTCACCATCTCTCTATAAGTGGCATGGGCTGGAGGGCAACAGGAGTTCCCATGCTGGGCACTCCATAGTGCTGTGAAGTGGGGCACTTGCACACTCAGCCCTGATTAGTGCTGAGCAGAAAGAGTTGGGAGCACACAGCTGGACAGCTGCTTGCAGAAGGGTAGAGTCCTCCACATGCCATGGATGGATTTTCTACCTGTTGGTTTTACATTTGAGCACATGTAACTGAATACAAAGTACGACAAGTGGCATTTTTCTGCCCATAATAAGACTACAAGTGGGTTGTGGGGCAGAGGAAAGAGATTTCCCTTCCCACATTTATGAACACAGGTATGGGTGCAATAAACTCTTTCAGGTAAGCCAGATTTATTGCATATTGTATGTGTGAGTGAGTTAAAAACCCCAAAATGTATTTTATTTCATAAAAGTTATATACCGCTTGAATGCAAAATGCCTCCAAGTGGTTGGGAAATGAGAAAGTACTGTCCCTTTTTAAATACAGGAACAGGTGATTACCCTTTCCTACTGTATTTTAAAAATGAAAGCAACCTCTAAAATGCCACAAGACAATTTTATAATTGACATGGCATGAGTTTTGTATCTTGTGACGACGTTCACCTGCATTAGCTTAAAAATACTGAAAAGCCATTTATACTGAATTTTCTAACATCTCCTATTCTTTAACACTATTGCAGAGAGAGAAACAACCACAAAAGCACCTTCTAACAAAAATATGACAAAAGACCTTTCATTAATTAAGATTACCGTATTTTTCGTCCCATAGGACGCTCCGTCCCATAGGACGCACCTAGTTTTTTTGGGGGGGAAATAAAGGAAATTTTGTTCCCTTTATTTCCCCCCCAAAAGCAGGTAGGGGAAACCGAACAAGGTCGAGGAACAGCGGGATGACGGCGCTGCGCCTCCCTGTTGTCCCCCGAGCTTGTGGGGCTGGCCGTTGTCTGCCCAGCGCGAGGGGCGCTCTGCTTCAGGGCGCCTCGCCCGCTGGGAGGCAGGCTGCTATCCGCAGCGTGGGGAGCCCTGCAGGGAACTCCTGCAGGGCTCCCACGCTGCGGATGTCTGCCCGGCGCACGGGGCGCTCTGCTTCAGGGCGCCCCGCCCGCCGGGCAGCAGGCTGCTATCCGCAGCGTGGGGAGCCCGGCGGGGAACTCCTGCAGGGCTCCCCACGCTGCGGATGTCTGCCCGGCGCGCGGGGCGCTCTGCTTCAGGGCGCCCCGCCCGCCGGGCAGCAGGCTGCTATCCGCAGCATGGGGAGCCCTGCGGGGAACTCCTGCAGGGCTCCCCACGCTGCGGATGTGTTCCCGAAGCGCCGGGCGCTCTGCTTTCAGGGCGCCCGGCACTCCGGGAAGCAAGCTGCTATCCGCAGCCTAGACATCCCTGCGGGACCTCCTGCAGGGCTGCCTAGGCTGCGGATGTCTTCCTGAAGCCTGGAGAGCGAGAAGGGTCGGTGCGCACCGACCCCTCTCGCTCTCCAAGCTTCAGCGAAAGCCTGCATTCGCCCCATAGGACGCACCCAGATTTCCCCTTCATTTTTGGAGGGGAAAAAGTGCGTCCTATAGGGCGAAAAATACGGTACATACAAGAATATGATTGTAATATAGCAGTTTATAAGAAAATTACAATCTTTCAGAATTTTATAAAAAACTGTTATAAAAAAATCTGTCCCACAGATCATCCCATTGTCATCTCTGTAGCAAGTGAAAATCAATTACCATATTTGCTCAAATGTAACGTGACCTTTTTTGGAGAAATTACATCGCAAAAATTAGGGTGCAGATTAGATTCGCTGGTGCATTAGATTCACATAAATACGGTAATAGGTAGGGTGGTATTTGGGAGGGAAGCTGGATGCTTTCTAAAAGAAGAATACATCTTCAGCCATAATGCCAATGTGAAGTTCCTTCTGTATTTAAGTTTATGAGAGGCAAAGCCCACAGGTTGGAATGACCTGTAGGAACAAGCATGCCCATAGGAATGCCATCACAGGCTTAATGACGTCATTGCACTGGATTGAGAAAAGCATCACATTACCAAACTATAGTAGCTGAAGACTGGTCAAGCACATTTTCCAAACTAGTCCTGTCCACTAACATAGAAACAGAATTTGATGAATCTTCCCAGTCACTCATGTGGGCAAGAAAACAAAGGCCTCTGTGGACCACCCTTTCCTGACCAAGTGCAGTCCAGGTGTTTTGGAAACCCATCAGCCCCAGTAAACACTCAAGGTTCCCCAGATTGTGGGAGGCTGACACATGCTATCACAATCGGCACAGAAAAACCATCCTTCCCCCATGAACTTCCTCTCTGTCAGTAAGTAAATTGTACTTTTGCCAGTCATTTCCAATGCAACATTCCAGTCAGTAGGAAAGTACAGTCAAACCTCCAGCTCACAAGGCTGGAAAGCAGACAATTCTTTGCACATTATTAAATATTCAGTTATTCAGTAAATATCTCCTGCCAGAAAACATACACGTTTTTAAACACAAAAAGTGCAGGTGTTGAAACCTTCACCAGTCGCAATATGCAGAAACAGCAAAGATCGACAGTACTGTTATCACATTAAGCAATGACTCCTTGACCTTAAGCGCCTTACATGGAGACAAGTCTTACCAGATTTAAACACAGAATTTATTTCCACCTTATGGTGACAATTCCTAGGTACTGTGGGCTAACAGATCTGCACAGATTATATTTGCATTCCAGCAGCCTTCTACCAAACTTAAGCTGTGTTTTAAGAAGAGGGATGATTGGATAAGCCAATCTGAAGACGATGGGCTAGATGCATTCTGTAGCTAGAGTGTACTTCTTTTTTTTTTAAAGCCACTCAGTTGCATGACATAATGGTTAGAATGTTGAACTATGACCTGGGAGACCAGGGTTCAAATCCCCATTCAGCCATGCAGCTCACTGGGTGACCTTGGGCCAGTTACCATCTCTTAGCCTAACCTACCTCACAGCGTTGTTGTGAGGAGGAAATGGAAAGGAAGAGAACCATGCACACCACCTTGAGTTCTTTGGAAGATAAAGGTGGTATGTAAATGTGATAATTAAAATAAAATACGGACTCAGTTTCAGCAAGACTTGAGTTTGCTATGAAATCCACAAACCTGCTTGCCAAGGAAACTTATTTTCACCATCAATCAGCTAACCTCTCCCACCATTGTATTGTCACAACCATTTTGAAATCTCTCCATATATACAGTGGATTTAACAATGCTCTCTCTATTCTAAGGCTGTACAATTTATAGCAGGGGCAGGATAGTCTACCCCCCTTATGCCCTTGATTCTCAATAGGAAGTGTACGTCCACACACATAGAGTACCTATGTTGAGCTTTAAAATGGTGTCTGCTTTATGGTTACAACCATTATATAATTTAATTTTCAAAATATGTATTGTTTTAGTGACAAAGTAGCTAGCATAAACTGCATCTACTGTTTATACAATTAATGTTGGGAGCTGCCAGAATTCTTATCTTTAACAGTGTACACTAGTTATCAACAATAATTTGAACTAGCACGGAGAAAAGAAAAACAGATATTTACAATTCATCGGGTCGATAAGGCGGCGGACTTTCAAATGGCCTCGATGACATAGTGGAAGCTCTGGACTGTTTAGCTGTAAGAATTTAAATCTATAAGAAGAAATGGGGGGAAAAGAAACTCAACTTAGAATATTAAGTCAACCATAACCAAACCATCAATAGTTATACACACCAATATGGAGTGGTAAGTTTCTAAATTACAATAACAGGACAACTCTTTTCAGCAAAGTAGATGTAGACAGAAGAGACTGAATGATTTATGTTCTATAAGGGGTCACCACATTTTTTGACCCGCAGGCACATTTACAAATTGGTTAAACCATCACAGGCACACAAACACACCCCATAACAAACCATGCTCTGCAGCCAGTCATATCAGCTACAATGCTTCCTTAAAGCCTAATTTCAGCAGCATGAGGGGACTTTGAGGACACACACGCACATGCAAGTACCATCCCTGTTTACCATGTATGATACAGGGGCAACTATTTATGTTCCATCTAAATTTACAGGAAATCCCAAGTGTGTTTACAAGGAAGTATGTTATACTTGGTAAATGGTCTTGCACCTATATAAGTATGCACAGGACTGCAGCTTATGGATACAATATAAACTGAGGCACCCCCTCTCCAATTCTCATAATTAGCTTCCTCATTCATTCCTTTTAATATAATTAAATTGATTCCATCTATTGAAAATAGATTTGGTCAATACTCTTCAATCCAATTCAAACTTTTAAAGATACATCCTTTTATCTTGCTCCCAGACAGCAGCTCCCTTGTTCATTTTAGGTGAGATGGCAGGTCTACACATACGCTCAATGGCAGTGTTTTCATGTAATGTTAAGCTATGGTGCATGGTTGGTTTAAACCATACTGTTCATGAGTTGCAGGCTTGCCCATACAGATTATTATGCACTTCCATTTCACAACCCACTCTGGCCAGCTGTGACAACAAACCACAAGCTTTGGCTTACCCTGAAGTTTGAACCAGAGATTCTTGTTTGCTTCTCTCTAAATTCACCATGATGTTATCATGGTTTGTTTGGGAAAAACAACCGACAGAGTACTGGTTCAGACGTCATGCTAGCCCAAGGCTTGTGGTTTGTAAGTTGTTGCTCCTGTCTGGACAAAGAGGGGAATGTAAAGAAAGCACTCAAGTTGTGGGCACTTCCAAGCTGTTTGCATATTATGGTTAAAAAACAAACCACACACTTTATATGTTTTATGTGATGGATCAGGGGCATTTCACGCAGGGGCATTTGTGTTCTCTATATAATGCCACACTGCACACCAGTATTTCTTTTTAGCATTTCACATTGCTATATTATAAATGTAGGACCGAGCTCTCTTCAGTTTTTAAACATGAACATTTGCAAACATGATCTATGCTCAGATCATCCCTACATTTCATGATTTACGCTACAATCCAAAACACACTTCCCAGGGAGCAGGTTCCATTGAACTAAATGGGATTAATTTCTGAACAAACCTATTCCAGGACACTGGAAAGTCCAACAAACACAAAATCACATTTGGCTTAACAAACATACATACAAAGCAAGGGAAGCAGATCCACCTGCTGTGTGTTCTGGCTATCGATCTATGCAACTTGAAAAATGTGGTATAGATACATATTACTATAATATTCCACCTAATTGCAGTCCCACATTCTGAAGCAATCGCCCTCTTAATTTAGGAATGTACTGGAAACCAACATGCAAGAATGAGAAAACCCCCTTTTAAAAATATAATGTATTCATTTTGTTAACTAAAACTGTGTGTCATGTCTTTGCACAAAATTGGAAAAACTTCAACCAGATCTCAACACTGATAATGATTACAATTTCAACCCATTCTACCAGCCTGCACTTACACATGCTATTATTTAATTCTGTGACAAGTCTATGTGAAACCAGTTTCCAAGCATTTGACTGATCAGAGTCCACCCTTGGCCAAGACGTCAAACTTATCCAACCTCCCAGTGCATTGTTCAGAACGTGCAATGCTTGATGACGCACTTGCAGGAGTCCTCTAACTTACCAGAGTGTCCTAGTTCTCTGCTTGGCATACAGAACCAGTAGCCTTTAACATGAACCCATCTACTGTATAGCAAAAACCAATTAAAGCATGTTCTTCAACATAACAAACTCGCAGCACAACCCTACAGACATTTGCAAAGAAGCAAGACCCATTGGATTCATAGGGATTTACACTTAAGTAAAAGTGTGCATAGAATTACAGCCTTAGGAAATGAGAGAACAGAAAAGTCAAACAATTAAAGAAAATCATTTATGCCCTCAGGCCACCTATTTAAAAAGATGCCCTCGAGATAAAACTGAATTGGAGCAGAGAACAAGGAAATAGCAGGGGGGGAAGAGTGGATTTTAATGTGCTTTAGCCAGTGTAAAATTCCATATTAATTCCTGCAGATTAACAGTAATCCTAACCATGTCTACTCAGAAATCCTATTGAAATCAACAGGTAAATTACTCCCAGGTAAGTGAGATTAGGCTTTGAATTTAGAATACAGTATAAAAGTTTGCCACCTAGGGCTCTAAAGACCTGCCAGACTCACTGCCTTGTTTACAACCACACTTTCAAGAAACACGGCTCAGAGTGAAAGCAAGCTAATTCCTAAATGATAGACAAAAGAACAAACAAGAATTCGTAAGGATCAGGGAGGCTTAAGCACCTGGTCGACGAGCAGTGCTCATTTAAAACTGGACGTGTCTTTGAGCGAATCATATTAGACCAACAACATTCATGCCACTTAACCAAAATAAAGTTCAGGGTCGATAAATTAATATATTTCGATAACGACCGCAGACTTTGCATGAGAACGACCAAGAGGCAGCTGCGGCAAGAAATTAAATCTCAGTTATATGGAGGAAAATTAAATCTCAGCCACCTGGAGGAATAAATCGCAAATGAGTGTCCTGTAAAGTTTTAAGTTTCGGAAAAGCGTCCTGTAAAGTTTTAAGGGGGAAGTGGAGCGGGGGGGGGGGGACTAGAGCAGCATGGCTGTCTTCCCCCTTTCTTCCCCACCCACCACAAAATAAAGCTCCCTCACAATAGCCAACTCCAGGTAACCTGAAAGAGCTGGCTCCATCCAGAGCGATTTGGGTTAACCTCACAATCTCAGCCCACGCAGCAAGGCTGAACGGCTTAAGCCTTGGCTTGGGACTCGCAAACATAAACGAGATATCCCACCTGAATTCACTACTAAGCCTGAGCAAAGTCATTCAGAGTATAGTTTTCCCACCCCCCTCTTGAAAAAGCCTACACCTATCACGTTTTGGACTCACCCAAACAGCTCCCCGCCAAAGAAAAGCGCACCTCGGCTCGCCGATGAACTGCAACCTGCTGCGCGCCTCGCTCTCCCCTCAAGAACTCGCATCTCTTCCTCCAACTCCGCCTCCTCCTCCTTCTCCCCGCAGCCAAGAGCGAGCGGGGGAGCGCCACACCCGAGAGGAGCATGCGCACTGCCGGCACACCTGGGGGGTTGAAAGGGAGGGGGCGGGGTGAGGAGTTCCCCGCTCCCTCGAAACCAGCCAAGCTCGCTCGGGACTGAGCGGCTCGGAATGCGCGCACGGCGCAACCCCATTGGCCCAGCGCCTTCCCATTCCTAGCCTGGGGGCGGGGCCCGGAATGGGGCCCCGGAATGGCCAAGGGAGTAGTAGAGCGGGAATGCCGCGCGCGGGGATGTGACCTCTTCACCTGATACTCACCTGCCGGCGGCAAACAGGTTGTTCCTGCAAGCGCTTGGAGGGGAGAGAGCGCATTTAAAGGGACAAGGCTCCGTCGGGAGGAAGAGGAGCTCTGCTCTCGGCGTCTTGTTCGGGATGCCGGGACGAGACTGGCACACAAAAAGTGCCTCGACGCGCTTACCCAGGTGGGGTGAACTTCGCCGAGGCTGCCGCGTCATCTTGGCGTCCTTGAAACCAGGTGTTCTTGCGAGGAATCGCTCACATACCTGAGAGGGGGTGGGGGGACGGAGGGAGGGAGAGAGGTGGTTCTTTCCCTCACTCAGGTGTTGGGGAATTGTCCTGACTCTCTTAAATTCGGAGTTGTTCCATGATGGTCAAATAGAAACATGTCCACGAAACACCAAACAAAACATGTCCACAAAAAAAGACAATTTAAACAACTGGCATTTAAAGAAACTAAGACGTTTAGAACAATAGGAGCCAACTCGTAGGGGCCCAGGGGCCCACCCATAAAATATTTGAGGGGGTCTGCCTGTCCCCCCCAGTTAATGAGCATTGTCATTCAAATGTATGCATGTGCGCATCTTGTGATTGATTATGCGAGACAGGGCTTACCTGCCTTCCCCCCACCCCAATATTTTATTCAAGTTATTCACGTTATTCACGTTTATTCAACACAGTCTCCACTGTCCCTCATTCCAAGGAAACCAAACCCTAGTGGCTGGGGAAGTAAATAATAAATAATAATTTATTATTTATATCCTGCCCATCCGGCTGGGTTTCCCCAGCCACTGGGGTTTGGTTTCCTTGGAATGAGGGACGGTGGCGACTGTGTTGTCTTTATGATATATGTTTGTTTACACATATATACAACCTGAACCCACGATGGAGGGGTTCAAAGCATTAACACCCCAAGAAAGTCTTGCTTCTCCCATACTCACATCCTTGGATCCCAACAGAGACCAGGCATGTCTTATCTCTCTTCCTCTCTCTGTCCCTTTCCAGTTTGCAGCTTTTCTTCCAGCTTCTAGCTCACATAACTCTCCACTTTGGGCTTTTGTCTTTCTAACTAATAGACAATTGAAGGAGGCACAGAGCCACTTCCTTTGTTCCCTTAAGGACCCATACTTAGCAGGCTATCTGGCTATTCCAAGAATTAGAAGAGGGGCCCAAGCAATAGAAGGGTCTCCACCCACAGCCTACTGCCCACCCCGACCCCAAACTCATAACATGTTGTTGTTTTCCAGAACTTACAGAATTGACAGTGGGTGTGATTAAAGGAGCGGGAGTGTAGAAAGAGGAAGTTGTTATGTATAATTGTTACCCAGTGATTCCATGAGATAAGTTATCAGTTAAAGTGTTCCTGTCTCACCAATAGATGTAATATGTTTTGGGACTAGAGAACTACAGAGTTTTGTAGAGATGTTTATTTCTATGATGTGCCAAAGATGATGGTGAGCCAGCCACTTATGTATATGTTGCTGACCACCTTGTTTTGTTGACAGAAGTGTTATTTTTCTCATTGAAAAGCACTCATATACTAGTTAGTGGGAAGGCCTTGGCATACAACCACAAAACCAACATGCTAAAATGTTTAGAGAGAAATGTGCACAATTAGAAGATTCAGTACAAATCTGCAGGGGTGTGAGAGGGAGACAGGTATAGAGAGGAACATGGGACGCTCCACTGTGTATTCATACAGACCAAAGAGCCATCCAGCTCAATCTTGTTTACATAACCTTTCCCCATCCTGGATCCTCCTGAAGTTTTGGACTCCAATTCCCTTCAGACACCGAGAGTGAAATACTTTTTGTTTTCTTTTTTCTTTTTGCCAAGCAGCCAAAACAAAGCAGCCAGGACACACAACAAGGGTAGCCACAGACACATACTGATAGCAGCAACTTTTAATGTTTCGCTGAATGGCCATGAAGTTGGGAATCAGAAAATGGGAGTTTGAGCTCCACCAGGGAGAATTTTGCATGCCCATAAAAAACTCCTGTCTCTATGATGTAAAATCTTCAGAAAAGCAATTTTTCTGGGTTTTTGTGAGGAGGGTGGTTTTGTTTATCTATTTATTTAAATATATGCAATATTGCGTGTTGTAGCCAACATTGCTATTCTGATCACTTGCACACTGGAACTCTCCTCTCCTGTGCAGCCCTCTGCACATGCTCAAAAACTGCCCTGGAGAGTTGGGCGATCCTCCAGAGCAGATTTTGGAGACCTGTGAGGAGAGGAAAGGGACGTTCTACTGCATGAGTGGAACACGACTCACAGAGGTTTGGATACAACCTTTACCCCCATGAAATCTACTTATTTTAGTTTTAACAGCATAAACAGTATTTTTTTATGGCTTAATTAGCATGTATAATCATATTTTGCATATTTATAAACATTGCAGAACAATCTGATGCAAGCATACTTTGAAGTAAAACACATTCTGTTTAGCAGAGTTTATTCCCAGTTCAGTAAACAGACAGGAAGGGAGAGGAGAAAAGGTCAGCCTCAAGGGAGTGTCTCCAAACTAGATCAAAGGTCTCCAGAAGTAGGCAAAGCTTTTTTTTTTTAATTAAAAAAACGTTTTCATTAATTTTTATTGGGTTACAAAAGTACGTACAGCATCTCTGCTTTCAGTTCATAGAGTTCTTTCTACAGATAATTCATATTCCGTGTGAGACACTGGTGTTGGACAGTATAAAGTTGGAGGAGAAGAAAGGGGTGGGGAGAGAGCGCGGGGGGGGGGAGAACTTTCATTCTTCTGCATAGTGTATGTGTAAGGTTTTTGTGTCAGCATCACATGGGTAGGTTCTATTTCTATTCATTTATTAGTTTTTGTTGGCGGCGAGAGCCATATTGATTCAAATACTGTTGGTGGGTTCCTGTTGTTGTCTTGTTGAGCTGTGAAAGGGGAGCCATACTGGGGTGAAGTCGTCCTCTTTTGTTTGTCTCCATGCTGAGAAGACAGCAAAGCTGAGGTTCACATTTAAATGTAGAAATGTATTTTGGATTGGTGTGTTATGCATATACAATATACATAGAAATTTGAATTCTGCATTGTCTCACACAAAAATCTTTAAACCATGCAGTTTGAGTTGGTTGAGTCAGCATTTCTCATATATATATTCCAGTGGTCCCCCCAATTTCCAATTTTCATGGGCCTTCACATCTCTAGTCAGGGACTAAGGAGAAGGAGTTCCCAGGACTCAAACTACACTGCAGATGTCACAGAGCAGGCTAGTTTCAGCAAGCCATTGTCATAACTATGGTCTGAAGGTGACTTTGTTCGAAACCAACAAGAATTGTGGACAATTCTGGTGGACATCCCATGAAGCTGAATGTTGGAAGATTCAGGAGAGATAAAAGAAAGAACTTCTACACACAAGCATAGTTAAACTGTGGAACTCACTTCCACAGGGGGCAATGACGGCCATCAAACTTTGAGATCTTCAAAAGAGGATTAGACAAATTCATGGGTGAGAGTGACATCAGTGGGTACTAACCATAACCGCTGTTCTCTCCTTCACTGCTGGAAATGGTGATTCTTCTGAAAACCAGTGGCTGGAAACCACAAGACGGGAGACTACTGTACTCTTGTGTTCATGTCCTGTCTGTGGTTTCCTACAAATATCTAGGTAGTCGCAGTGAGAACAAGATGCTGGACTAGATGGGCCATTGGCCTGATTCAGCAGGCTCTTCTTATGTTCAGAAGCATAAAAGCAAAAAGCTTCTAAGCTCCCACCTCCTCCCACCATGTGGGTGAAGAAAAGAGAGGAGGGGGAAAGCACACAAGCCCAGGAACGAGGCATGGGTAATTCACATAGCAGCTAAACAATGGTTTGGTGTTACACCTAAAGGCAGCCAGAGATGATTCTGCAATTTAGGTGATTGCATACATTCCACTTGAAATGCTTTGCTTCAGTGATGTATCATAGCAGGATAATGAATGAATATGCTTCATTGTTGGGTTATTTATTTATTTATTTATTATATTTATGTATTACCTGCCCTTCATCCTAGGGTGTGTTACAGCACTATAAAATAAAACATTAAAACCAGTTCAAAACAAATTTAGTTATTTCCATTTTGGAATAGGAAACAAATCAATCCATCTGCTTTTGATGAAAACTATACCGGCACACTGTCCCTCAGCTGAAGAGTCTGGTAGCAAAATATTAAATAAAACATTTCTAGGAATACCTTGCCATGTGCTAAACTGAGCACCTGCTGGAAGAGTTTAACAAATTTCCTCGACATGGTTATAAATGAGTAGGCTTCTTGCATAAATACATCTGTATTTGTGTAGATTTAGCAATTAGGAAACTGTTTCGTTCATCTCATGATTCATGTGCTCACGAACAAGTAATTAAAGAGGTTGACAAATCCTAATGATTAAGCATGGATAAGTTCAGCTATAATCAGCTATAACAAGAGTTGCATCGTTCTATTTAAATATTTCCCCTTTACCTTAGGCTTTCATTTCCTCTTTCTTGCCTAATGCTTTGAATCATGACCTAATAATTTCCCTGGCACCCTTCTCTGACATACCGTATTTTTCGTTCTATAGGACGCACCGGCCCATAGGACGCACCTCGTTTTTTGGGGGGGGGAATGAATAAAAAAATTTATTCCCTCCCCCCCCCCCCGCGGCTGCCGCCCGAAGCCTTGCGCGCTCGGCGGGACCTCCTGCCGGGCGCGCAAGGCTTGCAGACACTCGCCCAAGCACGGGAGCCCTCCGGAGGGCTCCCGTGCTTCGGGCGACAGGCTGCTGCCCCAAGCCTCCCGCGCTCGGGCGGGACCTCCTGCCGGGCGCGCGAGGCGTGGGGACACTCGCCGGGGCTGCAGGCTGCTGCCTGCAAGCCTTGTGAGCCTGCGGGAACTCCCACCGGGCTTGCAAGGCTTGCGGATAGCTTCCTGAAGCCTGGAGAGCGAGAGGCATTGGTGCGCACCGATGCCTCTCGCTCTCCAGGCTTCAGCGAAGCTTGCATTCGCTCCATAGGACGCACACACATTTCCCCTTCATTTTTGGAGGGGAAAAAGTGCGTCCTATGGAGCGAAAAATACGGTAATTATATTGAAAAAGAGGATATCAAGCATTAAAGTGAATTGGGAACATACAGATTAAGTTTTGACAGATGTTGGATCCAAAGAGAAAGCTGCTACATGCCCCAGGATAAAAACCTCAAGGATGTGCAACACACAGTGGGATTGAAATGTATAGTAATGTTTAATTCAGCAGAGATTATTACAATATAAGCATTTCTAAACACTTGCAGCTTCTTGACTTTCAAAGCAGCAGAGCCTGGGTTCAGTATGATAAACAAACTGATATTGTTTATATATCATGCTAATAAAAGGCAACACATTAAATACTTCCTTGCACAATGTACACTTAACAGCAGGAAGTCATTGCCCCAATATTTATTTTAAAGTATTTATATGGCGCCTTTCTGAATAAAAATTCATCTAGGGCAGATGATGTTTTATTATTTATATATTAATTACCTGTCCTTTACCCTAAGGTCAAAGGGCGGGTTACAGCATTAAAACACAATATTAACAACAAATTGAAACAAATTGCTACCATAAAAATAACATGGGTCCTAAAAACATATACCTTGTGTGTCAAAAAAATATAGCATTCTCCAAAAGCTATATTTATTGAAGATGCCAGATGTAATTCTGTGGAGAGGCAGTTCCACAGTTTAAGGCCACCCCCCCCCCCCAGCTCTGAGGACAGAGGAACTACCAAGAGAGCCCCCGCTGTGCTCTCTTATTTTAAAACAATAGTATATCAACTAACATAATAAAATACCTTCCACAAAACCTCCTAAAGAATAATAAAACAACAATTTCTAATTCATAAATGCATGGTTCATAACAATATTGGCCAGAATCCAGAGTGCCACTTTAGGAGCTGTTAATAGCTTCACATGCCCACTGGCATTTTTGGCTGTTTTCCTTTGTCTAGCAAAACCTATCACCCCATAGCACAAACTGTTTCTAACAGGTTCAAAAGCCCTTTGTCATGTGACATGAAGGGCGATTGCTTCTGTCCAACAAACACTGGTTCAAACCTCCCATGGGAGTACAAAGTTAGGTAAGTTTCAGAGAGCTTTAGATGCTAGCTATTGCATGTAGTCGCTTTTTCATCTCAACAGGAACAAAAAAAAGCACGGAAACAAAAGGAAACACTAAACATTCTTCATGATTGAAGTATTAAGCCACAAGTATTTTTGTGTTTTTTAAATACCATATTGTTCTGTGTATAAGACGCACCCTATTTCGGGGGACCCAAAATTAAGAAGACACTATGCACTGCCTGTGTATAAGAGGGCCCTTATTTTAAACTTCAAAAATTTAGGGAAAATATAGTCTTATACACAGAAAAATATGGTACATTCGTATGCATATTAGCAACTCTTCACATTTGCAGCATTCAAATAGTAATGAAAATATGAATTGCCACATTGTACCAATGCTATCATAAGTTTTTAACATGTTCTGTATTTACTTCCCTACTGCCACTGTAAAAAAGAAGCTGAGCTAGCTTTTCCAGAAGTTTGTACTTCTTCCTTCTATACATTTAATGCAACACTTCAGTTTCAATATAATTAAGATCCCCTTTTTATATTAGCTTTAAATATTCTTCTGCAGACAGAAAAACCATCATTCCTAAATGTCCAAACTCTTTTCATTATGTCTAAAAGTACTACCATTGAATTGTATAACCTACCATGAATGACTTTCTTAATAGCATTCTTAAAAAATACTATCATCACCACTGGGCATAGCCACCATGTGATCCTTCAACTTTGGTGATTGTACTACAACATTTGCCATCTTTCCATTCAGGCATTTACCGTGAAACAATTTGACACAGCTGTGGCTCTGAGTGCATTGTTAAACATATTTCTAGAACAATGGAAGGGAGACCAGTTTAACGCTTTAGGTCTGCTATAACAATTCTAACACGGATTTTTTTTATTTAAATTATAGCACACATGCAAGGGATTTTCCATCCTTCATAAAACTGGTCAAGTTAATGTTTGCTTTTCAGAAGAGGTCATAATGTATTGCTGAAGCCGAACAATTCAACATTGTGATTTATTTATTCCTCCCGAAACAATAACAGGTTGCTGAGTAACGCAACACAACAAAGGCTAATTAGGTGTCCCAGGCAATAGTCTTCAATTCTGAATGTGTCTATTCTTGCTCAAAAGCTGTTTCTCATACTTTAGGTGTTTATGCAAGTGTTCCTGGATGACACTGAATATCTGGAGCCACTTCAATCTGGGTTTAGACCTGGTTTCAGGACTGAATTGGACTTGGTCACCCTAATGAATGATCGGGAGAGGGACCGGAGTACAACCTTGTTACTCCTACTTGATTTATCATCAATTTTTGATACCACTTACCGTCATGGTATCCTTCTGGATCAAGTGATTAGATTGGGTATCAGAGGTACTGTACTACAGTGGTTCTGTCCCTATCTGTTGGTTGAGTCCAGAGACTCTGAAAAAATATTATTCCAAAAATGAAACCTTCATCTGGTTGTAAATATATTAAGATTATACCAGCAAGAATGAGTCTTTCTGTAAAAAAAGATTTAAATCAAGTCTTACTGACTAGTGATTTAAATCAAGTCTTACTGACTAGTGATTTAAATCAATTTGATTTAAATCAAATCCATCCTGCTGGGAGCTGTCATTAGGAATTTTGGAGCATGGTGGCATCAGTATGCTGATGACACACAGTTGTGTTTCTCCATAACATCTGTATCTGGATCAATGCATTAATGCAGTGCTTGACTGGAGAAGGACCAGGCCCCCTGCTGAAAAGGTTTGCTGACCCCTGATATAAACCAAAGAACAGAAGTATTTAAATGCTATATTTAGCATACAGCATATGACACTTTGTTGTTCTTAATTTTTGACATTTCACATTTTATAAAGTTCATATAATAAAATAAGAAGAAACATGATACAAATGACTTCATGATTCTTTCTGGATGTTGGAAACTGAAACCTAGATTTAAAAAATGAACAATGAAAACTTATAAAAATATAGTTTTCTGTCAAACAATTTGCTAACACCACAATGAGCTCTGCAATGTGTGTTATAATATGTTTCTATATAGACATTTTATGGGATGTAGAAACATATTTCAGAATAAAGACTGAACAAGGTTATTCTTTCAGCAAAGAAGAAAACTGTTTCAGTGCCTCTTATTTTTATTAGAAAAATATTTTGTAAAATCAGTACAAAAGATTAGAAGTTGATTGCCAACAGCTGAAATTTTCTTTAAAGATCAGGATAATAGAGTACAGTGGTGCCCCGCAAGACGAATGCCTCGCAAGACGGAAAAACCGCTAGACGAAAGGGTTTTCCGTTTTGAAGTTGCTTCGCAGGACGAATTCCCCTATGGGCTTGCTTCGCAAGACGAAAATACCTTGCGAGTCGTGAGATTTTTTTTTCGCTCCCCCCCCCCTTATCTAATCCGCTAAGCCTTTAATAGCCTTTAATAGCCTTTTAGCAGCTAATCCCCTAAGCCTTTAAGCCTTTAATAGCCGCTAAACCGCTAATAGCGCTAATAGCGCTAATCCGTCAATGGGCTTGCTTCGCAAGACAAAAAAACTGCTAGACGAAGACTCTCGCGGAACGGATTAATTTCGTCTTGCGAGGCACCACTGTATATAAATACTAATGTTTAAAACATGCAAATGTTTGCCATAAGGCGCAGTGTAGACAGGCACACAATGTTTACCGAAGGATTCCCCCCTCCTGTTCAGGTGGGAACAGATGTTTCTATTTACAAATAGTCACCTTTATCCAGCAGCAGCAATTTATGCACTGAACACAAACTCCAACATATGGATCTGCTGTTACACTGGATAGTAAGCTGTTGTGTGGGCAATGAAAGATTGAAATGAACCTCCCATTCCACCTGAGATTATTAGTTCTGTCAGCAGTTCAGTGCTAAATATTTGGCAAGGATACATTTCACCAAGAAAAAGATATCAGCACCAATTTTCAAACCAAAAAACAAACCTCAAAGTGAAAACATTGCTTCATTTGCAGTAGCACTCCCGTTTTATGTCTTACCTAGCTTGTTTGACTATAAACCTTTTTATCAGGCTGTAGCCACCTCCTTTCCCAAAGGTAAGGAAACTAATCCCCTTCTACAATTAAGCACAAACAATATAATATTTTGGGGAAAAGAAATGACTATTGTCTGAACAAGAGGTTATGGTACACTCAAAATGCATTAGACATGCCATTCAATTGCTGTACTTTTTTCAAATAAAACTATTTTCTTTAGCTTCCTTTGAGGTTCATCTGCTTTTTAGGCAGTATGCAGGTGCCCTTCTTCAGCTTCCTCCTTTCATATACAGTGGTTCCTCGGGTTAAGTACTTAATTCGTTCCAGAGGTCCGTTCTTAACCTGAAACTGTTCTTAACCTGAAGCACCACATTAGCTAATGGGGCCTCCCGCTGCTGCCGTGCCGCCACCGCGTGATTTCTGTTCTCATCCTGAAGCAAAGTTCTTAACCCGAGGTAATATTTCTGGGTTAGTGGAGTCTGTAACCTGAAGCGTATGTAACCCGAGGTACCACTGTATTTTGCATCACGTCCATAAGGGCAGTCGTCACTATAAAACTCATTTTTGTCCTTGAGTGAGAGAACTTGAGAGCTGCGCATAGCAGAGAACAGTGCTTTCTGAATTTAAACATCATAAAATTGTAGATTTGGAAGGGACCACAAAAGTCATCTAGTCCAACCCTCTGCAATGCAAGAATCTTTTGCCCATGCTCAGGGTCAAACCCATGACCCTGAGATGAAGAGTCTCATGCTCTACCGACTGAGGTATCCCAGCAGTCATTCATAAATTTTTGAAGGTTGTGGCACAATTAGACAGGGGTTTGATCCATCAACTTTACTAATACAAATTGATTATTTTGCTGCAAGGCAAAAGTAGGCCCTTGAATGACTGCTTCAGTTATTTAAATGTTCCGTGATTAAGAGCTACAGAGAAAGTTTCTGAATAAGGTAGTAGACAGAAAGGTTAGTACAGTGGTACCTCGGGTTAAGAAGTTAATTCGTTCTGGAGGTCCATTCTTAACCTGAAACTGTTCTTAACCTGAAGCAACACTTCAGCTAATGGGGCCTCCCGCTGCCGCTGCGCCGCCGGAGCACAATTTCTGTTCTCATCCTGAAGCAAAGTTCTTAACCTGAGGTACTATTTCTGGGTTAGCGGAGTCTGTAACCTGAAGTGTCTGTAACCTGAGGTACCACTGTATTTTTAAATAGGAAAAAATGTATTTACTGGTTTGTGAAACTGACCCAAAGGATTGTAACAACAACAGAAAGAACTGGGCAAGGAGGAGGAGCTGCTCAAACAATGGAACCTGGCGAGCAGAACTTTGGGCAACAGGTTTCTGTTTCCAAATCCCATTGTACAAAAATGGTGCTCAACATAAAGGAATGAAAATTTCTCTACTTAGAACTTGGTGCTGAATATAAGAGTTCCCAACACTTCACTGGGAACCATGTTCACAGAGAACTGGGAAATCAGCACTCTTAGCCTTAAGAGCATTACTTACTTGGGAAGTAAGTGACTCTTCAGTCTTTCAAAGAGGGAATCAGCCTTACTGACAGTACTGATAATTTGTTGGGCAGTTAGGAATGTGTGTGTTATGTGCACACACCAGCAAGCAGGCAGGCTGTTACATAAACCTAATTATCACAATCGTACTTTCAGACACAACAGATTCACATTTACAAGAAGCCAACATCCAAATTAAAAGCAAAAAAATAATCAAGCAGCAAAAGGAAACACTCAAATTGCATTTATATATGATCAAGGAGCAGGAACATAAAGTACAAAATTTACATAAATGAAGTAAAACCTTAAAATTTGTTCAAGATAACGGCCTGTCACACACAATGCTAAACCACGTGGGAAAAAGGAAGGAGTCCAAGTACAGTGGAACCTCAGGTTGCAAACGTGATCCATGTGGGAGGCACGTTCGCAACCCGCAGCGTTCACAACCTGCAGCGCCGCATCTGTGTGTGATGTGATTCAGCGCTTCTGCACACGCACAAAGTGCGATTTAGCGGTTCTGCACGAGCTCCAAAACCCAGAAGTAACCTGTTCTGGTACTTCTGGGTTTGGCGCGTCCGTAACCTGAAAACGCGTAACCCACTGCATTCGCAACCCGAAGTATGACTAAAGCCTTGGGTTTAAGCACTCATTCTTCCCTTCTCGTCCTATGGGGCTGAAAGAAGGAATATATGCTAGCATGTCGTTTCCATTAACCCAGACTTCTTGTTAATAGCAAATGAAAAACTTGTTTAAAATGCTGGTTAGTTAAACAAGCCAGCTTCATAATGGTTTGAAGATGGCTTGTTTCAAAAACTTATTATAGTTTTAATCCACAGTCTCTGATTCTGAATGGCAAACCCAGATTAGCTGGAAACCAAAGTCCTCTCAGCTGCATGAGGGGAGGGGAAGGGAGCACAGAAAGCCAAGGCTTTGCTCAATCTTGTTCCAGCTTGTGCAAATAGCAGTAAACCATGGTTTAGCATTATGTGCCAGTCAGCCCAGTAATAAAATTTCACAAGATTTAAAAATTCATTTCACAGCAGAATGTTTATACAGTTATGGCAATAAATAAATATAAAAAAACCACTGAACTAAAACCTTGCAAATAAAGTCCCCCCTAAGCATTCCAATTCATAACTTTGTCATAATCTTGAATTCTCTGTTTTATGTGAGAAAGCTTTTTCTTTAGATATTCACAACGTTCTTTTTTCTCAAGAAATGTGGGATCCTGCAATACAGAGAATAAACAGATCAGTAATTTATTTTGTGGAAACCTGCAGAGGTAGGTGGGTCAAGTCACAAAGGGTAATTTCAATAAATCTCATGAAGTGTTATTTTGTTTTGCTGGGTTTCTTTTATATTTTGTCAGCAAACCTTAACATTTGAGATTGGGAAGTAATACATTTAAATGTATACATGCAATGATTTTTTTTTTAAATCCAATGCCAGAATAATGAAAACTTAAATCTAGGGCAAGTTCTTATCCTGGAAGGTCATGTTACCACATTGTGAATGAAAACTAGTATTTGAATGGAAACCCACTTATGACTTTCAGCCTTATTAATGGAACTGCCTGCTAGAACTGAGTGATACCCCCTCTTTTTCTGATGCCCCTTCCTCAAATTCTCTCTCAAAATCCACCTTTTATGTGAAGAATTTTAAGCAAAGTCCTCATCTCCAACCCAAACAAAGCTGAAGTACGTGCAACTAGGACACATGTTCTTCCTGTTGGCCCTCCCCTTCATTCTTATTCCCTACCTCTCTGCCCTTTGCCTTCCTTGTGCCAAAAATTACTATGTAAAACAACTCAGGGCAGGGGTATTTTTGTTACTGCTCTGTTAAAACATTATGCACATTAACAATCAGTAATTACATAAATAAGTAGATACGAGAACTCACATTCTTTTTCTTTCTATACTGTTGCAAAACATTTGCAATTCTGTCATGTTCCTGTAGAGGGGGGAAAACAGCATTTCAAAATATCATGTCTATTATGTCCACAAATAACATATTAATTTTCTTCTGTCCTAATATTTTTTTATGTAACCATAGTACAAGTTCAGAATACCATTCCTAGAGAGGTCATCTGCTTTGCTAGGTTGAAACTGCAGGAGCTGAACAACAGCAAAACCCTATAACAACTAAGCTATATTAATCCTGAATATTGCTACTTCAGTTCAAAAATTTGTGGTCCTTCTGGTTTTGAAGGGAATGGGACAAAAGGGAGCATGTGGTGGTTACTAGTAATCTACTGTATTTTTCGCCCCATAGGGCGCACCTAGTTTTTTTTGGGGGGGGGAATAAAGGGGGGGGAAAGCCCGAGCTTCCCCCGACCCCAGAACAGGCTTCTGTCCGCAGGGATGCAGACAGCTCTCCTGTGCAGAGCTGCGCGAAGCCTGAAGCCTGGGGCGCGCTGAGCAAAGTGCACCCCAGGCTTCGGGATGCAGGCAGCTCTCCACAAGCCGTGGGAGCCCGGCGGGAACTCCCGTGGGCTCCCAAGGCTTGCGGATAGCTTCCTGAAGCCTGGAGAGCGAGCGGGGGCGGGGCCCCCCGACCCCTCTCACACTCCAGGCTTCAGCGAAAGCCTGCATTCACCCCATAGGACGCACCCAGATTTCCCCTTCATTTTTGGAGGGGGAAAAGTGCGTCCTATAGGGCGAAAAATACGGTAATAATTTCACAGCTAGATGACTGACTACCAAGTGCTTTTCGCTGCTATCTCAAGCAACAATTTTCTGCAGCAACCAAACTAAAATGTCTTTGGCTTGCTAAATGTAAAGGATTGTGGTGATCCAATGTCTAGGTTGCCATGTGACTCCAGCCAAAACTGCTTATAAATGCAATTTTTAAATCCATGCTCAATTATGGTAAGTACTTACAAGAGTGTTTCCAGGCTGCTGAGGAAGCTTCTGCATCAACACATCTAGCTCATCAAATTTCTTTAAGACTGCATGAACCTCAGCAGAAAGCTCTTTATATTCAGAAAACTGATCATTAAACACAGCTTTATATCGGTCTCTTTCCTCATCTGAACGAATTGCTGGGTATTTCCTGTAAGAAACTATAATTAGTCCTACAGGATCAACCATCTATGTAAGCTTCAAATGTATGCATTATGGATTTTTGAAAAGACAAAAAAACCTTGTAAAAGTGTATTGCCACATGAAAATTGTGACTCAAATTAGAAAAGACTACAACAATCTTAGATTACCTCCCACCCTCTGTAGAGTACAACTTGGTTTATTTAGTCAAATCACCTGGACTGTTTCCCAAACAATTTCATTGGTTATAACCTGGATGGCAGGCTAATTGCAGACTCTGCTTTAGAATAGAGGTTTGGGCTTGGCAATATGTCAACAATAAAATTGTTATTGGCACTTGATACTAAGTGATTCAAACTCAAAAGTTCAAAGAGAACTTTTTTTAATTAACAGAAATCAATATGGGAAGTCTCCTTTGCATGATGTAATTTGAAATGCTTTATAGCTAAAAACTATGCACTCAAAATCAATATCTGCAAGAACAGAATGCTGTACAAGGCATTGATTTCCAGATACAGTTCTAATATGAAAATATAATTAGGTGGTTAAAAGTCAGCAATAGTATAGAAACAAACCTTTTCCCACCAAACACAAAGTCACCTAATTTAAGCCATCTAATTTGGTTAAACCAAAAAGCCCCTCATTATTCATGGTTTCCTGTTTCATCCAAACTGGAAAATGATGATTACTGGCTTCAGAACAAACCATGTTATCACACCAACTTCAAACCAATGTTTAATATCCTGACTTGTTCCAAAGCAAGTAAATGTAATTCCCTAGTTTGGATGAAATGAGAAATTATGACTAGCTGAAGACTCCCTGGTTTGTTTGCTAACGCTGTGAAAGCAGGAGCAGAAGGCTCACATCTCAATTCATTCATATATTATTAAGCCAAGATGTGATCATCTGTAGTCGGTCATTGGGATTTATCACTCCAAGAGAAAGCTTCAAAAGGAAGGTTGCAGAGAGACTCACGCTAAGTAGTCTGGCATCACTATAGGTTTAGGAATATGTCCTGCAGGTATATGGCCATTGAGTAGTTCAGGTTTCAGTTCCACAGACTTGAAGTTCTTTGCGTTTGTTGCTACTTTGGGACTGCCATCTTCATACTATGTAAAATGGATATTAACAGTCAACAACAGTCAGTAAATCCACTTTAAACAGCACTAATTTAGCATGGAGTAGAGTGATCAGAAATAAGAGTGCAATTCTATCACATACACCTCACCCCCATGTTGACAGGAGAGGATTATGATAGTTGCCTCTCTGGTGGCCCCTGTTGTCAAGTGTGTCTCAACCTTTACCTATTTTACCTATTTTATCCGAATTCTTGTTGAAACTAAAGTAGTTCAGGCCCTGAAAGTACTCAGCATTTGAATATAGAAAAAAAAGTGTTGTTCTTACCATCCTTTTTGGGGCAAAAGATTGCGTCGTTATCATCTAATAAAAAACCAAAAACATCATCATTAAGTGTGCAAATGTAGACAATAAAAGCCTTAACACGCAGACATCTGGGGCGGAAAAAAAGGCAAAAAGAGATTGCGCTTCTCCCTAAATCCAACCAGTGGAAAGAGGTGCATACTGTTTCTATCCTTCCTTGGAACCTCACTGGTAGTGTCTGCTGATATAGTTCCTCTTCATCTTTCTTTGAAAATGTCCCAGCTATTCTGGATTTTCAGGAAAAATGAAGGAGAAGAAGCTCTGTCCTGCCCTTCTTTCCCCTTCTGACAGAATTAGGGAAGGGGAAAGGACCAAAAGATTCCCCTGTCTGTTTTTGGTGCTAGGCCATCTGGAAGCAGCAATGGTATATTTTGACTCTCCTTTGAAAGTAGGAAGCAGAGAAACTTGGGAGGAGGAGGTGCTCTCAGATCCTGGAATGTTGCAAGGCAGCAAAGTTTAATCTCTGGTCAAAAGCACCGATATATGTCTCCACAAGACAATGTAGTATCAGTGTAGTTAACACTGCTGAAGGTATTTTGATTAGGTACATTCACAAGCAAACTCCACCTATTATACTGACATTATGTGGTCACATACACAGAACCTCAACAAAGTATATATTACTTGAACTCAATTCTGTTTAGGCGAAATTATTCATAGACTCACAGAATTGTAGAGTTGGGAGGGTCATCTAGTCCAACCCCCTGCAATGCAGGAATCTTGTTGCCTGTGGGGCTTAAACCTACAACCCTGAGATTAAGGGTCTCATGTTCTACCAAGTGAGGCTCATCCTTGCATGAACAATGTTCATTTCAGAATTATGCAAAAAGTTGCACATAGTTAATATTAAAATAATCTATAAAACTTCAAAGGCCTCAAATCAGGTCCTTAGTTTAGTGATGCAACTGTTACAGAAGCAAGTACAACAGTAAGGAGACATAACATCTACATAGTGGGCTGGTTCAGATGTATTTATCTTAGCTGATTAAGCCAAATTCTGCACAAGCCTTGTGCCTGGGTACTCTGTTTCATGTTGCCCCTTCCTTCCTCCTTTTTTTGGCATGCCATAATTCAACAATCAATTCAACTTGTTTTTATTATTGCTTGTAAGCCTGGCCTTGGCTGGGGAGGGCGGGGTATAAATAAAAATAATAATAATAATTATTATTATTATTATTATTATTATTATTAACAATCCCTGAATTAGTGAAATATGGTTTCCTTTGCTTTCCAATAGTTACTGAGATTAGAAGCAGGCAGTTTATTTCAGTCCTGGTTATCGAAGTTTCCTCCTTGTACTGCAATGGGATTTTTTTGGTTAATAATTGTTTACTTACACAAAGGATGGATGGGGTAGCAAGGGGACACAAGACACAAGCACATGGTTTTAGGACACCTTGGCTTTAGTAAATTGAGATTTATGTGTCCTATCCAGGCCAGTGAATAAATGACACTAACTATTTTACAAACTAAATGTATGGTAGGAACAACTGTTTTCTACAGAACTTACCTCTTGTTGCATAAGCTCTCGCTGTTTCCGTGCACTTTCATGCCTCCATAGTTTTAGGCAAACGATTGCGCCAACAAGATAGATTATCATTGTTACAAACAAGAAGATAATTGCAGCTGTCTGCCCCCCTTCTATACGGCAAAACATTGCGTTCATTGGCGTATTAAATAATGGGTAGTAGCAAAGTCCTCCTCTGTTAGCATCGTTCACATAGACTATCGCAGCTGACATATACAAAATAAACAAGGCAACATTAATTCCAAACTCGGTTAAAGGCCACCAGTGGGAATCTAGAAGAATTGTCCTGTAATACATGGACATACCAAGTACTAGAATTATAACAGTCACTATCCAAACAAGTGCTGCAAGAACAAGAACGAAAGGGGTTTTAGGCCCACTGTAGTAATAGCCTCCATACATGCTGCTTCCCCCTCCATATCCATACATGCTGCTTGCCCCATGTGGCTGAGAGTAGCCATACAAGTTGTACCACTCATTGTCTTTGTGAATGTAAGCTGTAACACAGGCAAACACAGCTGCACCCAACAGCAGTTCGGCAACTCCCAGGATCCTGAGCAAGCCGGCCCAAGATTTCATGTAAGAGTATCTCAAATTAAAGGCTTCTACTTTCTCACTGTATGCTAGAACAGTTTGTGTGTGCCTCTCTAGGGAGCCGTAGGGATCTTGTGGAAGCATAGCTTCAGCTTCTTTCCGTGAATTGTAGGTTCCCCCCGATCCTCCATAAGGATCCTGGTATGAGCTTGGAACTGAAGTATTGCCTGGCTTCACCGGAGTAAGTGTTGGAGATGATGGTGGAGAGCATTCAGCTCCCCCAGAAATCGCAGCTACTGGCTTATTCCATTCAGGGCCGTCTCTTTTCCCTTTGAAGAAGTTTTTCCACGAGTCTGGAATGAATTTTCTCACTGGTTTAAGATCAGAGGCTCCAGCAGTTTCTTCGCTGTCACTTGGATAAAATTCAGGGCCAAAGGGTGGCTGTAGTGGAAGAGGTGGTGGCAAGGGATCTGTGTTAAGTATGTGTCCAGCATCTTGAAAATCCCTTTCAGCATCTTCTTCTGAAGAATAATCCACATTCACTTCATCATAATGGACTGACCGACTGTGTTGTCCTGGTCTGCGCTCTGACGATGCATTCCTTGAAGACATTTGTGGTCCTTTCCCCTGTTTCAGAAATCAAAAGAGTGAAAAGATTCCTTTTCATTTCCTGGTTTCACATATACTGTGCTTGACAAAAGGAAAAGCAAACTGAATTCCTGCTTTGAGAGTCTGCAAAAAAAACAAAAAAACCCAACATCTTCTAAAGTCCTTAAATCTTCTAAAGAAAACAGCTGATATATTTTTCTTCTTCTATCATTATAATTTAAAAAAACAAAACAAAACAAGCCTTTTAATCAGTTTTTGACTGGACTTCTAAACCAAAACGAAGGCATGTGAATCTATTAACAGAGTACCTTTGACTACATGAAGAATGCTAGCACCATACACAGGATTAAGAGTTAAGGCTTCCCGAGCAGAGGGCAAAACGTTAACTATACTCACAGTTCCACCATCTTACAGAAAATCATAAATATGTGTGCACAGGAAGCAGGAGTCACGCACATAACGGGTATCAGCGTCAAGCCACCTAAGAAAACAATGGCTAGCTAGTCGGTTACACCATTACCCCACCCCTTTCCCTTGTTTTCCCTATACACAAGGAGGCCCAGCTTCGCCAGAAACTTTGCTGCGTGCAGTCAAGAGAAAACTACGCCCCGCGTCTCTCACCTACATTTATGAGGGTCGCAGCCTTCCAGCTGCGCTTCCGCGATTCCAGCTCGGCGCCCACTTACCTGGGAGTAAGTCTCAGCGGCTTCACAAGGGGACTTCTTTCTGAGCAGCCAGATATTGGAGCGCACTGGACGCCTCTCAGAAATGGGAACTCCCGGACTCTTCAAGTGCCGCTTTTCGCCCGGGCACTTTTCTCCCAAGGCTCAACCAACGACCACAGCACCTTCCTGCCGCCGCCGCCGCCTCACTCGCAACCACACCTCGCGGGCGCCCTGCGCTCCCACAAGCACCGGGAGCGGAACCAAGAAGGCGCCTTTTTCTTTCTGGCGCAGCGCAGCCTCACCGCGCTCAGCCTTTCTCTACGCAGCTTTCCTGCCCCAGGAGAGACTTGCAAACTGGCTTCAGGCGGGGAAGGAAAGCGCAAAAATCCCGGGAATGACGAGGTTCCTTCTTCCGCCTTCCCGGCGAGGTTTCTTTCCCTCAGCGGCTCCGCCAGAGAACTGTCCCCTCCCGCGCGTCATGCGCTCATGTCCTGGTCGCGAGTGAGGCGCAGCCTACCTGCCCGCCCGCTCCAGGTAGAGCGGCTCTCCTGCTAGGCTGCCCCCACCGGCTGAAAGGGTTGCTGCTTCCGCCTGACGAAGATTTTGCTCCACGCGAGAGGCGCTTCCCCGCCCCCCAATCTTTTGTATCCCCCACCAACCGCGTGGAAGGTGTAGAGTGGGCCCTCAACTCAAGTCTCCAACCTGTTAACCCCTACGAAGCTGAAGTCAATTCATTGACCAGCTGGGCGAATTTATGGGAGAGTAAATACCACAGTTTTGTTTAGACTTGCAGATTATGCAAGTGGGCAAAGAAGCAGGCATTGTATGGTGGGGGCAGGGAGATAGCCTTTTAAAGGTCCTTTGGGCCAGTTGCACTTTTTGGATGCAGTTGAAATGACTTGTGGCCCAAAGGCAAGTTTATCTAACACACGCTGTACCCGCTTCAGTTTTATAAACATCTAAAAATCACAAAGCATACAAGGAATTCAGAAATTTATTTACATCTTAAATAATACACAGCCCAGAACTTAAATGCTTTGTACAGGTTTTCTATCACTGCAGGTAAGGGTTACTTTTGTGAAATTCTAACAAAACTATTGACAGTGTCCCTCCAAATATCTGTAAGAGGCATGTAAATCAGTGCATTTGTCTCATAGTACTGATTTACACACCACTTCTCAGACTGGGACAAAAATTTTGAACTGAAGTGCACACCGTTGAAGCTTTACAGTGTAGAGCCAAATAGTACTGGGGAAATCCAGTACTCAGATATCTTGTGTATCATTTGTTTCTCTGGAAATGAAGCTGCGTGAAACTCTGGCAAAGTAATAATAGCTCAAAAAAATCAGTTGAAGTTATCAGTAGTAGCAATCTCAGTATAGTTGGCTAAGACTGCTTATAAAATATTAAACCTAAAATTATTATGTTAAACACTATCACAGCTTTGGGGTTGCCATTTAACACCTTCTAGTCACTGTCATATTCCTCTATGATTAGTTCATCTTCCTCCATGAGTAGTTGTGCTACAATAGGCTGAGGTTGACTGGCTGGTAGTTCATTTCCACTAGATTGGCTGGAAGGAAGAGGACTTTCATATGGTTCATTTTTCTCACTGGTTTTGTTTTTCTCCATTTGGGTAAGCACATTTGTGGACTGCATCTCAGCAAAATCCCCTTCATCGTCACTGTCTAGGACCTGTATTGCTGAGTCTTTATCAGTAAGAGTTTCAAGCTTCAACCTGTTGTGGAATGAAAGTAATAAAAGTTCAGAAACATTTTATGCTCTTGCAGAGAATTACTGAGGAATTCAGGTATGCAAATAACAGATAAAAACTAACATCTGTTTCTCCTTTTCTCTCATTGACTTTCGAAGTTAAGCTTATAAACTGCATTCTTAAAGTGAGCAACAGGTAGGTGTGTGGACACACATGGGAAGAAAATAGTTTTGTATGCCTAGTTTGTAATACACCTAAAAAACCCTTACAGTCCAGATTTCCAAACTGTGTGTATTGACAGCGGATTACATGATTTGCTGTACCACTTTCTTCCTGTTGACTTTCACCACAGATTGTGACCCCTTAAAAACTACTGAAAAGGAGGAGAGATTGCAAATGCCTAGTTGCTGTTAGCCCAATTTTTGCATTTAAACACAGAAAGCACAGTTAGTTGCCTTATAGGACAAATCTCACAGTGTATAGTTGTAAATTTAAAACCAACATGAGGTTTTACACTTCTTAGTAATATCTTATATATGCAGACTATTCCCTCTCCCAACGTAGCCCAGGGCATGGGCTTGAAGATGTATGAGGCCTCCACTTTGCTGAAGGCAAGCAGGTCTGGGCAGTATATGGATGGGAGACTGCCTGAAAACTGTACATACTCTGGTTTGGGTTGCATGTAGAAAGGTAGGATATAAATAATAAAAGAATAAATAATAAAACACATTGAGTCCTTGATATGGTCAGAGTGACATATCAAGTTGATTGTTACTTTTCCCACCTTATAAATTGAGAATTAACCAATGTAGTCAAAGTGCTATATGAAAGTATATACTGATATTTAGAGCAAACATATTACAATTTGCAAAAGAGCATTTACCTTCCAAAGTGTTTCTTTAAAGGAAGCCTTCCAATGTCCTGAATAAAAGTAATCTGAGCTGAGAAAACATACACAAAAATTATTCCTTAGAATTGTGTTAGAACTTGAATTTGTTGTGTATCCAGAGTCCCATTTTAAGCTAAGACTGTTTTGCAATACTTCCTCCACTCCTGATTTAGACCAGAGATAGATAGATAGATAGATAGGTAGATAGATAGATAGATAGATAGATAGATAGATAATATTAACATACCATCTAGGGTTTGGTTAATCATTACATTATTTTCCATGGCCAAAGGCTTTTCTGCTCTAAAGTGCCACCCTCCATATCCCAATCAATACATTTGTCATGCTGCTGTAGGAAAAATTGAATGAGTGCTCCTTGCTCCTAAAAAATGAGCATCTATAGAAGCCCTTTGGCCCAGGTATGCAAACAAGCTACAGGCAGCACAATGAGAAAACAAACAATGATAAAGCAATAGGGCAAAGCATGAGATGCAGATGTGCTGACATTACAGAGCACAATCAACATCACCCATGTGGTGTTAAACCAAGGTTAAGAGTAATTTATCAGTACTAATTTGAGTACTAACTGCTTACCATCAGAGTTTGGCTAAGAACTTCCAATACATTTTCTGAAAAAAGGGTTTGTTTGTTTGTTTGTTTGTTTGTTTAAAAGTACCTTGGTTTCTCATTGGATTTGTCAGCATGGCAAGATAAGGTAACAGCTGGGTCTGAAGGCACAGTGGTGGTAAACAGAAACTTGAAAAGAGGGATTTTGCAGCAATGCAGTTTTCCTGAAACTATAAGGAGGCAGAACAAAGAAGTCTAATAGTAAAATATATTATCTACAGTTAAACCACAAAATTTATCTTCTGACTCTCTACCAATTATAAATATTAGGTTATTTTGCCAGAACTTCCATGCCTTAGAAACCCAACATTAAAACAAGCATGCAACACTATCCAGGAAATAACTACAGTGGTACCTTGGGTTAAGAACTTAATTCATTCCGGAGGTCTGCTCTGAACCTGAAACTGTTCTTAACCTGGGGTACCACTTTAGCTAATGGGGCCTCCCGCTGCCGCCGCACGATTTCTGTTCTCATCCTGAAGCAAAGTTCTTAACCCGAGGTACTATTTCCGGGTTAATGGAGTCTGTAACCTGAAGTGTCTGTAACCCGACGTACCACTGTATTGAGATGTGGTGTGATACATTGCATAGACAGCTGCAGGAGCTTAAAGCATCAAGTTATTTCTTTCCATTTTGATTTTCTTATTTAATTTTTCTGGAGATAGCACAAATTGAAGGTTCCGAAATCGGCCTGTCCATTTTTACTTGAAGCTGCTACACTAACAATCCAAGAGGTACACTTCTTTATTCCTAACCATGTTATAGAGTATGTTGAAATGTATTTTCCCCAGACCAAATGCTATTTTGTGGTAGCCGCTAAATATATTTCTTCTTGGGTTGTTTGTGTAGTCAAGCTGGTCCTAGATTACACTGCAGGAATGATTCATCTAAAATATTTTCCTTGGCTAGGTGGCACAAGGCGATCCTTTAATTGAAACTTAAACTGAAACCTTAATCTTATTAAATAACTCTTTAATCTTGTAATGAATATGCTTATCACAAACATGCAAGCTAAGGCAATCTTACAGCATTATTAACCTACACCACAAATCAGATGAGAATGATACTAAGAAAGCTCAACTTAATTTACTGTTTCTATTTTAGGTTATGATTTGCAATAAATGTAAAACATTTTACAATAAACGTTGAAATAAAGAATATCATTTTCAAAATAGTTACCTTTTTGTTTATTAAGAACCACTGTGGTTTATGAAGGGGTCGAAAGCCCATTCCTCCTTTGCTTTGAGCAGAGGCTCTAGATCTGTTTGAATGCATTACGCCCCTTGTGGCTATGGATGCACTATATTCCCGGAGTGTAGGTCTTGCCTATAGGAAATGATAAAAACAAGATCAAGGTGAAAGGGGAGCATTTCTGGCAGTCATGTTTTCACCTATCTGCAACTGAGCATTTATTTGAGGCAAGTATTTTAAATTCCCAGGTTTTTCTAAATTGGTTAAAATCATTTGATGATTTGAACTTATCAGTTTCATATGGTGAATAATGAGCAATGCACCCCCTCACACTTGCAACAGCTGGTATTTTTCCATGCCATGTAGTCTGTTGGTTCGAACACATGGGAGCAAATTTAAAGGATGTCTGTTGGATTGTGTCATGGATATCCACTCCTGCTTTCTTTCCTCTACCCATAGCCCCTCACAACTCCAAGACAGACTCTAGGGGGTCCCCCAATCTTCCAGAGCAGATTTGGGATGTGCATGAGAGGCTGTAGGGATGAGGAAAGGGAGATCAGCTGGGTGTCATCTATAAAAAAAGTATCTGAGACACGACAACTTTATCCACACTATAGAAAGACTAGCTAGAAAATGGCACATGCTTTCTTCAGAACAATTGTTTGGTAAGGCAAAGCATGAACAGTAAGCTTTAAAGTTACATAAAACACATTGTCATACAAGAACAACAAGTCTAAGGGAGTGGACTAGGTAAATCTTGAGGTCTGTTACAATTCTAAGCAGGGAGGGAGGTTATTGGTTTGTCTTTATTTTATTATGCATTTTGTTTTCATTTTGCGTTTTTATGTTGTGAACTGCCCCATGATCTTCAGATGAATACAAATTTAATTAATAATACGCAATTATAAGCAGGAACAGTTATGGTAATATATAAAATACAGAACCTACAAATTTAGCACACCCACTGAGGAATGGTGAAGCAATTCACTTTCCTTGGTTCAAAATGTTTATTTCCCTCCTCTGACATTTATTCTGAAGCCTTCATATTTCTATGTTTTGTTACTTTAACCTATTGTTACTTTTTAAAACTTACATCCCAGTTACAGCAAAGGAAGTCAGCAGTACTCAAATATTCACTGGCTCTCACAAGATCATCTATATCAGAGAAAAAGTCTATGTAGTTTTGATGAAGGTATAAATTAAATAAGTCCCCAGGCATGTGTGACTTTTCTACGACATCCTAAATAAAGGAGAATATACAGAATTAAAGTTATGCATCAGGAGGAAATGAGTTAGCATTATGACATATTAAAAATATCACTGTTACATCTACCACTTACATAGGATAACTAGCAGTAAATTTTCACTCAATTAACAGTAAACAGTAAATGTATTTACCTCAGGATCAACAAGCAAGGGATTTCGTTCATATTCTGTTAAATGAACAGGTAACCGAGCAAATTCCAAGTCTGTTGCTGGTTCTCCTGTAAAAATAACACACACTACAGCTACATATAAGTTTGCATTGAATATGAGAAGAATAGAGTATTTGGATATGGAGACAGGTTACTGACCAGAGATGAGGGGATTGTCTACAACTCAATCTTGGCTAGTACTGGTTCACATGGCTTACAGCACACATAGACTTCCATGTGACCAAGGCTCCTGGTAGTGTGTGCAAGTTTTAATTGCATGGAAGCCTGCACATGAGCTGGTACTCAGGTTCAGTTTATGCCAAGGCATGGATCTATAGGACAGGGCTTGCTCCCAATAATTGTGCAATGCCCTCTGCTCACAATTCATATGTGACAGATTCCAGTTAGAAAAAACAATAGCTACTGGTTCTTTATATTGTCTTAAAAGAGTCAGAAAAGTAAATGAATCATTTGTAGGCAAATGTAGAAGCTGTCAATAATTGACATGAGAATTCTTCCCCTCACACAGATAGATTTAAGAATAATGCGTTAACGTGTTCTTACTTTTGCAGTAAAGTATTTTCCCTAAGGCATGGAACAGAAAGATGGAGGAATCTTTGGCGCCAACAGCTTGTAACTCCTGGTTACCAAATTTCTTTTTTTTCTTTACTTTAGATAATGTATCATATTTTAATGTGGAATTCCCCTTTTTCTGTGACAGAAAGTAGTTCTCTGATGAGCAGTCTGGTAATCAAAAAGCAACAAAAGAACAAAGTGGTAGACTGTAAAACATGAACTCCAGAATTTTTTATTCAATAGAAAAATAAGATACGCTCATTAGGTCAAACATTATCTAATTATAAACAAGCTTTATAATTTTATTGCATTCAATAAGATGCATTACTATTCAGGCCAAAAAGACAAACTAGTCAGAAGGTAGCAAACATTAAGCACAATATAAAAGTTTTAAAGAGCTGGTATTAAAATCTGTAGAGAGGAACTGACTCAGACCTGAATTTTTGCCTTTACTCACAAAGAGCTTAAAAATTAGTTTCTCTGTTCCTGTTCACAAAATTTGTTTGATGATTTTTTTTACTGTATTTGCAATATTAGATTTTATTGTAGTTAGTTGCCTGCTAGGAAGCTGGTTTTGATGGAATAAGGGTCTTGCAATAAAACATGAGTTCATAGTGAGGAATGGAGCATTTATAATGCTCGAAGTGAATGAAAAAACAATGTCAATATATTTCTATAGTAGTTTGCCACCATTCATTATCTGGTCCATGTCCCCCCGGTTCCAATACTGGATATTCAGAGCAAGTCTATAACAAACCATAGCCATCCATATTTCAACAAGTAAACAGCCGGCAAATGTTAAGCAGCAAAATGCTGGGAACATTCTGGAAGCCCACAGTGAAGGAACTTGATTTAAAATACTGTAAGTAACAGAATAAAACATAAACTTTCTTTTCAGATTCTGAAGGAACCTTTTTTGACAAGAATAAGAAAGGCGGGTTATACTGCTCTAAATCTTATTTCCCTAAAATATGTGTCTTGATGTCCTACTCATCTAGTATCAGTAAAATATGTTATAAATGCACTTGGTTGGATCCAGACAAAGTTAGACATATTTAGGTCTGATTGAAATGAACATGAAAAGTTAGTAATGACTAATTTAAGTCCCATTAATTTAAATGGGAACTAAGTATGGCTAGTTTAGTTAGAATTCAACCCCCCAATACTGCACAAACTCAAGGAGTAGATCCACATCATACATTTAAAGCACATGATTTCCCCCAAATAATGCTGGTAACTCTAGTTTTCCACACACACAGCTACAGACTTGCTCCAACATTGTGTGCACACTATGAAAATGCTTTCACTATTATCCTTTCTGGCAATGCTGATGTCCTGTTGAGGGGAAGAAGTGGGTACCAGCACTGCTAGCTGTGAAAGGACTGAGGATCTATTTCACAAGTGGAAAGTTGTCTTTGCTGTTCATCTTTGGATCAGCGCCACAGTATAAAAGCCCCATTTAACAACCAAGAGACATTCAGTTCCTGTCTCGCATTGATAAGAGTTCCCGCAAGGCTACCCCAATAGTGTTAAAATAAAAATGATTTTCACAAAACACAAACTTATTTAAGCAGAAGAAGTTCCATACTTGCCTCTTAAAGAAGAAAACTGAAGGTTATTTATTGCACTCCTAATATCACCTGAACATCCTTTGCAAATCAACTCTAATGAAGATATGTCAGGGACATCGGTTTTTTCTCCATTCTGCAAAGAAAAGCAGGTCTTTAGTCTGCACAACAAGACTACGGTTAGTTTGTAGATAAACATTAGCCATAAGCTTTATATGATTTTATTAAACTGATGTTTGCAGCATCAAGTAACCTAAGAGATTAGACTTCCATTAGTTCTCACTTCTTTGCTCTCTCAATCAGCGTACCATCTGGTATTAGTGATACTCAGAACACATTCACGGGTTTCCCGACTCAATGGTGGAACAATGCTGCATATGATATTATTATTTACATTTCTAAGTCACCTATTAACTGAGCATAAACACACATCCATACACTACTAAACTCCTACAGCTCCTCTGATAGTGAAATAAATTACAAGTGCTATGTGTGGCGGAGCCATTTGTATACATCCATGCATTTCTAAGCCTCTTTTTGTTTTTGTTTTATTTTACCTGTACTTTCCCTCAAAGGAGTTCAGAACACTGTATACGGTTGCCCACTACAGATCTGTGAGGTAGGGTAGTCTGAAAAATGCTGACAGACCTCAGTCATTTGGCAGCCACTTCTCAAACCCAAGCCACTTGTTAAAAGTTATTCTATTTTTTTGGAAGGAGCAGACTAAATAACTCTCAATTGATACCTTCAGCTAACTTTTACAATATGACCATATTGCAACTGTCCCATTGCTGCTTTAATTTGACCTACCGTCTTGAACTCTGCTCCAGCTATTCGATTTAGAACTTTCATCATCATCGTTGGAGCCACGGGGTTAAAACTGAGAAAATTAATGAGGCAGATGGTCAATATACATTTAATAATGAATCCTCAGTTGGGAACAATGCACTTAATGATCCTTTTACCTAATATTAGCTATATGTAGCTCTTCCCGAATCTCCTTTGGAAATAGAGACCTTTGGTTGCTGGCTCCACTGAAGGCATCTGATATTATAAACACAAGAGGACATCTGCTTGTCCGCACAAACCTTCTAAAATGAAAAATGAAAAGAGAAAGTCCCAAGTTTAAAGGCAAGTGTTGATCTAGATATCAATCTGTAGGAATCTATACTAGCAATAAGCAACTAGAAGCCTCTGGCCCAAGAATGCTTCCCACCTCAAAATGTTTACATTCCACCCCCCCACACACACAAAATTCAGAATAAATTGAATGATGTGAAGGTTTCTGTTTGCGTTTGTGGAATTTTATAGCACATCAGTCGTATTCCTCAGCGTGGCGCTTTGATAAAACAAATTGCTAACCATGGCTTTACACTCACCTCAAGATTTCATGTAAACAGCTATGGTCACGGTAAAAATGGTTTGGCATATCCTATAAAAAACAAATACAATACTGTTATTCCAGCTTTTTTCCATTATCATTGGAGTTACACTGTTCAAACTGAGAAAATTGTCAAGAGAAGTCTTATGTCATGAGAAATGCAGCTAATCCTCTCCTTACCTTATATTAGCGCTTCACAATATTCCTATTTTAGCATCTCTGTAGCATTAATATTGTGGGTGACCATTAAGACTATAATAAGAGTCATATGCTTATTTTACTTGACATTTATAACAACAAACTGTTTAGATTAAAGTGCTACTTTAGATAAACCCAAATGTTCCTGTGCTCTTAGTAGGCTCACTGTGACAAAATTTTCAAATCATCCCGTGAATCACCCCTTATGATTATGGTAACTCCTGTCTTGCATTATTTACTTATTTATATACTGCTTAATATTCAAAATCCCTAAGCAATTTACATAAAACAGTGTCCTTTAAAATATAAGAAAAAAAAATATAAGATTTTAACTTGAATTAGTTAGTCAACTATATTTACTTACTTCCACAAGAATAAGTCTTCTGTCAGTTTCCATGGATTGTCCAACCATCTGAAGACTGGCATATTTGTTTGCTCTTAACAGAAACTCTTGAAAGAGAGCTGTCTGGCTCTGATAAGGAAGTATCTGAAAATCAGACTCTGAACAGGAGAGTTTATTTTACAGTGTATACCTTATAAATAACAATAATATGAACATGAAGATTCAGTATCCTAGGACCCATCTGCTTTGAATTTGGTGTTTTAGAGCAACAGGCCATTTTTTGCCTGCTGCCAAATAGCACAGGCTAAAATCCACCAAAGGTGTAGATTACGGGAACTGAATGGGTGGTACAAGTATACCACATCTTTGAAGAAAAAGAGTGCAGATATTATCTTCATAGTTTCTATTTTCCATCAGCGGATAAAGATCTCTGCCTTAACTTAGAAATCCCATCCACCTTCATTTTAAGAGCTTCAGTTGTTGTACAAATCAGTATACTCTACGGAAAAAGCAGCTCTGCAAGCTTAAGAACCAATTTACTTGGGGGGGGGGAGGCCAGCTCCACTGTTCCCTTCCCATTACTGCAAAACTATCAGTTTTGAATTGTGAAAATGTTTGAAACCATGGGGTGAAAAGAGGGTCTACTAGTGAAGATCTGAGTATGTATCTAAAGTATCATACTATTAAGTAGAAATGAGTTTCATTAATTCCAATGAAACTTACAACAATTTGATGGGCATCAGATTGTGATATTATGTAAAATACACAAACTTACAAAATATATTCTAACTGCTTGACTCAAAGTCTTCAATTAAATGCTTACCATGGCTCAAAGAATCTATGACGTCGTCTTTCTTGAAGTCTAGTGATACAGGATTTATCCATTCTTGCACTTGAATGCCAAGAACTTTTGCTAATATTTCCACAGTTGCAGACTTGCCACATCCTGGAGGACCAGTTAATAATAAAATAGAGCCTTCCTACAAGACACCATATAATAAACCAACTTGCTATATTAGAAGGAAAGAGCAGGATAAAAATTTAATGGACTTTTATTAATTTCCCCCCTCCTCCCCACACTTTGTGTTAGCACAGTTACTGTTGCTAAATTACAAATTACAATCCCAATGATTCAATATTTCACCACACTTATACAAGTGTAAAATTAATTGCTTATTAGGTAATCATATATATTGCAAAGAATTGGAAAAAGCAGCAATAAAATGCTACCTAAACAAAATATTTGACACATTTTGTTATTACCCCTAATTCTAGTTTTTATTTGAATTGGGACGACAAAAAAAAGCTAACAGCAGTTTGGATCCCATCCATATCCGCCACACACACACACAAAAAAACTGTGTGTAAGGGAACTTGCCAGCAATGCTCTTCTGAAAACACTTGTGCAAGAGGAAGAATATATGTAGACTTCTCTCATGCAATGATTTAGCTACAAGTATAACACTGCAAACGTCGGCACCTTTGAATTCATCCTTGTATGCCCCTCTGTTACATACCATACTCTGTACATACCAGAGTATCACAGCATTTCTCAGGTCACAATGCAGCAAGTCCACCAGGCAATATGGAAAAACTTAACATGCATGCAGAAGAACTTTTCTGAGTGACATGCAACTAGTTTTCATTTGGAGCAGACCCATTTGAATTATTGAACATGGCTAGGGTGCACCCAAAAATTTCAGGGTGCCTACTCTGAGCCAAGCTTACTCTTTGCCATTCACTCCTCTCAAAAGAAGCTGTAGCTCAGTGGTAAAGCATTGGCTTTGCATGAAGCAGCTCCCAGATTCAATAAGCGGCATCTCCAGGTAGAGCTGGGAATATCAGCTCCCTCAAAATCAGAACTGCTGCCAACAGACAGTACTGAGCCACATGGAAAAACAATTGTCTGATTGATATAAAGGATCCTCCTATGTTCCTCTCCCCAGGTTGCAAAGAAGCAAACAGTGAAATACATATCTAGCAGTTCAGAAAAGGAAGGGGAAAGGCCATCAAATGATGCCTATTTTCCTATGGTATGTCAGTCCACATGTCAAAAAGCTACAGTTTATGTTAACTTTATTTTCAAGTGTACCATATTATTTTTCCTAAGAATTTATTTTCCTGCTACAAACCTCTAGAAAATTACTGTGCCAAATCTCAAAAGCAGATTACTGCATGAAATATTGTAACAAATACTGCTGCAAAATGAAATATCATGCAGGATTTGTGTTATTTTTTCACCTCATTTCTGATGAAAAAATAATCTGTTGAACATTTCCCAGCAGGAGTCTTAAGTTACACAAAGCCTTCAAAACAAACTTAGTGGCAGGTAAAGCTACTAGGTAAATATATGCTACCTGTCTGGGTGGCCTTTGAAATGTGTGATCTTTTAACCATGCTTCAACTTCTTCAATTTTCTTCTTGTGTATGGCAAGCTCATTCTAATGAGAAAAATAATAATATATAGTTCAGGCAAATAATTTTACAGTAGAATTAAATACTGCGAAAGAACACTGTTGTAGCATATCCTCTTGGTACCTGTAACAAGTTAATTATTAGTGTAAGCAGAATAAAAATGGTTCTATTTTCACCTTGCTTCCGTAACAGGCCTGGCTCAGTTTGTCTTCCAAACTGGGATCCATTTCGGCCAGAATTCAGGCCATTAGGGTTCCAGCTATCTGGTGTCCATCTCCAAGCCCCGAAGTGTGGAGATTACATCAAACACAGCAGAGTTCAGGGCCTGAGATTCAGCAGCACCCTTCAGACTGCAAATAGTTCCACAGCCTACTAAACTAGCTAAAACAGGCTTCCTCAGCCTTGGCCCTCCAGATGTTTTGACACTACAATTCCCACCATCCCTGACCACTGGTCCTGCTAGCTAGGGATCATGGGAGTTGTAGGCCAAAAACATCTGGAGGGGTGAGGTTGAGGAAGCCTGAGCTAAAATAAGGGGCATCTGCAGGAAGGATCCATTTACAGTATGAAAGCTACCGCAAGACCTCTGTCTTAATGAACTGGAATATGATTACAGTACATAATTGCCACATACCGGAGCCAAGGGACTAGATCTGCATTAATTTTCAAGGCATTCAAAGGACATCTAACATATTTCTAGAAATGACCATACATGGGCCGAAGTCTTGCTCACATCTCTGTTTATTAAGGTGAAAGATGAACATCTAGACATAGTCAATATCATTACCCAATAACAAGTGCAAAAATATTCCATTGCTATTGCATAATATTCCAAACACTTGCTGACCATTTAAAAATATCTATTTTAAGTGAACAAAATTCCAAATGCACTTCGAATCAAAACATGTATCTTATACTTTTCTATTAACCAAGTATACCTATGTTCTATCAACTTAATAAATCTATGAAACACTAACTATTTTTCCTTTTGGACACACCACTTCAGCAATACACACAGCTATTTGTTGTTTTTAAAGGAATTTTAAACTAAACTTTACCTGAGTTTTCGGTTTGTATTTATCCACCCAAGATTCGTTTTGGCCGTGGTTTTGTTTTGAGAGTTTATATTTATATTGCTCGTCTATAGAAAGTGGCTTTCTTTTTTTTCTTTCAGTCTTACAATTTTCTATCGGAGAGCAACGCTCTTTTTTCTTCCGACTGTGTTTGGTATCTGTTGATGGCTTCTTATGAAGAATGTCGGATGACAGAATTGTATCCTTACAGAAATCACTAAAAGATGGCTCCACCCAATCAGTCACCTGACAAAATATAAGTAAACAAAAGTTATTGCATGGTAGAAATGATTAATTCTTAAACCAACTAATATTTTACAGTAGGGTAGTCCAAGGTCTTAATAACAACAACAACTTTGTCATACTATTGGAAAGCACCCTTTCAACTTTTAAGCTCTAATTGAACATTCAGTAACTTTGTTTTAATACAAGAAAGGGAGTCTGGAATCAGCATGAAATTATGAAAATAGTATGTCTTAAGTTTATATATATATATATATTTAGCCATGGTGTGTTCAACAGTTTTTATTTCCAGTAACTATACTTTGTCTGAAACATTTAACTGTGATTTCCAAACTACCATTGGATGATGTTGTGAAAAGTGATAATAAAGGAAGCAATCCTTCTCTACATGAGTATAACAACTGTGCATAAAAGAATAATACAATCCAAAGTCTTTAATATTTTAAAGTAATCACTCACTTTGACTTCAGCAATCTTTCTTTTTGAATATTTTTTTGACATCATCAACCTTTGTAGTTTCCATCCGAAGCATATGACCAGCAGCCCTTTAAATTAAATGACCTAAAAAAGTGTAAAATATTTATGTAAACAAACTTTGCACAAATAGAATTTTAAAATGTCCAACTAGGCAAAGCATCCAACTAGGGCTCCCTTGCAAATAATTAGATGAGGGGATAGCCCCAGGGAAGGGAGAAATCACACTCCAGCTACTATTTTCCTCCAAATGTGCTGTTTTTCCAAGTAAAGGTTCATTCCTAACCCTGGCCACTGCTCAGTCAGTCTGTATGGAATACCAGGCCACTTCTTCACACAGGGCCTTTTGGGTCTTCCCACTGGATTTCAGTGGCAGAGATCTTACCGGCTTCCACTTTATCCACCCCCTTCCCAGACTGGTGCAAAAGGGGTTGGGATTCTTTCTACCAACTCATGGTTGTGGAGAAAAACCTCAGAAACTAATTAGCAGCATGACTGTGAAACATATTCCTGCAATAATTTTTAAATATAGCGGTACTAGTACACCAGGCAGCAGTAGGCAGATTTCAGTAACCTGTCACAGACAACTATAGGTTTCATCTATACAGCGCGCGAAAACTTCAGAACTGGATATTCAATTACAAATTTAAGTTATCATTCCATTCCCAAAGGCTACGCAATATAAAGAGTACACTCACACACACACAGACAGTTGTCCAAAAATATAAGCACGGTGGTGTTTGAGTTTAAACCATACTCAAGGCGGCTTATGACATGACAAGATTTGCATAATTACAAACATAACGGAAGTCATAAATAAAGCACAACAAAAAGTACACAACCAAATTAAAACAATTTCCACACGAATCATGACATGATCTAGAAATAAAGATACAAAAATCAGCATCAGCATTATTATTATTTATTCAACTTATACAGTACGAGCAACCAAAGAAACCTCCAAACTCTACCCCAGCCGAAGAGTCTGTTCAGCAGCTTTTGTAGCTGGGGTCAGTCAGGGACCCGCCCGCCCAGGCCAGGTGGGGAAATAACGGCCACCAAGGCAGGGAGGCAGATCTTCCAGGGCGAAGGGAAGGCAGCCCAGCCGAACTCAGCGGGACTTACTTCTGACCGGACATGCTTCGGACTGCGCCGCTCCTTCAGGGATGTCCAGCCGAGTGACTTGCGGAGCGGCTCTGCCCGACTGCTTCGCGCTGACCCTTCTCCGCCGCTTCTGTAGCCCAGGCAGCGCCTTACTCGCCCTTCTCCATCACCAGGGAGACCTACCGCGGTCCCGTAATACCCGCCGGAGGCGCCTTTCTCCTCCTGGGACTCAGGCTGCCTCCATTCAGGCTGGGGGCTTCCCGCGCATGTGGGCGCCCAGCTGATGGCGAAACGCTAAGGCTTCACCCTCTGGCCCCAGAGAAAAGCCAAAAGCTCGCCGAAACTGATGTATGTATGTATGTATGTATGTATGTATGTATGTATGTATGTATGTATGTATGTATGTATGTATGTCATACGTGATTCTTACCTCACAGAGTCGCCTTCCTATTTACCAGGAGACGGGCGGAAGAAAGGGGCTCCCTGTGACGTTGTTATTATGCGCTGACTCGGGCAGAGTTGGGAAAGGTCCCCGCGAAGGATGAACACGTGTCTTCGTGACGCCTTTCCAGGCACTTGGATCGTTCCCCAAGCGAACATGAGGAGACCAAATATTCTTCTCACGGGTAAGAGCAAAACGGGTTGTGTTTGTATCTCATGCAAGTGCTTTAGAAACATAAGGTCCCGGGTCCAGTTTCTAGTGTCCTCGGGTGAAGGCAACCAGTAACAACAAGGCTGGGAAAGATTCCCGTCTGAAATCCTATCCTGGAAAGATGTGTGTTTGGGTCGACTCGGTGCGAGGCAGCTTCATTGGTTTTACCTGATTGTGTGCCTCGGCAAATGTCACTTTCATCCTCCTATTTGAACTTCAAAAAGGAGGCCTGGGCTAACATGCAAGCAAACTATGTGATCGAATGGGCTATAACATTGTTTTGAACGCTTCTCCGTGTTTGTTTGTTTTATATAACATGCAAATACAAAACTTGCTCTTTGCCATATGCCATACAAGCTGATTGTAGACAATTTTTAATATAGAGAAGCGTTCAAAGTGTGATGCACACACCTGCAGGATATTTTTTTAAATGGAAAGTCTTTGGCTATCTTGCTTGAACTAGGCCTGTCTGGGCTTTTAAGAGCAGTTTTCATGTGGAATTGATTACAGTACAGTGGTACCTCGGGTTACATATGCTTCAGGTTACATACGCTTCAGGTTACAGACTCTGCTAACCCAGAAATAGTGCTTCAGGTTAAGAACTTTGCTTCAGGATGAGAACAGAAATTGTGCTCTGGCGGCGTGGCAGCAGCAGGAGGCCCCATTAGCTAAAGTGGTGCTTCAGGTTAAGAACAGTTTCAGATTAAGAACGGACCTCTGGAACGAATTAAGTACTTAACGAATTAAGTACAGGTACCACTGTATATGTTATTAGTTGCTACTATTGATTACTGTTTTGTTATGACATATGCTGCTTTGTAGGTACGCCTGGTGTTGGGAAAACTACCCTAGGCAAAGAGATCGCTGCAAGAACAGATTTTACTTACATTAATGTGGGTGATTTGGCCAAAGAAGGTGAGTTTTTATTTTACAGAACTTAACATTTGAAAGTTGATGTAGAATTTGTATTTAAGTTATATACTGGTAAGTAGGTATAGTTTAGATATATTTGGTAGAGTTCAATGTTGCACTATTATGAACATTCTGTCTATGCAAGCATTTCAGCTCATCATATGGAACAACCCCACCCCTCTCTCCTGACTCTCCCCGCCCCCCTTCCTGCCCAAACCAATTCTGGGAGGCATTCAGTGGGAGGAGAGGGAGAAAGCTCCATTGCATAAGCAGTAGTCCTTGCACAGAGTTTCTGCTGACAGGATGCCTAGATGAATCCTATCCATAGCTATAGTGCTAAAGGGAATAAATTCTGTTTATAGACCTGCTTGTTAAAAAAAACTTTTAAACATACGTCTAAAATGCATAGAGTAAGCCTCATTGGACTTATGGAACTTATTTCTGAATAAAAACCCATAATATTGGGCTGCGCACAGGTTTTTGATTGACATGTCTTAAAAAAGCAATTGACAGCAAACAATTGGAATCATTTTTTGTATTCTTACCATTTCTTCCTCATTATACAGGGGAGCTATACGAAGGATTTGATGAAGAATATGGATGTCCAATTTTAGATGAAGACAGGGTACGTTTACATTTAAAAACTAGCACAGTTGTGGGTTTTATTTTGTTACTAAGAATACATTTATAAGTTTATTTTGTATGAATTCTCTTTTAGGTAGTTGATGAACTGGAAGAGAAGATGAGTGATGGCGGTGTAATAGTTGATTATCACAGCTGTGACTTCTTTCCTGAACGTTGGTTTAATATAGTATTTGTGCTTCGAACTGAAAACTCAGTCTTGTATAACAGATTGGAAAGCAGGTAAAATCAGTGCTACAAAATAGATGCAGTATCAGATTTGGTTTAGGATGAAGCCTCTTGTTAGTACATAGTCTTGTCTCTGTTTTTTAACCTAGAATGTGCTCCCAAATTATCTCAAGTGTTTTTGTCTTATCTTATTTTATTTTTTTAGAGGATACAAAGGAAAAAAGCTTCAAGACAACCTTCAATGTGAAATTTTTCAGATCATTTATGAAGAAGCCATGTCATCGTATAAGGAAGACATTGTTCATCAGTTGCCCAGCAACATTCCAGAGGACATGGAGAACAACTTAGATCAGATTATACAGTGGATCGAACAGTGGATGAAAGACAACAACTAGCATTTTAATATATAATATTAATAGACCAAACAGTCTTAGAAATAACTTAATTCAATAGCACTGGCTGACTCGTTCTTGTCAGTTACACTTGCTGTTTCAGTCATTGAGGAAACAGTAACAGTTACTTTTCTGTGAAAATAAAATTGGAGATAAATGAAATTCAGCAGATTTATGCTGCACTAGTTATAGCTGGATTCATATGACTGCAGAAACTGGACATAAGTTACAGACTTGGAAACTTTAAAAAACATGACATTCTGTGTAATTGGGCATCTTAAGATTCTTTTTGAAGATTTGGTTGAAAAGGTTAATAACAAACTGCACTGGCTTGTTTAGGTGTTAGCATCTCAATTGCTGTGCAACTTCCTTTTTTGGTAATATGTTGGAATTGTTCTGTGGAAGTTTTTATTTTTTAATGGTGGGATTTGGTTTGTGACAATGTTCCAGGTTATTGTGACAATGTTCCAGGTTATTAAGTTATCGACATGCAATGTCATTTAATATATTTGTGTGTGTATATATATTTCATTTACTAGCTCATAGTAAATGTTATCAGTCTTTCAAGTCTGAAAGCTTTCCCGGTGAAGTTACTTCTAATGCTATGGGAATATTGACCTGTCTTTGCAAGTGTAATACATTGACTATACACAGTGCAACCTGAAGTGCAACCACAGGTCATGTTATTGATGTGAACACACATGCCAGTTCCACATAACAGGAAGCCCAATTTGATAGCAGCTTCCCATAGCATGTATGTGTGTCAAATACAGATCTATGTTTTGTCTGTTGACTACCACAACGCATGTGCAAAATACACAGTACCAAGTGAAAGGTAGGTAGAAAATTGGTTATGCATGAATAAAGTATTAAGTCTGTTTGTAAGTATGTTTATTAGTGTCTCTTCTTTGTGTTAAAATATTTAGCTCCAGAGATCTGATCTTTGAATATACAGTAATGAAATTACAAAAATTGCAAAGGACACACCTGATTAGTATCTTAATAGGAAGCACATCTTCCTGTTGTCAGTTGGGAAAGGCCCACTTTGATTGCCCTGGTAGTTTTGTGGTAATTCAGCATATATAAAGCACTGATACTTTCTTTTCTGGAACTAAAAAGGTTTAAAGATATTCTTGAAAAGGAGCCTCCTTCTTTAGGAATAGGAGACTCCCACTGAATTTAAGCATACACTAACTTAAACGCAGCATCAGTACTTAAGATACTCCTAGCGGCACATTCTATGGTATAATGTAAATTACATAGTCATTCAGTGTGTATAGTACGACTGACACTTATTGGGGATTCACATTGTCATGGCAGTGAACATGATAGGACTTTCCTTTTCTCCTCTTCCTCTTCACGCTTCCAAAATCTATTCCAGAAGGTTCCCCAATTGTCCAGAGTAGATTTTGAGGGGCATCAGTGTACAGGTCAGGGGAAAAGTCCCATTGCACAAGTGGCTGTCACTGTTGGATGTTGCCCTATCCATAGAGCATTTGGTTTGTGCCTCTATTAACGTCATTGTATGTGTGTGTTTTGTATATATGAAAATGAAAATCCTCCAGTTTGCCATTTTCCTAACTAAGCTACTTGAAGCGACTTGAAACTTTTATTATTTACTAAATAACTATTGGAAATGACTTTGTACTTAATATAATTTTGATTTATGGATTTATGGGGAAATGGGTCTATAGTTTTGTAAGTTTCTTAATAAAAAGGAGTGCATTTAATGATAAACATTTAGCTTTGCATTTATATACAGGTATGTCTATTAAAGTGCCTTCTATGATATGCTGTAAGCAATTTCTTTTAATGAATGTTTAAATACGATGTTTCTATTCAACATTTGTAGTAGCTCTTGCTGTGTTCAATAAATTTGCTTGTATTGATGACCAGTTAAGAAAACCATTTAACTTGTATTGCAGCTAAATCTGTATCTCACTCATCCTTTCCTGTTTGTCAAAGCTTAATAATCCTATAGTGCAACAGAGGATTTTGACATGTAGTAGCTACCTATGTATGTGGGAAGACCCTTCATGAAGTGGTAGAGCTCATACATCGTTTAAGGCCAGAGGTTTAATAAAAAGGTTCCACGGTGGCAGGTCATCTGTCTGTCTATCTATCGATCTATCTTAATTTATTTATTTTTCAAATAAAATAAAAATAATTGTACATTTTCCAATTAACATTCAATTAGTATTAGACTTCCCCTCCACCACTCCATGGTTTCCCAAGTTTTGTAATATTGATGGATATTCTAATTATTCTATAACTTATCTCCTCCATAATATTCTCCTATATGCATTTTACTGCTGTCATTACTCCAAACCTACTTACGTTTTAACATGTTTACAATAATTTTTAAATAAGCTGCAAACATGTTCCAGTCCTCCTTTAAAAACTCATCTCGATCTCTAATTTTACTAGTTAAGCTTGCTAGTTGGCAGTTGAACCTGAAGGAATATGCTCAATCTTCTGGGTCATTTATAAAATCTTGAGCTGTTGTCACTACATACTGATTTAGATGGACTAATGATCTAATGGTGTAAGGCAGCTTCATACGATTAATTGCCTGAATTTAGATAATCTCCCTTAATTTGTTTTTGCATGAGATTGCATTGTATGCACCTTTCAAATGCTTATTCGGAACCACCGTTCAACGCACAACGTGCAGATGAAAATGCCTGATAAAAAGCTCTTGAGGTGCCCTCTAGGTATTGAAGCCTCTGACTCCCATCAGTCCCAGCTAGCATTTCCTGTAAGGGAAGATGAGAATTTCAGGATTGCACTGTACGGTGGTACCTCTGGTTACGAACTTAATTCGTTCCGGAGGTCCGTTCTTAACCTGAGGCGTGCTTTCGCTAAAGGGGCCTCCCGCTGCGCGTGTGCCTCTGGCACACGATTTCCATTCACATCCTAGGGCGAAGTTCGCAACCAGGAGCAGCTACTTCCTGGTTAGCGGAGCTCGTAACCTGAAGTGTTCATAACCTCAGGTACCACTGTATTGGCACCAGTGCCGGATTTACGTATAAGCTAAGCAAGCTATAGCTTAGGGCCCCACTCTCTTGGGGGCCCCCAAAAAAATTAAAGGGAAAAAACTAGATGTACTGGTACATTTCCAAAATATAAGATAAAATACTAAAACAAAACCTACATACAACAACAGTGTTTTGTAGGTCCATGAATTGCCATATAGCATATATTCAACACAAAAAACAGCAACAATTTGTTGACAAAGGACAGCTGGACATACAAAGGGCCCCATCAAACCTAAACGCCACCCTGATTGAGACTATTTGGACAGGAACATAGACACCAAATATGCCTCTCTGGGGAGGGTATTCCATGAGGACCTCCCAGGTAAACCACTTGCTGTTGGACTATGACCTGGGAGGCTGGGGTTCAAATCCCTACTCAGCCATGAAGCCCACTAGGGCTGACCTTGGGCCAGTCGCTGCCTTCACAAGGTCTTTGTTGGGAGGGAGTAAATGGGGAGAACCTCGTACGCCCCTTTGAGCTCCTTGGAGGAAAAAAGTATAAAAATGCAATGAAATAAATACACCCCCCCCCCCAAAAAAAACCACTGCCTCGCAGCAGACGGGTATAACTTAGGGTCAGGTACCATTTCTTCCTGCTGCAACGGCACAGAGGCTTGTGGGCGGCGCCTTAAAAACTAATAGGCCAGTTAGATTTATATTTGCAACAAGCATTTTCTATTGCCGTGCCCGCTCTTGACTCTGCAGGTTCCTCCTCTAGCTGCGGGGAAGGGAGGGCTAGTTGGGGTAGGCGGGCAGGTGAAGCCCTGCCCCGGAGGGAGGCCGGGAGGAACCGAGGGACGGACCGGGAAGGGCGGCGGCTGGACTGGAGGGAAGGAGGAAGCCTTGCTCGCCTCGCCGGCCAGGTGGGTCTGCGGCGGGCTTGGCTTGCGCGCGGAGGCCCGCAGCTCTGGAAAGCTCGGCCCCGTGGGAGAGGGAAAGGGGGGCCGAGGAGGGGCCGAGCCGTGGGGCGTCGGGGTTCTGTGCATGTGGCGCGAAGGGAAGCCCCGGAGGCTCGTGCTACGCGCTCTTTCGTGAAAGGAAATAAATAAAAAAAATTGTCCTTAGAGACCAACTAAGTTTGTTCTGGGTGTAAGCTTTCGTGTGCATGCGCACTTCTTCGTAAAGCTTCGCGTTCTCTTTTTAGTCAGAATTCGCGTTGGCGGGAGCTGCGTGCGCTCAGCTCAGGCGCCCTCTGAGATTTTGTGTTGCCCCTGCAACTCCGACGGGGAGCTTTCCTTGCCTTTCTTTCCTGTACCTTTTAATATTGGTGGCAAAGGGAGACCTTCAGCAGACCACAGTTTTGCCCTGTATGGAGACGCCAGTGATGCTCAAAGCTGCACCTGTTGAATGTTGGTTGGGCATGCAGCTTTTTAAAGAAAAGGGGGGGAAACAGAAGAGAAAGCGCTGCTTAAGGTGTTGTCATAATTGATAGATAGAATCACAGAGCTGGAAGGGATCCTGAGAATCATCTAGCTTAACCCCCTTCAACGCAGGAATATGCAGCTGTCCATTAGGCAAGATCGAACACGCAACCTTGACATTGTAAGCATCACACTCTAGTCAACTGAGCTACCCATGAAAGAGATAATTGGAGGATAAGTTCTTTATTCTGGGAAGCCCTAAAGTAAGTAAAGGGGACCCGTTATATGATTCTGCAGCGATAAGGTATGTTCTGTAATCTTGGGTCCATTCATTTCTGGCTTTTCTGCCAGCTACAACTGTACATAAATATGAAGAATCTTATAACTGTGTACATTATAAATATAAAATGCCTGTTGCTATATAGTTATGCAGCAATAAGGGGTGTTTTGCAATACACTGGTACCTCGGGTTACACATGCTTCAGGTTACATACACTTCAGGTTACAGACTCCGCTAACCCAGAAATAGTACCTCAGGTTAAGAACTTTGCTTCAGGATGAGAACAGAAATTGTGCTCTGGCGGCACAGCAGCAGGAGGCCCCATTAGCTAAAGTGGTGCTTCAGGTTAAGAACAGACCTCCGGAATGAATTAAGTACTTAACCCGAGGTACCACTGTATTGGATTTACCATGGAATGTTAAGACATCAGGAAACTGCCTTATAGTGAGTCAGACCATAGGTCCATCTAGCTCAACATTGTCTGCACTGATTGGGAGCAGTTCAGGATTTCAAACAAGCCTCTCTCCCAGCCCTACCTAGAGATGCTGGGGATGAAGCCTGGGATCTTTTGCATGGAAAGCAGATGCTCTATCGCTGAGCCACAGCCACTCACCTGCTAGCTATACCTGCAGATAAATATGTTTTGCTCATTGTGTACTTGATAAATATAAAATGCTTGTTGTTTCAAATATAAAACTAACAATGTGGCATTCTAATGAGAAATGAGCAGTGCGTAATGCTTTTTGTTGATACAAGTGTGGTGCTGATAACCCTAAGGTTGCAGGTTTGATCCCCGTATGGGACAGCTGCATATTCCTGCACTGCAGGGGGTTGGAGTGAATGATCCTCCAGGTCTCTTCCAACTCTACAATTCTGTGATTCTGTGATTCTATAGTTCTAGATTCAGGTAGGTAGCCGTGTTGGTCTGAGGCAGACAAAATAAATTTTAAAAAATTAAAAAATTGTCCAGTAGCGACTTAGAGACCAACTAAGACTACATGTTAACAAACTAGTCTCCTTCCCTGGCCTCCCAAATTAAGTGCGCCTAAATTAGAAGCGTTATGGGACAATGTATACACAATGTTACTTATCACCTTGGTTCATACTGTGATATTTACAATGGATGTGCAGAAGACAAGCTCTTCCTATCACTATATTTATGTCTAAATCAGTCTCTAAAGGGTAGGTGAACAGAAGTTCCATTTTATTTTCTTAAAAACAAGCAGCACACATTCAAAATGGTTTACTAAAGTTAAATTGTGTGCAAAAACAGCATAAGAAGACATTTTTAATGAAGAGAGGGTTTTCTATAAATGCTTCCTCTTAACATTATTTGCTAAAAAAAAAAAGCAGCCAAGTATTCAGAGTTCCTTTGTAAGGATGTTATAAATGGCTGGATTCTATTAAAGAGAACTAGGAAAGCAATAACATAGTGTAATATGCACGTCTCATACAAGAACTCAATTCCACATAGGTCTTGATGTGACTTTTGCAGTTGTTGGATTGTAAGTTAAACAATGCTTTCTTTTTTATTACATTTTAAAGTAAACAAAGTGGCTGGGTGTGTTTATGGTCCTGCCAGCAAGGCATAAGATTACACTGATATGCTTTTAAGTTCTTGGAATCTTATTTTGCAGTCGTGCTTTGAAATCAGTACTAACAATACATGTGTTTAATTTGCAGGAAATGTTTCCTGTAATTAGTAATCTTTTCGACAAGAAGCATGGGTTATTTAGGAAAATATTAGTACAGTGTAAAAAAACTATTCGCTGCCGTCTAGAGATGGCGGAAGTGGCTGTTAAAGAAACCGAGACATCTTTAGTTTTGTTATAACATAATTATTCGTTTTTATTAATTTATTTTCCAGCACAACTTTCCCTGACGTGTTTGTGTTTAAACAAAGCTTTTGTATTTAAACAAAGGCGCCGCTAGCTTGACATAAGAAGCTATTTGTGTTGCCAATGAGTGAAGCACTGTCATTGCAGAACAAACTGGGTATGACCTCAGAAGGTGAAGATGATGACATGGCATGTGGAGATTTGGGAAATGGACTCATTAGAAGGCAAAGTGATATGTATGAACCAGAAAGCTTCAGCGCACACCCAGGTATGCCTAGAAGAGGTTCAGCAAGGAAAAGCTTCAGTCCGTTTATGCTGCCAAAAAAAGGAGAAGAATGTGATGCAACAGTTTTCCGTTGCTCAAGGTGTAACAGTTTGAATGACACGTCGGTCAAAAAAATGGGAATCAATGCATTTCGTAGCTGCAACCGACAAAACAGCTCTGGTAAGGTTTTAGTTCAATCCAAACTTTTGGACCATTTAGTATTCTTCATACAGCATGTAAATGTTGCTATTAAGATACTTAATTCATGAACATCTTCAAAAGCATGTAAGTACCACAGAACAACAAATATAGAGCAGCAGGCGAAACAGTTTATTGCACCACCTAAAATGCTGGTTTCAAATTTTCAGCTATACTGAGCTTTTCACCTATTCCTGTAGGTGTTCAAAACAAAAATAAGGAATGTAAGATATATGTATGATGGATAGTGTTGACCCAGTTGTGTGTGCTTAAACATGTTGACTTAAATAGAAGCTATAATAACTGAATTTAAAATGTTAGACCTTGCATCTGTTAAGACATACAGTTTTACGAGTTTTCCTGTAAAAAATGAGATATTCCAGTGGATCACAAGAGTGGAGATGAGGCAGTATTTAAGGCTTTATATAAGTTGTAAACAATGCTGTACAGGGGACTGGCGTATCAGTCAGCACACTAAGCACTTATTTGTTGACTCAGCCATTTGGGTGCTAGGCTTCTAATGATGTAGCCCAGCTTGCAGATTCCAAGCATGAAAGAGATTAATGCAGTCTCATTTATCTCTGAGGCCGCAGTGTACAGTAGTGTCTCACTGGATTGTAACATGAGTGAGAGTCCATTTTGGGGAGGAAACTCATTTTTCAAATATTCAAAACAATAACTGGATGTTGCTGAGGAAATACAATTTCCTTCTCCCAGAAAACCATTGCTTCCAGTGCAAGTTGGAGTTCTGTATGGATTATGACTGTGCAAGTGTTGCAGGCAGTTATTTTGAAATTTGTCCTTTGAGTATTGAGTTCCTTTTTAAAAGAGGTCAGTTGCTCTCTGATGTTTCACTTTCTTGCTTTGCCTTTTGGTGAACTCCCCTCCCCACCTCAGTTTTACTTTTATTTTATTTTAAGGAATCTCCATTAGAGTACATGTGTCCCAAGTTTTTCTTTTGTTTATACATCTCTTGAAACATAGTTCCACACATGCATGGAGACATGGATGGCCCATCCCATTTTGCCACCTGAGGTAAACCGGGAATTGCCGCCTCCTGCCCCATCTGCTGAATGGGCTCAGCCCTCACCACTTCTGCTGCTAGAACACTGCAGCTCTCACCAAAGTTGGTGGGAGCCAGGCTGTTCTGCAAAGCGTTCTCTGCAAACCAGAATGCCTGCCTCTTGCCAGTGGTGTGTGTGTGTGTTTTCTGGAAGCAGTAGTGTGGGCAGAGAACCATCTCTTTTGTCTTCATTGCCTGAGTCGGCTGCTTTACCGAACCTCATGTGCTGGATAGCTCAGCATGGAGACAAACAAATGTGTGGTTAGCCATTAAATAAGTTAGTGTTGATTTAACTTTACCTTTTGATCTAAAGTTGTTTTGCATCCTTTTCCCCACCCCATTGGGAGATGCCCAGTGTGGGTTTTTTCTCTCCTTCCAACAATCGGATGCTATTGCTTGAAACTTAAGAAGTGGTCTATTAAATGCTTATTACATAAAAGTGCAAGGGGAGGGCAAATTACCAAACATAATTTTGAGAAACAGCTGGTGCTTTTTAAGGTTTTTTTTTACATTTTAAATAAGCACTTAGAAATAAGCATGCCATCCTATTAGTTTCAAACCAGGACACTTTTTCTATTATGAATGCACACAGAAACTAACTCTGAGGCATCAAATGAAGAATTAATACAACACCTTCAAGAAGCTGAAGAGGTAAGTGCCTGTCTTGGCAAGACTTAATTTGGAACCTTATTTTTCTCATTAATAGGGTGTCCCTAGACCCAGAATCAATAGCAAATATGGGGCAAGGTGTTGAGAGAGTAGCAGAAGTCCAGCTTCACCCATATTTGGAGGAAGTGGATTTTCTGGATCCATTTCGGTCTGGCTTTAGGCCTGGTTATGGCACTGAAGCCGCCTTGGTTGATGGTTTAAGCAGGAGCCTCTCCTGCTGGCCAGGGAACCCTCCAGAACAGTGTGGGAGATGGTGTGGAGATGGGGCTGCAGCCTGAGGGAGAAATCCTTCCAATCACACAAGCGGGTGTAACATCCACACATAGCAGAAAGTCTCTGCATGATGCCCAATATTTTTGTTTACTCAACGTGACTTTATTCGTACCCAGGAAATAGAAGTTTTAAGAGTTGAATTGGAAGCATCTCAAAGACAACTTGAAGGCAAAGAGCAAGCACTAAAAATTCTGCAGAGCATGGTAACTTACTAATATATATTAATTTACATGAAATTTGTAATGTAGCCTTTTTCAAATTGTACATGTACTGTTATGCAAATGAGACAGCTGTTCTTCACTGTTAATGTTGGTGACCGGTTCCTTAATTGATGCAGAGGCAGTTTTAGGGTAGCATGACCAGTTCAGATGCACTGGGTTTGCGCTGCAGGAGGCGCCATAACAGTGTTGTGTGAGAGTGTGAGAGGCAGTGGGGAGCCTCTGAAATTTGAGAGCTCAAAGTCTGCCACTGATTGATACATATGTTTTCACTTTTAGTATGAGCTGCAAGACATAATATTATGCGAGACATAATAGTTCAGCTTTTAAAATTTTTATTTCTCAGGCAGTGCTGGATAAAGCCACTTGTCATACTAAAGCGGTATTTAAAAAAACAGAGCAGCAGAAGAGAGCTTTAGAAAAGGTAAGACTATAGCTTATTCTTTCTCTGAAGAGGGGCAAAAATAGCTGAGATGTGTATGGGATTGCAGCCCTAAAGCAAAATTCCGAAACATACTTGATTTCAATGGACTAAGCATGCTTAAGACTACAGTCCTTACTGGGCAAAAAGATCCACTGAACACTGCAATTTACTTCTCAGTAAATATGCATGGCGCTGCACTGCACATCTTTGTTGATTTGTCTTTTATTTACAATATTTTATTTAGTACAGTTGTAATAGTTTGCTGCAATACTTATTGGAAAAGATGTGTCTGTATAATTGGGAGATTTCAGAATCCAGAGTTTTTATTCCATGGGAAGAACTGTTTGATTCTTCTCTTTTAGCGAACACTGTGCCCACAGATTTTCAAGTTTTTCTCCACAATAGTGAAAACTAGAAAATCGATTTTCACATTAATGCAGTAGACTGGTTGCATGAATGTGTGGATACATAGAACATTCCTAGACATTTTGTTTTTCATCAGTAGTTATCTAAAGTTGCTGACTCAGCATTTTTAGACAAACAATTGACTGCAATCCTAGATTTCATCAAGAAAAGTGAACAGGAGAGCACTAAGTCCACAGTCAGGGGTGTTTGGAATGTACTTACTGCCCAGCAGAACAGGCAAGCTGGCTTGTGGTTGGCTTTTTGAACCAGGTGATTAAAGGTAAAAGGACCCCTGACCATTAGGTCCAGTCGTGACCGACTCTGTGGTTGCGGCGCTCATCTCGCTTTATTGGCCGAGGGAGCTGGTGTACAGCTTCCGAGTCATGTGGCCAGCATGATTAAGACGCTTCTGGCGAACCAGAGCAGTGCACGGAAACGCCATTTACCTTCCTGCCGGAGCGGTACCTATTTATCTACTTGCACTTTGACGTGCTTTCGAACTGCTAGGTTGGCAGGAGCTGGGACCAAGCAACGGGAGCTCACCCCATCGCAGGGATTCGAACCGCCGACCTTCTGATCGGCAAGTCCTAGGCTCTGTGGTTTAACCCACAGCGCCACCTGCGTCCCTGAACCAGGTGATTACTTGCAATAAATTATTTCCAAACATTGCCAGTTGTGCACTGGCTGCTTCTTGCCAAGTTAAGGCAAAATTATATGATCTTGGAGAATAAATCTGTGCAGTGTGGTTATGGGATGTAGGAGGGAATTCGATCCATCTTCACTACACTAAGAGTATCATGTTCAAATTATGGAATATTGTCCTGCTTTCTTCTAATATTAACATTTTACTGTTTATAGGAAATAAATGTTCTACAGTGGGAAATAAAAATTAATCAGGAGAAATTCAAAAATACAGAAGAGTCTTGGGCAGAAAAATATGACAGGTATATATACCAAAGTAATACCTCAGTTTTGCAATACATAGAAGCATATGTTTGAGGTATGATTTAAAAACATGTCATTTGTTGCCATTGTCAACAGAATTTATTGTGAAAATGCTGCACTTAAGGAAACACTGAAATTGAAAACTGATGAAGTTAAAACACTAAAGTCTGAAAATGAATGTAAGTATGCTCCACCTTTTTCAGTTCTTTCCCTTTTTTTTTTTTTATTAAATATTTTATTAAGGATTTTCTTGTTTTACAGAAGTAAGTGTACTGCCTCGTATATATATTTTTTTCATGTAACATTTTTACAAATCCATTTCATTTGTTGAGGCATTAGGGGGGAGAAGAAAAAAAGGAAAAAGAAAGGGGGTGGAGAGAGGGAAGATGGATGGGGGTGGGGTCGGGTGGCGGTGTTTCTATTATGTTTAATGTATGTAGAGTTTGGTGTCAGCGTTGCTTGTGTTGTTCACTTGTGTTCCTTTCGTGGTGAGAGAGGTTGGGGTTGGCCTAGGGTGTGATTGTCTGCTTGTGATTGGCTGTGGTGATCTTTGTTTTCGTGTGTGAGTGAGGTGGGTGGGTGTTTTGGATCAGGTTAGCCATATTGATTTGTATGCTGTTGGTGGATTATTGTCATTGTCCTGTTGGGCTGTGTATGTGATAAAGGGGTGTATGTGTATGTGATACCAGGGTGAAGACGTCTTCTTCTGTTTGTCCCCGTGTCAGTTTCAGTTTATTAGTTAATTTTTCTAGTAGGGCTGTTTCCCATACTATTTGGTACCATTGGTCCATGTTTACTCCTGACAGGTCTCTCCAGTGTCTGGTTATGGTGTTTCTGGCTGCTGAAAGTAGGTGGGTTATGAGTTCTTTGTGGTGTAAATGGGCATTGTTGTCTTGGAAGATGTTTAGTAGGGCCAATTCTGGGGTGATGTCTATTACTTGCTTAGTTATTTTACATATTTCTTGTATGGCTGTTGTCCAGAATAGTTGGATTTTGGGACACTCCCACCACATGTGGAGGTATGTGCCTGTGGAGGTGCACCCTCTCCAGCATTTTGGTGAGGTTCCTGGGTGTATTAGCGCTAGTTTCCTTGGTGTTAGGTACCACCTGTAGGTGAGTTTCAGTGTGAGTTCTTTTCTTTTCGTTGATATGGATTTAAAGGGGGTTTAGACCACATTCTGGTCCATTGAGTGGGGTTAATCTCATAGCCTATGTCATTCTCCCATTGTTTTTTGATTGCATCTAGGGATTTGCGGGATTTTGGAGTAGTATTTTGTATATTGCGGATACCGTCCCTTTACCGTTTCCTTTTGTTGTTAGGAGGAGGTTTTCGAAGGTTGTCAGGGGCCTAGTTGCTGCTGATTTTACTGTTGGGTTGTTTAAGAGGCATGTAGTTGGTGTTGTGTTAACCAGGGCATTTGGGTGTCTTCTAGTTTGTCTTGTATTTCTTGTGTTGACAAGGGTTTGTTATTTTTATAAAAGTCTATTAGGCGATATAAGCCTTTGGTTTGCCAGGTTTTTATCTGGAGGTTTTGTGCTGCATGGTGGAATAATGGGTGGTACGCCAGGGGGATTAGTGGGGATGGGGTTGGGGATAGTTTGCCTATTTGTGTTTTCCATGCTTTGAGCATGGTCTGTGTGTACCTGTTAAGTGTTGTGGGAATTTTCTTTAGTTTGTTTGGGAGGAATGGGTATGTTGTGGTGCAGGTATTTTCAATTGTGTCCCTCTCTAGGTGTACCCATTGTTTTGTCTCATCTTCTAGTATATATGGGATTATATGGCGTATTTGGTTGGCATTGTAATATGCTTCTATGTTGGGGATTCCCCATCCTCCTTCTGAGGTGGGGAGGTGCAGGTATTTGAGGCTTATTCTTGGTTTTTATGTGAGAAGATGAAAGAGTGTAGTTTTCTCTGCCAACTGCGAAGTTGGGTTGAGGGATCCAGATTGGGAGGGTTTGGAATAGGTAGGTTAGTTTTGGGAGTGTGATCATTTTGATCATGGCTATTTTGTCTGAGAGAGTGAAATTCATGTTATTCCATCTCTTTAGGTCTTTGTTAATTTGTCGCCACAGGGCTTGTAGTTGTGGAGGTACAATTTATTGAGGTTTCTGGTTATTTGTACCCCTAGGTATCTGAACTTGGTGTGGCAAAGTTTTATTTTGGTGACCTTCGTGAGTTCTTTTTGGGTGTGAGGAGGGGTGTTGAAGCACATAGCTTCTGACTTTGTAAAATTTACCTGTAGGCCCGACACCATTGCAAATGTGTTGAGTTCTCTGATTAGGGAGGTTGCTGTGCTTATGGGGTCTGGTGTTGTGACCATTAGGTCATCTGCAAAGAGCCCTAATTTATAGGTTCTGCCTTTTATTTCCACTCCCTTGATGTCTGTGGCTGCTCGGATACTGATTGCTAAGGGTTCCAGAGCCAGGATAAATAAGAAGGGAGACAGTGGGCATCCTTGTTTCGTGCCTCTTTGGATAGCTATAGTATTAGAATCCATATTGTTAGTTCTGCATTTTGCTGAGGCTTGGGAGTATATTTGTTTGAGAATTTGTAGGAAGTTGGGGCCAAATTTCATGTTAGTTAGTACTGCTAATATGTATTTCCACTCTAAGCAATCAAAGGCTTTGAGGATGTCTAGGGACATAATTGTCAATGGGAGTTTGGTTGCCTTGCTGTGTTCGATCAGGTTCAGTAGTTTCCTGATGGGGTCTGTTATATTGCGGCCAGGGACAAAGCCAGTCTGGTCTGGGGCTACTAACTTGTGTAGGAAGGTTTTTAGGCGGTTGGCCAAGATTGATGTGAATATCTTGTAGTCTTGGTTTATTAATGAGATTGGGCGGTATGATTCTACTTTGAGGCTGTCTTTTAGTGGTTTTGGGATGGAGACTATTTTGGAGTGGGTCCAGGTTTTGGGGATGGGGCCCCTTTATGATGTCGTTGAATAGGCGGGTCATGTAGGGCATCAAGGGTTCTTTGAATTTCCTATAGAATTCTGCTGTGAAGCCGTCTGGGCCTGGGGCTTTGTGTGGTTTCTGGTTTTTGAGGACCGCATCTATTTCCTCTGGGGTGATAGGGCTGTCCATGAATTCCTGTTCCTCATCAGTTAGGGTAGGCATGGACAGTCCTGCTAGAAAGTCCTTGATTTCCTTCTCTGGTGGGTTATGGGAGGTGTATAGGTTGGAGTAGAATTCTGCAAATTCTGAGTTTATTTCTTCGAGGGAGAATGTTATGTTGCCGTCTTTTTGGTGATGCAGTGTATTCTTGTTTTGAGTGCTTTTTCCTGCATCTATTTGCTAGTAATCTGGAGTTTTCCCTCCATATTCGTAGAAACGTTGTTTAGAGTATAGAATGTTGATCATTGTTTTGTTAATTTCTAGGAGTCTAGCTCTCTCCTTTTTGTTCCATAAGTTTGAGGAGTTTTTAGATCCTGTTTGTTTGTAGCGTGATGAGAGGGCTGTGATGTCTTGTTCTATTTTGCTAATTTTTGAGGAGGTTTGTTTTTAAGGAATGTTTTCTCTTTTATGCAAGCTCCTCTGGTGACCCTTTCATTGCGTCCCATAGGAGGGTGGGTGTTATATTGTTTACATCGTTTTCCTTGAAGTAGTTTTGGAGGGTTTTTGTGAGACTCTCTCTAATTTGTTTGTTTGTAGTTAGGATGGGACTGAAGGACCATGATGGGGTGGTTTGTGTTCCTTCTCCTATTTTAACGATGACTTCTACTGGGCGTGATCTGTGATTTTAATGTTACCTATGTTTGTTGATTCCACTGAGGATCAGACCCTGTGTGAGTAGAATGCTGTCCAGTCTGGATACTGTATCATGGCGTCCCGATTGGAATGTATGGCTGATGTCTCCGGGTTTTGCTCACCCCAAATGTCGTAGAGACCCCTGCTTTTAGCATTTTTAGTAACTTGTAAGGGTTCCTAGTTGTTGGGGTTTCCTTCGGAGGAAGGTTGCCCATGGGGTTGTAGGGTGGATATCTTTCAGGGCTATGCCTTTCATATTTAGATTGAGGTCCCCTCCTAGGATTGCTTCCCTTCAGAGAAGGAGAGGAATTTGTTTAGTGTCTTCTGGAAGAATTCTAATTGTTTCGTGTTTGGGGCATATATGGAGCCAATTGTCAGTTTGATTTTGCCATCTAGTGTCCCTTTAGCGAAAATGAATCTGCCTTTTTGTCCTTGAGGACTGTTGTGGCAGTGAAGTTCAGGTCTCTACTGAGTATTATGGCTACACCACGAGCTTTCCCTGAGCCTCGTGCGACCCACTGTTGACTGAAGCGGGGGTCGCTCAGGAGTTTGCTGCCTTTGGGTGGGTTGTGTATTTCTTGTAGGAAGGTGATGTGTGGTTTCATGGTGTTTATGTATGAGGTGATGCGTTTTCTTTTGATGGGGTTTCCCAGCCCCCTCACGTTTAATGTAATTGCTTTTAGGTTAGCCATCTTGCTTATCTATTGTGTGGGGCGATTCCCTGCCAACCCGTTTGGGTTGTCTTGTATCTCTCTCTTCGTGTTGTTTAAAGTACCAGTGGGGTTGCGCTGACCTAGGGTGTGGCGGGTGGGGGCTAATGGGATTAGAGTAAGATTTGGGTTAAAAGAGTAGGGGTAAGTTGTAGAGAGTTTCCTATATGTAGTCATATAGGTGTTTGTTTGGGGTATTTTAGGCCATCTGGCATTTAGCCGGTTGGTCCTAGGTCTCAGCTGGTGTGGAAGGCCGTGTTCAAGGACAGGCCATCCCCCCTGTTGTTTGCGATGGGGGTATCAGTGAGACAGTGTGAAGTGACTTTGTAACGTCGCTGTCAGGTATAAGGTTCAGTAAGCAATGTTGCCAATGTTATGAGCAACATTGTTGGTGTGTTGGGGTGGGGATGTGGGTGCTGGTACGCTCTGGTGCCACCATAGTGCTGGTTGGGTATCAGATTTTAGCCTGACTGTGGGTTGTGTTATTAAGGTTGGAGTTGTTTTTTCTTAGTATGGGGTATGGGGATGTTGAAGGTGTGGGTGATGTGGAATGTGGTTGAGGTCGTCTGGACTGGTGTTGGGGCGGGGATTTCTGTGGGGGTGCGGGGCTGGGGGGGATGTTGATGGTGTTAACGAAATCTATGTTTTTGGGGAGAGAGGGGAAAAGGGGGGAATCACCAGTCCTTCAGTTTGTGGTTTTTTCCTGGTTGCTTCATTCAGCTGGGGTTGTTGTTGTTGTAGGGTTGTCCATCTGCGATGAGTTGGTTTGGTTAATCTTGGTCTGGTTTCTTGTGTCATATGGCCGGCGGGACGATTCTGCGTGATGCTTCTCTGTATTGGTTTGCACTGTTGTGCCGCTTCTGTTTCTTTTTCTTCTGTACCGTCGTCCAGTTGTTTGCTGTTGTTTCCTCATGGTTGGGGCTGTCACTTGGTGGGTTTGTCGGTTGCCATTCCGGTGGGAGGTCGAGTTCAAGGTTCTTTAGTAGTTGCAGGGCCTCAGGTATGTTGGTAGCCATGTGTTGTGTTGTATTGGTTGTTACAATGAGGCGGAAGGGGAAGCCCCATCGGTATTTGATCCCTGCTTGTTGGAGACGCTGGGTGCATGGGCGCAAGCTTTTCCTTCGGTTTAGGGTATCCTGAGATAAGTCCTGTAAGGCCAGTATGGGGATTTCTCCATATCGAAGGTTGGTTGAGTTTCTGAGGTGGTACCATACCTCTTCCTTCTTTTGTAGCGTGTGAAGCATACAATGATGTCTCTTGGGGGGGCGCTGGGTTTTGGCATAGGTTTTAGGGCTCTGTGAGCCCTCTCCAAGTCATCTGCCTCAAGTTTCAGGCTTGGGATTGTGTTTTTCAGCCAGCGTATAATTAGGTCTGCTGGGCTTTTCTCCTCTGTTTTTTCAGGAAAGTTGCGGAGCGGATGTTACAACGTCTATTGCGGTCTTCAAGGTCGGCTTGCTTAATTTTCATCTCTCTGTGTTCTGCTTCAATTTGGTTTACCAGTTCGTCCAGTTTCTTGTTCACACGTGCGTTCTCCTCCCGGTATTGCTCTATTATTCTTTCTTGCATTTGGTTCTTGTTCTCTAGAGCTTCCACTTTGGAGGTTAGGTTGTTGATTAGTACCTGCATGGGAGCCATTGTGGCCTTCAGTGTTTCTTCTAATCGTGCTTCTAATCTTGCTTCCATTTCCCTCAAATCTCGTTTCGTTATTGGGTGGTCATCATCTTGAGGGGAGTTACCGTCTTAGCATTGTTTGTCATCTCCCTGGTTGGTGTCATCTCAGTCTCCCTGATGGTTTTGGTTTGAGGTTGGCTTGGCATCCTCTTGGAGTAGGGCGTGTGGTGGTTAGGAGTTGTGGCAGTGGTGATTCCTGGGTATTGTTGGGTTGCTGAGCTGATCAGGCGTTCTTTCTTGGTGGCTTAAACAGAGCGTTTGAATTAGGTGGTCATTTGTGTCACTTCTAGCCTGTGTTTTGAGAACTTCTCTAGGGTTTCTGTAGTTGCCTCAGCGGTGCCGCCAAAGCGGGGGGCAGGTAAGCAGAGATGGGTAGACAAACGGACAGACAGTTCATATACCCGGCGTGAATTAGCAGGTAGAGATGCAAAAGATTAGAGGGGTGGGGCCAGGGGAAATATGTGTTTAGGAGGGGGTTGTATATACCCAAAAGGGGTACTGGGGTCCAGCTAAGGTGGGAGTTGGGGTTGGGAGTGCGCTCAGAAACAGAGACAGACAAATAGGCTCTATGTAAAGGGTGGAGGGAGAAAAAGGGAAGAAGAAGAAAGAAAGAAGAAGGGGGGAGGTGGGGGGAGAGGGGAGATTGGAGTAAAAGAGAAGAGAGAGAGAGAGACAAAAAGAGAGTTGAAATAGAGAGGAGAGATAGTACAGTAATATCAGCGGTATTAGATTGCAGCAGTAGTTTTAGCTATAGTATGAGGGGGGCAAAGTATGATATGGTGATATGGATGTGTGTGTGTGTTTCCTTTAGGGGAAGGGGGGATGGAGAGAGGGAGGAGGGAGAGAAAAGGAGAGGAGGAGGGGGAAGGGTGGGGAAAGGAAGGAGAAGAAAAGAGGGGTGAGGGAGGGAGGGTGAGCTGTGGCAATGGTATGGGGGAAAAGTCTTATTTTAAAAGAGGGGGGGGAGAAAGGGCTCCCCCCTCAGAAACAAACTGACAAACAGGCTAAAAGGGGGTTGATTTTAAAAATAAAGGGTATAGAACACAATGTTGGGGATGGAAGGGTGGGATAATAGGAAAAAATAAGGAAGGGTGGAGAGAGAGGAGAGCAAAAAGGGGGGGAAGGGGTTAAAAAGAAAAGGATTAACAAAACAAACAAACAAAAAAACAAACAAAAAAAAAAGAAGGAAAAAAGAAGGGGGTAGTTTCTTCCTTTCTGCGATCTCCTTTGTTATCAGTTCTTTCCCTTTTAAAGAAATTGTGTTTCTCACCTTCATCTTAGATGCAAAAAAGCAAAGACTAATCTTTTTTGAAAAGTGTACTGTGTTCAGTTTAACTTTCCATGATGCAGAATATATTAGTCCAATATTTATTGTTTTTAGCCAAAGGCCATTGCATTGTAAGTCACAAAAGAAACAAGATATTCCAAGAGTAAGTTAAACAAATGTATTTTCCTAAATGCAAGTTGTTAAAACATATAATTGTAAAGTTCTTCAAATCATTTAGACGTAATGTCTTAGTCTTAAACTTTTGTTTGTACTCTTGATTTGAACATCATGTCACGCTTAGAAGCATAAGGTTGAAATTATGCATTCTTACCCACTGAATATACTGGAATTTAGGATTTTGCATGTTGCATTGATGAAGTAGCAATAAGATTAGCATCATCATGTACTCACCTAGGTAGCCTAGGTTAGATGGCAAACGGCTGAAAGTCACCTATTGAGCTTCATAGCTGAGAAGGGATTTGAACCTGAATCTCCCTAGTCCTAATCTGTCACTCTAAGACACTACACCATCACTGGCTCTCAATGTTTAATATTGCCACTGGCAACACTTATTGACACATAATTTCAGCATAGTTTAGTAAACCACAGCTTTGAACCTGCTTCAAATGCAGAATCTTCAGTCCATAATATATGAGATTATAAAACTAGTGCTTTGTAAAGAGCCTTTTCCTCCTTAGTGTGTGACCTCAACCAATTCCACAAAATCTGAGACTAGGGAAGCTTCCAACATAAACTTGTAGGTGAGCTTGAGCTCTTTGTTCAGAAATTAAGCTCCTTTATTTTGTGAATACCCCACAAGTTAGTAAATGAAGAATCAAACTCTATTAAATTTGAAAATTACGTGAGGATTTGAAGCAAAACAAGCTGATTGGAAATTTCACAAACTGTTTCCGTGCTCAATATTTAATTTTACAGTTTTGGAACAACAGCACTTGGAGATTCTCGCTGTCCTAGATGCAAAACAGCGGAAGATTGTTCAGGAGAACATGTCCCTTAGCAAGAGTGGTTTTACAGAGATAACAGGACTTGAGGTGTGTATATTAAAATTGCTTTGTTTGAGTCTTTTGCTGATTCCACTTACTTTAAGAATGAAGTGGAAGGGCAGAGGCTTCAGTTCTTTCGGCTACTATTTTCCCTCCTCCATTTGGACTTGGGATCTTATCCACTTCATGAAATACCATTGCTCGCTCCCTCTTTCTTCCTAGACCAGTCTGCCCCAAGCTGATCTTCTACAACTTTTTTCGAGCTGTGAAATGGAGAAATTGAAAATAGAAAAGCCCAAGAGCTCATAATGAGTTTGATACTGATTTTAGTTATAGTAATGGAATGTTGGGGCTGGGTGGGGGATAGGTGAGAGGTGATTTTTCGTTGATCCCCACCTACACTACCTGAAAATCTTCCAATGAGAGTTGGAGGATACTCTGGAAGAAGGTGCATGAGGCAGAAGGGGAATCAGAGAAAATCGTCTCTACCTTTCATGAATGGGAGCTTCTATTAGATTGTAGTAACTTCTGGAAATGGAAGCAGTCCTTCTGTTCTAAAGGGCCGCTTTGGATCCAAGCCAGTAATATAACTTGTATGAAGATGTAGAAGTCTACCCTTATTCTGTGTTTTGTAAAATAATAATAATAATCAATAATGGAATGGTGTGCATTTGAATTTGAAGCTGGCAGTACTTGGAGCCTGCACTTGCAGTGGTCTTGAGGGAGAGCCATGCTCCTGTGCAAAAATGTCAGCAGCGACTCGAAAACAACTGCTTCAGCTCAAACAAGAGGTATTTATGCTTGGACTGAAAGTAGCATTGTTGTCCCTTTTAATGAAGATGTGTAGAAGGCACTTGTCATGTGTGAAATTGTTCAAAGTGATGCAAGCTTAAAAATACAGTGTTTAGGCAGCTGATATGTCAGTGCATTTTCCTTTTTATGATGACAGATATCTAAAACTTGTATTATTATTATTATATATTATATATGTACAAGTATATGTATTAGCGGCCCAATGCATAAGAGTATATTTAGACAAGGGTAGCCTATGAAAACAAAATGGGATGGATCCAAAGATGGATCTTTCTTGCTCTAATGCAGGGGTCAGCAAACTTTTTCAGCAGGGGGCTGGTCCACTGTCTCTCAGACCTTGTGGGGGGCTGGACTATATTTTTGGGGGGGAAGATGCAAGAGCACCACGAGCCCTGGTGGCTGCTTACCTGTGTCGTGCAAGCGGCAGGGGCGGGCGGCAGTGGCAGAGGCAGAAGGACAATGAGCGGAACGTGAAAGGGCTCTGGAGAGAGGCTTCTTAAAATGGTGGCTGCTCAAACGCTGCTGCTGGCATCAACAAAGCCCAGCCCCCTTCCTCCTCTAGGCAGGGAAGGGAGAAGCCAGGAGGAGGGAGGGAGGAGGCTGAGGTGCCGCCATGTGAGGGAGAGGGAAAGAACGTGCACGCTGGCGATCCACACAGCAATTCCCGGACCGTCCGCAGGCTGGATCCAGAAGGCAATTTGGCCTGATCTGGCCTGTGGGCCTTACTTTGCCTACCCATTCTCTAATGGAAGAAGTTTGTTCTGAATCAATGCCATTTTCTTGTAGGCACATCTCATTATCTTTGTGCAGCCCTCTTTAGGCTAAATGATGAAATCCATTCATGCAACTAGGAGAGGTTTGGTAGCCAATAATTATTTCTAGAAGTCTGTCTGTCTCGGCTTTCTTGGTTGCTGTTCCACACAGAGAAAAAGTCTGGGTGTATTTGCTGCCTAAGCAGGAGGATTTTATATGAAGCAGTAGTGGGTGATACTTATTTTTGTAGCAACTCTAGTACTCTGACCATTGATTCTGCATCCTAGCACAAGGTGTAGCCCAGTTCCCTGGTAAACAAAGAACAAAGTGCCTCCATGTGTGGACAGCCATTTTTATTATGGGTTTTGTTGTTAAATGTCAATCCTGTGGCAGAGTATACTAGAGGTTTTCCCAGTCAATTGTCAGAATTAAATTTTCTGGTCACCTAGTGACTGTGTGTGTGTATAGCTCTACTTCATTTGGGGAAGCAGTTGCCATACCAATGTACTGGGACAGAATGACTAAAAAAGCTCCAAAATGTGGATTCATTCACTCTTTTTTTGAACGTCATCTGAACCTTCTCTCAATCTTAAAAAACAACAACATAGTTTGAGCTTCTGAAGAAGAGTAAAGAAGAAGCATATATTATGGCAGATGCCTTCAGAATTGCATTTGAGCAGCAACTGATGCGGAGGAGGGACCAGGCTCTGGGACTCGCACAGATGAATAAGATATGCAGAAAAGACAAGAAACGATTCAACTGGAAAAACATAAAAGACGATGGTAATTTTCTCCATGTGCATGATTCTCAGTGGTACTGAAAGGAGCCCAGAATTTGCAGTTTTTGTTTTGTATAAAACCTATTCGAATAAACCTAAAACCTACTGTTTGACATCATGCATTTGGTGGCCTGAATTTCATAGTAGCTAACTATGCTGCATGCATACAGAGTAGCAAAGCAGTCCCTACCAAGAGAATTTAAGGCTGGTTCATGCAGGTTCATGCATGCATGATCTACGGCTCATCTCATGAAGAGCAGTAGATCAATGAGCCATCACAGATAACATCATCAAAGAGAGAACTTTTATATATCACCTCAAAACACAATGGTCTTGTTCAATCATCACAGCCAAAGTTGAGGATATCTTAATTTGAAGCCTTCTGAATCTCACTTATTCATTATCTGGGAAAAGGTCTTTACAGGGAGACAGCTATGAAAAATTATGGAGTAATCTCTCCAAACTGGTGGTGGTGGTGTTAAATATGCTGGATTATGTCCAATAAAATAAATGTCAAGTTAAAAGACCATAGGAAGCATTTTTCTGGCACATGTATAATTTGCATGTGGTGATATTCAATATGATAAAAGTGTGATCTTATGATTGCAATCTGCTTTGAAAAATGAGTATTTTGAATGATGGGAGAGGATTCATCCACCAGTGAGTGAACTAAAGTAATAAACAGTTCGTTTCCTTTTTGGAATTCATATAATTTTCTCCCAGTTTATTGCAATTTCTCCTCTCTCTTTCAAGCACCTGCATACATTTCTTCTCTTCTCACCCCTGTATTATTGCCTTTCTGGTGCTGATAGGACATTGGAGCTTAATAGTAGAGCAGGAGTAGCCAACCTTTGGAGCGCCAATCATCCCTGGCCTTTGGTTTTGCCAAGTGGGATTAATGGGAGTCCGAGCCCAACAACATTTGGAGGGCACCGCATTGGCTATCCCTGTAACAGACTATGAATAACTAATTTAGAATGAGGATTCAAAACATGTTATCTAAGATCAGCATATTTTGGCCTTCATTACTAGCACTCCACTGTTCTCTGTTTATTCACTTTAACTGCAGAACATTTTGCTCTATTCTTTTTGTTCTATATGTGCTGGTTATTATTTTGTCTATTAAAAGTGTAGCAGTCACCACCAAAAAGCATGTGTACTTTTGGAAGCTGGATTATAGATGTACGCCATTTATTTTCGTTTGGTAACAGCCTCAGTTTTCCAGTGGTATATTAGTTTTAGGCTTAATTTTATTTGGACTTTAAAAAGGTGGTTGTTGTTTAGAATGTCTCAAAGATCAGGACTTAAATGTGAATGTTATTTTTTCCCCTCAGGTGCTTTCACATTTCAAGGGAATAGGAAAAGCTTGGGGCGAAAGTTGATGGGCATGCTTGCTTCCGGCACTGACAGCAAGAAAATAGAAGAATTGGATAATCCACAGGAAATCATTAGGATGCTGATAGACTTGGTTGGTAACTTGTATGGCTTCATAGAGGGCATATTAATGGTGTTCTTTTATCTTTGTAAAAATAAATATACACTGTTTATTTTTATTTTTTATTGATTTTTACAGATGAATGATAAGGAGGAAGCTTTGGCCCATCAAAGAAAAGTTAGTTATATGCTTGCTCGTGCCCTGGAAGAGAAAGAAGATAGTCTGCAGCAAAATAAGGAAAGCAAATTTTCAGAAGAGCTTGCTCTTAGCAGTAATCAGTGCAAAGATGATTCAGAGCCCCCAAAGTCAGCTCTTCCTGTGTGTTCGAGTTGCCAGACATGCGGTGCTCAAGATTGCTCCTGCTCTATTTCCCACACATCTCCCACCAGAATGCTGAACTGTACGTCAAAAAGTTCTTGTTCCCCAACACCTGAAGAAAATTATGTGCATTCAACAGAGGAAGCAGCTGATCAAAACTGAAAATACTGACTGCTCTACAGGGGAGGGTAGAGCCTAGAAGGGGGCGGGGATGACAGAGGCAACACACCTCTTTAATGCTCAAGACTTATTTAAGATTCATATGCGCTTGCATGGATGGGCTTTCAATTGACTTGCAGGTATCACTGTGATACATAGAAGTCAACTTGCAGAAGTTCTTGTGTGTCAACAGAGCCCCTGGTTTGGGCTGTAATTCTGTCATCATAATTCAGGGAACCTTTTTATTAGAGTGATTTTAAGCATTTTTCACCAATTAAAATAATTGCAAAAAAACAACTGAATGTGTTTTATACACTTAATGTAGGTATTTGTAAATAGTTTGCTTGTACGTAATGCCTGTGTATTTTATGCTATGATGGAATTGGGGGCAGATGTATTTATGAAAGCACTATTTCATGATCAAATGAACGAACTTGTATGCTATGAGAATGTTTACTGTAAGATAAAGAGATTCTGAGTTGTGTATCCACATACATACATAGGGACCAGATCCACTAAAATCAGTAGACTTTTAAGTCTATTAATTTCAGTGGGTCAGTTCTGATGTATGGTTTAGCACGTTGGGTACAATTTTTTCATCTGCTGATAATAAATTAATTGATTCCCTGCTATTTTAAAAATTAAGTAATGTCATTTATAATTTAACAGTGTGTCAAAACTATGGGCAGTATTCAACTAAATAAAAGTGCGAATGCAAGGATTAGCACTAGTGTAAAGAGACAATTCCCCTCATGTACATCCCACTGCCCCCAAATTTACTCTGGAGGCTTGGGAAACCTTCAGAACAGATTGGGGGGGAGATTTTGTTGTACAAGGATAAATCTTGTGCTGACAGAACAGCATCCTTAGCATTCATACACCCCTCATTTTGACATAGTCACATGTATTAAGGTGAACAAATCCCTCCCCCAATTGGGGAAGGGTAACATTTTTACATGCTAGGGACTTTAAAGTGGCCTTAATTTAAGACAGGGGTAGGCAACCTAAGGCCCGTGGGCCGGATACGGCCCAGTCGCCTTCTAAATCCGGCCCGCGGACGGTCTGAGAATCAGTGTGTTTTTACATGAGTAGAATGTGTCCTTTTATTTAAAATGCATCTCTGGGTTATTTGTGGGGCCTGCCTGGTGTTTTTACATGAGTAGAATGTGTGCTTTTATTTAAAATGCATCTCTGGGTTATTTGTGGGACATAGGAATTCGTTCATTTCCCCCTCAAAAAATATAGTCCAGCCCCCAACATGGTCTGAGGGATGGTGGACTGGCCCATGGCTGAAAAAGGTTGCTGACCCCTGATTTAAGATATTAGCTGCAATGTTAAGTCAGCCACACATTTAGATAACAAATCACATTTAGCACTTCAGAGTGGATAAACCCACAGCTTTTGGCAGTTGTACAAATCAGGTTTTTGAAGCCAATTTTCACCATAAAAGCTGCTGCATGCTCCCTTGTACACAGCAGTCTTAATTTTGAAGCTAGATTTGTTTTCTTTTGGAGCCTAAAGCTCTGGTCTCCTGCTGCCATTTTAATCTGGACTAACAAGCACATTTAGATGTAATTAGAGCAGCTGTAGATCTTAAAGCCAAGGACCGGTTCCAATTTGTCCCTGTAACTGTGACAAACAAACTACAGGGAAAGCTCTTCGGCAGCAGCCAAATGTTGTGAACTAAACAAAATGTCTTGTTTGTCTTCACTCATTACAGTATTTGTATGTGCTGAGAGGATACAAAGGGGGGAACCCACCCAGAATAATACTCTTCTTATCGCTGGCGAGTGTGAAAACTTACAGAGGATTTCTCAAAAAAAAAAAAGCAGGTGTCTGCATAAATTACTTGTTGTATAATGAAAAGTGAATGGTGATACTCTCCCTTTCAGGGCCCATCTGCTGCAAACTGGTGCAACAACAGAAACAAAGGCCACGTTCTCACAAACAGGAGCAACCTGTTCCTCCACTTAATCACTTCAGGCTGGGGGGAGGGAGGGGCCCATAATAGCCCTTCTACTTAACTGTTCTGCAATGTTTCTAAGGAGGGACAGTCAGCCATATGCATCTGTAGTGGCACAGGATGCTGCCAGAATATTAGTATTTTGCAGAAGGGATTTAAGTGCAGACTTGGTTATCATTCAAAAATCGTAGAGGTGGAAGGGATCTTGGGAATCATCCAGTCCCCCTTGCAGTGCAGGAATGCCAACTAAATGACAGGTGGCCATCTAACATCTTATTAAAAACCTCCAAGGAAGGAGAGTCCACCACCTCTTCTGGGAGTCTGTTTCCACTGCTAAACAGTTCTTACTGTCACAAAATTCTTTGAACTCTCAAGTGGGGCAATTCCACTTCCTCCTAAATCATTTTGCATTTATTTTTTTAAAATCCCTGCTCTGCATAGTCCCAGTTGCCTTAGATAAGCACTCTAGTAATCTAAACCCCTAATTTTCAGCTCCTGTTCTTAATACAATCTTCAGACTACATATAGCCTAACACCTTCAGTTTATCAATATATGTTAATTTGCACTCTTTACTGTACCCACTTAAAACATTTGTATTTAGGCAAGCCTATCCAAACGTTGATGTGTTTTACTGTTCATTTTAATTATTTTAAAATGTTTTAAATTGTTTACATGTTTTATTTATAATTTTAATATTTATTGTCTTTACGACAATCAAACTATATTTTTTGTTAGATAAATAAATTCAAATTATTAAAATATATTTGCTGGCAATTAAAACTGATTATGACCTTGAAATACTGCACTGTGCATCTTAAAAACAAATTTAAGTTTTCTATTGCACATGAGTGTAACCTGCAAACAGATGGTTTCATCATCGTCTGATGTTATTTTACCAAAAGCCATTAAAAGCAAATAAATATTTTCACAGACTTTAACATAATTCTGACTATTAGATTAGATTATCAAGCCTGAAGGCTTAGGATGTGCTGCTGTAAACAAAAACAATTATTTGGGAGAAGTGATTAAGTAATTAGGCATGACTCCCTTTCAACACTTCAGTCATACAGAAATGCAAACAATTAAAGCTGAATATTAATGAATTGTATTTACACTCCCAAGCTGAGAGTTTGCCAAAATATTCTGTAATATTTTGGTATGTTGAAGAAGTAATATTTGCTACAGTTTGTTCAGAACACAATGTATTTATTTAGAATTATGTTTCGCAGCACTGAACATAAGAGCCTGCTGGATCAGGCAGATGGCCCATCTAGTCCAGCATTCTGTTCTCAAAGTGACCAACCAGATGCCTATGGGAAACCCACAAACAAGACCTGAGTGTAACAGCATTCTGCCCACTTGTGATGCTTACCACCTGCTACTATTGAGCCATACTCCCCCCAAAAGTGGACACAGAACATAGTCATCATGGTTAGTAGCTCTGGATAACCTTATTCTCTGTGCATTTGTCTAATCCTTTTTTTGTGGGAGCAAATTCCATAGTGCTATGTCCTAAATCTTCCAACATTCAGCTAAACTTGGGTGATCAAGGTAATTAATAAGGTGTGTCTTCAGCATAGGAGGACAGCTATGCAACAAAGATGCCAGGAATACTTGTGCACATTAAGCTTTATGCGTGTAGCAAAAAATAAAAAGGGGGCGGGGTTCCAAGAAAAATAACTTTTGTCAATTCTACCCACCATTGAACCCAATGTGTTTTGACTATGCACGGTTTAGGCTGTAGGCGTGGCAAGTCCCACGTACGTTGCAAGCTTACTGTACCTCCTCAGCTTAGTGGTTGCCTCAGAAAAAACTCCACTCCTTAGCTATCAGGCTTATGCTGATATGAGGATAGTGATTATGTTGCTTATATCTTACAAGGAAATGATGCATTTTGAATGACAGCTAATAAATGTAGTTATAAAACAAATATGTGTCTATAGCTCAGCAGCCACTTAAATAAAAGCCCAACTCTAATGTGCAGGGACGGCTGTGGCTTCTGAGTGATCAGCTACGTGTACTCTGCACATTCTCAAAGGCACTTTCCCCTTTAAAATAGCTCCATGCGATCCCGAGCGTCCTAAGGACCTTCAAAGCCGGACTTTCTGATGGCTCTTGCTTTTCTTAAGAGCTTGACGTTTCACCGCCGGATACCAAAGTCCGTTTAAAAGATTAAAAAGGATCACAATAGGGGAAGGCAAGGACCTTGAAGGGAGGACAGTAGACGGAGGCGTCCTGTACTGCTGCTTTAATTATAGTAACCTTTCCCAAATTTGGCATCTCTACATAAAAATGAAGCCTGTTTAAACGTTCTGCAAAACCAAGCGTCCGTTTCCCTTCTCCTTTTTCGGTGCCACTTTACCTCCCAAGCAGAGGAAATGCAAGCGGCTACTACCTCAATCCGGATGCCTAAGCACCACTTTTGACGCACCAACCCGCCGCCCGCCCGGGTCTGGGGAATCACCCGAACCTTTTGACTTGACCTCCGAAGCGCGGAGGAGGAGGAGAGAAGAAAAACAGCCTAGCAACTGCGCAAGCGCACTTGACTCCATCCCGGAGATTGGTAGCAAGAAGAGACTTGAGGGAAGGCGGAGAGAGAGAGAGGCAGAGCGCGAGGACAGCGCATGCGCACGGTGACCTGAAGAAGAAAGAGAACAGCCCTCGCCCCCCCCCACTTTCTCGGGGAAAGACAAAAAAAGTCTGCGCGAAAGTCCCGCCGCGCTTCGCAGGGCTCGTATTAAGCTGGCGGGGGCGCCCATGAGGTGAGCGGGGTGTGTGTGCAGGGGGGGTGTTGTTGCTTCCTGGTGTGGGGGCGTGCCTGCTCCGGGTATCGGCCTCAGAAGAGGGTCCGGCGCCCAATTATTATTTTTTGTCCCTCAGATGTGGGGGGGGGGGGCGCCTGTGGTGTAAGGGCCTCCATTCCTCTCAGGTATTCTGTGACAACGAGAGACACGGTGTAGACGAGGCATCTCTTCGAGCAGTGCTCTGGCTGCTGGCCACCCCACAGATTTCTCCCTCTCCCCGTTTGGGGGCAGGAGCGAGGGGGGCTAAAGCGGCGGGTAGGAAAGACCCGCCTGCTCTATCGTCTTATAAAGGGAAGGATCGGCACCCCGGGGTGTCCTGCCCTCCCTGGCTGGGCGAGCCAGTGGGTTCCTCTCTCTCCTCCTGCAACCCCCTTCCTTGCTTGGCATCTTCACGTTTGGTTGCTGCTCAAAAGAGTTTCAATCTCCACTTTCCGTCTGGCGCCTGGAGAGGTTGGAAATCTCGACATCAAACACCCCACCCCCCATGCTTTCTCCCCCTTCCCCGGTCTTGGTTGGAATAATCCCGTGCGATTATAATAAATCTCCAGAAGTTTTGTCCGCCCCGGTGTGCTTTTTATGGTTTGTGGAGCCATTGTAGTAAACAATCCGGCGCAGGAGGTTGAATCTGGCTCAAGGTTGAAATGCCAATATAATGCAAGAGAATTCGCAGGTGATGGCTTGTGTGTGTTTTTCTTTCCCCGCTCCTATATGTGAAGGAAGATAATCATGTGAGAAGTCAAGCTGATATGACGACACCATAGCGAGCGAGGGTGGGTTTGTTGCACCAAAATCTGTGCTGTTCCGTGTGCAGGGACCTTCTCAGAGCACAAGCAAGTGAAGCCCCTGGGTGTCTCCCTAGCTTGTCTCTGCACTTAAAGAGTTAGGAACGTTTTCTTCCCAGTTCAAAAATGACTTGACTTCTTGCAACGAAGTCTACACAAGCTGCAGCATTTTTACCCTATGCTTTAGCTGACATGAGATCAGCAACAAGACAGAAATATTTAGAATGTTAATGATCTTTGTGCTGTATACTTGACAGTTTTGTCATAGGTTGCTTTAGGATGACCTTTCTTATCAAGAATTTCAAAGTGCTTACCAAGTACTTGGTTTGCAAGTCATGGTTTGTCACATGATTTTTGAGTGATCAAATTGACAGTGTTTGTCCACAGCTTGTTTTTCATTACTCTTCATGTCTCAATGAACCATCTTAAAAGACTTTTTTGGGTTAGATACTGACTAATTATGTTATCAGGTTTTAAATTATAATTTCCATTTCCTGAAATTATATTGGTTTTTAAGTTCTATATAAAGTGTTAAGATTTTAAAATAAGCTGGCTTGCCCCAAAATGATACCGTGATATACCAGTAATTCCATGTCCAAAGGAAATCCTTTCAGTAAAATGGGAAGGAAATTCTATATTTGATCAAGGCAGAGAGAGGGGCGAATCTTGTGACATCAGCAGTGACTCTTCACTGACCAGCTTTGGAGACACATCCTAGTCACAGTGTCTACCAGGCTAAGGCTATTTTTGTCCCCAAGAATGATTAAAGTAAGTTGTAAATTCTTTGTAACTTAAAGCAGTTTGACTATAGCATTTAACATTTATGCTATTTTATATTTGTCAGTGTTGATGCTAAATAAATATTTGAAAAGTTTTTTTTTCCAATAACCAAAAGTAGTTGAACTGAAATATGTGAAGGAGTGTACTTAGTGTGCCTTAAATGTTATATTCAAGCCACTTCATAGGTTTACTTGGAAATTATTTTTATTGGATTGTTTATAAATATTGTAAATGAAGATGACTGATTAGCCTACTAGTTTTATATTATTTAGATTTTAAGGGAGGACATTAGTTTTAACAAGAGCTTTGATCATAAAGATATGCTTCCTACAGAGTACCTGAAATAACTTGATTAACTTTGATTTTATTATATTTCATTATATCCATTCCAGTTGCCCATTTTGACTTGTACTGTTCTTATTCATTATTCTGATTGCATCTAGGCTAGACTACTGTAATGTGCTGCATGGGGTCTGCATTTGAAGAAAGTTCAGCTGATCAGTTTGTAGCTGCCCCATTGCTTCTGAAAGGTCATGCAATCTGAGCATATATCACTGATTCTGCACCACCTTCACTGGCTGCAAGTGGGCTTCCAGGTCCAATTTAAAATACTAGTTGTTACCTTTAAGGTACTAGATGGCTTGGAACCAAGTTATCTTAAGGATTGTCTGCACATGTATTAGCCCAGTCAGCTCTTGAGGTTGACCTGCTGCTAAGGTCCTTCACAAGAGGGAGGGGGGCACAAAAGCTAGGGGCTCAGTCGTGGTTCTGTTGTGGAACTTCCCCCCGTGGGAAGTACATTTGGCTGCCTCCTAGGCTGGTTTTTAAACAGAATCTATAGTCCTGGTGTTAACATCCGTTTTTATGGCAGTCTGTTTTTAATGTACTTTTAACCATTGGTGCTATTTTACAACTGACTTTGTAATGAATTGTTTTTATTTTATTTTATTTGAATTATTACCCATTTTATGATGACTTTATGCTGTAAAGTGCTTTGAAAGGCAGCGTAAAATATCTAAATAAAAAAATGTTACTAATTTATTTTACGAAGCTATGCAATTCTAAAATGGAATTTGTTTTAGAAAATCCCACATCACAGGAGTTGTAAAATTCACAGTGAAAGGATTATGTAAGTCTGAAATGCTTTGGATCAGGGACGCCAACTCCAGGGGGCTGAGCTCTTTTGGCCCTCCCCCAGTGTTTGGGGGTTGAGGAAGTCAAGTGTGTCTTCCCTGGCCAGCTCATTCTCTTCCTGTTGTGGAAGGTTGCTGAGTGCTCCTCCCGAAACATCATGTGACATCGTCATAGCACACATGACACACCCCCAGTCTTTGGCACAAGCTGGCACCTTTGCTTGGGATTGTGACTTTATGCAAGTTTTGTAATGGGGCTAGTCAGATACACCATGGTTAAGGAAGAGTGCTCAGTTCACCTGTAATGCCAAGCCATAGTTAAAACAAGTTTATAAGCAAAAAAACCCTATGGCTTCAGATAATAGTTTGCTAGCAGTAAAAGCAAACCAAAACATACTTAAGCTGCTGGACTCACACAACTCTAAGCCACAGTTTAATAAATCATTGGTTTAATCAGGCCTTGACTTCTTCTTTTTCAGCAGCCTAATTTGATAGAAGCATACAACCCTCTTTATACTGTTGCTGTTTTAAAGAATTGGTAGTCAGAAATGTCTTAAAATCTACTACAAATTGTTCAAGATCTACCAGTAGATCTTCCCTTGCTTAATTCAATGTACGGTATTCTACATAGGCGCAAGAGGAGAAAACTCTTACCAGATTCAGCCTTAGAATGGACAGTTACTTCAAAGCAGCAGTCTCAGACTTGGACAAGCTACTTGATGAATTTGAGCAGAATACTGGTTAGTTTTTACTTCATGCTTCTATTTTGTGTGAGAGAACAGCATGCTTAAAGTGGATTATAATGAAGGACACCACTGGTGTATATGGTGCTTTACAGAGCCTCATTCACCATATTACTGTGTTCCTGTTCCCAAGGAGGTTACAATCTAAAACAGACAATGGGGAGGCATGGGGAGACAAAGAACAGGAAGAATGTGGGCAAAAAAATAGCCTTTTATTAATATTTGTTTTTGATGCCATAGGGATGAGTGAGTGTGTGTGTGTGTGTGAGAGAGAGAGGTGTAATGAATTTCTAACAATTTTTATTTTAATTTCAGATGAACTTGAAAACAACAAAATTGTAAATCCACATGATTCCAAATCTCATTTTCTTTCTTCAGAATTAGATTACCAGCAGCCAAAATTCCTGGGACCAAATGTGCAAGAAAGTATTAGTAGTTGTACAACATCAACTGAGCTCTCATTGTCTAGTCAGACTACAAATGTAGCAAACTTTGAACTGAACACTGAACAGAATGAGAAAAATGTCACTGGGTTAGATCTTCTGTCTATGGTGGATGGTGGTTCTTCGGATAAAAATCAATCTTCTTGCCTTGGGCGATGTAGCATACCCGTCTGTGATCTTATCAGTGACACAGGTAATTTGAGCCATGTGAAAAGTAATTCGGAGTGTATTCAAAAGTTGCAGCCAGGTGACTTTCAGACCAATACAAGCTCTCTTACTGGTTTTGATTTATCATTGGTAACAGCCACTGCTTGTAACTTGTCTGTTGATTATAGTGCGGATTCTGGCACACATCAACTGACTGATGAAGATACAACACTGTATAATAAGGAAGATGGCGCAACAGAAAAACAGAGCCAAGTGATGCTAAAGACAGACAGCCTTTCTGAAGCAAATGTAGTGGAATCTGGTGGGGCTCAAGAAAAGACGGGAACTTTGGATAACAATGAAGTAATTGATCAGGTAGAACAAACTACAGGCCTTGAGAGAGTATCAGCTTTAATAGCCCAACTAAAGCCAACTGTAGAAAGTTCCAAAGATGAGCTGCCTTGTGAGTTGTTAGTAGATGAAAATAGTGCAGAAAGTGAAACGATACATGGAGAAAGTGGCAAGCAAACTATTTCAAAAGAAGATAAGATTGAATCTGAAACCTCTAACCTGCCAAAGACACATGGGTTGAATAACAACAGCTTAATATTGCCAAAAGAAGAGACTTTATGTGCCTCCCCACTTCAAATTGATAATATGTTGGTATTGGATAAAACACCCACCCCTGAGGAAAATATCTCTAGTGCAGAAGAGAAAACCAGTGCAACTGCAAACATAGTTTCAACATCAGAGGTCTTTGAAGATGTACAGACTTCATTGTCCTGTCTTCCACTTGCTGTTTCTATATGTGGGTCACTAGTTTCAACTGATGACACAAGTGGAAAAACTGCTCAGAGTGAAGCAGCAGATGTCATTAGTGATGTAACTGTGCACACAGAAAAATATAACAATGGCCTTTCTAAAGAAGAATTGTTTCACAGAATAGAAGCTTCTGAACAAGATGGAAATCTAAACAAACCCATCCAGTGCTGCCTAGAGAAGCCTGCCTTTACAGATAGCGAGAATGTGGGTTTTGACAACATTACTAGTAAATGTCATCTTTTCCAATATCAAGACTCTGCTGCTACTTCTAGTTCTTTGGTTACTGAAACATGCAGCAGTGTTTTGCTCGCTGACATTGGTGATAGAGCTTCAATTGATCTAGCTATCAAAGAAGACATTATTGGAAGTGATATGCTCATTAGTGATGCTGAACTTGATGCCTTCTTAACTGAGCATTGTTCTGAAGTGAGCCATTCAAAGCCTCTGGAAGAAGATACTGATGATGGACTGTCAGAATCTGATGTGATTTATGATAACTTAATAGATGTTAACAAACTGAATGTCAGAAGTGATAGTTTACAAGTAGAAACGGAATTTAAGAAGAGGGAAGCTTCTGTCAATAACAATTGTATAGTTTCCAATTCTGAACCTAGATTGGGGATTCTGGTGGGAAAAGGAACACAGCCGGTTCAACAAGAGACTTCAGATCACATAAGTGAAACTGCAAGTGAAATTTCAGACCTCGCAAGCAGCCAACAGATGGTGCACAGTGGAGGTGCAAGGCCAAAACAGTTGCAAAACTTTTCACCAAAATCCAAACTCTCTTCTGAGCTTAGTAGTCCAAATAAACTTGAGAGTGAGCCCCAAGTGATAAATTCCACAATCTCAAATACCTCTCTCTCAGATACTAAAACCTGTTCTGAGTCAAACTTCAGATTTAATAATGCTGACACACAAAGCAGCTTGGAAAACAAAGGTAGTGTCTCACCTGTGATCTCGGAACCTGCTCAAGTAGTAGAACAAGCTGTAGTCCCAGGGGACAAGCAGCCATCCTGGGTTCCTGATTCAGAAGCACCAAACTGCATGAATTGTCAAGCCAAGTTCACATTTACAAAAAGAAGACACCATTGCCGTGCTTGTGGGAAAGTAAGTAATCTAAACCCATTTTAAAATATCTATTCTAGTCCATATGTCTGCTCATCATAGAAGTTAGAAATAAGTATTTATCCTTCTAGGTTAGCATTTGCTTTTATTAACACCATTCCCATCCTTCCCCTCCCCCAAAACTGGCTTAGTTGGGATGGAAACAGGCACTATTAAGTGTTATCAGCCTAAAGTTTTACTAATTGAAAATGCAGTCAAACAGGCTTCAGATCCTGGTAACTGAACAAATAATATATAGAAGGAAAGAAAGACACAATCATTAAGGTTTGCACACAATCTTTAGTTTGCAAGTAAAAGTGGAAAATGTTGATCAAAAGCAGCATATAAATGTCCCAGTACTTGCTACCCAGTGCAGTCTTGAAAATCCAGCCTGTGCTGGGGAGAGAGAAAACTATGTTATCTGAGCACAGCTTGCCCTGCCATATATTAAAAACTAAATGCGGGGGGAGACCATAGACTGGTAGAAACATAAGAAGGTCCCTGCTGGATATGGCCAAATACCCTATCTGGTCCAACACACTGTTCTCATAGTGGCCAACCAGTGGTCTGGTATCCAAGATTCTGTAGGATTTCGTCTCTTATGTAATCTTTGACCACCACCTCCAGTACTCCCTTCAATATCCTTCCTATAAAGTTTGCATCCATAGATGAGTGCCTCAATGGTTGTTTTCATTCCACCAAGTTTCTGTTATACCCACTATATCTGTCCTCTCAAACCAAGCACTCCAGCTCACGCATCTTGGCCCCAAGGCCTTGAGCATTACTAGAAAAACACAGTTTCTGTCTCAACATTATCTGTGGCACTTGCATTTTAGTCTGTGTTGCTTTGTGCTCTCTGAATTGCTGTTATGTGCCCCTACACTCTTGATGCCTAGTTCTATACTCCTCCATTTAAATGATAATAAACCTTTTCACCTTCATCCTGGGGGAAGGTTTGTTCCAAATCCTTGGCTCCTGTCGGTTTCACCCCACAATCAGTTTGAAAATTGTTCTTGATTTTAACAGCTTGGTTGCATCCTGGTTAAGTGGAGCCAAGTTTGATTTGTCCCAAAGGTTCCCTACTGTTTAATAAATCTAAACCCCTTCTCCTGACACTAATGTCTCATTCATGCATTGAGATTACACAACTGTTCCTATCTAGCTGCCCCTGTGTGTGGCACAGGTATTATTTCAGATAAAACTACTTTGAAGGTCCTGGCTTTCAACATTCTATCTAGCAACCTTGATTTTGCTTCCAGGACCTTCCAGCTACATTTCCCCATGTCACTGGTGCTAGCATGCAGTACTACTGCTGACCTCTCCCCAGCACTATATAGCAGGCTGACTAGATTACAAATTGCATCTACACACCCTTTGCTATGTTCTTAATGATTGCATCACCCAGATCCAAAATCCTTCTCACCCCAGCCCTTCAGGATGAGCGTGCTCAGCACAAGAATATACCTTTTTTTAAAGTAATCCCCATTCATTCTTGGCCTGGCTTTTGAAAGTTGGATGAAAATAGAGCTGAGCTCTCAAAATGAAGCGTGACCAAGCCCATTGACAGATTTCCCCAGAGTTAAGAAATCCTATCTTCTGACTACAGATGTATGAAATACATTGTAGTATTTTATAATGATTAGGCACTATGAACTTGCTCAAGGCAATTCATTATCTTTGAAAATATATTTGGAAGTTGATCTAGGCAGGTTTTGGCTCAAGATAAGCTCTGTACAATCTGATCTCTTTTCCTAGACCAGAACATAAAAGAGTTTTTTCCCCAAAATGTGTCTTCCATTCCTTCCCCTCCCCATGAGACTGGCAAATTTGAAGCTATTCCACTTTATCCTTTACAGCAGCACCTCTGTAGTCAGATGCAAATAATGGATGGCTCACTATATGGGTTGAGTAGGGATTTGATTCTAGGTAACTTGTTCATAGTATAGCATTCATGTTGGTGCACTACAGTGATTCAGAATTGTTCAGAGATCAGAGTAAGGCAATTCATGCTTCAGTTTTTGTTTGTTCCTCCTATTTTTTCACACACACACCCCGAAATCAATTTTATTAGTAGTAATTTTCTGAGTTGGGCATAAATAGATTCTACACAAATGTAAGGTTTGTTGTTGTGGTGGTTTTTTTAAAAAGCCTCCACTAGATGTCAGTGTTGTGCTATAGAGTTAATTTATTGTGCTCTATGTAGGGGACACGGGTTAAACCACAGAGCCTAGGGTTTGCCGATCAGAAGGTCAGCGGTTCAAATCCCCGCGACAGGGTGAGCTCCTGTTGCGCGGTCCCAGCTCCTGAAACCTAGCAGTTCGAAAGCACGTCAAAGTGCAAGTAGATAAATAGGTACCGCTCCGGCGGGAAGGTAAATGGCGTTTCCGTGTGCTGCTCTGGTTTCACCAGAAGCGGCATAGTCAAGCTGGCCACATGACCCAGAAGCTGTATGTCGGTTCCCTCGGCCAGTAAAGCGAGATGAGCGCCGCAACCCCAGAGTCGTCCGCAACTGGACCTAATGGTCAGGGGTCCCTTTACCTTTATGTTGCAAAAACTGCACTTTGGAAAGACAGGTACTAAAACTGCAAAATAAGATTGTTCATATAGTATTAATTTCCCCACCTGTTTGTGTGTTGTCTAATTAGTAATATGTTATTTTAACTATTTTTTAGATTCATCATATTAATATAGCTGCTGTTCTAATCTAGGTTTTTTGTACTGCCTGTTGTAATCGGAAATGCAAACTTCAGTATCTGGATAAAGAAGCAAGAGTCTGCATAAGCTGCTATGAGTCCATTAACAAAGGTAAAAATGATTTAATAAAATTATGAGGAAGAGAAAAGGTAACTGGAATAACTCCTGAGTATTGAAACAGTCTTCCCAATGTGAACAATATTTCTATGCTAAATTGCGCTCAGAAACATTTGTAATATATCTGAACACTGCATAGGATGAAGTTAACAGGAGTTGCATCCATATGTATATATTTAGAAACTTTTAGAAGAAATAATTTTTAAGAGTGATTAATATATTGGTCATACTGCCTCTTAGAACATAAGAATTAATTTACAACTTTGCTTGATGAGGCAATTATCTATCTGGTTTGGTATTCTGACAATGACCAATCAGGTGTCCTATGGAATTTCCCAAGAAGGAAATTTTGTTGCTTTTCCCTGGCTGCTGATAGTTGGAGAGAGATTAAGTCCGTATACATTTTCTTTGCTTCCCTATTTACCTCCCCCCCCCCCGCAACCTCATAGATTGCTATGAAAATTATCCTACACCTACCTGATACTGATGCCCTTGACTTTGCTTTCTATAGCAGTTTTGCATTGTATTGCCTAGTCTGCATAGGTCTCATTCTTGTGCTCTGTAGGCCTTATTGGAATGATCTATGCAATTTAACATGATGGGCTGTACACATAGAGACCTCCCTATGCAAATATTTGAGTATAAGACACAAACATCAAGAAGGGTAGTATGATACAGATAAATTCTTAGGCGTAGTGAGGAAATAACCTGTATAGAACTGCTGACTGTGTTTTTCAAATCCAGTAAATGTTGCAGTCCTAGTTAAAATGAAACTGGGTGTGATCCTAAACTCACCTTGGGGTACCTCTCAGGACCCCTCAAGCCTGTGTGTGAGAAAAGGGGAGAAAGGAGAAATATCCTACATTTGTGACATTTAAACTTTTTAAATTTTGTTTGTTAGCACAGGCACTAGAAAGGATGATGAGCCCAACGGGTCTTGTGCCCAGTTCTGGTACCTCTGAATATTCAACTGTTTCACCTCTGCAGGAAGCACAGACAACCGGTACGCCTAATTTTCCTTCTGTTTCATTACCCACATCTGTATTTAAACACCCAAATGGTGATGGTAACCTGAAGGACTAAATTTACTATCGGGGCCTCTCTAGACAATTATAGGATAGCACAACAAACTTGCAGCTGATGTTTACTTGTGTGGGATATGCATACTCTGTTTGGGTTTGGTTTTCGTTTTCTCAACACTCAAACCATGATATGTTTGGTGGTGAGGGACAGGGAGCAGGAAATGAAATTTCTTGCTAGCAGTGTTGCTGCAATTTGAAGTGATGTCAGCAAAGTGGTGACTGATAAAGAGTGACCCATGCTATGTTTTAACCTGAACTTGCAGAGGAGAGAATTTTTATTTTGAGGCAAAAATGTCAATAAGCCTCTTGTCCCACATCTTTAACACAATGTCTCCACACTTTGCCTTGAGACATAACCTGGAAAAGGTGAAGAGAGCTCCTCTAGGCTAGTCTTGAGACAAGTCTTCCATGCAAGCCTCTTTATTTGCACACCTGTGTACATCTTTTTCTAGATAGTTTTGTGCATCAATAGTTAAACTTACTAACTGCAGAAACCTCATGTCTTGGTATATTTGTGTTGAGGTATACAACTGTTCATCTGATCTTTTCTTCTTCTTCATAATCGTAATCATAATCACCAGAATAAAATGAAAATCTAGAAGGCACAAAGATCTCACTCAACCCACCTCACTAAAAAAATAAGCAAGGAAGATGCCACATATATACCTAATACCCTCCAAATTAAGTGTCAGATGCCTGGGTAAAAACAAACCTTCCTTCTTGACAGCTAAAGTAGCTAAAGATGGTGCCAGGCATGCCTCTCTGGGGAGATGATTCCACAAGTGGGAAACCATTACTGAAACAGCCAGTACTTGTATTCCTCCACTCCATGCCTCCCTTGGAGTAGACATATGGAGAAGGACTTCAGATGACAATTGCAGAGTCTGGCTTGCTTCGTGTGGGGAGAGGCAGTCCTTGAGATACTGGGTAAAAACCAGCATCTTGAATTGAGCCCATAAACTAATTGGTAGCCAATGCAGTCATGGTAGCATTGGTTTTATATGTTCAGACTGCCTCATGGAAGGCACTTTGTTCTACTGAGGCCACTTGAGCCTTGCCTCAAGTGACAATGGATCCAGAAGTACCCACAAGCTACACACCTCCTTCAGAGTGTAACCCTACCCAGAACAGGCCAGTTTCCATCCAACTGGTCTAGGAAACTGCCCACTAACAGTGCCTCAGTCTTACCTGGATAAAGCTTCAGTTTATTAACTTTCATTAAGTCTCCATTCCATTACTGAGGGAAGACACTATTGCTATGTGTTGTAGTAATGATTCTAAGTGGACTGCTATTGTGGGCAGGGCAGGGCTTTTTTGGAAGTGTTAGGTGGTTTTGTTTTAGAAAAAATAAGTAAAGGATCCTCATTTATTTCTCCTTCTCCTTTTAGGGTTGTGCCCTAAAGAACAGAAAAGAGTTTGGTTTGCAGATGGTATTTTGCCTAATGGGGAAGTTGCTGACACAACAAAATTGTCATCTGGAGTCAGAAGATCCCCACAGGAACCATATCCTGTAAGCCATAATTTATCATAAATTGCTACTATGTGTTCTTAAAAATAAGAAGTGGACATTTTCCATCCTGGTTTCTGCATGTTAGAATACCCTTCCCCTCTGCCATATATGAAGCATCATCCGTCAATTGCTTCAAATGTCTTCTAAGAAGAATGCACCCTGTTATTACTGAATTCCTGTTTTATTATACTGTTTTACTGATTTTCATGATGATTCTCTGTTTGATAACATTTTTATTGTGTTTAAAAATACGTGATATGTTGTTTTGTTGCTAAATGGCTATGTAACAATGCTTTTTTCATCTTTTCCTGTTTGAAATGCTTGTACAGATTTCACACTTTTGAATTAAGTGAATGTTAGATCTAATTGAATAACTTTTTTCATAGGTTGAAAGTTCAACAAATGACACTGTTTGTGCAACTGATATCAAACCAAAGGATGAAATGCATATTGCTGGACAAACTGAGAACTTCAGTTCTCCTACTTCTTTTGTTCCAGAAGAAGATATTTTGTCCCCTGTAGGACAACCTGAGTTGTCATGTATTTCTGACTGTCTGATTCCTGCTATTGCTGAATTCCCCACTATTGTTGAACCAGTAAAGCATCCTGTTCCTGCCACAACAAATGAAGCTAGTGATGTAGCTGTTAGTCCATTAGATTACAGGATGCTTTGTGGTGTTGAAAACTGTGTTAGCAAGGAGATCAGCCTTATTCCTGAGGATAATGGGTTGCCTCCTCTTCTGCTTGCAAGAGGAGAAAAAGGAGAAGGTGAGTTTCCTCTGCCTGGGAAACGTGTGTTTTCTAAAAATGGGAATGTTTCTCAGTGTAATGTGCTACATTGCATTGATTTTGCAATTTAGAAGTGTATAATGATATTGAGAATCATAAGATATTAATAAAATCAATTAAAAGGTAAATGTATAACATTGAAATTAAAATATAAAGAAATAATATTGTCCTTATTGGCACATAATGATCTGGCTTAGTGAGAATGCGGAAAAGGTGGGGCTTTCTGGAAAGGAGATTGTAGCTGCTTTGCTCCTCCTCTGTTCTGCTGTTGTGCTGAGCTAAATCATGGTTTAGCTTAGCATGTCATCAGAACTGGGGCTTGTTGCTTAGCTCTCCAGACAAATCATGAACTATAAATCATGGGACAAACTTTAGTCTGCAGCTCGTTTTACTGGAGAAAGCTAAGCCACAAGCCCAGACTAAGACAAACCATGGCTTCTCACAACACAGCTGCAGGATGAATGGGGAGAAATAGAGAGTCTGCAATCTCTTCTCTGGGAGCTTGCATGGCTGCTTGTTTACAATAAGCCATGGTCTGTCTTGGCATTATCTGCTGACTGTGCCATCAAATCCAGATATGCTCGCATCTACTGCTGGACCGTTTTTCTGATTAAAGTCTTGTATTTTGCAATGAGAAATTGCTTTCCTCCAGCTCACTGTAAGAAAATACATTCTGTTGAACTAATAATGTTCTAAATTTTCTTTAGAATCCTTAATAGAAGAACATCCTTCTCATAAGCAAGTCACTTTACTACTTGAAGAACCCAATCCACTAACATTCATCCTGAATGCAAATCTTCTTGTGAATGTCAAGATACTGCCTTGTAAGTGGTACACAAGGAAAATGGCATGTAAATGTGTTTGTTTGCTGCTACGAAATATGAACCAACCTGTAGGCTTAAATCTTTAGTTTTGCTTGAGGCTTTCCCCCTGTTACTCTTGCCTTCTACCTTTTTAAGTTATTTTGGAAATAGGTATCACAAACCTCATTCTCCCCCCCCCTTTTTTTTTTGATTGGGGCATGATCCCTGGACATATTTTATTGTCCTTAAATGAATAACACTTGCCCAGGGGGCATGTCATGTATAATTTTGAAGTGTTCTAGGCATTTTTGGTAGGAATACATTGAATAGATAGTGATACATTGAATTAAACAAATATTGGTTGAAGTTGGATTATACTACCTTTCAAATTCTTCATTAGACTGAAGTAAGATTCGTAGGTGTATAGAAAGTCAGATGATGTCAGCTGTAAATATTTTTACATACAATAATGAATTACAGTGTTCCCTATAATGCCTTAATGCTTAATTATCACATCAATAAAAGGTATCACCTTTCTATTTTGAATTTTTGTGGCTAATATAGCAACCATCTCTAAACTAGGGCTTTTAAATTTTAAAAAATCTTATGAAAGTCAAGTAAATAGTTCAATACAGATGGTGCTATACAACTGTCATACTCAGAAAAGACCCATTGAAATAAATGGAAATACTTCAGTGAGTTTACACTTCCCTAACATTGAATATAGCCTAAGACTTCCTAACGTTAATGTCTTAGTTACTATGCAGAAATATATATATATATTTAATATCCTTCATTTAACAATAAAATATTCTACTGCTTAATTTTATTTTTCTCAATAAGATTCTTCAGAAAGGTGCTGGTACTTCTCAACCAATGGACTGCATGGTTTGGGGCAGGCAGAAATTATTATACTGTTACCTTGTTTGCCAAATGAAGATGATGTTCCTGAAGAAATATTCAAATTATTTATTAATATATATAAGGATGCCATGAAAGGTATGAAACTTTGCTATAATTTGAAAGCAGAACATATCAGACTTCATGAAATACTTCCTTTTCAGTACAGTCATACCTTGGTTCTCAAATTTAATCCATTTCAGGAGTCCTTTCGACTCCCAAAAAGGTTCGAAAACCAAGACATGGCTTCTGATTGGCTGCAGAAGCTTCCTGCAGCCAATCAGAAGCTGCATCGGACGTTTGGCTTCACAAACTAGAACACTTCCGGGTTTGCAACGTTCGGAAGCCGATTTGTTCGACAACTAAGGCGTTTGACCACCAAGGTACCACTGTATTCATCTTAATGGCGTTGTTCAAATAATAAGAACTGACCCAATGTTCTTTGCTGGGCTGCTCAAAAAATGACAGGCATTTCAGGGAAATTTTCCACCCTTAGTTGCTGATCTCATTTTGGGGAGTCTCTTTCCCCCCTCTCTACTTCCATTAATAATCCATTTCTGTTGCAGCCCCTGCCAGCTGTTCAGGATGGTCCCCTAATTCTCATGAGTGACTTGTTCAGATGTGTTATGTCATGGTGCTACAGGTGGTGGGGACAGTAGTGTCAGGAATCCAAGCACAATCATGCTTATCTGGATTCAGCATATGGTACTTATAATAACAAATTGATATTATTATTACCCACCCTTCACATAATATTAATTCAATATTAAAAACAGTTTAAAACAAAATACAGTCAAAATAATACAGGATGAGTCCTGAAAATATGTATTTCGAGTATCAAAGGCTAGGGTAAAGACATGTGACTCCAGCACATGACAGAAACTGTATAATGAAGATGCCAGGCACGTCTCTGGGAATGGAATTCCTCAACTGAGGAACCCCTCAGTTCCCCCTCCCAGGCCACCACCACCCCAGATTTCTGAGGCTGATGAAACTACAAAGAGTGCCCCTTCTGCTGATTTTAACACCTGTATGAAAGGAGGTGATCTTTCAGATATTTGGGGCCAGAGTCATTTGTCTTATTTTGCCCTAGAAGCTATGATTATGTCCATGGCTGTATGCATCAGGAATGTGCTTTTATGATGATTTTGACTATATGTATTCTTTTAACCAGGAAAATTCATAGGAAATTTGGAAAATATTACTTTCACTGAAGGCTTTCTTGGAAGCAAGGAGAATGGTGGATTCCTATTTGTTACACCAACTTTTCAGAAACTGGATGATCTCATACTACCCAAAAATCCTTTTTTATGTGGTATTCTTATTCAGAAGCAAGAGGTGCCATGGGCAAAGGTGTTTCCAATTCGCTTAATGTTGAGATTAGGAGCAGAATATGGAGGTGAGTTTCATTCACATATTATTTCATATACTTAGATCAGTGCTTTAATCTGATCCATTGTGTATTGACATCAAGTCTTTAACCTCAGTGTGGTTGCAAATGTCAGTTTCATTTATTCGTCTTCCTATGGGTCTTTTTGGTAGCACATTTCAATATTATATGAGTAAAGATGTAAAGGCTATCCAGGGGGTGGGGATTAAGAGGGAAATGCAAGGACTATTTTCCAGTGGAAAAACTGGAAATTTGAGGAACCACTGAAGAAAACTTATGAAATATTTTCTGTTTTGGAATGAATGAAGTGCTTTCCGCTCACTTAAAATGTGTGGTATGAAAGTTTCTATGTAGGACAAATTTAAGGATTGGTTAGCGATGACTGCTGTGTAAACCACAGACATATACAACACAATCTAAAATACATTTCTGCACCTAGAATGTGCTGCCATCTTCATAACAAGAATGTGCTACTTGCCACCTCCCAGTGACTTTTGAATCTGGTCCAGAGATATATTACATGTAAATGTCCTGCATCTGCTATCCTGGTCATTCTATTATGTTCTTTGCTTTCTCTTTGGATATTTCTTCAGCTAATTCAGTACAGGATCTTATTTAGAGGCTTCTGGACCTCCTGTACAGTTCACTAAGAGAAGAGTATAAATGATTTATGTGATGTCAATTTCCATTTTAATGGGTTGAGTTTAAAAAGACATGCCAGAAAGATTGAAGGCAATCTCTTTCTGAAATTAAATAAATTCATTGCCAAGACATTGCCTTATAGTGCAAATCAATATGCCCCTATTTATTATTATTTTTTACTAATTCTCTCCCCTCACCATTTTGCACTTCAGTTACATTTGGAAGTACATGTGAATGGCTGGGGACAGTTATAGCTGTAAACTTCATGTATGAATCATTTATTTTTTAAATAGCATACTTTCCCTGCTCATAAATGCAACATGGGACTTCCACTGATCACCACCACCGCATTGAGGGACTAGTCACATCCATACCCGTCTTCATCTGTTTTGTAAACAATCCCAGGTAGAACACCTCCATGTTGCATTACAAACTAGTTTTGAAAGTATGCTCATTTTCAAAATGGTTTGCTGTATAACATTTGAGGCTGCTGTTTGAGAACAAAAGACAAAACACCCATGAGTATATTGGACTACCTTTGCGGTGTTTTGGATCCCAGCAATTATATATATATATATATCAGTTCCAATAACCATAATGTGTCAACTTCTAAAGTGATTGGGTTATTTAGATATTATTCTGTTATGCATGTTCCTTACTTTCCCCCTTTTCTCTTGCTAGTGTACCCAACTCCTTTGACAAGTATTAGACATAGGAAGTCATTGTTTGGTGAAATAGGACACACAGTCATGAATTTACTTGTTGTGAGTATATGCTTTTGCTTGTATTTCATTCTTGCCCTGTTGCTGATACTAAAATTGCATTGTCAGAAATGAAATCAAGATCTCTGTATTCTTTAATGCTGCCTAATTATCTGTTGGGAGTTAACTATAGGAAACTATCAGTAAGATAAATTTCACAATCTAGAATTTGATGATACCTTTATAACAACCAAAATGTCACAAAATAATGAGAAAATTAAAATTCTCCCTAAGTTCATCAGGCTAAATGTTAAGTGAAGCAGTGGGGCAAAAGTGGGAGAACTATTGTTATTAAAACTGTAAAGTCTTCATTGGCTTAAGATGGAGTATTGGAAGAGGTAGCAGGCTTTTAACAGATTAAGCTCTCCTAGGCTACTAAGCTTTGCAGGTTTCAGGTTACACCTAGGAATGCTTGGATGAAGAAACGTACAATGGTAGATTTTTCATTTTTGAAAATGAAATCCAGCAGTTAACTTGGTCTGTCATTAGCCTTAAGCAAAACAATCAAGTTCCTTCTTGTAGTGAACAGCAGAAAAGTTAATAAGGACCATTTGTATACCAGATAACCACATTTTGGGTGGTTTGCTAGGTGAACAAACAACAGCAGTGTGAAGCTGAATTGAATAGATTTGGTAGCCAAAGGAAATGTGTTCTGGGTACATGTTCCCATGACAAATGTGTATTGAGAACTATTGCAGAGGCAATTGTTAAGCACATTTCCTGTCCATCACTTACCCCTTGCGTTTTGTTCCTCCTGTCACTGTTTTCAGTGGAACTGGGGTGTACTGGCTGTAAACAGAATGTGTCATTTTGCCCTATGAAAGTTACATACATGTTAATTAAATGTTGGAAGTATAACATAGAAAGGTATCTGGTGGGCTTTATTCACACTTGGTGGGCATGTGAGTATTATTCTGTAACTTTACAAAAAGTGTAATTTTATGCATCTGCCTAGTTATGCTATTTTTTAATTCTCATGCTTATTATTTAATCATTTCTATACTGCACAACTTGTATACAAAAATAGAATGGGTTAGCTGACTATAATTAGCAGGTAGTATGTTCTCTAACTTTGTTTTCTCAAACTGGTTCAGTTTACCTTGTGGGTGACTGGTTAGTGTAATAAGTGAGTCAAAGAAGATAATAGTTCACATTTTTTGGTATACATGTTTTATTGATAGCTTGGTACTAGATTTTGGGTAATTCCTTTTTATTCTACAGTCAGTAGTCATGAGACATGCATACCATTGAAAATTAAATATATAAATTAATCAACTTTCTATTGCATTGCAGGATCTTCGGAATTATCAATATACATTGCATACAATAGATAATTTATTTATTCATATGGAAATGGGTAGAAGCTACATTAAAATACCTCTGAGGAGATATAATGAGGTAAGAACAATTTGTCGTAAGGGCTGGTGCAGATGTAATCAAAAATTGGCAAACATTTATATACAGACTACATAGTACCAGTGTGGCATCATCACTAATGTTGGATTTAGACTACAGAGGCCCAGGTTCAAATCTCCACAGCCATGAAGGTTGCTGAGTGATCTTGGGGTAGTAATTAAATCCTAACTATCATGAATTGCTATCTTTAGGGGAAAGGGCAGGATAGAATAGAATAGAGTAAAGCATGTAAATGTTTCATCCTGCGAAGTTATTAACTTCTTAATAAGTAAGAATTAGTTGTTTGAATAAGAAACGTTTGTAGGCCCTATAATAGAATTTTCTCCATTTACATGTGTTGTAATCTGGGTCCTAAGCAATATTTTCCCAGGTTTTGTGGGGCTAAACTTGTGTGCTTTATAGCCAAACTCACAGCAATTGTAGGAAAAGGGGCTTGTGGGTAGGACATTATACAAAGTATTAAAGTGGCAGCTTTGGCCTTCTGAAGCAGCTGTAGTGTGCTAAGGAGGAAGTGCTGAATTTGAGAGAGACGCAGAATGGTCAGGGTTATGTGAAGGTTGGTAACTTTTTATCAGAATCTCACTTCCAGCCTGATCCTATCCATGTGTACTCATAAGTAAGCTCTGTGGTGTTCGACTGGACTTATTTCTAGATAGATGTCTATACTTAGGGACATAGCTTAAACCTTGGAGTTAAAAGAAGCAGCAAGGATTCATGTTCTCTCTCTCACTCACTCATACACACACACTCTTAATGACATTTCTGTAATTACAGGTGATGAAAGTCATAAATACTTCTAATGAGCATGTCATTAGCATTGGAGCCAGTTTTAGTCCTGAAGCAGATTCTCATTTAGTCTGTATACAGAATGATGATGGAGCCTACCAGACACAAGCAAACAGTGCTACTGGACAGCCTAGGAAAAGTAAGTGTCTTCCACAGTATTGTGTCCATTGGAGCATGTGGTCAGTTTTTTAGTCTGGTATGTGAGTGTCACGGACTGGCTGGACACTGTTTTTCTAGAACTTCATAAGTTGTGTGCATTTCTAGTATAACATAGAATGTAAATACCTACTCAAATTATGTTTAAAATACTTCTAAGTTTGTATGAGCAATTGACGTATATGATGTTTGTTTAGTTACAGGTGCAAGCTTTGTTGTGTTCAATGGAGCCCTAAAAACGTCTTCTGGATTCCTTGCTAAATCTAGTATTGTTGAAGGTACGTGGTGTTTGTTTGTTTTTTGGTGTGTGTTTTTTGCAGTCATGTCAGAGGTGGAGTCCCTGAGACAGAGATGTGTGAGCATTGTACTCATGTTCCCAAGAGTGTTGTATGGCTAAGTTGTTTTTTGCAAAAGTTCTGTAGCTCCATTGTATTTCTCACTTAAAGTTGCCCTTGTGAGTTTAGTGCGCATGACAAAAAAAACAACAACTAGAATCAAGTGCTGCATATCCTGTCCTCTGCACCTTTTTTTTTAAAAGTTCCCCTCTTCTGCTGAAGTTGTGGGGGAAATGTTTGTGCCACAGGTGTCATGCTGGAGCAGAGATGCAGTGAGGGCATGATAGTGAATTAGAATCCTAAAAGGTACTCCCAAAGATCTAGTGCAGGCCTCCTTTGGATGCAGAAAAGCCACTACTATAGCAGTCCAGCCTCCTTGAATTGATGCAGGATACAGCTGAAGTGTGTGCCACTCACAACTCTGCTCCTTTTTCAGCTGTTCCACAGGTGTTTCTTTGCCAGCAGAATGGCTCTGCTGAAACATGTTCTGCAAGTTTATCATTATTGTATATGTATTTGGTGTCCTACCATCAAAACTGGGCTTCAGTTGAATCTTATACCCTGATGGATCTCAGGCACAAGATTTTGCCCATTACTGTAATAAAATAATTTGGCTTTGTGTTTATTAAAGTAATTGTTTTTCTTATAGATGGAATAATGGTTCAAATAACTCCAGAGATTATGGATGGCTTGCGTCAAGCTTTAAGGGGAAAAAAGGACTTTAGAATTACGTGTGGCAAAGTCGACTCTGGAGATCTGAGGGAATATGTAGAAATTTGTTGGGTAGAAAATGAAGAAAAAACAAATGTGAGGTATGATGTTTTTACAAAAGTCAAAATGTATGTTAATATATTTCTGCAAAATGTCATCAGTTTTTAAAAAAATAAAAGGTCTGATATTGACAACTATTTGCATAATCCTCCTATATACAGAATTTTTTTCTAACATTTTTTGGCCATGCTTTATTAAAAAAATTATTTATCTGAAGGTCTATAGATTAGTCAGCCTCTCAGAGCTGCCCTATGAACATTTTAAATATTTTATGAATTTAGCTATTATAGATATTTATCCTTTTATGTGGAAGCAAACATGAATAAGGAGGTGGAAGAGAAATTTAGAAAATGTTAAGCTGCACAGTGAGACTGAATGTTTAGCAAAAGTGCTGTGTAGGAAATTTGGGTGATGACACAGTACTATTGAAACCGCCCTAGAACATGCACACATAACTGGTCACATGCTGTACATCAGAGGAACCGTCCAAGAGTCCAGTTTGAACAAGGTGAATTCAGTATTTGATGTTTTTCACTTGCAACATTCTGTGGATTCAGAATTGGTGGTAAACAGCATTTCTATGTTGCCGCAGAACTGAAGTTCTCTAGGTAGGCTACGTAAAAAATTGTAAAAAGCCTGAAAGAATAAAAAAAGACAATTGCCTTTGCTCTTCTGTATTTTGGGTCCTTCTTGCAAGTTTCCCATAGGTATCTGGTTGGCTACTGTGAGAACAGGGTGCTGGACTAGGTGGGCCTTTGGCCTGAACCAGCAGCCTCTTCTGAATTCAACATTCCACTCAGCTAGTGCTTAAGCAGCTGCTTGGATTTCAGACTTACATTTTTGGTCCATCCGATCTCAAATTCAGGATGGTTGACAGTAATAGATAAAATTCTATATAATGTAACATGCTACATTAATTTCTATTTGGGCTGGCTTCCAGTAACACATTATGTAGGGAAAGAAACTAGTGGAGTCTGACTAGCGCAATTAATGCAGTATTAACCTTGCTTCATAGAGTTACAAGCCCAATAGATGGGAAATCAATGGAAGGAGTTCCAAGCGAAAAAATTGTCCAAGAAGAATATTTTGAAATGGACAATAAACTTGTAAAGTGTACAGAAGTAAGTTAATGCTGCTGTTCTCAAAATAACAAATATTTGCTATAATATTAAATGAAGCTTTTGAAACATTGAAAAGGTATCTGAATTCTTCACGCTACATATCCCCAATTCCCACTAGTGTTTCAAATGTTGATTATATCTTTACTTTTGAAAGCTGTAAGTATATTTATGAAACATTGTCTCTTTTGTACTTAGTCTAGTTAAGTTAGTTTATTTTCTGTATAAAATACTCTTATTAATCTTTATTAAAATAGTAATCCATTAGTTAACTAATACATGAGATTTGTTATATAAAAAAAAGAGATTTGTTATGTTTTTGCAGTTACTCAGGAAAGCACCAGATTATTACTTGGCCATGAGACATGGCAGTTGAAACTTTTTTCAGCCACTAGTATTTTGACTGATGAAAGGCAGCACACCTGCCTTTTCACATTGTTCTGGAAGAACATATGCAGGGGATTCCCCCAGGCTTGTCTTACCAGGCACGAAGAGATCATTTTGTAGTGATCTCTATCTCATATGGAAGTGGATACCCAGGCAGGTTCTTCAGTATGATAGAGTATGTGGTGTATGTAAAGAAAGACCAGCTGTTATTTGTATTGCTCTTCTTTATGGTTGTAAATCAGAAAATTTATTTTAAAAAAGAAAAAAGATTCTACCATAATAAAACAAAAGCTGTTGGAAGGATATTTTATCCATTTACTCTTTCAGAGACATTTTTACTTGTCTATTTTCAGGTTTGAGTACTTAACAAGTGAGTAGATGTTGGGTCTGGGATATTTTTAAAAAAAACACCACTCTAGAATCTTTGTAGGATAAGGATCACTTAGGTTCAGACATTGAATTCTTTTAGACTTATATTCCCTTTCAGCCCAATACTTTGGTTTATACTGGCTTTGCATCTGCTCCATTGTTAGACAAACTCTTGCTAATAGCAGCATAAATGTCTGAGTTAGGGAATGGGACAGATAGTCTGGGAATTAGGGGTGGGAGGAAGTACAGCTTAGAGCTAACAGTTGGAATTGGCCTTTTGGGAAAGGCATTTGTTTCTGCTTCCATATTTCAGAATGTTAATCTGCATTTTGAATACATTTTTCTTCTCCAATAGTTGGATGATTTCACACATTTTGTTTTATTTTATTTTTTAAATTCCTGCATCTATCTTGTCCCTTTGCAAATTCTAGTGAACACCATTGATCCAACATACCTATCATTGAATGTTATCGCTGCTGCAGTAGTCATTTTAATTTTAGCAAGAAAAAGTCTGCTATTTAGGGAAGAAGTCACTATAGCTAACTGTTCTCTAATTACATTTCAGGTGTTCTATCTCTTAAAGGCCAGTGAGGTATCCAGTCATGCTCATCAATTTGCTAAAGAAATTGCATTGGCTTCTTGTATGGCCCTTCGCCAACATCTCAAAACCCTGAAAAGTCATGGAATGAACAAGATAGGCCTGAGAGTCTCCATGGATACAGATAGGGTAACTTTTTAAAAGCTGCAGCTATATATCCATATATGTGATGCTCATATAGACATTTGGGAACTCTGTATTGACTATGCCCTATATGAACTTGGGGAAAATGGAACAAAGTGGTATAAAAATGTCTTCATGTCAATTAATATCAGTTCTTATATAAATAACTCACCAGCATTCATTTGGATGAGATTTAAAACAGTCAAGTTCTTGCTGTACCAAAGCACTTGTTGACTCATCTTAGAGATGAGGAACTTGCATCAGTGAGTGAAAAGACAGCCTGATATGGGCCAAATCCATAGTATTTTTAATGACTGGGAGCTTGCATCTTCCCAGCGAGATGGGCAGGGTATAAATAAGAAATTATTATTATAAATTATAGCTAGCACTTTGGCAGATTCCATAAATAGCTGCAGCAGGTGTCACTGACCCTTTGGATCTGTGGACACATTTGGAATTTGATAGTATGCTGTGGGCACACCACCCCTTCTGCTTGCTTTTATCCCCCTGCCCAGTGGAGGTACTCAAGGGTACGCAGTACTGGCATCTCTCTCTCTTGATTAAAAAGTGTGACACTTACTGTAACAACTTCATGGTGAATACTGGCAGCTATTTTTCTAGAAAAAAAGCACTGCCCCATCCCTTCTGTCCTTATCCTCCCACTCCCTCCACCAGAGAGACAGAAAAAGAGAGCACACCCACTTTTTGATCTTTCAGAAGTAAAGGTTAGATAAGGTAGAATTAAAATAGATCCTCTTGAATTTCCATGATTTCACATAAGAGTCCCACCAAAAACCACCATCAAATTAAAATTAGACTGCACAATGAAAAAGAAACAGATCTGGTGCTTATCAGCACCATAAAAATATTGATCCAAAGCAGAAACCCTAATTGACCTTCATTTTTACAAAGTATGACAAACTTTCAGTCTGAGGGGATCGTTAGTAGATAATAAAGCTAATACTTTTACAGATACAGTCATACCTTGGAAGTCGAACAAAATCCGTTCCGGAAGGCTGCTCGACTTCCAAAACGTTCAGAAACCAAAGTACAGCTTCTGATTGGCTGCAGGAAGCTCCTGCAGCCAACTGGAAGCCCCGTCGGACGTTCAGCTTCCAAAAATAGTTTGCAAACCAGAACACACCTTACGGAACTTAGTGGAATGGTTCGGGAAAGGTTGATTCCTTTGTTGTTATTTCTTTTTTAAATGTTAAATTATGATAGTAAACTGCCTGAAGATTTTTGAATAGGATATATATCTAATTATTGTGTTGCCGTCTATATTGTTTGTTATGGTAAATCAAACACATTTTTATTTTATTTTAGGTGGAATACCAGGCAGGATCTGGAGGCAAGCTTCTTCCTCAGCATTACCTAAATGATCTGGATAGTGCTTTGATCCCAGTGATTCATGGTGGGACATCAAATGCTACAAATCTACCAATGGAAATGGAATTAATATTTTTCATCACTGAATCTCTCTTAATATAACAGGCGTGTATGTTATATACTGCAGTAGACTGAACTGCTAGCAGTGACCAATACCAAAGCAGTTAGATTACACTATGGATGAAATATTCAGGTTTTATTTTTTTAAAAGCCAATGATTTAGTAACACATCTTTAATAACATTTTACCTTTTTAAAATGTGAGCATGTTCCTCCTTAATGTCAACATAAAATATCATTTTAAAAACCTGACCATTATCTAACGTTCTGAAAGTTTACACTTAATACAGCCCAGTAAAAGGCAAGAAAGGATTAAAACTAGCTTGGGTGTGCAAAATACTGAAGGATATCCATCTATCATTTGCAGATGTTTTAGGTGGTTTTTTAAATTAGATACATGTCTGATAGGCTATTCTTAAATAGTTTTGGGGTTGTTTGTTTGCTTGTTTGCTTGTTTTAAAAAAGATAAGTGTAAGCTAAAGTGGGATATGTTTGAACAGATCAATATTACCTAGAAACACAGCATGTTTCTTACCATTGTAATAATTTTATAACTCTGATTATTTTTTTTAATGGTATGTTTTTGAAGTGTATAATGATGCACTTTTGCAAAATTTGTCAGCTCTCATGGAATTACTTTTTTGAATGGCTAACTTTGTTATATGTTTATAATGAATTTATTGAACATAAAGATGAATACCCTTTATATTAAATACCTAATCTTTTTTCTTCTATGCTCAGATGTACAGTTTCTTGGTTTTTCCAAGAATGAGTAAGAAGCCAGATGACCCTTAAAGTAGTCATCCTGTAGCAGTAAATCAGGCATAAAGCCTGTCTGTGCGCCATTCTCTGATTTTTGAGACCTCTTGGTATCCCTGTTTATTTTCAGGGAGAACAATGTATTAAGTGTGAATTTTCATGAACGGTTTCCTGTATACAGTACTTATTTTTATACTGGGGTATTTGCATTAAATAAGCATTTATATATGAGGATAATTGATATTAGTACCTGAGAACTCTAAATACATTTTGATAATGCCTGCATAATGTTCCTGTTTGTTATGCACAGAAGTAAATTGTGTGTGCCTATGTGTCTGTTTGATTAAAGTATTAGACTGAATTTATTGCATTCTAATTGTATCTAGATGCCTTCTTGACATTCACTGGGGTATATTTATGTTGTATCAAAATACAGCTTATAAACTAAAATGTTTGCCAGTTTATGTTATGGTGGCACAGGATTTTTGGAAACGTTGAGAAATTGCTGGCCATTAGACTATTATCATTGAACCAATGCACTCCTTTCTATTCAGAATTAAAATTCTGTGGGCAAGCTAAAGTTTACAGTAACATTCATTATAATACCATATCTAGGTTCCTATATCGGTGAACAGAGGAAGACAGCTTCAGCAAAGAATGCTAAGTGTTTCAAATATTGACCCATCATATGTAACCATGGCTTGTACAACATTATATTGTGTAAAAGCAATTGTAACCCATTTTGTCATAATAGCTTTATGTTCTCTTGGAAATTGATCCTTTCAGTTTATAGATAACAAATAGCATTTTATAAACACTTGTTTTAGAACAATATTATTAGGCCTTATAAAATGTATAAATATTATTAAAATCTTCATGAATGAAGCTGACAAGTACTTAACAAATGACACAACAACATTTTAAAAGCTGTGATACATTGCTTAAAGGTCCCTTTCTTTCAGTTGCTTATTTAAGTTGAACTTTATCGGTTCCAAAATCTATTTAAAGTTCCTCAGAGTCACCATGAAGTTTTCTGCCTCTGTTTTAAAAGTGAACATGTTAAGCTTATTGACTTTGGTACATTCTGGCCATAAGAAATGTGTGTGGTCTTATTTATAGTATTACAGACCACGTACAACTTGCTAAATAACCTGCTATAAGAAACCTGATTTTCAGTGTTCTTAAATGCACAGTAGAGAAATAAAGACTGGGATTTCAAGAACTTATGTGTGCCTAACTACTTCTATGTTTGTGTTTCTCAGACAATATTTTCATGCTATATAGCAAGTTGCTTTAGAGGCAAATTGTGGGGGTTGAAAAAAGACAAGTAAAAATACCACCAAGAATGCCAGGTGCTTGGATATGCACAAAGTAGTTCTTCAGATATTGTCAAAATATGTGTGTTTCACATATTGAACAAATTGTCAACTGAGAAGGAAACTGGAGGTATTTCTGGTCCTGTTAGTCTTTAAGGGTTATCTGTACAATATTTCTAGACTAAAACACAGAAGTATTTTAAAATGTATGTTGTGACACTTCACTACAATTAAGTTGAACTACTTGTCTTTTTATTATAATATCCAGCCACAGACCTGAAGGGAAGACAATAAAAAATAGAATTTGAGCAAAATATGCTAATTCACATTAAAATGGTGTAATAAACAAGTATATTTTGTGTTTAATGCCTTAATAAGGGGTTGGCTTTAATAAGGTAAAATACAAATGCTATTGCACAGATTTAACTTTAATGATCTCTTTATAAATCACTAACAGCTTTTAGACTACCATTACTGTCATAGTACTGGAAAAAATCTTTTCCCCTTTCTTCCCTTTCCCCTTGGTACCACTGCTTGCTGACTCTGTCATCTTCCTCATTTTTAAGTTCAGGCATTGCCCAATCTATACTGCCTCTTCCTTTGAACACGGTCATGCACCAGCAATTTTTGTGCAAGTAATTTATGTCCCTTGAAGAATGATTTAATGTTATAAGATACATTGTGAAATTTATGCTCACACTTGTTCTTACCTGTTGTGTTTGTGTTGATAGACCTCAAGGGAATGAAAAAAAATGCATGTTTTTGTATTATAAACTACCTTGTGATCTTCCAATGAAGGGTGTTTTTGAAATGTTGTTAATAATACCTTCATTCATGGCCATATCTTGCAATCAGCTGCAGATCCTTTATTTATGCTTTAAGGTCCTTTTCTATTCCTGAGTATACTTTTCGTTACCTCCTCACATTTCCATTTCTCTACATCTTCTGCTTGGCTAGGGCTGCACCCACTGGCGGAGGAAGAGGAGTGCGGGGGGAGCAAACCGCCCCAGCAGCGCGATCCAGGTTGGGTACCATCGTGGCTGCCTCCCACCCACGCTGGGCGCCACGCCCCCACAGGCGGTGTGCCATGCCCCCAGGACACACACCACACCCCTGCGGGTGGCGTGCCATGTCCCCGGATGCGCGCCAGCCTCGCCCCCTACCTGCTCTTTGCCTCCCCCCCCCCCCGTGCATGAAGCTCCGCCACTGTTTGCACCAATCAATCTTTATTGCCCTTTCCAAATAACTTCTCACAGCGTTATTTATTGGATTTGGCAGGCCTGTTAACCCTCCTCACTGTACTAAAACAAGTACAGTGGTACCTTGATACTCGAACGGCTTGGCCCCAAACGCCACAAACCCAGAAGTGAGTGTTCAGGTTTGCGAATGTTTTCAGAAACCGGACATCCGATGCGGCTTTTGATTGAGTGCAGGAAGCTCCTACAGCCAATCAAAAGCCATACCTTGGTTTTTGAACGGTTTTGAGAGTCAAATGGACTCCCAGAATGGATTAAGTTTGAGAACCAAGGCACCACTAAATGTGTAGGGATTGGATGGATAGCTCTCCTACAGTTGAAGGTGCCAGTCCTATCCTTCACTTCTATGCAAGTAATCCACTACACTAGCACTACTGCCTTCTAAGTGCTATCTGTGCCCTTAAGAATCCTGACAAAACTTGCTTGGAGTAGCTGTGTGTTTAATAGGCCAAAATGCAGCCCTTAACTTCTTGTCCCCCAAGCAGTAATGTCACTTGCTGTGTACAGTGGTGCCCCGCAAGACGAATGCCTCGCAAGACGGAAAAACCGCTAGACGAAAGGGTTTTCCGTTTTGAAGTTGCTTCGCAGGACGAATTCCCCTATGGGCTTGCTTCGCAAGACGAAAATATCTTGCGAGTCTTGAGATTTTTTTTTTCGCTTTTCCCCCCCTTTATCTAATCTGCTAAGCCTTTAATAGCCTTTAATAGCCTTTTAGCAGCTAATCCCCTAAGCCTTTAAGCCTTTAATAGCCGCTAAACCGCTAATAGCGCTAATAGCGCTAATCCGTCAATGGGCTTGCTTCGCAAGACGAAAAAACCGCTAGACGAAGACTCTCGCGGAACGGATTAATTTCGTCTTGCGAGGCACCACTGTACTTACTACACTCCTGCCTTTCTGTTTTAGAACTAAACTCCTATTGCTATTGCTTAGGTGCAGGGTGTTTTTGTGTGGGTTGGCACTTAAAGGAAACATGTAGTAATACTTACAGCTCTATGAGCAGCATTTTAAGGAGAAACATGGGATATATACTTTTAAATACCTTTGCTGTACCAAAGGTATTTGTAGGACACACTCCTAGGTGCTTGAATGAGTGTAGCCAGGATTTTTGTTGGGAGTGGGGTCAGGCCTTTTGTTAGGGTGGGGGGTGGGAGAACCTGTTTGCTATTGATTTTTATTTATTGGGGGGGCAGCTGCCCCTCCCTGCTCCCCCTTGGCTACGCCCATGGGTGCTTTGGGCTCCAAATACAGTGTTATATTTGTTCCAGGGATCTTAACGTAGGACACAGCTTGCCCACTTAGAAATGCATTGCCCCTTTTGTGCCCCCTCTTGCACATATGGACCTACCAACCTTCGTCCCAATGCATTGTTAAAAGCAAAAGGGGCAATATCGAGCGCGAGATTGAAAGATTTAATCCCAAAGCGGCAGATTCAGAGGGCATCCTGAGATGGGACTCTCTCTCCCGTCCGCTCGGCGGAGGGATATGTTGGCGCCGTGCCACAGCGACCTCGGCGCGTGCTCGACGTAGGCGCTCTCGAGGCCTGGAAGTATCTGGGCATCTTCTCTCCTCCCGCTACGGCCGAACATGGAAGCGCGCGAGCCGGGTAAGGTCCGTGCGCCGCCCCTCGTGGAGAGTCTTGCGCGCTCGCTGGAGCTGAGGGGGGAGAGAGAGGCTCTAGCAGCCCCTTCTTCCCTCCTCATAGCCGGGTTGGTCCTGCCCTCTTGAGCGCCGGCAGACCGCCGTGTGGTTCCCAATTATTTAATAACAACAAAAATCACCCTTCTTTCCATTTTACTGCTGAAATTTTCAAAAAAAAAGCGCGGCTGAGCGGGAGGGGGGGGAGGCGTTGTAGAAGCCGTTTTTTCTGTATGGAGAAAAAACTCAAGTTCCTCGGTGGGAAGTGTAAATATTTCGTATTTTGAGGGAGGTTTCAAGTAGGAAAAAAAAGCCAAAGGAGATTCCCAAAGGTCTGACTTCCGCACACCCCTGATGTACAAAGTGAGGTCAAGCATTCGTATCCGTTACAAAAAGAGAAACAACATGAAGCCGCTGAGATAGAAGGGAAGCAACGGCTGGTGGTGTCCATTTTGAAACATGAAGAAAGCGCTACCAGGGTTAAACTAGGGCAGTCTTTCCTCCTGCGTGTTAACCTGCAGGTATTCTGGACGCCGATTTCCATTAGGCCCAGCAAACGTGGCCAGTGGTAAAATAGGGAAGACAGTGTGGTATAGTGGTTAGAGCGCTGGTTCTGGACCCAGGAGACGAGGTTTAAATTCTGACTCTGCCATTGAAGTTCACTGGGCGACCTTGGGGCCACTCTCTCTGAGCCTCACTTAACCTCACAGGCATGTGTGGATAAAATGGGGAGGAGAAGTATGTATGTTGCCTTGAGCTCTTTGGAGGAAAGGTGGGATATAAATACAGTAAAGCCAAGGTCAGACACCTGATCTATCCAGTACTGTCTATACTGACTGGTGCTCTAGGGTTTCAGACAGGACTTTCCCAGGATTGAACCTGGAACTTGCCACTGAGCTATGGCAATTCCCCAAAGTGATGTTGAGGGTTGTAGTCCAATAATATTTGGAGGGCAACGGATTGGGAAAGGCTGAAATAGAAACTTCCACATGTTTTTGAGTGAAGATTTCCTTCCAGCCACCATGCATTGTGGTTTCTCTTTCTCCTTTTTTTGCATGCACATGCTTGGTTGGTTGCTTCTTGGGTGCACCTGCTAGGATGAGGAGCAGGGCAGGTGTGCTGGTGCAAATATTAACCTTTTGTTCTCCATACATAAATCACTGCTCACCTCTGTGGTCAGCTTGTGTGGGTAAGTGTCGACTTGACTGGAAGACTGAAAAAAGCTATTTTGATTATTAGAGAGGAATAAATCAAGAGGATGCTGTTTTTCTAATCAGAGAAGCAGTTGCTGCAATGTTACATACAAGACCCTGTGTCAGATAGTTTAATTGAAACACAGACAGAGAAAGAAATGGAGTGTCTTCAGAAATTAAACACATTACCACCTCTTAAAGTTATTGATTTGTTTTGAGGGCTATGTTGCTAATGCTCCCACAGCTTTTTTATGATATGAAACTGAAGAGCATGTATGACTGAAGAGCAATTTGCCTGGAATAACCTGGTTCCATTTGTTGACAAACCCATGCCTCTCTCCACAAAAGCAAAACCTGCCACTTACTGGATTAGATTAATCTCTTACAACTTCTGATCTGGATGGTTGGTGGATCTCTTGTTCCATGCACACATACCTCACATAGTGCTACATTGGGCCTTCTAGGTAGTGGTGCCCACCCTATGGAATGCTCTCCCATCAGATTTCAAGGAGTTAAGTAACTATACAACTTTTAGAAGACATCTGAAGGCAATCCTGTATAGGGAAGTTTTTATACCCCAGCTGGACAGGGTATAAATAATAAATAATATTATTAATGTTTGATGTTTTATTATGCTTTTATATAGGTTGGAAGCTGCCCAGAGTGGCTGGGGCAAAGATGGGTGGGGTACAAATAATAACTTGTTGTTGTTAATTTCCACACATTGGGAAATCTCAGTATCATCTTCACTGACTGGCAGTCTAATACTGGCACTCTCCCAGCTCTACCTGGAGATGCCAAGGATTACACCTGGGACCTTCTGCATGCAAAGCAGATGCTGTGCCACTGAGCTGTAGACCTTCCCCTTCTGAAGTTCCACTTGACTATGATTCCTAGAAGACCCTGCTCCCTGCCTTGCAGGCCTTTTCCCACCTGGCCTGGGAGGGTGAGGCCCTGACTGACTACAAAAGCTGCTGAATTCTTGGGCTGGCATAGTGTTTAGGGGCTTTCGTTGAGGTGTGGGATAGTTGCTGCTATTGATGTTATTTTTTTAATTGTTTACAACTACTGTTGTTTGTAATTATGTGGGTTTTGTGTGTGTTGTAAGCTGCCTTGAGTGTGATATTAAGTTTGGAAAGGTGACATACAAATGAAATGAAGGGCTGACTGATTAGCATTTATGTTCAAATCTTTCCTTTATTGTCAATAATAGCTTATTTTATTCCTACTTTAATGCTAGATATTATTTCTGTTTCACATTAGTTGTCTCTATTTCCACACACACACGGCTTAATAAGCTTTTGTAAGCTGTCTAACATTGACATTTATTTCCTCCAATGTTCTCAACATAGGATGTTGGAGTGAAAATATATTGGATTATTTCCTGAATGCCAAACAAATTAAAACAAGAGATGGAGCTGAAATCATCTGGTACCATAGAGCAAATAATAAGTTACAAATGACAGAGGCGATACAGAGTAAGTATTTGCTGGACAATATATTTGAAAACAGACCAACTGTTAACTGAGAATATGATAAAAGTGGTTTATTTTAGTTTCACAATGTAACATGGAAGCACTTCTGAGGCCAGAGTTGAATTACCAGAGCGCTGCATGTGGTTTGTTAGAAGAATAGTTTGTTTCTTTTGTGATCATCAAATCAGAGAGCTACTCAGTTGCCTGGCAGCCATGCCACTTCAGAAATGCATTTCTAGCCCTTATGTTTTGAGACAATATGTGAAAAATATGAGTGCATCATAAGCTTTATGCAACATTTCCTGAAGGCATTCCATTGTGGCTGCAATTATTTATTATATAACACCCTTTAAGCAAATTTCCAAGATGGGAAAGGCAGAGAACCTTATGGCACGAGCCCATCCTAAACAGCGGAGAAGAGATTGCATGGAGTGATGGTGGTAAAATATTTGAACTCCCAGTCTAGGTATGTGACAGCAGTGGTGGAAAACCAATGTCCTTCAAGATGTTGCTAGAGTATACCTCTTGTCATCCCACTGGCCATGGTAACTGGGTAACTTCAGCTGATGGTAGCTGAAGTCCAGCAACATTTAGAGGGGTCAAAGGTATCCTACCTGGCTACAGGTAGAGGCGTACCTAGGTTCCCTTGCGCCCTTGGCAAGGAGAAATATTGGTGCCCCCATCTCCATAAAAAAAGCATGATGTAATTAAATAATCACAAAAGACTTAAACTGGGGGCTTAACAGCAAATTCTATAAATGTCTACTCATGAGTACATATCACCAAGTTCAATGGGGCTTACTCTGAGGAAACTGGGTACACAGGACTGCAGCCTAAATCTGGCACGCTGGAGGCAGGAACTTCTAAGAATACAGTGGTGCCCCGCAAGACGAATGCCTCGCAAGACAAAAAACTCACTAGATGAAAGGGTTTTGCGTTTTTTGAGTCGTTCCGCAAGACGAATTTCCCTATGGGCTTGCTTCGCAAGACGAAATGTCTTGCGAGTTCTTGCGAGTTTGTTTCCTTTTTCTTAAAGCCGCTAAGCCGTTAATAGCCGCTAAGCCGCTAATAGCCGTGCTTCGCAAGACGAAGAGACTCGTGGAACGGATTAATTTCGTCTTGCGAGGCACCACTGTACATCACTTCCCTTTTTGTTACTCTGACAAGGCGCCAGCAGAAAGGCACTAACTTGGAGGTTGCACACTTTACTCAGAAGTAAGCAGCACTTAAGTCAATGGCTTTTGCTCTCTGGGATAAGCATGCAGCAGCGCACACACTGGAAACCTGTTAAGGTGAGAAAGAAACCAGGGATATTAGATATTTTAAGATGGCTATCATTATCTTCTTCAAGTCCCTCTTTACCAGGCTAAACATACCAAATGCACTCAACCATTTTTCATTATGCTTGGTTTCCAGGCACTTCAACATCTTGGTTGCCCTCCTCTGCACATGTTCCAGCTTGTCAATATCCTCCTTAAATTGTGGCTCCAATAACTGGACACAGTACTCCAGGTGTGTGACCAAGGCAGAATAGAGCAGGACTGTTACTTCCATTGATCAGGACACTGTAACTCTGCTGATGTAGCCAATAATAGCAATAGCTCCCCCCTTTTTTTTTTTGCTGCTACATCACACTGTGGACTCACGTTAAACTTGGGGCCTACTAAGACCCCTAGATCATTTTCACATGCAAACCAGGTGCCCCCCCATCTTATATTTGTGCAGCTGGCTCTTCCTGCTGAAGTGTAGAACCTTGTATTTGTCCCTTAGTTTGGGCCTATCTGTTGACGTCATATTGAATCCCGATTCTGTCCTGCAACATTAGTTACCCTTCCCATTTTTGCGTCATCTGCATGTTGGATGAGCATCCCCTCAATACCTTCATCCAAGTAATTTATAATTTGGAATAGGTGCAAGTCGCTCCTTGTCCTGCCCTACTCCAGAACTCTCTTTTTCTGGGGACATACCATTTTAAATTATACCAGTTTAAGTTCTGGCTGAGTCCCAGTTGAGCAAGGTTGAGGGACTTGCTCCAGCATAGCCCCAGCTGCATTCAAGATTTGCCAGATCAAAATTTGTTAATTTTGGCAGATCCTGGGTTGGAATTGCACTGTAAGTCTATAACCCTAATCCCATTGACCTGGGAATAGGACCCATTTAATCCAATGGGACTTGCTTTGGAGTAAATATGGTTAGGGCTGGAGCCTAAATTGTTTGCCTTAAAAAGCACAAACAAGAAAAATTAATTAAGTAGCTTCTGTGGAGTACAAAATAAGGAGAAGAATGCAATTAGTGTGCCTTTCAATTTACTTCCCACTCACAAATTAACTTGTCAACTGTTTTTTAAAGCAAAGATTCTTAAGCTTAATGTTTTAAGCTATGTACTTCTATTCCAGCAAACAACCCTGCTCTACAGTGTGATTAGGAAATATTTGTATTTATGAATATATTTAAAATAACACTGACAAGTGAATGCAATACTCCTGGTTTCCCCAAGCCTCCCAGATGAGCTATGCGAACAGAGATATGAATCTATGTTTCCACTGTCTGTGTCTAGTGATCTCCTTCAAGTGGATTAAACTGACTCTTAAGTGATACATAAATGTTAGATAGCAATACAATTTATCCATGACAAATTTAAATGTCACAACACTGCTTGTTTTACTTTTTCTGTTCATGTTTTTGTTCATGTTTTTGTAAACGAACAGGTCCAGCTCACATGATAGAGGCTGATGTCCTTCTTTGTGAAGAAGAGGGAAGTGGTGAGCCCATCATGGCTCATCCACCTGAAACCAGTAGTGATAACACATTAAAGGAATGGCTGAATGAAATTAAAAACACTAGCAAGGGCATCAAGCTTGATTTTAAAAGGTATTTGGAATATATATAGATAAATGTTTGTAAGATTAAGGGTGCAGTCCTAAATGCACACATGCTTACTAAGAAGTAAGTTCCATGGAGCTTAGTGGGACTGTCTTCCCAGTAAACTTGCATAAGTGCAATTCTACAGTTCTGTCTTAACAGTAATTATAACATTAGATATAGCCAACAGCAAACCCGTTATTATCTCTTAAGTTTTAAAGCATTTGAGGATAAGTAAAAGAAAGCATTTTGCTTAAGTTAAACATTTCCCCCTGCAAAATTCCTCAGTTCCCCCCTTTCCCACTTTCATGTGATCTGCAGCCTCACGTTTAGTCCATTGCATTTTCTCTTAATATAATTTATACCTTATCCTTCTTATTCAATACAGTACAAGGCAGCTTACAAAAACTAAAATTACAGATAAAAGCATGATCAACGAAACATTAATAAATGGTCACATGCAGCTAGAATATACGATGTTACAATGCAGCTGTTATAGATATTAGAATAGAGCTTGAACCATAAAGCATCACACTATATTTAATGATATTTAATTTAACATGTATCACTTTACAGTCTGTGTTATCATGGTTAATTTCCTGAGCTGGAATTTCATGGTGTAAAAATCTTTAGAAGCTGACAATAAAGAGCATTATATGACTCAATCCTAGTGTTACAGATAAGCGGGTGGTGCTGTGGTCTAAACCACTGAGCCTTGGGCTTGCCGATCAAAAGGTTGGTGGCTTGAATCCCCACGACAGGGTGAACTCCCATTGCTCGGTCCCAGCTTCTGCCAACCTAGCAGTTTGAAAGCATGCTAAAAGTGCAAGTAGATTAGTAGGTAACACTCCGGCAGGAAGGTAAGCGGTGTTTCCGTGCGCTGCTCTGGTGTCAGTATTCCGTTGTGCCAGAAGCAGCTTAGTCATGCTGGCCACATGACCCGGAAAAACTGTCTGCGGGGCGGACAAACGCCAGCTCCCTTGGCCTGTAAAGCGAGATGAGCGTCGCAACCTCAGAGTCGTTCGCGACTGGACTTAACTGTCAGGGGTCCCTTTACCTTTACTAAAATGTATTCAGATTACTTGTTGTTCTGTCTTTACAGCCTAGCAGCTGTTAATCCGTCAATGAAGCTTCTTGGAGACATAAAACTCAGGCAACCTGTTTGGATTAATGCAGACATTCTTCCTGGACCAAATGGAAGTAATTGTGTAGTAGATGCAAAGGGGTTTCTAGACACTGTGAGAACATTTTTTCCAGATGTAACTTTGTCATTAGGATGGACAACTGGGTGGATTAATCTAAAATGCAATATAGGTAAGAATAAATATTGGAATGCTTCACAAGAATTAATCCACCTAATACTATGCAAGATACAATATCATGCAGTTAATCTACCTAACAGTATTCATTCTAGGAAATTATGTCAAGCTGTTATCATTGACATAGTTTATATTTTAAATTTTAATTTGTGTTTCCTTGTACTTGGTCATCCTAGTTGTCTATCTGCTCCTTTCAGGTTTGGGACCTCTGATGCTGTGATGCTTTCCCCCCATTAAATAAAATTAGGAAAGCTTCTCTGTGTGTACAAAAGAATGAGCATGCAGAACTGCCTGCTTAAATTAAGTGAAACTAACTTACTGTGAATTACTTTAACATGTGAAGTGTGCCTGGGTCATGTTAAAATCCAGGACTGTTACCTTCCATATGCCTGTACACACAGCACAGTATGAAACCTGTTTTCCCAGCTATTTGAAAATAAATGTTGTTCTAGGTTTGTATGCTCTGAAGCCAACAGGAATTTGAGTCTGGATTTAAGATTTCTGGGCCCATTTCACAGCTTGGTGCTCATTGTCTCTTCCCCTGGTGCCTAGTTCCTGAAAAATTATTTCTGATCATTAATATTTTGTGGTTGTAACTTTAAAAAACCCACACATGCTGCTGAGATGGCAGAATAAGTGCTTGAATGAATTATGTGTTTTGTTATTTTTTTAGGCTATAGTTTAGCAATGGTGCAAGAAATGGCCAAGATATGTAGAGATCTTACTCAGCCAATAACATTTCCTGTTCGAGCTGCTTTGGTTCGTCAGTCAATACCTGAACTACTGTGGTTATTACAGCAGTCAAACAGGTATAGTTAACATCAATTGGGGTGATTTGGGGATTGGAGACCAACTGGGCGATTGGGGTGGCATGTAACAGTATGTTCATTGTCCATTGAGCATTTCTCCCTCATAGAACTGAATGGAAAGGCTCTGTACACCAATAGCTTAGCATTAATGCTAGTTAACTACCCATTCATTTTTTTAAATCAGTGTGTCAGGTATATAGTTCAACATTTAAGTATTAAAGAGAAGGGCCGTGGCTCAATTGTAGAACATCTGCTTTGCAAGCAGATGGTCTTGGGTTCAATCCCTGGTTTCTCAAGGTAGGGCTGAAAATTGCCCCCATCCAAAACCCTGGGGAGTGAGTGTGGACAGTAGGCTAGATGGACGAAGGGGCAGACTTGGCATAAGGCAGCTTCTTGTGTTGGTATTACTAATGATGGACATACTTGAGCAAAAAGCAATGAGCTTGTGCACATATGCTTAAAAACTTGACAGAATGGAATGATTGTATAAGGCAACTTCAATATATGCCAAAAATACCTAGTATTTTTTTCTGACATTGTTGGAATTCCCCAGTTTGAACATAAAAAGGAACTTGGACTTAATGTAAGTCAACCATGATGCTGGTGTGCTAGAGGAAGGAGCTGTGCAATGATGTTGATAAAATATTAGCAGAGACACTTCTATCATTTTAATAATAGATTCTGCCTATCTAAAATTTTAATATTAATGTTATTTGCTTAAGTTTTATGTAGACTTCTATAAAATTAAACCAAAGTTTTGGTGACTTTCATTCCAGATACACTCTGACAATTTGGACAGGAAAACATGATGTCTATTCCGTAGAAGATCTGCTCTTCATCAGAGATAGCTTTGATAAAAGTAGAGTTTTTTATGATATCTTAGAACCACAAAAGTCTGAGTTTAGAAAGGCCATAGGAATGCAAATTGTGGCATAAAGAGAACAGACTGTGATCAGAGTTCATGTTTATGGAACGGGGCTTTTCCATATTCCGCTTCTCTTTGCAGTGCTCCTCGCTCACCCAATCTGCTTCTCGGGGTTGGGAATTCTTAGGATGGTATGGGAGTTGAGAGAGTTACACCTGGACATTAAATAGAACTTTTACTGTGGCTTTCCAGAGGTAGTTGTACTCTTAACTCCCATATTCCCTGACCAGTGGTCATGCTTGCAGCGCTGATGGGAACTGGGAATCAAACAAAATATTTGGAGGACCACAAGCTCCCCATCTCTGACCTAATCTATGTAAAAAAAGTTATTGTTCTGGATACCATAGTGCCACTATCCCATGAATACACAAAGTATAATATACAGGAAATCCACTGATTGCTATACTTACCGCCATGTTAACTCATTGTATATATGATCCATTACCTAAAGTGGAGCGCTATAATATACCCATCTTAGCCTCAGTCATGGAAACACACCTGAAGGTCTTACAGCCAGCACTTTTGATTCTGCAATACCTAGTGCACTGAAAAGAGTGGTGGAGCAGGTAGAACTACTATAGTGCAAGCCTATTTCATCAGATTAATGAAATTAACTGATGAATAAAACTCTTACTCAGCCCATAAAAGCCCCTCTAAAGCACATAAGGTAGTCTATTTGTCATTCAGTTTATCAAGCACATGTGGGGAATTATTGCCTGGTCTCCCTCGCCCCCAAAAGATAATTTTTCTTCCTAACTTTGCTGTTGGCCGCTGTCAGCGAAGGGGACAGTTACAGCACTGACTAACATTTAAGAAAGTGGATCTATTCAGTTAAACAGAGAAGTGATTCCTACCTCTCAAAAATAATTCAGATACCCAGGATTTTAGTGTAGCTGTGATCAGGCAGTAGCATTTCTTACTCCTAAAAGCAAAAGGTATATTTTTTTGACCTGAGTGTGGAAACATTTTAAAAATCACCCTGCCAGTGTCAATTCAAGTCTATCTGCATTTGAATCAAGAGTTGGCATACTTTATCTCTTACATACCAGGCTGCAACATTTGATAAACATCATACTATACTTAGCATTATAATGAAACTACAACAAGTATTTTTATTCATTCTATTATTTATTTCAGAGTTTTTGTACCCAGCTCTTCCACTGGAGCAAAGGGTGGTTTACAACACAACATACAGTATAAACAGTACTATAATCTAAAAACAAAATAAAATCATACATCCATTATAAAACAGCAGTACTTAGCCTCAACTCCAACTAGCAGCAACATCATCTGGTTTTAGTTTGATTCTGCTTCAAATTAATGTTTCATTGAAAGCAACTGCCACTTCAGTACATAATTTTCAAACATGTATTCCCTTTTAGTCTTCAATGCTCAGGTCCCATGCTTTTTAAACTTTTACAGAAGGCAAATTCACATCCATCCACTTAAAATGTCATTTTTTTTCTTACCTGGTTGTTAAGCTTATTGTGTTTTCTTCATTATCCACCTATTTGTAATCACAGAGCCTTTGGTTACAGTTTGAGTAGATTTATTTCTGTACTTTCCATAAACCTACTTTATGTTATCTCATAGAGCTCCCATACAAAGCTGGGCTGTTGTGCTTGGAAACTGAAGAATGTTATCCTTATGGGTGCATGTTATTTGCTTTATATTACCAGCATTTGTGTGCACTAGAAAATACATAAATGAAACTGTAATCGTTCTAAAATGATTTGATGTTGCAGAAATCTCTTTCCTCAGACTCAATAAAACTGTTTTTGAAATTACCAGCATGTCTTTGATACAGTTTCTCCTACATTGTTAAAAGACAGCTACTTATTTCTGTAATAACTTTATTAACATTTAAAGCAAAATTATACAAATAACTTGTGGGAGTTAGATTTAGAAAGTTTGGCTGTTACTTTGATAAGCTGACAAATGCAAGAAAGCTTCCCAACACAAGACTTTTACAAGCTGAGTTCTATGGCACTTCATAGACTAGTAAACTAATCATGGCATAAGCTTTGGAGGATAAGAGTTCACTTTATCAGAAGGAGATTCTAATTCATGAACATTTAAGGATCTTTAAGTAAAGAATAACCTTTCAAAATTCTTATTAGGGCAATACCTTTTTTTAGGCTAACCAAAATGTCACCAAACAGTGTGCAAGCTTTTAAATTATCCTGACCTCTTTTTCAGGTTGTTATAAACAAATGGAGATGGCTGAGAGAAATTGGCTGGTGGTGGAGCCATGGAATCTGCATCCAGTCACAGACTCAAGACAGAATGCAGGCAAAACTGTGCCCAAGGAACGGTGCTGGGTTTTTTCCTTAGGGGCAACCACCTCATGCCCTGCCTTCCCGTCCCCCCACACCCTACACCTGCAACGATGGTCAGCAGCCCAGTTCCTGGCTGGCCCTTCTAATTCCCACCCCAGAAAGCTCTCCACATCCTTTCCTGGATCATGGCAGGGAGGATGCAGGTGCACAAAAAGAAAGAAAGAAATGAACCATGGAGGAGAGAAAGGAGAGAAGCTGTCACCACTAAAGCAGCAGCATAATGGGGGAAAGCCAGGGTGGTGGTGGTAGGAGGAGCGCCACCACATAGAGAAAGTGGGCAGACAGTGGGGAGATTAAGGTAATGGGATGGGGCGCACACTGATTTGGCCCAGGTCCCATTGGACAGCCGTGGTGGTCGGAGGTAGCAGCAGATATTATGATTAGGCTCCGCTAGGTGCAATGCAGGTTTTAGGTTGGCCCAAAGGCTTCTGGGAAGAATGAACATACAATGGTCCCACCAAACTTGGGAAGATATTTTTAAAATATTAAGTAGGCAAAGCACACCAGTTCTTTGGTAGGTGGAAAACAGGAATTTGTTTTTGTCACAGTCCTCTATAAATAGAAAGCTAAAATGTATCTCATGTCTGTAGAATATATCATCTCATAAAAAGTTACAAGTTACAACCTAGTGCATAGAGGAAGAGTGTAACAAAAGCTTATAGAAATTGTCAGACTGCACAAATAAATGTTTGTACAGTGGTACCTCGGTTTACGAACTTAATCGGTTGCGGAAGTCCGTTCTTAAACCGAAACTGTTCTTAAATCGAGGCACACTTTCCCTTATGAGGCCTCCCGCTGCCAGTGCTCTTCCACCGTTCGGCTTCCGTTCATAAACAGAGGTAAAGTTCGCAAACTGGGACACAACTTCCAGTTTTGCAGAGTTCGTAAACTGAAAAGTTCGTAAGCAGGGCTGTTGTTAAACTGAGGTACCACTGTAGTGGGAAATAGCTTTGCAGTGGAAGCAACACCACTGTTGCTTTGTTTTCAACCTATGAATTAATTCAGTGCATTTTGGATTCCATATTGGCAGGATTGCTAATACATCAGCTTCTGTGAGAAGTCATTACATTTTGCTTAAACTGGTATGACATCAACTCCATGATTCTATGAGGATAAAATCAGATAGATGATAGATCTATAGATAGATGATAGCTGTAACATGTATAGAACTAAATCTTGCCAGATTAGCATTATGCTCAGGTCATCAAGGAAAACCATTCCAAAAGATCTAGTGCTGAATCTTTGTATGTCTCAATAGTCGCATTGTTTCCATATATTGCTCAGCTTGCCTGTATACAATGCAAGGAAATCCACAGTGTGAGCATTAAGGAATATGCCAAACTAATTCCCCATTACATTTTAAAATTCTGGATGGATTTTGAAGCTTAGAATCACAACTGAAAAGGAAACTCATACTGTTTCATTTTGAAATGCATTTGATAAATTCTGTGGCAATTTCCAACCTACATTTGCTTCTCTGCAAGGTGAATTTTTCTTTCAAAGAGAACAATTCTCCCATCTCTTTTTATGACAGTGGTTTTGATACTGGAAAACTCATTATTCCCTTAATCCGTTTTCTTATAACCTGAAATGTCAAACCCTTGGATGACATTGAACTGCCCACATTTGCATCTGTTTACACAGTGTTCAGGGAGCAGACTGGAATGAGTCAAGGTAAGCTCTTTTCTCTTAAACATATGCCTATCCATTTGAAAATGCACATACTTCTACATAAATGTTGGGAGGGGGCGGCTAGGCAGTAGAGAACCGACGTATGAATTCATATCAAATACATAATTTACATGTGGAATTACAGGTTTATCACAAAACATCAAACAATTCAAAAGGATATACAATTTTGAATTTATAAAAATAAATGACATATAAATAAAAGCATGAGAAAGTTTCCTGAAAGCTACTGGTACTACATTTCAGTCTTTGTAAGGAAGTTATTTTACAAAATTTATCAGATACAGGTATATAAATATTGTACAATATTGGGGGGGGGCAAAGAGATGTTTACCGTATTTTTCGCTCTATAGGACGCACCTTTTCCCCTCCAAAAATTAAGGGGAAATGTTTGTGCGTCCTATAGAGCGAATGCAGGCTCCTTGGCTTCAGCGATAGCAACGTGAAGCCTCTGAAGCACAGAGGGAGCGCTCCCTCTGCGCTACGGAGGCTTTGGGTTGCTTTCCCTGAAACCTGGAGAGCTAGAGGGGTCGGTGTGCACCGATCCCTCTCACTCTCCAGGCTTCAGGGATAGCCGCCTGAAGCCTGCGGAGCGCAGCGCGAGTTCCCGCTGCACTCCGCAGACTTCAGGTTCCTTTCGCTGAAGCCAGGAGAGCAAGACTCTCCTGGCTTCAGCAGAGAGGGAGAGCTGTGCAGCGCCCCTTCAGCGAAGCAGGGGGAGAAATGGAAGGGGCTCCGTTTCTCCTGCCGCTTTGCTGAAGAGGCGCTGAGCAGAGAGGGGGAGAATTTTTTTTTCTTGTTCTCCCTCTCTAAAACAAGGTGCGTCCTATGGTCGGGTGTGTCCTATAGAGCGAAAAATACAGTACTTCAAGCACTCTATGATGTGTGCATGAAGGGGAAAGGTAAAGTTGCCCCCTGTTGTCCACACATTCAGCAGACCATTTTAAAAGGAGCCTATGTGCTGCAGTTGTACACATGTCAGGTCCTTGCTCAAATAAAACCCCAAGCAGGTAGTCTCCTTTGCAACAATCCACTCAACATGTGGACGCCAGGGGTAAGATTGCCATATCTACACATACTGTGCATCTGGAGAACTTGCAGGTTAACAGCCCTCAAATGAAGCAACTGGTATGACATGAAAACATTTACTTATCATGATTAGATCAACATGATCTATTCTATTAGTGAGAGAAAAAACACAAACTACAAATGGAGTGATCATTTAAGACTGCTTCAGATATAAAATAACTCCCCAAACAAAAATAAATTTCTGTGTATATGTTCCTACCTTGATTATGAAAAATATAGATTATAACAATGATTTTCATTTCAAGGAGAGTACTGTTTTGTGTTTGCAAGGCGACTTAGGGCGCCTGGTCAATATTTTCTCAAAATCATGTTTCTTTGAAAGCTTGGGCTGCATACTCCAAAACCAAGTAGATGCAACAGAAACAATCTCAAGTCTACACTCATCTTTCTGAGATGTAATATGGAACTTACCAGCTGAATGTAAAAATTATTTAAGTTGCTAACTTTTAAGAGGGGTTATGAGCCATTACTGAGTTTTCCTCCCAGACCAAATGCTTTTATTTGGGTTGGGCACCGGGTTTGGTGGTACACCCCTTAGGGAAAATTCTTGCTCAATGCCAGAAGTTTCACTAGCTTCCTGGTACCATTCTTAGTCTATCTGCTCATTGTAGCTACCGCTTTTATCTATTACTTCCTTATTTTCAACTGTGGGTGCCATGCACTAGGGTGTTCTTATAAATGTTGGTGGCAAGTGCAGGTATCGATGAGGTCTGGCAGTATTTGTATGTTTTTGTGCTGTGAGTAGCTTCTCAAGCCCAGCATGTAAACAGCTGAGCTATACAAGTGTGCCATCAGCAGTCATAGGACTGCCTCAGCCCATGACACCCACAGCTGGAAGTCAAGACAGAATGACTCACATCTGTGGCTGAATAATGGGACATATGTCAGTGAACAAATATGAACATACCATGGAAGAACAGTCAGCCTAACTGAAATTAATGGCTGTGGGTGTCATTCTCCAATATCAGTAGTTTCAAAAAAATACCCATTGAAGCTTATGATTTGCCTTTGTCGTTTTATAATTTGTCAGAAGTCAACAATTATTTTAATATACCCGATTCATCTTTTTTAAAAAAATAAGGGGCATTCTTGAGCCGTGATATCTGTTATAGCCTTGTTTTCAAAGTAGGAACACAGAATGCAGTGTTTAACAAAGTGCACACAGTAACTAGACATCTTAGCTACACTCAAGTCTTGCTATGTTTTGGGTCATATGGATGCAGTGGAAGGGTTGTCAGAGGCAATCCAGTGCTTCCACTGTTACACCCGCACCATCCCAGCTCAGCCCTAGTTCCATTTAGCAGCACTAATGATGGTGTAAGGAGGACAGCTCCCCCCCATCACACACGCTGCTACGGCTTTTATCTAGGCTGAGCCTATATTGTTTAATTGGTTGTTATTATTTAAATTAAATTTCTGACACATCCTTCCTTCCAAATGAACACAGGGCAGCAAAGTAGCAAAGCAATACATTTACAAATAATTTAAAACCCCCCCACACATTTTAAAACAATTAAAACTGTCTTAATTAGTGCAATAAAGGCTCAAATTAGAATTTGCAGCCCTATGTCTGATAGCTGCTTTGCTTTAAAATTTGCCTCAAATACTTAGAAAGTTAATACAATTTTTACTGTCTCCCATTTGGGTGGTACCAGTTGATATTTGATGGTTCAGCTCCCCTTTATTGTTAAGCCAAAGGCCATTGCCAATCATTCAGGAGTACAATAGAAAAAAAAAACACAGAACACTGCTCAAAATATTATAAATATCACAATGCGTTGCAATATCAGATCTTTTCCAATAATAAAAAAACTATTAAACTCATTAGAGAAATGAGTCATAATTATAAATGCTCATTTATAATTCATTCAGCACTACTATCTGGAATGCTTTACTCTACTTTATTAGGAAGGAAAGGAAGCAGATTTGCCTGGGATAAGAAGCACCACTAACCTTACAACCTCCCCCATTTTGTTCAATAGTGCTGTTGTTTTCTGCTATGGGTTCTATGGAGACCAGGGGTGGAGGTTCATTCATGGCTTCCCTCCTCAGATCACCCTGTTCTTTTTGAGATGGCAGACATGGGGGGAAATATATACCTGAACCTTTTTTGAATATTAATTCCCACAATAACTCCTCATCTGCAGGAAGGTAAGAAAACAGAATGGTGGTGAGGTTGGAAGACAAGAACATGAGATAGCATGGGATGCAGGGTAAAGCACTGTTTTGGAGACAGCCTTGGAGTTGGTGGAAATGACAGGTGAAGAGGCTATAAGTGAGAACCTGGATACTGATGAGAATCTGTTTATAACAGAAACATTGTATAGCTGCATATTAATTAGTATAGAATAGCTGTCTTCTTTACTATGGATCTACTGTCTTTGTATAAGCGAGTAAGCCAAAGCACTACTAGCCACCCTGAACAGAATATTGTTAATTATTCAGGGCCTTCAGTCAATAACATTTGCTTTCTGATTAGATCAGAAATTACTGAAAGATTAAAGCCACAAAACATTTTGAAGTAACAACATAGTACCAGTTATCAGCGAACACAGAAATCTGATAAATGTTTCACAGGAACTGTTCCAGTACAAAACACTAATGCTGACATTTACAATATCAGCACTCTTTCCCACTCCAATAAAACGCAAGTAAACAACAGAGCTGCTTTTCATAGCAAATGTCTGTAGGATGTGAAAGATCTGGAGCAAAGATAAAAAAACACCTGCCCCAATTTAGCAAGGTCTAAGCTGCATGAGCAATATAATAATAATAATAATAATAATAATAATAATAATAATACTTTATTACTTATACCCCACCCTTTTGCTGTGCAGCTCCCAACATAACATAAAAAACACAGTGAGACATCAAACATTAAAAACTTCCCGATACAGGGCTGTCTTCAGAAAGCCATGTATTTATTTCTTTGACATCTGATGGGAGGGTGCTCACAGGGCAGGTACGAATACTGAGAAGACCCTCTGTCTGGTTCCCTGTAACTTTACTTCAGTGAGGGAACCACCAGAAGACCCTCAGAACTGGACCTCAGTGTCCAGGCTGAATGATGGGGGTGGAGACACTCTTTCAGGTATGTTGAATTGGATTTGTGTTTTAATGCACATCCCCATTTAGAGGCACCAGAAGCTACATAAACCAGAATTGGGGGCAGGAGGGCTGTGTAACTGCATTCAAAGGGGAGAAAAGTGAGATCATTATGCCTTTACCACACTTGAATTGTAACAATAACTACTGGAGGTCTATAGCCAGTGTTTTGGCTAGTTTTTCTAACACACTCCCATCCCCAAAGCCAGTCCACCCATGAGGCAAGGTGAGGCAACCAGTTCAGATGGTAGGATCCATAAGTGATGTAGATCTTTATTCCCTACTTGTTCCTGATGTTGACCTTCTCTTCCCTCTTCTTCCCTTGCAGGGAGGGGAAGTGCCATTTTACAGTTTGCCTCAGGTGCCAAAATGTCTTGGACCATCCCTTCCTGTCCCACAAACAATGGATCATGGGAGGATCTCCCACAGTCCCAAACAGAAATACTGTCTCTCTCACCATTTTTTTCTGTTACCTTCTGACTCGTCTCTACCCTAGCTGACATTTTGGTGGCAGCTTCTTTTTCATAATACCAGACTACATAGTCCTTGCCAACGTGCACATCAAAAAACTTGTCTGCCAGGCACTCCATGATAATGCCCAATTTTGCCAAGATCCTATTTTAATGATCCATGCATGCACACACAAATACACACAGTTGGAGAGAAGTCACATGAGAATTGATTGCATACAATCAGTTGTCATTGCAAAGAGCAGCTTGCTAATTCAGAAGAGGTAGATGACAGCAGCAAAAGTAATGGGGAAGGGACTCACCTTCCCTTCTTTGTCTCATGCCGTTGCTGCTTCTCTCTGTCTTCCCCAGTGCCTTTGAGACTTTAAGGGAGAAAGGGAAGGAACAAATGCAAGACCTGGTGGAGGAGATATCTCTAAGTGCACAAAACAATACATTTAACAGCCTCAATATGTTTTGATTAAAATCTGTGTCAGGGATACAGTAAAACAATAATGCTTTATGTTCTCAAATAACACTTTGAGGGCTCCATTTCTTCCCACTTTCCCCCTCATAGTGATTCCTCACCCTAACGACTATATTATTTAGGCATCTATCACAAAAGATTCCCACAATCTATCGAATCCTATAAATTCAAGAATGTGGCCAGAGGGAAAGAAAGTGTTTGGGGATTAAAAAACCAAAAAAGCAGCAAAAGCTAGAGTTTAATGCAGTAAAATGACACCAGTATATCTTCATTACTTCCATGGTTGCTCCTCTGCCCCAAAATGTATTAAATAAATACTCAAGATGAACAAACAACAAAAGCTTCCAAAATTTAAACAGAAAAACATTCACTCTGCAAAACTGGAGACGTTTGTTGGATTTTACGGCAGCTTTTCCATCTGTTATAAATTGGATGCAATACTTTTCTAAAATGTTGTGTTTTTTATTGTTTGTACATGTCCTGCCTTCCCCCCAGTTGTTGCTAAAGCTTTATATTTTTCCTTTATTCAATTCATTCACTTCTCATTAGACGTTTGCAACCTTTCAAGAGAGGATACATTAATGTAAGAATAGACACTAGACATAATCCAGCACAGAATTAGGCATGACTAAACCTATTGAAATCAATGGGCTTGAACACATTCCCACTATGTACTGGGTTGTTCCCATTGTATAGCTGAACTGTCTGTTGCACAATATAGGATTTAGTTCTGTAACAGCTGTTTAAAAATAGTCACACACTGTAGATAAGGCCTTAGTAAACTTGCTGTAAGAGACTGGTCCTAGTATTTGCGAACCCTAGAATGCCTCATCAGAAAATTCTGGTTTGTATTATCTATGCAGGCAATGGAGAACCATATTCATTGTTTTCTCCATTTAGTATGGCGTTACAATGAAGGTAGCAATATTTTGCAATTATTCCTCGGCAACTAACCAGAACATTTTGCAGCAGCTCAACCTCAAGGCTGATGTTCAGTGAAGAGTTGGGGAGGGGGTGTTGCTACAGTCCAGTCCAGCCACTCTCACATTCCAAAATAATACTTGTTAGTGTGTACAAGTTGTATGCCACTGTTCCCCAGTAATCAACTAAAAATTTACTAGCTGTTTGATCTGTTCAGTTTGTAATGATTGCCTCCTTGTCAAGAGTGTTTTACTTTTGAAGTCTTTGGGGTAAATGGGTGCTGTTGGAATTAGGGTTTTTTGTCCACAAGAAACCACTGTATTAATCTTACAGATATCAGGGATTGGGGGATGAGGGTTCACATTTAAAGGGGGAAGAAAACAAGGTCTGGTCAGGGCAGTGTGATCTGAACCCCGCCTCTCTAAAATGGCATGATTTCTCCTGCTCAAGAAACTGGGAGGCATGTTTTCTATCAGTTCTCTGGAACTCAGTGACAAAGATGGAGATGGGGAGAGCAGCTTTTTCTTCCCTAGAAGCGATTTGCTGTCTTCAGTAAGTGGGCTTAAGCTAGTTGTTAGCTGTGAATCGGAACTGTAGTGATTTGCCCCCAGATTTCTTCTTTGAACAATGTTTTTCAAGGTGGAAACAAAGGTCATTTGGGCGGAATCTGGATTCTGGTCTACAGGAGCGTCACTCTGATCTGCTGCAGCTTCATTCCTATTGTGGTAAGTCTCACCAAAGAGTGACTGAGAATTTATCTCATCATACGACATTTTTCTTGAGGCAGTTTGCTCAAAGTTTTTCAAAAAATTAAGAGTATCCTTTATATCAATGCTGTGGTGTCTGGTGATAAATCTCTTGGACAGGGCCAGGCTGTTGATTTTAAAACACAATTCTTCCTCTGGAGTTATGTCTTGAAGCTCTTCCTGTAAAGGGGATATTTGATTCTGATCAAAAAGTGAGGAGGAAGGCTTCATCCAAGGTTCAGAATATACGTGCTGCATCTGAGGTCCTGTGTGTGCCAAGTTGGGTTTTCTTGAAGGAGAATGTGGTTCAGGGGCATCTTCCTTTCTTCCAGGATGGTTAGGTTCTTTAAAATTAAAGAGACCCTTTTCTGTCTCCTTTGAATTTGACTGTGGTGAGGGAGATGTTTTGATTTCTACATCTGATGGGGAAGTGCAAGAACTTGAAGAATGAGCTTCATCAGTGTCAGGAGGAGGAACATTTAAGTACTGCTTAATTCTTTGCCTCCCAGATGGAGACCTGTCTTTCGTAATAATTATGACTTCTTTCCCCCTTGCTTTGCAAGCATCTAGGAGAACCTTGAGGGTTTCCTTGTCCTCTGAATTCACTGAGTAAACAAGAACTGAATTGCCAGAATGGTCTTGCAGACTTATGTCTGCTCCACTTTTAAGCAGTAAAGAAACCACTTCAGGGCCAGCCTTCTGCAAGCAAGCATGCATTAAGGCTGTCTTCCCAGTTTTGTCCTGTATGTTTGGATCTGCCTTATTCTCCAGAAGGTACTTCACCATTTTGACTTTGCTAACACTCTGATGGTCCACATGCTTTGTCTTACAAGCAATCATTAAAGGGGTTTCACCACGGTCATTACTTTCATTAATGTAGGCCCCACCTTCTAACAACAGCCTTGTGAGACGAAGTCTGCTTTGATAGACCGCTTTTATCAGAGAGTTTCCATCAGGTGAAAGCTCTATGACTTCTTCCATCTTCTCTGTTTCTGAAGACTGCAGCTGTTGAAAATGTTGCCTAATTTGGAGACAAACAGGAAAGATAATTAAGAATCTAATATATATTTTAATTTAGTAACAGGAAGATGAAAAAATGGGAGCCTCTATTAAACAGAACATTCTAATTTTGCAACACACACACACACACACACACACACACACACACCCCTTGTCTGCATGAAACAGTGCATATACCTTGTATTCCTCAAGTTGACCTGGCACTAAAGGCTGAAATAATGCATTATATGTACTTAACAAAACTCTGACAGGAAAAGCAGCTTTGGAATACTGTATAGTTATTTAGATTGGAGAAGTATCAGGAAGGAGGTTGCTTAAATCTTTCTATACCTGATACTTTCCCATTGCAACTCCAGCACTCATACTAAAAAAAATGAATATATAAATTAGTACTCCACTTTGGCCTGAGTCATACCCAGAGTTTGCTTTCTTATCTGATAATTGTTTCCATAAGTCTCGTAAAATATGTTAAAATTGACAGTTAGAAAGGCATGGAAGAATAAGGAAACTCAGAGAGGATGCATTGAGTGTTTCTAGTATGTTTGTTTATGGTCAGCAAGTTGCTTACTAGAGGACCACTTAAGTAGGGAGTGGGGGTGATGGGCCATGCTACCACACATCACAACCCAAAGGTACTTGAACAACAGGTTCTCATTGTAATTACCACCCCATACCTCTTGGTTGGCAACTAGAAACCAGCTTAGGATGCATCCTTACTCTTTTGTGAGGCTTCAGTCCTATCTAAGAGTAAGCCCAATTGAAACCAGAAGAATATACTTCCGTAAAGCATAGGTTGAGAGAAGCTGAGTAGCGGTTAGAGTGTTGGACTAGGACTTGGGAGACCACTCAGCCATGGATGTTCATAGGAATATAAGAAACCACCTTATACCAAGTCAGCTCATTGGTCTATCGAGCTCCGAGCTCGGCATCATCTACACTGACTAGCAGCAGCTCTCCAGCATTTCCATCCCTTCCTGGAGATTGGACCTGGGACCTTTGTTATGCAAAGCAGGTGCTCTGCTACTGAACTACAGCCATTCCTAAGCTCATTGGGTTAGCTTGGGTCAGTCATTACCTCTCTGCCTGGCCTATGCCACATGCAGCGTTGTTATGAGGATAAAATGAGGAGGGAGAACTTTGAGCTTCTTGGAGGAAAGGTGGGACAGAAATGTAATAAATAAATAAATATACCCAGTATGCTCTAAGGCACACATACCAGGGAGTAAGTCCCATCAAATATGAAGCCCAAATCTATGCATACTTACTGACAGTGGTGCCAACATGAATAAAATATTGAGGAGGGGGCAGGTAAGCCCTGTCCTGCATAACTGACACAGCGCACGGTGAGTGACCCCCTCTAATATTTTATTGGGCGGCTGAAGGGACCTCCTATCTAAGTGGGGCTTACTCCCAGGTGAGTGTGCATAATATTGCAGCCTTCCTGGAGCTTCCTTATCATTAAATACATACCACTACTAAGCTGTATGTAGTATGACTATTAAACTAACCATACAAGGTTAGTTAAAAAAAATAATAGCACTGATCTTTTTATTTTCTTAGGAAATAAAAATTCAGAGGCACTCTTACAGAAAATTAATTCTCCACTCAATTTGTAACCTGGCAAAACAGTCAGCCTTGCTCAGTACCACACAACAGTCTGCTCCATTTCACCACTGCATCCCATAAACAATAAAAAGTAATTTCGTTTTAGTTAAATTTAACTGCTAATTGGAACACTGCAATTTGTATGCTCTTCTGCATGTCAGCGTGACCGCAGTCGCGCGCTGCAAAAGACAACAACCCAGCAACACTCTGAAGTAACTCCATTCATTTTAGTCCAGAGTATTTGCGATTTTAAAAATATTTCGGAAGTGCGTGGTTGCAAAAACGGAACTGGGAATCCGAACACTGCTAGTAAAGACACGGTGTCGGACTGCACACTTTTGCAAGCCAGCCGCGAACCTATTAGGAGCCTACTACTACCACTACTGAAGTCAATGGGTCGTTCTTCCAAATAAGTGAGCCTAGGACCCTAGGTTAACAGCCGGCAGGCAATATACAAGGACACGGATTGCACCCCTCCCTCCCTGTTGCCTGCCCCCTTTGCACGCCCTCGGGAGACCCCTCACTCTCGCGCAAGGTAGTCCGACGCTCGAAGAGCGCGTCGCTGGCGGGAAAAATCCGCCCAGGGCGGCGGGGCTGTGCAGAGTCGCCAGGCGCGCTCGCCAGAACGCAGCAGCGGCGCCACCACGCCAAGGCACCGCTGGGTGAGGCAAGTTGTTCTGCCCTCAGGTAGGAAGGCAAGCGGCCCGGGGTCAACCCACCGCTCGCTCTCCAAGTCTCCCCTCCGCCCGCTTTACCTGCTCGAGGAGCCGGCAGCTGAGGGACGCCGAGCGGGAAGGCTCCTTTCTCTAGCGGGGGAGGCTCCTCTCTGCGCAGGAATTCAGGTCTTCTTAGTTCTCCAGTGGCGGCTGCTGCTTGAAGCAATAGAGGGGAGTGAGGGGGAAGAAACGCCTCTGCTCGGCTGGCAGGCAGCGCCCCTGCTCTGGAGAGGCGGCTGTCAGCAGCGCTGGGGCGGCTTCGCCCACCCACGCGCTGCTGAGCTCGGGCTCTAAAGACCCGCTGCCTCGCCGCTAGTCCCCCCTCCCGGCCCCCGGTTGTCCAAGGGCGTCTGTTGCTTGCTCGCCCGCGCGGAACTAGCCAACTGCCGGCAAGGTGGGCTTGCTCGCTGCTCTGGCAGAAGGCGGGAAGCCAGCGGAGGCGGCGGTAGCGCGCGCGCGCTCTGTCCCTCCTCAGGGAAAATCGCGAGGCAGAGTCTGCTCCACGCATCCAGTCGGATTTGCGGCGTGCAGCCAACGCCTACGTTTACTGGAAAGCAGGTCTCCCTGGAGTCAGTGGAGAGCGCACTCCCGAGGACACGTGTATAATAAGACTGCGGCCTCTTAGGTTTTACATCTCCCCTCCCCACCCCCGGGCCCCAGAGGTCTTTTAGGAGCTGCGTGCCAGGCAGAAGTTCAACAGGTGTAGACGCAGAGATGGCGAGAAGAAAGTTGCACCTGTTGAGTTTCTGCCGGGCAGAAAACTGTCAAAGGCAGCTTCTCCCACTTTGAGTGTCTTTGCCTTTTTAGTTTGTAATCCTGGTGGCAGGTCCTGTCTCCTTCCTTTCCCCCATTGTTGTGAGACAGTTTGAGAGACAACATTTGTTTGGGAAGCGGGATAAAACACATAGATAATAAAGTACTACTAATAAAGCTTTTGTCGAGAAAAAGCTGGCCATTGTGCTCTGCTTTGGACCACTTGCCCAAACATTAAAATTCATGGGTTGGATCAGAACATGGAGACAGACCTCTGCTGAAATCATCACTTTACCGACACACACACACACACACACACACACACCAACCCGGAGCCCTGCATTTGTAAATGGATGTGGTTGTGTGTATGAGACAGGTGGGTGGGTACTATTCTTACCATTTGTATGCTGCAGCCAACAATTTACCCCCAAGAATAAGGTTTTTGTTCCATGCTAGAAGGTTCAGCTGCCTAGTGATATTTTGACCAGTCTTCTATTAAGTTGTCTATTTCTTTTTCACTCGTTATAAGATTGACAGGTGCATAATGCAGTCCTCTCACAGGAGGGATAACTACTTCGGAACGCATGGTTGGGTGGGAAACACTTGTTGGAAAGTGTCCTCATGGCAAAATCCTCTCTGTATGTAAAGCTATCATATTTGGTAAATGTGACACATCTTGCCAGTATGTGATATCCCTGCAATGCTCGTTACAGTTTAATCTTCTCCTTTCCTTGCTTATTGTAATGTCTGAATCTATCTTGAAATATACAAGAGAGATGGAAGGTTACTGCAGCAGATGCTCACAAGCTGCTTGGTGTGCATGTTAAGCTGTAGGCACTACGATAGTTACAGATAGCTGTGTCTGTACAAAAACGGGCTCCGACCTGACTTGAAAACCACCTTTTTTTACTTAAGGATCATTCATGTGGTTGCCTGTCTCCCTTGTCCTGTCTATGGTGTTTGTGGAAATGATCTAATTTTTTCAGCATCCAGCTAGAGACTCTTTGTTTAGTAGTTTCTGCTTTTGCTGCTGGGGACAGACTATCACCCGCATATAACTCCAGTGCTTAAAAGCCTGCACTGACTGTCCACACACAACTAGTTTAGGGTCAAGTTTATTGTATTAATTTACAAGGCTCTTAAAAACTTGGGGTCCAGGATAGCTTAGAAACTGCCTGATGCCTTATATCTCTACCCAATCACTGAGGTCTTTGAGGAAGTTGCTGTAGTGGCTTCTCATGGCTTGGATGCATGTTTTGCACCCACCAAGGGCTGTGTTCAGTATTGTGGGCCCAATTTCATGGAACTCCCATTCAGCTGAGATCAGACCCCACTCTGTTGGATGTCTGATGCCTACTGAAGACTGCTTTATTGCAGCAGACTTATAAAGTTATTTCTGATTGCATAGTTAAGTTTTTAACTGATTTTATCTATATTGTATTTGCTGAGCTATCACTTAAGAGACGCATAGCTGGCAACGTTTCCCTTTTTTTAAAGGAAATTCCCTTATTCTGAATAGGATTCCTCGCAAGAAAATGGAAAAGTTGACAGCTATGAAGAGACAGTTTTAATTAAGTGGCATATAAATTGTCTAAATATGCCCTCTTGTCTCCTGTTCTGCTCTTCAACCTGCAGAATAAGGTGGCCGGATTTGCAAAACCATTTCTTGTGTATAAAGAAGCATAAAGTACTCATGTTGAATTCCCAACTCCAGCTCTTCCTAAGGCCCAAAGTCAGATAGGCATACCATTTCAGTAGGCTTATTTATTAGTAATCACCTGAGCAAGCAAGAGTGGTGCCTGCAACCTCCAGGAAAACAGAATCAGGGAAACATCAGGCATGACTCAAGGAGGCCTAGAGATAATAGAGAACAGCCAATTACAGCAGAGCTTAATATTCCAAGTCACTATGTATGCTAAGAGGAAGTTGTCCCAGCTGCTGGATGAAGCAGGCAATTTTCTCAACTGTTCAGAGCAATCCCCGATGTTCTGTATGCTTTGCCTGGGTCTTTAGAATCTCCACAACTAACAGTATTATCTGATTTACTATTCTTGCACTGTGGTGATTGATTCCAAGAAAACCTGTTGGAGAGCGAGGCAATCTGAGGTGCTACTGTGTTGGACTAACAGTGGGTGAGCACCACTGAAATAAATCACTGCTCCCCTTTGCCTACACTGCAGAGCACCATGCATGCCAAAGAGAGCTTGCCCTCTAATAAACGTCACTTGTTATTTCCATCTATCTTCTCCAATCCCTCAGTTCTTTTTTTCTCTAGTGCTGCCACTGGGCCATGATACAGAAGCTGATAATTTCTGTTTGGAATGGTGTGTCATTATTAGTCATCTGCTTCCTGCAATGAAAGAAGTTAGCTTGCCCCTCAGCATGATGTTGCATGATCAATGTAACAAAATAAGTCTTCACTTCCAACTTGCCCATCTACCCAGGGAATCTTCATTATTTAACCCTATCCAACTATAGTTTCTTTCACCTACCAATGACAATTCACCATTTACAATGGCCTGTGCAACCACATTTCTCTTGCAACATACTGAACTACAGTACTGTGGAAGAATGATATGCACCAGTTCCTGCTCTTTTTATGGCTCACTGGGTTACCCTTTTATATGCCTGTTGTCTTTGTCCATGGAGTTTTCTTGGCAGGGATACTGGAGTGGCTTGCCGGTTCCTGCTCCAGGTGGATCACGTTTGGTCAAAACTTTCCACTATGCCCTGTCCATCTTGGGTGGCCCTACACGGCATAGCTCATAGCTTCTCTGAGTTATTCAAGCCCCTTCGCCACAGCAAGGCAGTGCTCTGGTCCATGGGGTCACGAAGAGTCAGACACGACTAAACAACAACAGGTTACTCTGTGTGTGCCTCTCACTGGCTGTCAGGGACTGGACAGTGGGAGAGTGGTGGAGACCGTCTCCCCAGCCTGAACCTTCCAGAAAAGAGGAAGGCAGTATAGATTTACAACAGTGGTTTGTGGGAGGTCGTAGCTCAGAGGCAGTTGAAGAACAAAGTTGGGAAAAAATGGGAGAGGAGGAGGAGGAGGCAGAGCTGGAGCAGCTGGCTGACACGTTATCAGTAGAAAGAATTCCAGACCCCCCTTCTCCCAGAACCTGGCGGGCATTGAAAGTAGGAGAGCAAAGAACTCGGAGACAAATTACTCTAAGCGGCCCCTGTAAGGTGAGTGGTGCTGTTGATGATTGAGGAAGTGGAGAGAAAGGTGTGTGTGTGTGGAGATTTACTCGGAGCAACACCATTACTCCAAGAGGCTGCATTTCTAAGCCCCTCTCTGTGAATATTGAATAAAAGACATTGGTAAGAACTTCCCTTGTCTCATCTATTCCTGGCATCTACCATGGGTGAATCGGATTCCCTGATGCTTGACACTGGCCAGAGGAACAGTGGAATCTCCTTTCTTGTATATTGAAGCCATTGGTTAGTGTCCTACCCTCCAGAGCAGGAGAAAACAAGCTTGCTCCATCTTGCATGTGACAGCCCTTAAGATATTTGAAGATGGCTATCATGTCTCCTCTTTACCAGGCTAAATATACACAGCTCCTTCACCCATTCCTCATAGGGCTTGGCTTCCAGGCTCTTGACCATATTGGTTGCCCTCCTCTGCACACATCCCAGCATGTCAACATCCTTCTTAAATTGTGGGCTTCCCACAGGCATCTGGTCACCCACTGTGAGAACAGGGTGCTGGATTAGTTGGGCCACTGGCCTGATCCAGGAGGGCTTTTCCTATCTCATCAGTCATTTTAGAGGTGTCTGACATTTCCTGCATACTTTTATCCAAAAACCCAGTTTCTCAGGACCCTTATTTTGTAGCTTGTGAATATAATGCTTAACTCAGCCCTAACAGTTGAATAATTGTTACAAACAAAAATAGTTTGAAGGCAAATCGTACCATGTTACCATGACTCTGAGCTCACTACCTGAATAAGGCACAGATATAAACAAAGATAACAAAGAAGCCCACAGTATGAAAACATCCAAGGACACTTATGCCATCTCATCCTCTGTCTCGCTTCCTCCTTTCTTCACATACCACCCACATTACTAATACTGTTTCTTTATTGAACAGCCTGGGAAATGAATACGCAACACACCCACTCTTTTGGAAAGGTTACCACTCTTCTTTGGCCTGTTGTTGCTGGGATTATGTAAGGCATGTAGGTGGCATATACACTTCTGGATATTTTATCAAAGTTGCTGGTGGGGACAGCATTGCTACCATGGAATAAAGTAGCTCTCCTACACATTTGCTTAATCTGCCTGCCATATTTATGCCACACTAATTAAATAATGGGAGAAGCTTCAGAGAAGGCTTTTGTATGAAGGAGACATCTGTGAATCAATGCCTTAATATGCTGCAGATTCCCAATTTTTAAAAGTGATGGGGAAAACTGATTGCTCAGATTGAAAATGCCAGTCATCCTCTCTCTGAGCATTTTGGCAGTACCAGTAGTTCTGCATTGCCACCCAGGCTTAGTCCTTGGTAGAGCCGTCCTTAAAAACCAGAAAGTGTTCAACATGACAGAACAGCAAACTTTTTCAGCAGGAGGGCGGTCCACTGTCCCTCAGACCTTGTGGGGGGCTGGACTATATATATATTAAAAAATGAACGAATTCCTATGCCCCACAAGTAACCCAGAGATGCATTTTAAATAAAAGCACACATTCTACTCATGTAAAAACACGCTGATTCCCGGACCGTCCGCAGGGCGGATTTAGAAGGCGATTGGGCCGGATCTGGCCCCCAGGCCTTAGTTTGCCTACCCATGAGCTAGAGGCATCATGCCACACAAACAGTTGCCAGTGTTGCCATCACATATTTGTGTGCTTACATGAAACAGGACTATAGTGACATTGGTCCTTTAGTGATACCCATTTAGAAAATATACTGTACATGCACAGAATAAGTTATAAAGCTTCTTTTTAATTGCAGAAGTGAATGCGATGCCGATATTAAGATGTTTTAGCTGCCTATAGTAAACCCTTCCTATAGGCAGAAATACCGGTAATATTCTATCTATTCAGATTTCCTACCCTCAACAATGGGTTCAAATCGTGGCTGACAAATAGCAGTGTGCATATTTAAAGTAACAAAAAAGTTAAGAAGTTGGAAGGCGTTTTCATTAGCATTTCATCTTGGATGGACAGACATTTTAAGTGTTTTATTTATATTAGCCTCACTTTATCCTTTTGGACTGTGTGCACTGTAATACTGCTACTAAATAATGCTGAAGACTAAAATATTAGATACCACAGCACTGGGCAGCTAATTTTAATCAATGATAGGAGAAAATGCTGCACCATGTTACAAAACACCCCACTCTCTGTGATTGCTTGTCCTTTTAGTTTTTTAAGTGAAAGATAAAACTATACATGTGTCAATACTTTTAAGATTACCATCTGTTTTGAAAGGCTTGTATTTTAAACCCACCTAAGAGCATATGCTCAAGTTTTAATGCCAAAAATGTTTTTACAGCAGTATTCAATCAGAGAAGCCATGGTCTGGAACAGTAAACAAGGAACAATTATTTCTTTTATCTGCAGGAATATGAAATACTGAATTTAGGAGCGAGAGAGCAAATGCGTTGTTGTCTCTACTTACGGTAAGTAGCCAGAGAGTTTAAAGGAAATTTGATCTACAATACTGCTTTATGTTCTCAGTTATTCAAGCAGTGAGAAGTTCGGAGAAACTTTTTATACCGCAATTTTTAACTCACATTAGGCTTGGACCAAAGACATTTCCACCACTACACTAGCGGAACAGGCACCGTATCCAGTGCATGCTCATTCAAGGAGAGGAGGAGAAAAGCAAAGTAGAGAGCCAGAAACTACAGTGTAAAAATGGTAGACATGCCCCCAGCGTCCATAAAAACTGCCAGTGCACACCCATCACAAAACTGCTGGACCACAGATAGGCTGTTCATACATGTTGTTGTTGTTGTTTAGTCTTTTAGTCCGACTCTTTGTGACCCCATGGACCAGAGCACGCCAGGCACTTCTGTCTTCCACTGCCTCCCGCAGTTTAGTCAAACTCATGCTGGTAGCTTCGAGAACACTATCCAACCATCTCGTCCTCTGTCGTCCCCTTCTCCTTGTGCCCTCCATCTTTCCCAGCATCAGGGTCTTTTCCAGGGAGTCTTCTCTTCTCATGAGGTGGCCATAGCATTGGAGTCTCAGCTTCAGGATCTGTCCTTCCAGTGAGCACTCAGGGCTGATTTCCTTAAGAATGGATAGGTTGGATCTTCTTGCAGTCCATGGAACTCTAAAGTCTCCTCTAGCACCGTAATTCAAAAGCATCAAATACATGTATGCGGTCAAATGAACTTGTAGCAATGGAGACATCCCCTAGCACCTACCCCTGCATCACCATGCAAGGCAATGCCACAGAACCCCATTCCATCCCAGCCAGCATAATCCAATGTCAAGTCCCCAAATGCACTAACAGGCAGGAGTTCAAATTCCCTTATGTTCCTTACAGCCCGTTTTAGAGCACAGCACACAAAGGGGAGGAATGAGAGTCTACACCACACAGCAGTTTGAAAAGGAAAGACATGCATGCAGGGGCTGCCAGCTCACTGAGGTTCCTATGCCTTGCACTTTGTAAATAGCAGGGTAGCACGTGTAGTGAACACTGTGGCACCAATTCCATGTTAGGAACACCTTTACCTGTTGCATAGCTGTCTCTCTCTTGGAGCTTGCTAAGGAACAGGGAACTGCTTGGAAGAAGGTTAACAACTCCACAGGGGGGAAACCAGGAGCATGGACAAGGATGAGTGATGAATCCTGTATTTGTGGGACTGCAGCTTGGGGAAAGCAAAGCAGCAAGAATAAATAGTTAGCTAGAGCACATAGTTGTTACCATGTGTTATCATCTACACATGTATAATAAAGGTGCACCCAAATGACACATTTGGATATTTAGCCAAGGGTCATGGTGTGGCACGGCAAATGTAAGGTTTTCCAACAGAAGGAATTGGGAACAAGAGAAACTTTAGAGGATTCAAATATGTGGTTTATTACACAAATAGGTTGATTAACTACAGTACCTGGGTTGAAGAAACACTGCAAATGGCTTTCTACAGGAAGGAATTGTGCCCTCCTTAGGTATGCTTTTCTAATTTATCTTGATATGCCTATAAATCACCATTGGCAGCCAGCGTAGAGTGAATCACATCCCCTGTGATTACACCCCCCTCCATTTTCATTGAATATGCACTTAGCTGCTTAGTGACCTCTTCCTAGATCTGAGATGGGATCTATCCCTCAAAAGCGCATGCCACAAATATTTTGTCGATGTACAATGTTATTAAATGTTTTCTCAAACCATAAATCTATTACTCCTTCATCTAGGCTACACTTATCTATTATGTGGGGTTGGTGTGTCATGCTACTTAGTGGTGGTGGGGCAATGTGTGATACATAATAATAATAATAATAATAATAATAATAATAATAATAATATAATTTATTATTTATACCCCACCCATCTGACTGGGTTTCCCCAGCCACTCTGGGCAGCTCCCAGCAAAATATTAAAATACAATGAATTTCTTGCATGTTGTTTTCAGAAGCTGTAGGATTTCAGATAAACATACATTTACTGTTTATGTCTTGCACTTGTGGCCTGGAGCTGTAGCCATTCCTGTCGGATGTGGATGTAGCTGTTTTAACTATAGCAGCAAACTCTTGTTTTGCTGATTATGTTGGTATTGTTAAAACACTGCACCTATGTGGAGAGTCACTTCGCACAAATGGAACACTTCTAAGAACAACAGTTCTACACAGAGCAAGAAAACAGTAAAAACAACAATAACCCCTTTTAGTAAAATGTACAAGTTAGAGAATAGTCAAAAATTAATACACCTAATACAGTGGTACCTCGGGTTACATATGCTTCAGGTTACATATGCTTCAGGTTACAGTCTCCGCTAACCCAGAAATATTACTTCAGGTTAAGAACTTTGCTTCAGGATGAGAACAGAAATTGTGCTCCGGCAGTGCGGCAGCAGCAGGAGGCTCCATTAGCTAAAGTGGTGCTTCAGGTTAAGAACAGTTTCAGGTTAAGAACGGACCTCCAGAACAAATTAAGTGCTTAATCCGAGGTACCACTGTACATCAGAACACAAATGAAGTTTTCCAAAACGCTTAAAAAAAATATTCACTTGTTCTATATACCTCACTTTGAGGCAATGGGAAATTATTCATCTTCAGAATGTTGCCCTTTCTTTTCTCACAAGTAGCCCCACTGGCATCAGTTAAATACTTTAAAAGTAGCTTTGAGTCAGCTTCTTGTTGTAGAACAGGAAAAATAAAATCATTTCCCTCAGTTCTCTGTGCAGCTAAGTGCAGTGAATAGCATGGCACAATGAGTGACAATATAATTACCAGTCACTAAGAGAAGTATAATACAGATATAATTTAATCCCCCTCATTCATGCTTCCCTGGGAACAAAGTGTTCTAAACAGCTTAAAAATTAAATATTGTTTAATAGTAGAACTAGCAAGAAAGCTGAAACCAGCTGGTCTGCATTACAGTTCCAAAAGTAGACTGGTGATTCAACTAAAATATGCCAGCCTTCAGCAAAATTTTGGAGAGTTTAATTAGCAGACTGCTTTTCCCTGTGCACAGTGGTGGCCGTTTAATGGGCAACAGTAGCCCCCTTTTTTTCCAGATGTTGCCATTGCCATACCTTCATGCACACATATAACAGGCTCTCTCTTTTATCCACCTTCACTTGTGTCTATATATAAAGTCAAATAACTGATCACCCCTACCTTGAATAACCCTAATAATAAAAGTTCAATGGCTAGGAAAAGCTGGAACAGCAGCAGTAGTGAGTGTAGTAAAGAGCTAAATTAGGTCCCTATAAAATATATTCCTGTTCCTAAAAGCAGCCCACCATTCTTGAACAATGTACAGGAGGTGAAACAATTCATTGTGCCATAACGCCAACTTTAGAACTAGTGTGAAATTGGCCAGTTCATGCTCTTTGTGTCGTGTAGCTGGAGTCTTAGAGGAAATGGTAATAGGGATTGTGCATGCATTCCTTACATTGCTATGGCATGTACTTTAGAAAGCTACTAGTTACTAGTTTTGAAATAGCTTCAGGCCTATAGGCATTATTATTCAATGTGATGTATACAGAACAATGAGAGAGGCCAGGCTCATCCATGAGATGATCAAACCCGCTGTGTAGCTTACCAGGTACAGAGGCAGATTTGGGGGCTGCCACAACTAAATCAGAATGGAGCACCATAGGCAGAGGGGCACTGGATTTTAGTGTTGCACAGGGTGCCAGTGAAATTTGAGACCCCAAGATCCATCACTGCAAGGAAAAGAGTGACAGTGGAGCAGCAGTGAATCAATGGCTTCTACAACTTCTTAGTTGGCAGAGATGAACACCAAAGGCAAAACTTTGTTTTTACTCTCAGGCAAAATGCATTTATTTACTTTATTTATTCAATACATTTCTATGTCACCCTTTGTCACAAATAATCTTAATGCAGTTACACATCTGACATTCTTAATACTACAAAACAGTAACACACAGTGACATATTAAGATCAGTACTGAAATCCAATTTAGGCATTTTTACCCCAGGACTTAAATTACATTGATGAACATAAGTTCATAAGTCATTTTTGAACCCCAGAAAAATAAAAAGGGTTTAACTCCATTTAGTATAATAATTTATTTTTAAAGCCATAGATGATTTTTATTTTTAAAAAATCAGGTGCTTCTGTGACAGATGGCCCAGGTAAATCAGAGTTTGATGGAACAATACAGGCAAAATTCTCAGTATGCTAAGCAAGAGCTTCACCTTGATTGGTTGTGAGTACAGCTAGCCAGAAATGGGTGGAGACAGCACTTTGAAAGGGAAAAGGAAAAGGAGGAGGTTTTTTGGGGGGGAGGGGTTCTTGGCATTTGGGAGACTATCCAAGCCACCACTGCTTCAGGTATTTTGGATCCCCAGTACTGGCAGTAAAATCTGCCTCAATTAGGGTGGAAAGGTGGATGGTCTGCCTCACCACCTTTGGACTCTGAAGTAAATTGGGATGTTATAGCTGAGTGTAACAAAACACATTTTGTACAACTTGGGATTATATATATATATATCTATACACACACACACACACACACACACTTTTACATGTTGATATAAGCTCAGCAGCAAACTGAACAAAGCCTTGCTCTAAAATTACAAAAAGAGCACTAAATGGAAGATGGTACCAGGGTGGAGAAGTAAAAATGTGTTATGGAAAATAATTTGACAACAGTGTTCTGTTTGAGCAGCTGAAGGGGGGGAAAGACTATGTATCAGATAGTATTATCCAGAGAATGTTTAAGACAATTTCACTAATTGTCATTTCCCCCCTATTCTGTAGGATTCTGTGGTGAGATTGACCAACACAATTGATGATAAATTACTCACTTTAAAAATTTCTTAATGGAGATTATAGTAACTTCTTAGCACTGGTAATTACTCCAGGCAGTGATTCATAAGCAAAGTGACTGCTGCCTAGCAACTTAATTTTTTCTTGGTTTTCATAAAAAAAAACTATCAACAGCAGAAAAAAAAACCCTCCACTTCAATTTTAAGCATGAAATTGATGAGACCTAAAGTTTGAACTGTTGCCAGAAAATTGAAATTTAATGTGAGTTAATGGCTGGAAACTAAAACTTATGCATTGACCAGTAGCTGGTTGGGGGCTGATGGGAGTTGTAGTTCAAGAGAGTATTCATACAAGATGAAATTCAAAATGCACATTTTTATTTATGAAACAATAACAAAAACAAACCCATGATTTATTCTGCCAGCCGTGAACATGGAATGCATTTTTCAGTGGACTTATGGAAGTCTCACATACACAAGAGACAACTTTTTCATTGTAGTTTCTACACTGTATTGTGCTTGTTGTGAGGAAGCCTCTCCACCAGCAGAACTTGCATTAGCCTGAAGAGAGTGAGCCAGAGATGAATACTACACGAAAGAGACATTTATTTCAGTGGAGCTTACTCCCATGTAATTTTGGTCTCTGGGAGGGCAAAGGAGAGCCTGGTGCTCCCTCTGTTAGATTCTCAGCATCTGCAGTTGTCAGGGGGAAGCAACATGGAGAGCACATGAGGGAGGGGAGCGTTTATTCTGCCAAAACGGATTAAATTAAGAAGCTTGTTTTGAGCAAAGAGTTGTCACATCAGGTGAAGTTTAGATGCTCTTTTCATACACTTCAAATTTGTACTGAATGCCATTCTCTTCTTGAATATCAGCAGGGACACCTGGGAAACTATGTAGAGAGAAAGCATTGCTTGTAGTTTGATAAAAAGAATAATTACATATTTGACTAAGCTGGAAGAAACATGAAGAGATTATTTTGTCCTTCACATATTGTTGGTTCTAATATTTCTTTTCAGGTTTTGCATTAGCATAAATTAACTTGGGAAATATTTTGTTATGCCACTAATAGTAAAGCTTCAGATGAAAATGAAAGATTACTGTTCATAAAATACTTACCTAGGTAGAAGCCTGTATTTTTCTAAATCAATTTCTGGAAAGAATGTATCACTTTCAAAGTAATGCAGGATTCTTGTCACAAACAATCGTTGATGAACTGGCTTGTCCATTGCTGCCTTAAAAAGCCAGATAAAATAAATGAATATGTGTTTTCTTAATTAGCCAATACTGGGCAGGAACTTAAAATTTTTACAGGCAATTTTAATAATATATCATCAATCAATTTACAGACAGTAAATTGGTTTTAAACACAGTATAAGGAATCTCTATAGGACTATATTGTATTTTAAAATGGGGTTTCAGACTTTTTAGGGGTTTTTGAATGTCTTATGTAGATTTTTCAATTTCATTGTTCTGTATGGGACAATGACAATAAAGATATTGTATTGTATCATAATAGGGCTGCCATATTCTGAAGAACAACCCCCCCCCCCCCATCCTGCATCTCTGTGCAAGGCCTGCTGGCCGCTGGGAGCAATTCAGGGCTTAGCATGGCCCTGGGAAGGCCATGGAAGGCCGCCTGATGCAGTGCTTCCTGTTCCAGGGCACAGAGTCTTCTGAGCATGTGTGTGCCAAACAAATAATAATAATAATAATAAATTAAACCCCCAAACCCAGACAATCCATGAAAAATGCAGAAATCTGCCTGGATGGGTGCTCTGGCCCCCCTCAAAAGGACATGTCCAGGAAATCCCAGACATATGGCAACCCTAGACAGTAAGACATTTACTGAAAACTGTAAACATCTTTAGAAATATTGCAGTTTTGGGAAACCAAAAGGAGCAGACAGATTCTCAAAGGACATCACATGGTCACGACGAGTTACTATTGTTTAATTTGCATCCCCATTCTCCACAAAAAACTGCACCCAAAGTGGTTTGCAGCACAGCAAAAACAGAAACTACAAAAATAATAAATGGAGCCACACAGCAGTGACACTGACATATTAAACAATTTTAACAAATACAAAGGTGGTTTACCCTTACTGGATTCACTGTGCAGCGGGCAGGAGTCAGATATAGTCGGGTCTATTCAATGCCTAAGCCAATACTGCTCAAATTCTGTAACCAATAAAGTTGTGGCCAAAATTTGCCCAATAACATTAACCAAATATCCTGTCCTGGTGTTTTTCATTCATCTTCAAGGGGGTGGTTACAGGGTCTCGACATACAATAAAGTCAAAAGCTCAAAACAGTTGCAGAGTGCAAAGATGCAAAGAGTAAATTACGTTAGCAAAGTCCTAAAAATGGCAGCAATAGTATATAATACATAAATATCACAGTGTAGCTATACAAAAAATCAATTCTGTTAAACATGGGAGCAGCAGAATATTTCCTCAGATCCTCGACCCATTCATATAGTTAATGCCAAGAGTTTCCCAACACTTAACATACAGTGCCCTGTAGCCTGCCTCTTACAAGGGTGGTCTCCCCCCCCCCCCGCTCACACAGGGCATTCTTTTCAATGGTCTCCTCCTCTCATTGATGACTGTGGTAATTATGGTCATGTTTCTGTGTCCTCTGCTGGATTTTTTTAAAAAAAGAACTGAACCCACTTGTGGTTTTCCTTTACATCATGTTAACATAGAAATTAGGTCTGAAAACAAAACTCAGAACATTATCCACTTGAAAGGACACTACAAGAATCCCTGTGAATACAATAACTGCAGGGCAGGAAGATTATCACAACCACTCTTGTTGTTTATTTCCAGACCACAGATATAAAGCAGATATGAAGTAGGAGACAATTTTCACAACTTGCAAACAAATCCAAAACCATTCCTCATGAACACATCTATAGAAACGTATGTCACACAAATATAATTTGACCCAAGAAGATAAAAAGATTTATGTGGGCATCAAAATTTTTTTGAGGCCAAGCTTTTTCAATTAAAAAAAAAAATACAATACCGTATTTTTTGCCCTATATGACACACTTTTCCCCCTCCAAAAATGAAGGGGAAATCTGTGTGCGTCCTATGTGGTGAATGCAGGCTTTCGCTGAAGCTTGGAGAGCGAGAGGGGTCGGTGCGCACCGACCCCACACGCTCTCCAGGCTTCAGGAAGCTAACAGCAAGCCTGGGGAGCCCGCGGGAGTTCCCGCAGGGCTCCCTAGGCTGCGGATAGCAGCCTGCTGCACAGAGTGCGGGGCGCACTGAAGCAGAGCGCCCCGCGCTTCAGGCAGACATCCGCAGGGTTCCCGCAGGGCTCCCTAGGCTGCGGATAGCAGCCTGCTGCACGGAGCATGGGGCGCGCTGAAGCAGAGCGCCCCGCGCTTCGGGCAGACACCCGCAGCCTAGGGAGCCCTGTGGGAGTTCCTGCAGGGCTCCCTAGGCTGCGGATAGCAGCCTGCTGCACGGAGCGCGGGGAGCGCTGAAGCAGAGCGCCCCGCGCTTCGGGCAGACATCGGGCAGCCCCACAAGCTCGGGGGACAGCAGGGAGGTGGAGCGCCGCCATCCTGCTGTTCCCCGACCTGGTTTGGATTCCCCAACCTGGTTTTGGGGGGGGGGAATAAAGGGGAAAAAAATTTCCTTTATTTCCCCCCCAAAAAACTAGGTGCGTCCTATGGGCCGGTGCGTCCTATGGGCCGAAAAATACGGTATATTGGCTGCATTTGGACTTCATGCTGAACTATAGTTTAGCAAGACATGAATGAACATAGCCTTTTCCTGGGCTCCTGCACTCCACCTACTTTCCACCTGAACACTCAGGAAGAGAAGTTTGATATATTCTCCTTCTGCTTTGATTATCCATAGCTTGTTGTGCCATCTAAATTAAGTTAATCTTAATTGTGGCTAGTTTCAAATAAGCCATGTTTAAAACATGGTTTCTGAAGTTGGCTTATTAAACCTAACCATACTTAAGATTAACCACAATTCCACATAAGACAATAAACAGTGGTCAACCTAAAGTTGATGCAAAAGCTTCTAAATTCCTCCTCTCAGACATCTGAGAGGAGAAGGGAGGACTGAGAGTGTGGGAGGAGGTTAGGTTATGCCAAACCATAGTTTAGAGTGACATCTGAACACAGCCATGCACAACTGTATTAATTTAGCCTGGAATGTGGCAGCCATTTGATTTATTTTTTTTAAAGGACACATAAGGAGAAGCAATCAGTTTTGAAATATTGTGCGTTCTGATAAGTGTAGCCTCTTTCTTTAATTTACAGATGCAGGAAACCGCCCCCAGGCCTGCTTATGAAAAGTACACAACCAGCTACAGCTATATGGTTACCAACATAAAGATTTCAAATTCTCTTTACACTTTTCTTCCACAGAACACTTAATCTTCTAAAGATGATTCACTTAACATTGAGTTGGTAACTGTTGCTTTGACAAACGTCTGTTCATGCAGATCTAATCCAACAATTTAAGTCAGCAGTTGCTGAGGCCACAAATTTATAAAGCAACTGGTTCAGTTTGAATACTTTCAGGTAAAAAGGAGAACACATCAGCGAGATAGAATTCTTTTGGCATTTAATGACCAAGAAAAGCCAATTTTTTATTTCATTTCTTTATAAGGAGTGCACAGGAATAAAATTATACTATCCACTGATTGTAATCCTCTCTGTCTCCATTGCCTGCTACCAACTTTTGCAATGTATCCACCACTAAGACCAAATCAATGCAAAGGCATGATCAAAACCAGAAACAGATTTTAAAGTACTTGGGGCTACATCACTGATGGGGAATCTTTCGGCCAGGGGCCTCCAGGCTTCTCCAGCTGGCCTTCAAAACTCTCACCAGGACACACCCTTCACTGGCCCTGTTTCACAGCCCATGTGTTTTTGCCAGGCTACAATGTGCCCTTGAATTCTGATAATGCTTTTTGGTTGTCTGGGTGGAAGGTGCAAAGGTTATGAGTGAGTTTTTCAAATTTACAAAAGTAAATTTCACATTAGTTTACTTTGTTCACTTTTATGTCTTCCCCTACCCACCTTGGGCATATGTACTGGTACTTCTATTTCCGTGTAAATTCTGCAACAAAAAGTCCACCATTTTGGGAAAGGAGAAATTTCTTGCAAATTAAGCAATGAAGTTGCTGCCACATGTGGAAAGTAACTTCCAAACTGCATTGTATCCTGCTAAAAAAAAAAGTTTCATATGGAATCTAATACTAGTGTTTGCTTTAGAATCCTCTGTGTACATACTGCAGAGTTTTCAGAGAGGATTCATTCTGCTGATTATATAAAACAAATTTCAAGGAAAAGGAAATACTAAGAAACCACTAAGGATTAGCTCTTGAATTAATCCTTCCATTCTTGCAGTGCCAAATCTTCCCTTGCTAAGCACTTGCAGCTTAACAAAATGAGGGGAGAAAGAGAAAATCCCACAGTGAATCCCACATACATACATCTACTGACACAGGACAGTGGGCAATGTTCAGCTACTAATCTCACACAATTCTTATACACAAAAGGAAGGAAAAAGATTCCACTGCATCTTATAAATGTTGTTGGTTTTTTAAAGTCACATTGTCAGTTGGCATCAACTCTAATATAGTTAAGACGTTGCTACATTTCTTTCAACCAAGTCCCCACCCCCACACCTCTTATTCAGAGCAGAAGTTCAAATCCTCCCACTTCAATCTTAGCAAGCACTTCTAAAAAGGCACTTAAAATACAGAAGACTGGGATTTAAGTGACTTATGACTCCATCAATGAGTCATGCTCTAACCTTTCTTCCACCCGTCCCCCATTTTATAATTTTCCAAGGAGATGTCAAATCAGCATGTTTCTTTTATATGAATATGAGTTTATTGCTAATTTTGGATAAATAATTTCACATTTGTTTTCTGTATTAGAATTGTGTATTATTTTAAAGGCCTGAACATCTCCTGCATGGCACTGCTTCCAGAAAGTGTCAGATCATGTACTACAGTCCTGATGTGGCTGCACTGCCACCATTTGTGATGTTTCCATGATACTAGAACCATTCTGCCCTCAGTGTTGATGCAGCAGCCTCCATCATCAGCACTACTGAACTGGCAATTGCCTGCAAGCATAGTGTAGATTAGCACACTCAATTAAGCAGAGCAGTACTGTATAAAGGTAAAGGACCCTTGGACGGTTAAGCCCAGTCAAAGGCAACTATGAGGTTGCGGCGCTCATCTCGCTTTTCAGGCTGAGGGAGCCGGCTTTTGTCCAGAGACAGCTTTCTGAGTCATGTGGCCAGCATAACTAAACCACTTTTGGCGCAATGGAACACCATGACGGAAACAAGAGTGCATGGAAACGCCATTTACTGCAGCAGTACCTATTTATCTACTTGCACTGGCATGCTTTTGAATTGCTAGGTTGGCAGGAGCTGAGACCCAAAAGAGCCTGCTATGCCTACTAATTTCATTCAGTTTTGTCAAAAACAAAAGCTATAACCGTTTGTTGTTTTCTCCACTATAAGCACTAGGGAGGCACACAACTTTGTTTTCCCCAAACTGAGATTTGGATTCAGATCAGAGGTGAACTGGGCAGGCTCTGAAGCAGTCTGAACCAAATCTGTATGTTTCCAAAGCACCAAACTGGAGTCTAAGCCAAATCTTGTGGTTACTACACACCTCTACCAATGGCCCTCAAAGCAACTAGTCTCTAAAATAAAAGTTAAACAAAAATGCAAACTAACAATTCAATAAATGATTATCATAACTTCAATTCAAAACATGCTTACTATAGTAAAATAAACCCCAATGAACACAGTCAGACTTACTTTTGAGTAAGCATGCACATGTTTGTACTGTATCGAAATTTTCATATAGCTGAAGAGACCCTAGAACAGCCTTTTTTTTCAACAATTGGCTTAAAAAACAGGTAATGATGGAGCATGGTGGACCTCTTTAGAAAAGGCATCCCAAAGTTGAGGTGCTATGAGCTTCTCATATACCCACCAGCTGAGCTTCTGTTGGTAGGGGAGACATAGTGCATAGCTTTTTGTTAACGTGAACGCAGAAGTGGAGTGCATGCAATAAAACAACCTTTTAAAGACAGACTCAGGGTGGTACTCAACTACATTTTACTCAGAGTAGACCTATTGAAATAAGTGGACCTACCTTAGTCATGTTAATTAATTTCAAAGGTCTTCATCACACAAACCCTCTCAAGTAAATAGGAATGTTCCAGTCTCAGAGTGACTGGCAAACAAGAAGTGAAAGGTGCGCTTCCTCCTGCTTTCTTCCCTCTTGCTTGCCTAGTTCCAAGGGTTTGTCTACTTCCCCAATGTAGATTCACTTACTGTCCTAGCACAATGCGTGTGTGTGCATGCACCAGGATCACAACATCTTAAACAAACTTTTTAATGAATCCTTTTAGGGGAAAAAGGGCTTATTAAACTATTGCAATAACACTCAAGAGTGAGATATGGGCTGTTAGGGTCAATGACATACCAGACTTCTTTCCTGTATTTTTCACACACACACACGTATTGGTAATTTTTTAGCCTACAGAAAAAAGAAAAAAACATCCAAGTATTGGTCTACCAAATTACCGTATTTTTCGCCCTATAGGACGCACCGTCCCATAAGGCGCACCTGGTTTTTTTTTGGGGGGGGGGGAATTATTTTCCCCCCAGGCGCGGGGCTGGGGCTCCAGCCCCCAGAACAGGCAACTCTCCGCAAACCGTGGGAGCCCGGTGTCAGGCTCCCGCGCCTTGCGGAGAGCTGCATGAAGCCTGGGCGTGCTGAGCTCAGCGCGCCCAGCCTTCGGCATGCAGGCAACTCTCCACAAGGCGCGGGAATTTGCGTGAGGCCTGGATAGCGAGAGGGGTCGGTGCGCACCTACCCCTCTCGCTCTCCAGGCTTCAGCGAAAGCCTGCATTCGCCCCACAGGATGCACACACATTTCCCCTTCATTTTTGGAGGGGAAAAAGTGCGCCCTATGGGGCGAAAAATACAGTACCCAGTAATAATATATAAAGCTACTTCCCCCAGAGTTCCGGTACATGGTATTACTGATAAGTACTTGGCATTTATTTTATTAAAATCAAACTTTTATTATTAAAATGATTTCATAAATGAAATCATACAAAACATATTGGACTACCTATATTTAGATCTTTGCTGTTTTGTACAACATACTATGTCGTACTCTCACTCCCCCGACATTCTGGCTCTGGGCATCTATTCAATATGAAGCTTACAGAGTAGCATTTTTAGCAAATCAGTGAGTATGCTGACTGCTTTTGTTGGGAAGTACTCTATTAAAGAGACAGTTTATCTTTTAAACAGATATTTGCTACAGTAATAAAGGGCAAATAAATGGTTCTTAATTAATGCAAGGAAAGTAATTGGAAAAAGCTGGAAGCCATGCTAAATACAACAGAATAAAATATGTTCTTTTAAACACTCTGACATTAAATATGGAGCAAAGTATTTTATGAGAGTGTACAGCAAAGGGCTTTCATTTTCCATTGTTCAGTGACTGATAAGCTTAACATCCCCTCCTGTCCTTTTGCCAAATGAGTAATTCTTTACACAATGCTTTAATCAAAAACCATTCAGGTGACACTGTCCATTCGTGTATAAAACAGCCTCGACTAGCACATTGTTTGCCACTGAAAACTGTTTATGAATCATGGCTCAGAAAATATATTTAAATCTACCAAACAACTGGCACATTTAACTCAGTGCCATTTGCTCGTCTGTATAAAATCTGTAGTGGCTATATAAAATTTATCAGTGAGGTGGATTACAGTTGTTACCAGAACAAACAGAAAATGAGCCCTGCTAGTGCCGCACCCTGTTTTCACAGTAGCCAACCAGATGCCTTTGGGAAGCCTGCAAGCACATGAGGGTGAGAGCACATTCCCAACTCAGCTACAACAGGTAGCACACAGGTATCATATTTCAATCATGGTCTGTAACTCTGATCTTGCAAGTTTGCACTACTAGTATTGACTCTACCATGTTCTTAGCCCATATACCAGTAGACTGTTGTATATGAAACTTCATGCTACACTATACCAGTTCCTCTCTAAGGGGCAAACTATGTGTGATCCTCAATGTATCACAAAGAATTACAGTATCACTAAGAATTATCTTCGGGTAACATAATCTTCGGGTTGCGAACGCGGCAAACCCGGAAGTGGGTTTGCCGCTCACGCATGCGCAGAAGCAGTCCTCCGGTTACAAAATTTTTGGGATACGGCCGGGCCTCCAGAACGGATCCCGTTCATAACCAGAGATACCACTGTACATCAATATGTTTCAACAAACAACACAGTTCCCAGTTTTATTAGGACCACAGTATCCAAGGAGGGGAGGTTTATTTCCCTGCACAGTCCTGACAAAAATAGCAACTCCAAAGCATTGCTATTAGCTTCAGAAAAAGGCTCCCATCAACAGTAATGAGAACAACCTTCCCCCTGCTCAGATTAATATTGAGTGTGTATTTCAGAAGGATTGCTGAAAAATAGAAAGAGTTAAACCTCTTTTCATGTTGCAGTGCAATGAAAATCGAACTCCCATGCCTGCTGTTGTTGTTTTTTAATGCACTTTGAGGGGCCTTCTAATGACATACTTAGCATCACATGAATAGTTTGGCCCTATGTGGTCTGTTTGAAGGAACAGTACAAGCAGCAGGAAAGAGGAAAGACTAGGACAAATCATATTCAGCATTGAGGATCCAGCATTTGTTTTCCCCCCTGTAGGTATGAAATAGAAGCACTTATTAAAATCTTTAGCTAGTGCTCTTCTTTGATACTGCCACCTTGTTGAGTAAAATAGAAGAATCAAGACATGCAGAATGAATAGCACTTTGTATTATCCGCATTATCACACCTCCTGTGATGTAGCTGTAATGCCAAGTTTTGTTCCAAAGAGTTCATTATGCCCCAGGCAACACTCTTGGAACCCATAAGGTAAAGGTAAAGGGACCCCTGACCATTAGGTCCAGTCATGTCTGACTCTGGGGTTGCGGCGCTCATCTCGCTTTATTGGCCGAGGGAGCCGGCGTACAGCTTCCGGGTCATGTGGCCAGCATGACTATGCCGCTTCTGGCAAACCAGAGCAGTGCACGGAAACACCTTACCTTCTTGGTGGTTCAAATCCCCGTAATGGGGTGAGCTCCTGTTGCTCGGTCCCTGCTCCTGCCAACCTAGCAGTTCAAAAGCACGTCAAAGTGCAAGTAGATTAATAGGTACCGCTCCAGCAGGAAGGTAAACGGCGTTTCAGTGCGCTGCTCTGGTTCACCAGAAACGGCTTAGTCATGCTGGCCACATGACCCGGAAGCTATACGCTTGCTCCCTCGGCCAAGCAAAGCGAGATAAGTGCCGCAACCCCAGAGTCATCTGCGACTGGACGTACCGGTGAGGGGTCCCTTTACCCTTTCCTTTTCTGTACCCCACTGACCCCAACACTGGCTTTGCCTAATGCTGTGGTGCAAAAGCTGTTACATTAAAACATGTAACACAGTACAGTAATGTCAAAAACAAAGCTTTCAAAAGCAGCTAATGGATTACATAAAATAAAATGATTCATTTCAATTACCAGCAGATATTCAGTACCCATAGATAATTTTCTACCCACACACCTGTTCATAAAATAATAGTAGTCTTTTAGAAACTCTTATCATTCAGCATACTACATCTCTGATAAATGCACTAAAACACTTTGAATTTTTATTGGTGTTCATGTTAATTTAGTCCATCTCATTAAAACCATAATGTCAGCTCAAAAATAAAGCTTTCTCTAGAACCACTTTACTTTTTCCTTGCAGGCTATCAGGAAGTGGCTTTATTACTACTAGAACTTGAAGTTATAGACAGAATTTACATAAAAATGTTACATTGAGTAGCAGAGTAGCATACTCTCTTGGGCAAGACAGCCTGTGGCTATGAAGTCAACCCACCAAACGAACAACAGGACGCAGGGAACAATAATAAAAAACAAACAATGCCTGAGAGTTGCAACACTGAATAGCACTGCTCTCTTTTAAGTAACAGGAAGTGAAGCAGAAGGCATAACACTTAACTAGGTTAGATATGAAGAATATAAATTATTAACTGAAGTATACATTTTTGGAACACTACAAAAGCAGCTTTGTGAAGCATGCATTTTCACTGTTCAGTTCTCAATTGGCGTTTTCTTCTAAATGGAAGATAAACATTATACTCCAGTAGGAGGCAGGTTATTTTAAAATGTATTTCAGGTTCTCAGAATTCTTCAAGTCAGTTCACAACATCCATTGAAAATGAATGTTATACAATAAACAAACTAAAATGCATAATAATAAAACACTAAATGTCCATATTAGGAGGTTACAGAGGCCAAAAGCACAAAAAAAGCTTCACTATAGCAACCAGGATAACATATGTATATATTATATATAAAAAAATAACAGTAGAAACTGGGAAGGTAAAAAATGTGGTGAAAATGTGCACCCTTCTTTTTAACAATTCACAAAGGATTGTACTTGTTTAGCCTGTGTCAGGGAACTGCCATCGGACGGAAGGGAGGTGAAAGGGCTCACACAGGTTGGGAGAGACGCAGCAGCTGAAGAGGAAACCAACAGGGAGGTGAAAGGGCTCACACAGGTTGGGAGAGACGCAGCAGCTGATGAGGGAACCAGCAGGGGAGAGGAGCTGAGCTGGAGGGATGGCTCAGAGACACTTCCAGCGAAAACAGTGGAGAGGTTTCAGGACCTCCTGTAAGAACACCCACTCCTCGCCGGAAACTGTCACGCAGAGATTCCAGAAGACGTGTTTCCGTTAAGGAGCTTTTATGTTGGAAGCGATTACGAAGCAACCACTGTCGGAATCTGCTAGTGACTAGAGTAGCCATGTCTGAGGGCTCTGTCACAGACAGAGGTTTGTGGACTTGAACAAACTCTGAGGGGATACGATTTTACGCACAAGCAGCTCATCATCCCATCACAGCATTCCGACAGTCTTTGAAAGCAGCTTGTGCAGGAGAAGGTATCATGAGCAACCCAGCCGGAACCGGAGAAGCAGGAGCTGGAGCGGGTCCAAGCCTGGAAGAAAGGTACCAGATGTTGGAGGTCCAGCTAGCGATGCAGACGGCGAGGCTTGAGGAGAGGAGGGCTCAGGATGCAGACAAAAAGGGGAAAGCCACCCAGTTCGCCAGAAAGGTACCAGGAGGGGTGCAGAAGTTTGGGGGGGAGCCCAAAAACTATCATGGTTTTCGGACAGAAATGCAATATGCCCTCAATCTGCAGTTTGATGAATTCCCTGACGAGGAATCACGAGTGGCTTTCGTGATTGAGCATCTTGAAAAGGGGCGAGAGACTGGGTTAGACCCCTGATGGCAGCGAATAGTGACGTCTTAAAAGACACGATGAAGTTCTTTCGCGCCATGGATCTGATGTTTTCCAGCGATATTGAAAAGGGAGTGGTGCGCAGACAGTTAATGGGTTGCAAACAGGGGAGCCGATCTGTCCGTGAGTACTGGACTGAGTTCACCATGCTTGTTCACAGATTGGGGTGGGACTTATCGGCGGAACCCATTCAAATGCTCTTTGAAGAAGGGCTTTCTTCGGCTGTGAAAGACGAACTTTCCCGGGCGCCCAGGGCGGAGTCTATGGACCAGCTGACCAAATCAGCGCTGGCCATAGGAGGGCGCCCGGAGGCGAGAGCATTGGAGAGGCGGGAAGGGAAAGGGAACGTTGGAAGGAGTTCCGCATTCCAGACATTCCAGAGCCAACTTTCCCACCGGCAGAGCCGATGGAAATCGGAACAGCGCGCGCGCGCAGTTTCACCGCCCAGTGACGGGGCAAAGAAGGAGGGAAAAGGCGCCCGGAAATGCTATCTCTGCCAACAGCCAGGTCACTTTGCCAGAGTCTGCCCCCAGAGGAAAGAATGGCAAGGGATGGTAGGGGCTGTGGATGGAAGAGAGGAAAATATACCGGAGCAAGTAAAAGCCAACGCCTGGCTGCCACTGTCAGGGCACAGCAGCCAGGCCAAAGAGCAGTGAGAGTGCCCACGCCAGAACCTCCTAAACCCGCCCTAGTGATAGAAGTGACGCTAGAGCTGCCAAACGGACACCCTCTAAAGATAAAGGCGCTGTTGGACTCAGGCAGCTCCTGCAATTTCATGAGCAAAGAGTTTGCAGCTGAACACCAGATACAGACAATCCCTTTAAGCAGCCCCCTGCAGGTGACCACGATCGATGGCAGGGAGCTGTTGGGTGGAGAAGTCAGCTTGCAGACCGTCCCAATGATAATGAAGGTAGCAAGGCACACCGAACTGATAGCTTTTAATGTGGCCACCTTGGGAGGAGCTCCCATTATATTGGGGATGAGCTGGCTAGCGTTACATGATCCGCTGGTGGGCTGGCATCAGAGAGTGGTTTCTTTTGGTTCAGCACATTGCTTAGAACACTGCAAAGAGGGAAAGGGTTTGGCAGGGGTCCAAGCCACCCTAGCAGGGACTGAAGTAACAGAGAACGTGAAGGTACCACGACAATATGCAGATCTCCGTGACGTCTTCAGCGAAAGGGAAGCTGACCAACTACCCCCGCATAGACCCTTTGACTGTCAAATCAACTTACTCCCTGGAGCACAGCTCCCTGTAGGCAAGCTGTACGCCATGTCAGACAGAGAGATGCAGGAGTTAAGAGAGTTCATTGACAAGAACCTGAAGAGAGGGTTCATCAGAGAGTCCAGGGCGGTGGGTGGCAGCCCAGTGTTTTTTGTGGATAAGAAAAACACGAACAAGCCGAGGCTGGTGTGTGACTTCAGGGCCTTAAATGCAGTGTCAGAACCAGTAGCCTTCCCTATGCCCAGGATTGACGACATTTTGACAAGGGTGCGGAAGGGAAAGATTTTTACAAAGCTGGACCTAAGGGGGGCGTACAACCTGGTACGAATAAGGAAGGGGGATGAATGGAAAACCACTATGTTCACCCCTTTAGGGGCATTTGAATATTTGGTTATGCCCTTCGGCCTACAAGGAGGCTCCGCAACATTTCAATCGTTTATGAACCACGTCCTGGGGCCTTTGCTTTACAAGAATTGTGTGGCCTTTTTAGACGACGTGTTGGTGTATTCTGAGAATGAGGAGCAGCATGTGAGAGACGTCAGAGAAGTGTTGAGCAGGCTGCAAGCCAACCAGCTGTGGGTGAAACTGGAGAAGTGTCAGTTTCATACCAAGGAGGTGGAATTCCTGGGGTATCGCCTGTCAGACAAGGGATTGGCCATGGATCCCGGCAAGGTCCAGGCTGTGCTGGAATGGAAAACACCCAAAACAAAGAAGGATGTGCAGAGGTTCCTAGGATTTGGGAACTTCTATCGTAAGTTCATCCGAAACTTTGCCCACCTGACGGCGCCCATTACGGACTGTCTCAGCAGTAAGAAGAAGTTCGTGTGGACTGAGGAGGCGGAGCGAGCATTTGAGGAACTAAAAAGGGCCTTCGCCTCGGAACAACAACTCCTGCATGTGGATTTACAAAAACCGATGAGAGTGGAAACTGACGCATCAGACAGAGCGATTGGGGCGGTGCTTCTGCAGCCAGGCAAGAAGGGGTCAGAGTGGAGACCGTGTGCCTTTTTTTCGCGAAAGCTGACAAATCCGAGAGGAACTACACGGTGTATGACCGAGAACTACTAGCCATTCATGAGGCGTTCCGGAGATGGAGGCACCTGCTAATTGGCGCACAACATAAGGTGCAAGTGTGCACTGACCACAAGAACCTAGAGTATTGGAGGACGGCACGAGTGCTCAACCAACGGCAAGTGAGATGGGCCCAGGAGTTCTCCAAATTTAACTTTGAGATTAGTTACGTGCCAGGCCCAGAGAACATTAGGGCGGACGCTCTCTCACGCAAACCTGAATATTTGGAGGGGAGGGGCACCCGAAGAGAGACATGTCATTCCAGAAGACCGCTGGGTGTGTGGGGCGGCATTGGTGGGACAAAGAGAACTGGTAGAGGAAACAGAGAATGATGAATACGCCCAGAATAAGCTCAGAGGTCTTAGGGGTGATGGAGAGGAACCAGGGGTTTTGAGGAAAGAAATGGAGCTTTGTATTACAAAGGGGCACTGTATATCCCTGAAGGAGAGTTAAGGGGAGGGTACTCAAGCAGTTGCACGACAGCCCTACGGCGGGGCATTTTGGACAACACAAAACCATGTGGTTGGTCACCAGGGAATTTTGGTGGCCTAAGGTGAGGGAAGATGTACGTGAGTATGTAAGAGGGTGCGAGCAATGCCAGCGAGCCAAAGGGGAAAGGCGGGCGCCGGCGGGGCTATTAGAACCCTTACCAACCCCAGAACGACCTTGGGAGGCAGTGTCGATAGATTTTATGACTGATCTGCCGAAGTCCAAAGGGAAAACAGCCATCATGGTGGTGGTAGACCTACTAACAAAGATGTGCCACTTTGTAGCTTGCTCGCATGCAGTCACGGCGGAAGAGACAGCGAAGTTATTTGTAGAAAACATTTTTAGGTTGCACGGGGTGCCATTGAGGGTGGTCTCAGACCGAGGAAAACAATTTACTTCCAGGTTCTGGAGGAAGCTCATGAGCTTACTGCAGGTGGAGGTCAATTTTCGACTGCCCGGCACCCTGAAACCAACGGGCAGGCGGAAAGAGCAAACGGTGTCCTCCAGCAATACCTGAGGTGTTATGTCAATGACAGAGAGAATGACTGGGTAGAAAAGTTGGCGCTGGCGGAATTTGCCTACAACAATGCCGAGAATGTGTCCACAGGGATGAGCCCCTTCTTGGCTAATTATGGGTGTCATCCCAGGGCTTTCCCAGGGGAGAGGGGAGAGATGGAGCGTCCCGGCAGCCGAGCATTTTGTGGAAGAAATGGAAGCAATCCATCGTCAGCTCCAACTCAACTTAGAAAGGGCGAAGGAAGAATACAAGAGGCAGGCAGACAAGAACCGAAGGGAAGGTGAAACCATAAGGGTGGGAGATAGGGTGTGGCTGTCAACCCAAGGGTTGCCGTTCAAAGGAGGTTGTAAGAAATTAAGACCCAGGAGGTTGGGTCCCTTTGAGGTCATTCAACAGGTCAACCCAGTGGCTTTCAGGCTCCGGTTACCCAACCACATGAAACTGCACCCAGTATTTCACAGGTCGTTACTGTCACCGTACGAAGGGGGACGAGAAGGGCTGGCCACTCGGGGACCGGTCGTAGAAGAAAGAGAATGCAGCAGCCATGTGGCAGAAATCCTCGACGCCAGGTGGAAGGGGGATCAGGAGGAGTATTTGGTAGCGTGGGAAGGAGAACCGGAGTCAGAAAACACTTGGGTAATGGCTGAAGATATCAATGACGAGGTATTGATAGAAACGTTCCATCAAAGGTTCCCAAGGAAACCTCAGCCTGTGGAGAGGTTCCGGAAGGAATACTTTGGGACCACTGATGAAGGGGAGGAGTTGGAAGGATTCCCGGACTCGGAAGGGGAAGGGGAGATGGACTCTGAGGAGGAGGTGTACTTCGAGACCAGGAACCGCAACAGGTTGAGAGAAGTGTTCGAGACATCGGAAGATGAAGGAAGTTCATTCCGGGTTTTGCCTCCTCACCGCCCGTAGAGGAGGGGGCGAGAGGGGGTGAAGGGGGCCCTGGAGGGGAGGTGGATGTCAGGGAACTGCCATCGGACGGAAGGGAGGTGAAAGGGCTCACACAGGTTGGGAGAGACGCAGCAGCTGAAGAGGAAACCAACAGGGAGGTGAAAGGGCTCACACAGGTTGGGAGAGACGCAGCAGCTGATGAGGGAACCAGCAGGGGGAGAGGAGCTGAGCTGGAGGGATGGCTCAGAGACACTTCCAGCGAAAACAGTGGAGAGGTTTCAGGACCTCCTGTAAGAACACCCACTCCTCGCCGGAAACTGTCACGCAGAGATTCCAGAAGACGTGTTTCCGTTAAGGAGCTTTTATGTTGGAAGCGATTACGAAAGCAACCACTGTCGGAATCTGCTAGTGACTAGAGTAGCCATGTCTGAGGGGCTCTGTCACAGACAGAGGTTTGTGGACTTGAACAAACTCTGAGGGGATACGATTTTACGCACAAGCAGCTCATCATCCCATCACAGCCTGCATTTATTTTAATGTGGCTTGCTGGAAAATCCCATCTAAGGACCATTAAAATAAATAAGCAAAAACTGTATTGTTTCTTGGTGGGTGGCACCTAACTGCTCCCTTCCCACTGGTGTCACACAGGGAGGGAGTGACTGTGCACCCCAGGCGGGAGGTGGGGTAGGAGATTATATTTATCTGAATTCTGAGGCTGGGTGAGTTTTTATCTTGCCCTGCTGTACAATGTGACTGGCTGGCATTTTGTACCAGCCACTATGGATGGGTAAGTACTATTGGTCAAACAGTATGTATTTTTTTTAGATTTATACTTGATTATTAATATATTGTAGTACATTTCTGTTTAGTATATCACTTTGCAATTCTTTTGAACAGAATTAATAATTTTCTAAAATAAATGTTACTTTGTTAAAGGAAAAGTACAGCTACATTTGGAGAAAAGCCCACTATGGAAACTGTTTTAAACGTGCCATCTACTTCAATGATTTGAAAATTGTCAGAATGTGAAAAGGCCACATTAAAAGTAGGTATTGTCCATCTTTGATTATTATATTACATTATTTTAGAATATTAATCTTGCATTTGACCCATACCTTATAAACTGAAGTTCCTCCAACTATCCAAATCATGTCTATTTTACTTGCCAACTCTGGTGATTCCAGAAGATCTAACGCCTGATCTAGACTTTGGGCCAGGTAATGGGCTCCTTCAGGAATTTTCCTAGAACAAACAAATGTCACTGCTTAATATTTAAGCACACCCCCCCCTTTATAAAACCATCACTTGATCATTAGATTTTGCGGATGATATACAATTAGAATTACAGTGTAAAACCACTTCTGAGAGAAGGTAAAACTACATCCTCATAAACTGTTAAGCCTACAGTTTGAACAAGACATTATTCTGTAAACCGCCCTGAGACCCCCAGGTATAGGGCGGTATATAAATTCAATAAATAAATAATACAGGAAATGAAAATAAATTACCGGTATTAGCTGTACCAGAGATAGTTCGCTTTTGTTGTCCTTGAGATATTTCTACAATTTTAGAAATCAGGCAATATGCTACAGTTCACATACATACATGCATATATCCATCCTTGAGTATTCCTATCACATTTTCGTAAGCATGCACATGCTGTTTCTCAGCATATCTATCATGTAATAGTCATGTCTATAGATATATGCATGTTTCATGTGTGTGTATGTGTGCGCATGTATGCATCCAAGTATAAAAATGACAATATTGCAATAATCTCAGCTGTGAACTGCAAGCATTTATCTCTACCATGTTTCTGCTTCATTGACCATGGTGTAGTGGCTAGTGTTGGAATAGGACTAGGGAGATCAAGGTTCAAGTCCCCACTTAGCTATCAAGCTCACTGGGTGACCCTGGAACAGTCACTATCCTTCAGTCTAACTGACTTCATATGGTTGCTGTCAGGGCAAAAATGGGGGAGAACCATTTCTAATCACCCTGAGCTCTGTGGAGGAAATGTGGGATCTAAAATAGAAACTATATTTGGGACAAATTGGAAATTTGGAGCCAAAATACTAGTAACCATGCAGGAATTAAAGATACAGAACAGAAAATGTGTCCTGACATGGCCCCCAGGTTTTAAAGAGCACATAGAAAAGTCAACACTTTCTAGGCATTTTTAGCACTGAACAGGGGATTAGTTTTAAAAGGTACTATTGCTAACACAGAAACTTTTAAAACTAATCCCACTGAGCCAGTTAAATTCAGTAAATGATTTCATATCCTCTTCCAATTTTTCAAAAAAAAAAAAAGGGTACTTACACCAGTTCCTTGCTGAGTACTATATTAATTCTGCCTTTTAAAGGGCGATTCTTCTCAGGAATGGAGAACCAAGTCCTTTTACCCATTATCACTACATTTTGTTTTCCTGTAAAATATAAAGAACATACTTGATGTTATTATCTAGTGACATCTGGTGGAGGTGGTATGGCCATGCTGTTACCATAAAGCACCAATGCTGCAGCAAGCAAAGGCTCTAGCAGCTCAGCCAGCTGCTTGTGGCTGGAAAGCCAGACAGGATGTTTGTGACTGTTGCCATGGGAACAAAGGGGCAGTCCATTCTGTACTGAGCACCGGATGTTAGCTCAGTGTGTGTGTGTCATATGACCCGTACTGGATGTACTTGGGAGGAGTTTCTTCTTGCTGTTGTTGAGTGCAGACATGATTCTCTGTACTGATGTAAGAGGCAGAAATAAATGATGTAAATAGTTTTCTGTCTGCTTCTTTCCCCTCCTGGGGACACCAAAGGGGAGAGAGGAAGAACGGTGTGTTCCTCTCATACATCTGAGAAGAATCGCTGGACCTCGCCTGCTTATCAGCAGAGTGGAGACGCGGGGAGGTCGACAGGAATATCTGCCGGTGCCTACGCTGTGGCACATTCCTCTGACCCAGGCAGAATTCCAACAGTGGTAGCAGAGGATGGTTGCGATTCATCGGACATCTGCATGAGAGGCTGGTGGATTGTCCTCCTCTGCTCCAAGGAGGAAGAGAAGCGTCTGAAAGAAGCCAGAGGCTCCACAGACAGCTGATGGAAAGAAGAGGTGTTTTCCAGAGCAACAAAGTTCAAGGTATGCTGCATTTCGGGCTAAAAGTGTGAACGCAGGAAGATTAATTCCCTGGTTCACGGAGCTGCGTTTCAAAGAAAACAAGAGCTCCGGAAGAAGAGGCCTGCAGCTTGAAGGCTGAAGCCTGCATTCCACAAATTTTTGTGGTAGATAAGATGTCTTATTGAAATGCATTGTTGCTAGGTAACGGTCCTGGAAAGTTACTGGCAAAGGGGCTGGACTCTGAGTGTGAGCCTGGGAAAGCGAAACAAAACCAGAGAATGTTTTGGCTACAAGGTTTACGAGCTCTTGGAAGGGACTTTTCAATAGCAGCCTGTGTTTAGCTGCCAGGTGCAAAGAGCGTAAACAATTTGCAGTTTGCTGCGTGAGAAAGGAAAAAAACAACTGTTGGATATTACAGTTTGTTTGACATTGTGAGCTGGAGGCTTGGCTTCAAGATGGATGCCAAGAAAGGGGGAGGTTTGCCTTGCCCACCTCCCTTAACCAATGACAATTATTCATCTTGGTCTGTAAAGATGAAGGCCCTGCTGCAGAATCAGAGGCTTTTTGATGTAATTGAAAACCCCATCCCTGCAGCACCAACCAGAGGTTGGGAGTCACAGAATGTAAGGGCCAGGACTGCTATAATTCTGTGTGTCTCAGATGATCAGTTGGTGCATGTTCAGCATTTAGAAAATGCGAAAGAGGTATGGGACACGCTGCGTACAACGCATCAGAGAGATGCTGGTTCTTCAGCGTTGCTGTATTTTGAGAAATTGACCAATCTGAGACTTGCGCCTGATGGAGATGTTCAAGCGCACCTGACAGAAATGAAGTTTCTGCGTCAACAGATGGTGGAACGCAATTTCCGTCTTCAGGAGGAAGTGTTTTGCTTCATGATGATAAACAGCCTTAGCCGCACCTACAAGGTTGTTGCCAGTCAGCTTGGTTCCCTACCGGCCGCGCAGCTGACCGCGGAGAGAGTTTGTGCTGTGGTCCTGAATGAACACGACAGACTTGCTGCACTGGAAGAAAAAGACAGGGGGAGGGAAGAACAGAGTTCTAATTCCCCACTGCTGATGCTACTGGAGAGCATGGTGTAGCATTGAGTGCTGTCCGATGCTACAATTGTGGACAGACTGGGCATCTACAGCGAAACTGTAAGAAGCCGCGCCAGTCAAGAGGAGCAAAGAGCAGCTCTACGAAGCCTCAGGCGTCAGGCAAAAGCCGTTCCAAGTGCCAGGTGAAACCTGCAAAGGCTATGATGGCGAAAGGAACCACGCCAGATGTTGGGAACTCGTTCATAATTGACACGGGCGCAACGGTTCATATGTGCCCGCACAGAGGACTGTTTTCGACGTTGAAGAAGCAAAGCTTCACTGTGAAACAGGCCAACGGTCAGGAGTTGGAAGCAACTGGAATTGGGACTGTGTATCTTGAGAGTCTGAACTTGACTATAAGTGATGTTTACCTGGTTCCAGAACTGAGATTTAATCTGCTGAGCGTGTCGCAGATTGCAAAGAAAGGACTGAAACTGTCCTATGATGCTAAAAGCTGCAAGATCTACAAAGATGGAGAACTGTTTCTTACTGCCAAAGAGAAAGATGGACTGTATTTGTTGACTTTTGATCAAAGTGATTACATGAAATGTAATTCTGCTGTTTCTAACGAAATCTCTCTTGCAGGAGTGACCAGTGTGAGCACCAGGAAGGTGACTAAGACCAAGAAGGTCGACAGAGCATTTCAGCGGGTGTATGCTGATGTGATTGGTCCTCTAGAACCATCTAGAGGCGGTGCAAAATATTACCTTTTGTGTGTGGATTGTTTCACTAATTATTCTTGGGTTTATATGATGGAGAAACCGCAAGAAACTTTAGAAAAGTTTCAGGAGTTTTGTGACAAGGTTAAAAGTATGCATGATGCTAACATTGATTGTCTTTTCACAGATGAGAAACAAATTTTTCTGTTGCAGAAGTTTCAGAAGTTCCTGGATGGAAAAGGGATAGACCACAAAGTGGCTGTTTCGCAAGAAGCGTGGAACAGGGGGGTCTGTGTAAAAGTGAACAAAGAATTGCAAAAGGGGATGAATGCGCAATTGCTGAGTTCACATTTGCCACATGAATATTGGGCCGAATCGCTAGCGTCCTATCTTCATGTGTGGTTGAGAAAGGTCTCAACAGAGTTGGGATGTTCTCCTTTTGAGAAGCTGTTCAATAGAAAACCTTCTGTTGCCTATTTCAAGGTTTTCGGGTCTCATGTGAGAACAGAAGCTCCAGGTGGTGTAAAGAATGCCAGAGGCATTTTTGTGGGTTATGAAAAGGGTCTCTACAGAGTAATTTTGTCTGAATCTGGTCAGGTGATTCTCACAAAGTTCCTAGAGAGTGCTCCAAAGCAAGAGCGGATAGTACAGACATTTCCCACAGGAGAGGATTCTGATGATAATGATGATGATGAGTTTGATCTTATTGAGTTCAGTAGTACTGATGATGACAGCGATAGCTCAGACAGCTCAGTTGTCACAGTCATTGAGAGAAAATCTCACACAATGGATAGACCTTCACAGGTGAAGGAAGAACCACTGATTGCTACTGGTTCTCAACAGAGTCCAAAGGTTGAACCAGTGAGCACAGAGGATCAGAACCTCATACGTAGGTCTGAGAGAGCAACGAAGGGTGTACCACCCAAGAGGTATTCAAAGGAGTTTGCTAACCTTGCATATGTTGCTATTGTAAACGACCAAGGACAGCTTGAAGCAGTGTCTACGTCAGAGACAAAGACACAACAGAGGGTAGCTAGCCAAGGTAATGCAGAAGCACTCATTCCTTGGAAGCCAGACAACCAGAGAGGTACATTGGTTAAACCAGTGGCGGGTAGTTCCAAGGGTGGAACTGAAACAACAGGGAATGTTATAAATATAACAACTGTTTGTTTTCTTCTCTGGAGGACGCTTTGCTCGCGGCACACATTGATACTTTAGGGGAGTATGTTACCATAAAGCACCAATGCTGCAGCAAGCAAAGGCTCTAGCAGCTCAGCCAGCTGCTTGTGGCTGGAAAGCCAGACAGGATGTTTGTGACTGTTGCCATGGGAACAAAGGGGCAGTCCATTCTGTACTGAGCACCGGATGTTAGCTCAGTGTGTGTGTGTCATATGACCCGTACTGGATGTACTTGGGAGGAGTTTCTTCTTGCTGTTGTTGAGTGCAGACATGATTCTCTGTACTGATGTAAGAGGCAGAAATAAATGATGTAAATAGTTTTCTGTCTGCTTCTTTCCCTCCCTGGGGACACCAAAGGGGAGAGAGGAAGAACGGTGTGTTCCTCTCATACATCTGAGAAGAATCGCCGGACCTCGCCTGCTTATCAGCAGAGTGGAGACGCGGGGAGGTCGACAGGAATATCTGCCGGTGCCTACGCTGTGGCACATTCCTCTGACCCAGGCAGAATTCCAACACATGCAACGTCTATTTAAGCAGTAGCACCACAATATTCGACTTAATACCAGTTGAATTCATAGAATCATAGAATTGTAGAGTTGGAAGGGTCATCTAGTCCAACCCCCTGCAATGCAGGAATATGCAGCTGGCCTGTATGGGGATCAAACCTGCGACCTTGGTATTATCAGCACCATGCTCAAACCAACTGAGTTAACAGAGACAATTTAAACCTTTTATTTTTACTATTAATATGCTTTGAATTAATACCATTTAAGTCAATGGACCTAGGTTATAAGTAGAGTTATGGAAGAAAAAAGACAACATATTTAATTCCAGATTTTAACAGGCAAATAATTCAAGAGTTAGTCTCAGTTTAGTCCTTGTAGAACCAAGCAAGAGGATTGAGACAAAATTAGAGTTAGTGGGCTCTGCCTGTCATTGGCTCTGGATCCATGTACTGCTGGTCTTCCTACCTTTCACCCTACCAGTCCTAATGCACACCAGTCATCACAGATTTGCAATATAACAACAACAACAACACTGAAATATCTTGCAGGGTTGTTTTATGGCTCCACCAAGAGATGTGTGTGCAAAATGAACACTCTAACTTGCCAAATAAATGTGCTATTTTTAAATCACCTGTTTAGGATGCCGACTTAGTCTACAATCTTCCATGGAAGGTTTGTGCCACCAACCTCAACTGAACCAGGACTGCAGTCATATAGCACTGCTAGTGATGTTAAATTCTTGAGAATAATCTTTTGGAGAATAATCTTGATTAATGAGGTGTGTACAGTTAAAGCAGCTGTGTAGACGACACAGAATTTACAATTTGTGGAGAATATTCTCTGGAGAATATTCTCACATCACTAAGCACTGCTATACACTAAGACACACGACACCTCTTTTCCTCAGCAACTTGTAACTTATGGCATGATAACTAGCATTAGGATCATGAACCTCATTTGTTTAAAATTTTGAAATATGCTTAGATTTGAAGGTCCTTTCACCAGAATAAAAAATTAATCTGGACCAAAGTCACTCATTTCCCAAAGTATATAGATGAGAGCTCATGGTTGAAACAAACAAAACAAGACCCATGGAAAGTTAACTAACATTACCTTCTTGTGTAGGTGTCACTGTCATTTTCTGAAAATACTTAAACTCATTCCTGTTCAAAAACAAATGAACAATGTTGTAATCATGTCATCCTTGCAATAGCTATCTTTATTCCTGATCTCAAGACTTCAGCAGCTCTTTTGTTAAACTTTGTAGCTCATATAACTGTGGATTGGCTTGATTTCACACACCCCTCATTGGGTTATTTGTTTATTTATTTGTGCATGCTGTTGAGCCACCATTACTGTTTCTATAAGGCATTGGGATCAAGATTCCCTGATAAACGGTGAGAATGAATGTGATGGGAGTGCGTAAGGAAAGAGATTTCCATAGTACGACTAAAATTGCTCACTAAAGCAAATTTGTACCAATTCAGACTTACAGGTATTATGTGATGCCAAAAATTGTTTTTATCCCCATCTATTTTTAATGAAGTTGGGTTGTATACTCAGACGGTTGCCACTTATGTTTTATGCTATATTTTTGATGGGTTGCTAGCCTGGTTCGGAGATGGTTCTATGCTGCTGCTTTAGTTTTTAAAATTATATATTGTTAGGCGTTTGGTATGTTTTATAGTTTCAACACTGATTTTTATAGCATTTCCACCGGCAGCCTTGGAAAGGGTTTTCTGTCCTGAAGGGTGCCATAAAAATATCCGGGGGAAGGAGGGAGGAGAGGCTGAATAAGTATGTAAAAGGTATGTATAATTAAACGATTACAATTACTGCCCCTTTGACTAGCATAATATAGTTTCAGAAAAGACACCAACTCCCAGCCTGCTTTGCTCGTCCTCAGCACAATCACCCGTCGTGCAAAGACAGCAGTGCATGCTGGGATTTGTATTCCGTTTAAAAGCGCGGGAAAAAACAAGCGAACAAGCATTTTTACCTGAGCGGGGGCCAAGGAAGAGCCCCATTCTTCCCGATGCCCATATTCAGGGATACAGCAGCAATGGAATTTAATGAGAGAACCATAATGCCTCCCGTGCCTGTGCTGAATCTGCCTTCGGTATTGAAGCGGTATCTGTTAGACTTTGGAATTAAACAGCCCACGAGTCCAACGAAGGGGCGGGGTGGTGAAGCTTTGCATCCCTTACGCATGCGTAGGGCGGACACACCTCCTCCCACGAGGCTCCGCGACTCAAATAAAACAACGACCTTTCCCCCTCCTGTGACGAAATCCAACGGTTACCGCCCCCTCCTGTGATCTCCACAATAGGCTTTTTTTGGCGCGGTGAGAGGGGCGGGGCCGAGGAACGGCGCGAGGCCGGTCGCGTGGCTCTCCGAACGGCTGCTGAGGGGGCAAGTGCCCAGTCTCGAGGCCGGGATGCCGCGGGGGCGAAGCAGGCCCGGCCCAAGCAGCGGGGCCCGCGGGCAGCCGGTGCTAAGCAAGTTCTTCCAGGCGGCGGGATCCCTCCGGGCAACCGCTTCCTCCTCGGCTGCCGCCGCCGCCGCCGCCGAAGAGGAGGAGAGAAGCGAGGGCTGTATGGCGGCTGCAGGGGTTGATCCGCACACGGTGCGTGGGAAGCGGGTGGCGGCGTTTGGGTGCCTGAGCCTGACTTGACGTAAAACCTCCTCAAAGCACGTTTCTTTTCTCCGGCTGCTCCGTCCCCGCCTTCTAATCTTTCAATCCTGTTTCGCGGTGCAGGAAAAAGCGACCCCTTCTTCGCCCCCCGCGACGCCGCAGTTCGAGCAGGGGCCTCTTCAGTACTTCCAGAACTAGGGTTCCCCCTCAGCCTTGTTCTTTGAGCAGGGCTTGGTTTTCTAGGGTGCTCTGCATTCTGCCCTTGGGTGCTCTGACGAGCCAAACGCAAGGATAGACTTGTAGGCTGATGCAGCTTGACTTGCTCAGAGGGCAGCTAGAAGAAATTAACTGAATGTATTGAAAAGAGTTGATCGTTTTCCTCGACAACCTGTTAAAGGCTGAGTTTGATGCATTTGTATGCCCCCCCCCATATTAAATAGCTGCTGGTGTTGTTCTTATTACTTTGTATCCCCTCACCTCTGTGCTCTGTATGGGGGAACTGTCGCTAGTTGGGAGCATGCAATGCAATTTATTGGTTGACAGCAAACGGATTAAAGAAACTCAACAGTTGCATTGAATACTTTTAGCCACGATTGTTAAAAGAAACCTCCAGGCTCCCCAGCAGTATGCTGCTGAATACTAGGGAGCCAAGGACACGGAGTGTGCCTTCAAGCCCTGTTTGTGGTCTTGGCAGAAACAGCTAGTTGACCACTGCTAAATGTAACTTTGATCTGATCAATCAGGGCTGTTATGTTCCATTAAGGAACTCATACAGGAAGAAATACTTTTTTCTGGTAGCTAATAAGTTATGTGTATTAAGCTGTGTATATGTCTGATTGGACAAATGAACTTGATAGTGCCCCAGGGATTTGAACCCAGCTTTTTGTTCTGATGCAAAACAGGGAGTGTAGGTTTACATCACACTTTTTAGCCCTGTGACTGTTAAGTCTGGATTGCCCAATGTGCCCTGTTGATAGAATCATAGAATTGTAGAGTCGGAAGGGACCCAGAGGGTCATCTAGTCCAACCCCCTGAAATGCAGGAATCTCAGCTAAAGCATCCATGGTAGATGGCCATCTAACCTGTGCGTAAGAAACTCCAAGGAAGGAGAGTCTGTGGAGTGGCTACCCTCCAGTGCAGGAGAAAATGCAGTGAAGGCTACCCTCTAGTGCAGCTTGCTCCATCTTCCATGTGACAGCCCTTTAGATATTTGAAGATGGCTATCATATAACCTTTCAGCCTCCTCTTTTCCAGGCTAAACATACCCAACTCCCTCAACTATCCCTCATAAGGCTTGGTTTCCATACCTTTGATTATCTTGGTCACCTGCCTCTGCAGTGTTCTTAAATTGTGGTGCCCAGAACTGGACACCACAGTATTCCAGGTGTGGTCTGACCAAGGCAGAATAGAACAGTATTACTTCTCTTGATCTGGAATCGGTAGTATGTTGCTGCACCACAATTCCAATAATCCCTGATCATTAACCCTGCTGATTGAGGTTGATGTGAGCTGTATTTCAAGATAACCCAGAGGTCACCACATTGGCTATCTTGGGTTTATGTGATTTTGGCACATCAGGTCTCTTACGTATTTGTAACCAGTCTCAGAGGGTTCTTGAGAATGAATACAAATGAGAAAAACTGCAAACATAAGCATATTTTCTTGTTGAATTAAGTGAGGTTTAAATTAAAGTAAATGTGTTTTTAAGATAGGAATGACAAATTGCAACACATTTTGCAAATATAAAATGCTGTAGGAATTATTGTTATATGAGCCTTGTGGAATTTAAAGACATTTTTATTTCTCCAGGCCTGTGAAAGGGGATTGATATATTTAGGCACTGTAGTCTTTATAGTTGTCATTTTAATTATTGTATTTTGTGCATGATTTTATTTAATTTCATTTTCTTATGGCATCTTGGGCATTCTTTGAGGAGGAACAGCAAGATATATTTTGATAAAACCAATAAAAGTGAAGCTTCAGTTTACTGCTATCTGTCAGGAAGACTGCAGATGTTACTGTTCATTTAGTACATTCCTCTGGTGAGAGGCAGTAAATGTGAGTTTAAGGCTCACTCCTAATCACACTCTGGATAGACTGTCCCATTCTAAAATTTTCTTGCTTTTTAGTGGTATGGTAAAATTAGTTTGGATTTTCATACTGTATCATTGATTTCTGTCATTTTATATGACAACGAAAGATAAAAATCTAATGATTAACATATTTTAGTTGGTAAATAAATACTGGGGCACACATTGCACTCCAAAGTTAAATGTGTAGGGTATAATGGATTGTGTGGTTACTGCATAGAAACTTAGCTAACTTTTCATTTCGCCTTATGGTCTTATCAGAGAGATTTTATTACTACAGTTTATATCTCCTTTTTTCCAAGATGCTCAAGAATTCTCTTTTATTCTTACAGCAAACCTGTGAGGTAGGTTAGGCTGATAAACTAATGAGCTTCATTGCTGGGTATGGATTTGAACCTTGGTCTCTCGGGTCCTAATCCAATACTAACCGTTGCACCACCCTGTCTCTCATAACTGTGTCCAGGCTTTATTATTATTATTATTATTATTATTATTAAATATTTTCTTGATTTACAAAAGTGTGTGCAATGTCTCTCGTATATTTCCCCCCCATGTAACATTTTTACAAGTCAGTTTCATTTGTTGAGACATTGGGAAGAAAAGGGGGAAAGAGGTGGAGGGGGAAAAGATGAGTGAGGGTGGGGTCGGGTGGCAATGTTTCTATTTACTTACTGTATGTAGGGTTTGGTGTCAGCGTTGCTTGTGCAGGTTCTTTGCTGTTCACTTGTGTTCCTTTGGTGGTGAGAGAGGTTGGGGTTGGCCTAGGGTGTGGTTGTGCCCAGGCTTTTGTCTAAATTACTGACATTTGGGGGTGAGGGCAAAAGGACTGCCAGTTATGTCCTGGCAGCTGACTGTCAGATACAGCCTTCTAAATCTTGCACGCTGATAAACCTTGCATGTTCAACTTTTAAAAGTTTTGGACTGCATTCTATCTTTTGGGAAAAAGCAGCGATGGTAAAAACTTTGTTTTAAATGAAAACTAAAATCTATGACTTGTGGGAAAGACTTGTGGGTCTTTCACCAATCATACTGTGGAGATACATTGGGTTGTATCCAACATTAGTCATACTCAGACCTATTGAAATCAAGTTTCAGTGGACCTTCATGAGTATGACTAATGTTGGATATCACCCATTGATTTCAGTGGGTCTAATTTCAAATAATTACAGTAAAGAGCTCTTCATGATAGTTTGTTCTGAATCTTTGATTGTTCTCTACTTATCTTCAAACTGATTCCAGAGTCCAAACAGACTGAAACTGTTTGAAATAACATTTTGCAGACTCATGAACCTGATGGGAAAAAGAGAAGAGTTGTTAGAAACCAAGAACATGCGGACATATGTTCAAAACTTCTGCAGAGTAGAAGAAAAGAAGAGGTCAATAGAGTGAGTACTCTCAACACTGGTAAGTTTTCAGTAAAGTAGCTGGTTATAATTAAAATCAAGAATTAAAGGTAAAGGACCCCTGACAGTTAAGTCCAGTCGCAGACGACTCTGGGGTTGTGGCGATCATCTCGTTTTACAGGCCGAGGGAGCCGGTGTTTGTCTGCAGACAGTTTTTCCGGGTCATGTGGCCAGCATGACTAAGCCACTTCTGGCGCAACAGAACACTGAAACCAGAGCAGTGCACGGAAACGCCATTTACCTTCCCGCTGGAGCGGTATCTATCTTGCACTTTTTTTAGCGTGCTTTCGAACTGCTAGGTTGTAAAGCTACAGCAAGAACAGCCTCAGATACATATTTGAGGCAGAGAGCTGAGGGATGGAGAGCATGACTGCCTCCATCCCAAGCAGAAAAGGAGAGTGGAGGGGAACAGGAAATAAGCCTTACTTTCTCCCTCTTTGCAGAAGGGGGCATACAGAGCCTGCTCTAGTAATTTAGAACTCTCTGATCCTTAACCCATTCACATGCTCACTAGCATTGTTAGGTTTACTGCAAATCCCCCACAATAGGAACATATGAAGCAGTCTGTCACAGTCCAATGACTGGTTCATCTTGCTCATTATTTTCTATTCTAATTGGTCATTACTTTCCAGGGTTTCGGACTGGAGAATTTCCCAGCCCTTACCCAAAGATGCTGGGAATTGAACCTGGAACCTTATGCATGCAAAACATGTTTTCTACCACCGAGCTACATGTACTGAGTCTGAGACCTTCTCCTGACCTGCCTATGCATAGATGTGAAGGGGGGAAATTGTGGCTATGATAGACTTTTTTTTTGTCGTTTAGTCGTTTAGTCGTGTCCGACTCTTCGTGACCCCATGGACCAGAGCACGCCAGGCTCTTTAGTTAGCTGATAAAACCCATAATGCATTATATTTAGTACTTATAACTTATTAATATTAACAACAGTATATTGTATTAGAAGCATTGTTATTTCAGTTACTAATAACGAATGTAGTACCATCAGTATGTATAGCACAAGAGGACAGGTCCTTGTCCTGAGAGAACTTACAACCTGAAATTTGACATAGAGGAAGCAGAATGGAAAGGGGAAGTAAAGGGAGGCATAGGCATGTAAGCAATATGAGCTGATTTCACCTGCACATGCTTAGGGTTAGTAACATTCTTATGTGGGGTTTGATGAGGTATTTGAACAAAAGACTACATAGATGTTATCAGGCAGTTCCAAGCAATGGGGATAGAGCCGAGGACCTTGGATGATGGAGGGTGGTGGAACTAGAGAACTAAAGATCACAGGCAGGAGTGAGAGAAAGGATAACACAGAGGACATTGAAAGTTAGGGCAAGAAGCTTTTGCTAGATCTGGGAGCAGACAGAAAGCCAGCATAGATATATAAGGAGTGATGTCATGTGCAGAGTGACCGGAGGGCTGATTGCCTTTGCTGAGTGGGGCAGAGGAATAATAGAATCATAGAAGTGTAGAGTTGGAAAGGACCCAGAGGGTCATCTAGTCCAACCTTCTCCAATGCAGGAAGGGCCATATTCTTGCAGTGTTATAAAGGACCATGTATTTGCAATGCTATAAAGGGAGAAGTGATGCAACTTGACTTCAGAGTGAATATGGAGAACAAATGAGAGAGAGGAGCCATAGACAATGCCATCCTGTGTGCCTTTTAAACATTCAGGTAACACTGTCCTTGGATAAGGAAAACTTATGTGGGGAAGAAAGCTTAGGAGGGAAAATAAGAAATTTGACCTTGGGCATGTTGAGTTTGAGGTGAAAATCTTCTGTTTGTTTATTTGTTTGTTTATATTTGCTGACAAAGGAGAGCCAAACAAATCTACCAGTTCCCAAATATGTTCAGAAACCTTAGATAAACTGCGAAAGTTCTCTTTCAATTTGGAGCGTCCAAGAAAAAGAATTCATTCGGAGACTCTTCATGGAAGTCACTCTGTGGATTTAAGCAAGTACCAGCATTCTATGGTTGGAAACAATTGTATAAATGGCTCTCAACATTCTCACGACATTAACAAGGCAAGTAGTCCCCACCCTGCTCCACAGTACTTTTACATTCAGTTATTAAAAATATGTTACTTATGTGTTTCTTCATGGATTAGGCCACCAGCCCTTACAAATGCAAGCAGCAGTGAATACTGGCAGCATAATATTTATAAATCCGGAGACAGGCTGTTCTGTGTTTCAAGTTAGAGGTCAGCAGAAAATATTGAATGGGATGACTGTGGTTACAGTACAGAGGAGTCAGTAAGAGAGAGAGAGTTTTGTTTCAACATTCACTCACTTGATCTCAAATTGCTTTTAAGTTCTCCATTTAAAAATATGGGTATGATGCATTAATAAGGAAAATTGCTGATAAAAAACCTGTGTGTGTGATTTTACATTGACTTTACAGTTAATTGATTCTGTGGCTGATGGTTCGCTAGAGAAGACAATGAGCTGAAAGCCAGTTATTAATGAAGACATTTTAAAGTACATAGCTAGTGGAAAGATAACGCCCTTGTATATTTATCATAATTTAGTAATGTGCCAAAAAACATTATTATGAGTCAAATAATTGTTAATCCTAAAGGTATGTGATGATTTCCAAATTCAGTTTATGTGGTTATTAATCCTTCTTGATAGTGGCAGAGTTTTCTTGAAAACTAAGCAAAGGGTAGGCAACCTTTTTCAACCCAGGGGCCACATTTCCTATTGGACAACCTTCTGAGGTCCACATGCCAGTTATGCAAGGGCATAATAGAGCCAGATAAAAGCATTTAAAGAAATTGCAGAATATGACTGGTGAGGCAAATAGCCTAGGGAGAAGGGGTGTAGCCTAGGGAGAATTGTGAGGACCAGACAGAGGGACCTACAAAGCCACATTCAGGTTCTGGGCCTAAAGTTTTCCACCCCTAGATTAAGCCATTAGTTTTCCAGATTTTATAGATTCAGATTGGTAATGTATCAGTTCATGACTAGCTTTTCTTCCGCTCCTTTATAGGAACATCTAACAGACTTTGGGTTGTGTTCAAATATTTTTTACTTGCAACAAACCCATTAAAATTAATGGCTAACTTAAGTGTATGAATTTCAGTGGGTCTGTTCTGAATAAAAGTTAGCTTAATACAACCCTTTATGTTGCAATATGTTCACTACACATCTGAAAAATTGCATATTCTATGTAAAAAATGATTTAGGGGACCAGCTTTCATAAACTGGAAAAAGAGTTTTTTGATATACCAGCATTGAATAACAAAGATACAATATGCAAACAAGGAAGCTGGTAAAAATGTGTTGTGGGCTAGAACATTTTGTTGAAGTATTTTGGGAATTCATCTTACTGCCTTGTCAAACTTTCTATTTCTGATTTCATGTTGGAGCCAGACTTGCCACCTTATCACTGATTTATGGGCTGGGAAGGAAGTAAGTTTTAAAGTTAAAATGTTGGGTTGGAATTCAAACTTGGGTGGAATTCTAGATTCACTTATTATTTCTTGCTGGAAAATGTGACATCTAATGAAGTGAATCATACTGTTTTTACTAACTGTGTAATTGTGTTTTTCTTCATTCTTGTTTGATCTCTTCTGCTCACAGGAAGAAATGTGTCTAGATAAAAGCCAGTTTTCTTCCTCTGATATGAGTTTGGAAAACACTCAATATGCAACTGATACTACTCTTAAAAAAAGAAGCAAAAGTGTGTATACACCCCTTGAGCTCCAGTTCCTAGAAATTAAAAATCAGTATAAGGATGCTATTTTGTGTGTTGAGTGTGGTTACAAGTACAGATTTTTTGGAGAAGATGCAGAGGTAAAGGACTTCTATCAACCACATTGTTTTACAGTTACACACTGTTGCTATTAACATTTGTGCATGATCTCTGTAAAATATATGCAGAAGGTGCAATGTGAAGTCAAAAATCACCCAAACATACTTAAACCTAAGTAGGAACAGCCATACAAATCTGTTGGAAGAGGTGTGACCACAGCAATTGCATGTGGATTTCAGGGGCCTGGAGGAACTCTGCTGTGCCTAATGCCATGTAAAAGGCTATTTATTGAACAGTATGTCTGTAGCCCAGATCTTTGCAAGTTAGAATGCTGGTACTTCTGCATAATCTTGTAATAAATAAATAAAAAATCACAATATTTGCCTAGAACAGAATTTACAAATCATTAAAACTGATTTGAAATTTAGCATGTGTTTGTCTCCTTTGAGCTCATATCGCTTGATAAAATTTAATATTGTTAATGTTAACCAGGTCACATTTTTCTTTCTGTTTTTGGGAGACTTTAAAAAAATTGTTGACTTCTATTAATTTTATGGGTAGCTGCTCATTAAATGCTAAATAGACACAAGTTCAGTGGTAACTGTAGGCTGTCATAATAAATTGCTAATAATTGTCATGTTTTATAGATTGCAGCTAAGGAGCTGAACATCTTTTGCCATAAAAATCACAACCTTATGACTGCCAGCATACCAACTCACAGATTATTTGTTCATGTTCGGCGTCTCGTAGCAAAGGGTTATAAGGTTTGGCTCTATAATAAGTTATCTAACGCTTTATTTTTATCTGAGCTTATGTTTCACAGCTATATAATTTCACTTTATTAGTAGAAAAGAAAAAAAGTTTCCAAAATAATTCTCTTCACCTACTCCAGTATTTTCTTTTTTCTTTTTTCTTTTCTTTGTTTGTTTATTTGTACCTGGGAGTCACAATTAGGCTGAACCAAAGCTGCATGCCTAGTTTTATGTGTGCTCTTGAAAACATCAGTATGTGCCTCTCATTTTCATTGATTTTTTTATTTCTGAACCTATGGTTGTTTGGGGCCCTTTTGTTCTCTTGCTGTTTTTGCTTTTAACATTTTTCACGGTTATGTCCTTGGTCTTGTTTGCCCTTACTTCTGTTTAATTTGATTGGCTGTAACAATCAGTGCCACATGTTTATGGATGTCTGTGGCATCTTCACATAAGGTTTCCAGACAGCTCTGGGGGATTTTCTGGCAGCTATGACTTGCACTACAGTCAAAGCTCTAGCCAACCTCTGCAACATCCAGATAGCTAGGGCTATTGACACAATTGCGTCTGAGTGGCCTCTCCATCTTTGTGGAGCATGATTGGCTTTATTAAGGCAAGGAAACAAGCTGAGAGACAGCTTGAAAGGCTTTATTTTTGTTAAATAAATCCTGACATGTGTAATATGTCATGTGTTGTTATTCACCTGAGATTTATTTACCTAATTTTAAGATCTGCTAAGGAACAGATGATTGTTATTATGTCCTGATACAAAAAACCACAGAATTCAAAGAAGGTGTACGCTCTTTTTCTCATGACTGTATGTGAGTTTCAGTAACTAGTTCAACTACATGATATGTCCTGATTTTGGATGGCACGTTAAAATTAAAGAATAATTCGTTCAGCTGTATAATTGTGGTGTTTTAGTAGTCTTTTCATATATTCTTACTTTATTCCTCTTTTGATCTTTCTGCATTGAATGGTGAACTGTTATGTTGAAAAGAGAATGAATCATTGTTCCTTCATTTAAATATGTCATATGTCTTTGTATATTGCATTTCCATACCCATCCATAATGTAACAAAGTTAAAATTTTATGCTTATTTTACTTTCATATTATTTGTTGGTTTAGGTATTTGTTTTTCGTGCAGGTAGGAGTTATAAAACAAATGGAAACAGCTGCTTTGAAGGCTGTTGGAGAAAACAGAAGCTCTCTCTTTAGCCGACAACTAACTGCACTGTATACTAAATCTACAATTCTTGGAGAAGATATCCTTGTATTTCATAAATCAGGTTGCAATCCAGTACTCACTTACCTGGGAAATAAGGCCCATTGAACTTAATGAAACTTGCTTTCTAGTAGACATGTACAGAATTGTGCAGTAATTCTAATACTCCCTTGGCAGTAGACAATTGGTTCTATATTAATGTGCACACTCTTTCTCTCTCTTTGTGCCCAAGGTTTCTTGAGTGTTCTCAAATGGCATTGCATTCAATCCACAGTGACACACATTATATAGCTCTGTGATGTGGCCACTTTTGTAATACATTATTTATCCATCTCAAAAAGACTGTCATAAAACTAGAGTTAGATAACTAAAACTATCAAAGGGGGTGGTTTGAAGTGTTTGTGAAAAGGTTAAAACATTTGGACCTCTTTAGTTTAGAAAAAAGACAACCAGAGGATAGATGTTTATAAAGCAAATTGTGTGGATAGATAGGTTTTCTCTCTTGAACTTTTAGAATTCAGGATAACCCAATGACCCTTATTGAAGTGAAAGCCATGGGCCTACAATTTTAAACTTTCTTACCTGGGAGTAACCCACATTTAATTCAGTAGGTCTTACATGGTTAGGCTTGCACTGCTAGGCATGCTTAGAGTAGACCCACTGAAATCAGTGGGTCCCATTAACTTAAGTCCCATTAATGTTAGTGGGTATGCTGTAAGCATGACTATGCCTGGCTTCAATCCAAAAACATGCTTCACACAGTGGACTAACTGAGCTGTAACAATCTTTATCCAATGTAGTGTGATTTATTATTTTAATTGCTTTATCTAAAAACGAGGTAGAGAACTAGTTTTCCTTAAGATTTTTTTAAATGTGAATCCTCTGCGGATGTTCGACAATGCTATGGAAGCTGAAGAAATATCTGATGTCTGTGATAATTATCTTCTGTGTGTGTCTGAAAGCAAAGACAGTTTAAGAAATAAGAGCCAGGAAAATGTTGTCATAGGCATAGTGGTAAGTAACCTTGAATATTTTCTGTAGCCTTTTATACTCTTTGAGATGCATGGGTTTCTGCTTTAATAGCAGTTCACCTCCATATGTGTAAATAAGTATTTAGTTTTTATTATCTTTACTTTTTTTTAGGCGGCTCAGCCTACTACAGGAGAAGTTATTTATGACAGTTTTCAAGATTCTGTAGGCCGTATAGAGTTGGAAAGTCTAATTTTACGCCTGCAGCCTGTTGAGATTATTCTTCCTGCAGATGTGTCAGATCAAACTGAAAAACTTATCAATACTGTGACTTCTGTAAGGTACGCTTCTATGTAACAGATACATTTGATATTTTTATTTGGACACTGGTACCAGGCCTTGAGCTAGACCAAGGCAACAATGGGAAGAAAAACTGAACTGGAAGCCTTGGACAAGTGAAAATATACTAAGTTAAAAATAAATGGAAATGATTTGTCTTGTCTTCAGTGGCAAACTGCAGCTGCTGTAGCAGTTGGGTTCACTGTAGTCATTGTCCAAATAATCTTTTATTAAGTTTTCCTTTTTTTCCTTTGTTACAATCAAATAAAATCATGTCATCACATACATCTTTGCTCAAACTGAGCATCGACTTCCCCTCCCACTCCCTGCCTTCCATAGATATTCACATTCATCTTAGCATTTTTATATTCCCCTATTTACCTTCTTTCTGTGCTTAAAAAAAAATTAACTGATATTTGCAAACAGGTGTCAAGTCTTAACCTTACAAAATATTTTAAGTCAGTCCTGCAAACGTTTTCAAATGTTTACAGTGTTCCTTCATATATTGTAAAAATTTACTCCAGTCCTTTTCAAACAGTTCGTCACGCTGGTTTCAGATTTCCCCCGTCAGCTTCGCCAGTTCTGCTTATTCAATCATCTTAGTCTGCTATTCTTCCAATGTTAGAAGTTCCTGCTGCTTCCATTTCTGGGCTAAAAGTGTTCTCGCCGCAGTGGTAGCATACATAAATATGTTTATGTCTTTTGGGGGAATTTTTTCTCCTGTTATACCCAGTAAGAAAGCTTCTGGTTTTTTGCTAAAAGTATTTTAAAAAACCTTTTTCAATTCGTTATATATCATATCCCAGTAGGCTTTGGTCTTAGTACATGTCCACCACATATGAAAGAAATTCCCTTCCTTCTCCTTGCATTTCCAACATACCTTATCTTGAGTTGGGCTCACTGTAGTCAAGCGACAGCAATGGGTTTGGGGTTCCACAGGATCTTGGGCTGGCTCAGCCCCTCCCTTCCCCTCCCAGAATGCCATGTATTGGAGTTTCTGCAAGCTTCTGCTTGTGCCATTGGGTGCTACTTCAATCAGCCCAGGTGGAAAGGGAGCTCAAGGCTGAAAAAGTGATCATTCTGTGAGTACAGGTCAGCAGAGTTGTTTTGGACTCAGCAGAAGGAAACTTCCATCCCATCCAACGCCCACCAAGTGTGACGGATTGGGTGCATCAGTGGTTGCCTTAATCTTGTTCATGGTTGCATCCTTTAGTTCAGAAGCTGTCGTTTGTGTCTAATTCTCAGTGGTTTGGAAGTGGGTTTGTGAAGCACAAAAATAATCTGCATATTCTTTAGTGATAATGCTGTCTTATTTTCATGTTATATGTGTATTATTTGCATACTGGTAACCTCTAGCAATTGAATTACAAATTATTTTCTTCATAGGCTAAATGTGCTATAATTCAGTTCAGAGTCTTTTTGTTGTTTGGTATTTATTTTACATCTTTCTTAATAGTAATAATGTGTGTTCCTTATTAATACTGATGCTTGATACTTTACAATGATTTCTTTCTGTCATCCATCTGGATCACTAAATGATCTGTGAAGTGGGCTTAGGACTGCAGCACTTGGTGATGGAAGTAGAATGACTTTTTATGCTTATGAAGTATATTATTGGAAGATGCATTAAAGCATGTGTGCGCCTGAATAATTTGTGGCGATCACTATGGGAATGAGTACACTATGAATTTGAGTCAGTTTTCTAATCTGCTACAGGCATAGGTACTAAATCTATTAAAGAATTTTAAAAGCCATTGTTTATTTTGTTCTAATAGCTGTGAATAATTTGATACTAACAGATGGTGGCCTGCTGTTTAAAAATTAGTCTGTTGCATTCAGGAGTGCCAGTTAATGTAGCTGTGAGATGAAATCCACTTTTCCTTAGTTTTCACTTTTCCCTGGTTTTAGCAGTTAGGAGCACCTACGCATTCACTGTTCTGTGTTTGGTAATCACTGTTTGCATCATGTTCTAACCTTCCATACCTTTTCTTAAAAAAAATTAATGTTTTAAAATAATTGTTTTAAATTAAAATGTAAGAATAAATTTTGACATTTCCTTTCTGCCTTTGAGATGACTTCCATATAGATTTAGATGTGTTCCTAGTGAAGGAAGTGCAGCAGCAGAGGCAGAGCATGATGTGTGACTGTATGGGTTCACTGGATGTATCTGCATCTTTCCCTCCCCTTCAAGCATATAGTTAACGTTCAATGAATACTCAATACTAATTAATGAATGAAACTGATTTTTATAATCAGTTGTCTGATGTTTATAAACTTATGGCTTCTGTTAAATTATATTAAAGTTTTAACATTACAAACCTGTGTTATCTGATAAGCTCCTTAACTGATAGCAGCTAGATTTTTTTCATCTCTAGTAGCCCGTAGGAAGGAGTATTAATAGACCAACTTTCAAGGCTAAATGGATGTAATTAGGAATTCAAAATCACCACCCAAATGCTATAGTGTTTTGAACAGAAAAGTTACATAACAAACTGGTTTACCATGATAAACTCTTTGCCACTAGAGGGTCCTATAGGGTTTCATATTCATCAATGCACTCCATAACTCTCGTTCTTTTTCTAAATATTTTCTATAGGAACAATCCCTTCAAAATTAAGACATTATTAAGTCACTGGTTTCAACTGAGGAAATGTAAACATTTGTTTATATACAGTAAGGATTACTAGCTTACCCTTTCAAAACTTTCCAAAATGTCTTAGACAACATAATAAAAAAAAGTATTATAAAAATATGCAAATAAAAGTAGTTTTCAAAATAGCATACAGTTAAAGAGATAAAACTCCCATTTAAAATGCTAGGGAAAAGTATATTACTTACTTACTTACTTAATTAATTAATTAATTACTTTTACACCCCACCTTTCCTCTGAGGATTCCAAGGTTATGAACATGATTACGTATACCCACCCACACAACAAGTCTAGGAGGTAGGTTTGATTGAGAGGCAGTGACTGGCTGAAGGTCACCCAATGAATTTCATGGCTGAAGATATTTTAATATTGGTCTTCCATGTCATAGTCTGACACTCTTATACCACACTGGCTCTTTGTATGCAAAGTTCCATATCTTGAGGATAAAATCATAAAATTGTACAGCTGGAAGGAACCACGAGAGTCATCTAGTTTTGGTCAAATCTTGATGTAGAATTGCTTGGAGCAATGGAAGTGGGATTACAATCAGTGGCATTTTCATGGGTCATTTTATTTGATGATATAAACATACCTTCTTTTTTTATGTGTCTGGGGCATTAACTTTCTTAGGGGGTTGCTTCCCCAGGTTATTATCCTTTGCTAATCTTCTTTTCTAACTCTGGTAACAACTAAATGTATGATGAATCCAACTTACTCTTCCACAAGTCAAAGACTAGGTTATTGTAATTAAAATGGTTAAAGTAACTTAATGATTTTTACTCTCAATGAATCTTCTAGGTCAGATGATAAACCATAATTTTAGCTGCCAGAGAAATTAACCTCCTAAACCTGCTCCTTCTGGAGAGCTACTTTCAAAAGTATGTATTGTTTTTTGATAATGTGCTTCACCATACCTAGTTGGGAATAACTTCAATATGTTCTGAGTGCAAGAAGCCTATGTGATTTAAAGTTAGTAGAAGGTTCTTTTGCTCAATCTAAGGTTTATCCCCTTTTTAATCCATTTCAAACTCTTTCCTCTAAATAGCCTTTCCTCTTAAGTGCTGGCAGTGACTACTCTCACTGCCTTGTTTGTTACTTTTGTGTCCAAGGCCTGTCTTGTTGCAGCATATCCACGATGATTGGATGTCAGTGAATCTCAGCATCAATTATTTGTCTGAGAGTCTCTTAATTTGGTTTGCATTTGCACATTCTGCTGTAACCCTGTTTCAGCCTTCAGGGCAACCCTGTGTTAACGACAGCATCCTCTATTTCAGTGACCTGAAATCGTCTAGCCTCCTCAAGATCTGTTTTTTATAATGTAGGTACAATACTACAGTTGACATGAGCATCAGGCCATTCAGCATTGCTACAAGCACTGCATATTAATTGTTAGGTATATGTCTTTCCTATTGCTCTAAAATGTAGGAAATGTTCTAATGCAACTCACTTGCAGTAATTATCTGTGGTCCATGCTTTGCCTGTGTAATGTTCTGCCAGTATTTAGGTACCACCCATACTCAAGCAAGGATTGACTTGCTAACAGTAGGTTGTATGTGTGTGAGAGAGAGAATGTATCCTGTAGGGTGGAGCATTTTCTACTGCTATGTTTTTCCATGGAAACAATCATTGTTTTGTAAAATTAGTAAAAGTATAATGAATGCCAGTTAAATTCGGAAGTTTCAAAATTGTAATTACCTTTCTTTAGGTGTCTGGTTTTTTTGAAGCATACATGTATTTCTAGTAAAAAATAAATACATAGTTTGGGGGGAGATGTTTAAATCAGTATATTAGCAGTTTTCAGTCCCTTTTTTCTCAGGATTTTAACAGTATTATTTGTATTAGTATTATTTCTTCAATTTATTACACAGCCTTCACCATCAGGTCCCAGGGTGGGTTACAACAATTAAAATTCAACAGTAAAAACAGTTGAAACATCTTGTAGTTAAAGGAATAGGTTTGGATCTGAAAACACACATTTCAGGTGTAAAAGGCTATGGAAAAGAGTTGTGTCTTCACCATATGGTGAAAACTGTATAATGAAGGTATCATACACACATCTGTGGAGATGAAATTTCATAGCTTAGGAGAGTGTTCTCTTCCTGGGCCCCACTCTCTGAACGTCTGAGGATGGTGGAACTGCTAAGAGGTCCCCCTCTGTTGCTTTTAACATGTGAGAGATTCTGTGTACAAGGAGGTAGTCTTATGTGGGGCCTAAGTCATAGAGTTTTAAGTCATTTGGGGCCCCAGAAGCAAGTTATGCTCAAAAACAGGTTATATAATGAAGTGGATACTACAAGTAGTCATTTATTAAAATATTGACAGGTGTTCCTATGAAAAAATATAGCTTTGGTGTACAAGTTACCGATTTCCTTCTAAAACCAACTATTTCAGTTCAACATCCAACTACTTTTGGCTATTGGGAAAACCTTAGAATGGAGATATCCAATGTTGTGCCCTCCCAGATGTAATGGGGGCTGCAGCTTCCCTTATCCTTAACTGTTGGCTCCGCTGGCGAAAGTGGAGAGCACCATGTTAGGTACTACTGCTTTAAAGATATTAATAGAGCATGTAAAATTGATATGGCAAATATAAATGATAAATCTGATCCTAATTGCTAAGAGCACTGGGAATAAAACTTTCCCAGGAAATTTGTTTTTTCATAATTTTGGGGGAAACTGTCTTGCTGGATATTAACTGATATTAATATTGTAGTCTTAAACTGTTGTAACCTACCCTAAGATGTCATGGTGAAGGGCAGGCAAAAAAATCTAATGAATGATATTTCAATGTGTGCATAATATAATAGGAATAAGACAACTCAGGCCATTGGGAAAACAAATTACTCTATTTTGGATCTCCCTGGTTCTTGGCATTGAAATTTTCCTAACTTTCTGACTTAGCTTTGCATTTAACTGAATTGTTGGCCCTATAGTTTTTCTGCGTTATAGGAGAAACTGATACCAATAAGTTAAATTTCCAGTATCTAGCCGAGATATCAAAGTAGTACTTTCAGCTAAATGCGAATTATCGCTCATAGGTGGGACATTTATTTTTCTTTATTCTCTATCCCCTCCATAGTGCTCATGTGTTATCTCTCTTTCTACTCTCATTGTCAAGACTATTTATTTGGAGGTGACACAGGAAGCAGGCAGATAAACAGATTATTCCAGATAGTGTAGGGCTCAGGCTTCAGTCCTATACATAGGAGTAAATCCCAGTGAAATTGGTGGAACTTATTGCTGAGTAGACATTGCAGTGTAAGTATACAAATGATTGAGAAGCCAGGCCAGATGCTGTATAAGACCAGATTATACCAGTTGTCCCACACTGATCCAGTAACAACAGTACTACTTTCTGGCTATCTCAGGCTTTCATTCTAAAAGGTATGACACAAAAGGAAAAGAAATTGGGAAGTATGAAGGGGGAAAAGCAAACTCTGGCACTGTTTCCTAGCTGTAAAGTTTGTGCAATGATCAGTGGGAATGGAAAGATTTCAAGGAGAGAAGCCAAAAGTGGCTGGTCTTTCAACACAGCAGATGTGGAGTCCCTGCAGTCCTATCTCTCCTTTTATGTGTCTAATGGAATGGCTGCTATCGATGGCTTCTGGAGAGGAAGTCTGATGAAGCCAGTGTTTTGCAGAGCAGGTGAAGAGGCCCTGCAGCCTCATCTCTAAATTTTTCTCTTGCAGCCCAAGGTAGTGAACAAAGTGTCCAGGTCATGCTGCTAGAGTCCCTAGTTTGTGTCTCCTGCGTAGTACTGTAATGAGAAGGCAGTGAGTACAAGGCACAAAGTAACTCTTGTTGTAGTTGTCTTTTTTCCCCCTTCGGGAATCTTTATTTGTGATTTCCCAGTTTTTAAAAAATAATAGTAGACTTGCAGTGACAAAATCTGCAGCAGTCCTCCACTTCTGTTTACCAGTGCCTTGAAAAGTCACTAATACAGAAATGGAAAGGAGGAATTATCTGTTAATGGCCTCACAATGCAATATCCTAATTGCTGAGATAAGGATATACAAGTGTATTACTGGCAGTTGGATAACTCTGTTCTACCTGTGTCAGGAGATAACATCGCTCAAACTAGCAAACCTTCAGTTTGTGTGTGGCTGCCCTGTGTGATGAGCAACTGAACTTCATGCTAAGGCATCTGCCTAAGGTGTATCTTCAAGTCCAGAACTGATCCTGCCCTCCGAGACTGGTTTTTAGATACTCTTGAACAGGAATGACTATAAGAATACTTTCTGTTCGAATTAAATTTTGTCCAAGCAATCTCCTAATCATGGCTGGACAGGGCTATGCATTTACCAAGCCCAATTATTAAGAATATAAGAGTCCCACTGGATGTGACTGATGGCCCATTTATCCCAGCATCCTTTTCTCACAGTGATCAAACAGATGCCTATGAAAAAGTTGAAGGAGGACATCAGTCCAAAAGCACTCTCTCCACTTGTGATGAAGCTGTATCCCAGTTTCCCAGCATAGGTACACAGAGACATACTGAAGGTGGACCATTACTATCATGCCTGTGTTTTGTCTGTGACTGTCAAGCACCCCTTGATCCATTTTCCAGAATTCACTAAAATAACTTATTAGCAGTGTGTACACAGTAATTCTTCTAACCCTTAATATTGGAAATGAGGTGACTTAAAGAAAAGCTTTTTAATAAAAGAAGAATCTGATCAGTTATTTAAATACCTAAAATTCAGATTTGTAGCCGTAATTGATGTGAATTTAACTTTTAATTTTCTAGAGGACTGGAAAGGTCTGGCCTCCTACCAGAGGGAGTTATTTAACAAGCTATAGCAATTTAAATACGTGGTAAAGTAGGGTGGAGAACTGCATCTGGCTGGCAGGCCAGATGGTTATTTCCCCCACCCCTTGTGGGTCAAGTTTGACAGTGACATTGGGTGATCTTTTTTGCTTGCATGGGTCTCCAAAAGCCCCTTGCAAAGATCTGCAATGTAGCACTTTTCAGGAGACTTAGCAAGACACAACAACTAGCTGATCATCGTAGCCCCTTGCAAAATGCTATGTTGCCATAGGGTTTTGCAGGCAGTGCCAGAGAAAACCCCTTTTGGCTGAGCCAAGTTTTTACCTGCCCCATACCTGATACTATATATGATATAAGGTGTAAGATAGGAGGGCTTGGCTTAAATGGCCTTACATGCCCAAAGGGAAGGCCTGGTGGGCCTAATTTCCTGCACCTTTTGTAAAGTGTAATATATATGCAGACTGTGCACAAGGAGAGAAATTGCTATGACTGACTAATTTCATGGTTCACTCTTGGTGCATTTTGCAGATATCTTAATGTATGCTTTGTTGGTCTGGAGTATGCCCTATCCAAATTTACTAGGGCTATTTGCATTCATCTGGTATATCATACAATGTGGTTAGACAATATATATGTGCTGGACTGCATATTTCTCATGCAGTGTTTTCCCCACCCTTTAAGAACACTAGCAGTGGAAATATTGCTGTAACTGCTGGACGCTTCTGTTTCTTTCTTTCTTTCTTTCTTTCTTTCTTTCTTTCTTTCTTTCTCATTCCCTATTAAATTCCACTGACAATGCAAACATGTGCTTCCTATATCCCTGCCCTGGCCTCATCTGAACATATGCAACTGCTGGCACTTCACTAGTTGTGACTAGATTAGGCTTCAGAGTTGCTGATACTGGCATTGAAAGAGCTGCTTACAGGAGCCCATGATGCTGAACTTGCTTCCAGATTCCAGATTCAGAATTGATGGTTATGCATGTATGACTATAAAACAAGAATGGAAAGTATGATCTGTTATTTGGCTTCACAGAAAATTGAAAAAATGAATAGAGATGAGCTTTAAATTTTTTTTAGCTGACTTTGATTTCATTTAAACATCATTTACCTCTACTTCTGTTTGAAACCATTATTACCCGGGAAGCGGGGGGGGGGGGTCCTAAAAAGCAATACTGACAGCTAACAACTTTTGTTTATGGTCTTCAGTCCTCACAAAAATATTTTAATGAAACCTCCATATATGAATGTAGTATATGGGACTGAAATTGTTTCAGAACTACTTCTGAAGCAGGTAGGCACACAGTAAATGTGTTAAGTAAGAGATAGTAAGAGATAGTGTTTCTCCATTGAATATGATGCAGTATAGCATTCATAAAACACTTTTATATCATCTTCACTTAAAAACATTCTCGTGCTGTCAGTGTTGGTCAGCAGACAGCCATGCATGGTCCCAGTTAGATTGCGATCATGTTTAGATGAAGAACTGGGGCAGATTCAAAGGAGAGTTGTTGCGGAGTCAGAGTTATTGCAGGCCAAGATCTGAGCCAGCAGACATTCTTAGCAGGCTAAGGTGGGCAGAGAAAAAGGAGGAATAGACATTATGACAGTCAAAGAAGCAAAGTTAGGGAGTGACAGAACCAAGGCGAGAGTTGCCTTGTTGCACATGCAAATACTTACTGCAAGCTAGGAGCATTTATGGTCTGTCCAGGAAGAACCAATGGACTGTTTAGGGATGGAACCATTCTGCAGGCTATGTAATAATAAATTATTATATTATTATATAGGAAAGCAATATTTGTATTTTCTTCCTACACTCTTAATCCCCATTGTTTGCCGTCAAGGGCAATAGAAGACCAAGGAGGAGCGCTCTAGTTCAAGATTTAGTTGAACCTTACACTAAGTTTTTATGTGGTTTAAGGTTTTAAAGGAGTTGATAGCAGAAGGGATAATAGTGGTTCATTGCATTGGTCATATAGTTTCTTTGAGATGTACACATTTTTATAATCTGGGTAAGATTTAGTCTGATCAGTTAGGTCTGTTTTATTTTTCAACCTGTAGAGAACATCTGTAGATAGTAGTTTTGTTAAGATTTGGAAGTATATTAGTAGTCTGACTCCCTCAGGAGGTTGCTGACTCTCCTTTTTTGGGAGTATTTAAAGCAGAGGTTGGATGGCCATCTGTCATGTATGATCTAGTTGAGATTCTTGCATTGCAGGGGTTTACAAGATGATCCTTGGGGTCCCTGACAACTCTACAGTTCTGTTTCTATATGAATGACAAGCTAGGTTTAAATTTTCATTTTTAAAAGCATTGTTTGGAGTGACATGAAACATGTAAACAAAACCCCCTTGCAGTACATAAAGATCATTTTATTGCGCACATAAAATCTCATTTTCACTCTCACACAATGTGTCTTTAGATAAACAGAATAATTGAAGAATATGATTTCTATGACTTCTGATAAAGAAAATGTAAGACACATATAGCATTTTCATAAATCTGCCAGGAAAGCTTAACATAATTAATTGAAAAATAGAGCAGGGCATTTCCCTTACCCTAATGACTTCTTAAATCCACACCAGCTTATCAAAGAAAGCATTAATTAGAGTAATTGCAGAGCCAGCTGTCTATTGCTTGCTGTCCAGTACCTTCTGTTGAGGAAACCACAAAACTCACAGTAAGGTTTTTTTTTTTAGATAACTAATTAAAACTCTTGTGTGTTGCAAACTGACAATGTAACCTTTTGGATTACATTGCACATCCTACTCTGGCTGCATATTTGAAAGTTCACACATACGGGTTTTTCTTATGCAGAATGGGGAGTGGCTACATTGCTAGTGTAGTGCTTTTAAAACATGTTACCACTTGATTCATGGTGCAAGTTCATGTCCAGGACATGATATTGTTACATCATGCAGAAAGAAGGTGTGGTAAAGCTAGAGTGAAGTTGCCATTTTCATATTCATAAAAGTAAAATTTGAGTGTTAAACAATGCCATGGCATTTGTTTAAGTAAGGGTAGCTAGCTCTTTGCATTCCATGAATTTTTGAAGGTGTTAATGGTACAGTTACAAACTTATTATGTATCTGGGTGTTTTGGAGAAGGTTCATGATGATAATGAAGGATGGTGGTGCTTCTGATTAATGGGCTGCTACAGACTCTAGTTGTGTTGCTTGTTCAGTCCATTATTCACTTTCATTTGTTGCTAAGCAGTCGCTGGCTGCACAAAGGTTGTATGTGCTATGCAGATCATGTGTATTGTCCAACTGTTTAACCACATATTTGCATCTTTCTACTTGCAGTTTTACAGAGTTAGGACCAATCTGTTATCAAATTAACAATCTAGAAGTTTAGAAGAAAATTATCAGTCTGATTGATTAGAATAGTCCTTCCTTGAGTTCCTCATCTACAAAGTAGGAATAGCATATTACTCTATTGTACTGTTGTATTATTCCTTTGCAAAGTTGGAATTAAAGTGGAAGCAAATCCATAGTTGTTGTTTTTTAATTTTTGCAAACCTTCATGTTCCCTTGAGCTTGCTGATTCCTCCCTCTTGTGTGCATTCGTGTGTGGTAGATTGAGATCACTACTAGTGTATACAAGTAGGGCCTTGAAGCAAAATTTTGTAGTGTGAAGTATTTCTGTTCAGGGTTCTAGCCATTTCATTTCCCCTCCCCATGATGTTCCTTTCCAACAGTCAGTCAGCATCCTGTGCCCCCTGAGCACTCCTGCGCACTTTGGGGCTACCTTGAGTTTGTTGATACCCCCTTCTCATGAGTGTATGGCATAGTTTTGACTACTAGCTGTGGGCTCACTGTCTCTGGAAGATCATAAATAGAATAAAAGAGAGAATGTACTGGGATCTCTCATAATGAGAAAGAGTAATCTCTTGCTTTCTCCCCTCCTTTTTTTTTTTTTGTCAGATAGCACCAGTATTTGGTTGGCTGTATGGGAGAGGGACATAAATATTTACAGCATCCTCAGTCTAAACACTAGACACATTCCTAAGTCACCCTTCTGGTCGCAGCAAGTAGGAGGCCCTAGCTAAGGTGAGGTCCTTCAAGGATCACATGACTTCAGTGTTATAAACTGCATACTCGTTTTTTAAAACGGGCAGTTCTTTTATGGCAGGGCAGAGGAGCTAATTTCAGAGCCACAAACGTTCCAAGATAGCCCTGGTTGCTAATTAGTCCTTCAGCTAGGTTTATGCATAGCTCCTGTGTTCTAGCTGGAACAGTATTTAGAACTCCAGGAACATACATGTTTCGGATGTTTTAAGTCCCTGAATTCCCTTACCATGTTTTAATTGGATTTTTGGCACTTACTGGCAACACTGTGTACCATATTTTTCGCCCTATAGAACACACTGTCCCATAAGGCACACCTAGTTTTTTGGGGGGGAAATAAAGGGAAATTTTTTTATTTCCCCCCCAGGTGCGGGGCTGGGGCGGGGGAAGCCAGAGCTTCCCCCGACCCCAGCCCCCAGAACAGGCAACTCTCCGCAAGCCGCGGGATTCCAGCGCCGGTTTCCCGCGCCTTGCGGAGAGCCGCACGAAGTCTGGGCGCGCTGAGCTCAGCGCGCCCAGCCTTCGGCATGCAGGCAAGTCTCCGTAAGGCGTGGGAGCCCAGCGCCGGGTTCCCGCGCCTTGCGGAGATCTGCGGGAAGCCTGGAGAGCGAGAGGGGTCGGTGCGCACCGACCCTCTCGCTCTCCAGGCTTCAGCGAATGCCTGCATTCGCCACATAGGATGCACACACATTTCCCCTTCATTTTTGGAGGGGGAAAAAGTGCGTCCTATGGGGCGAAAAATACGGTATTTGTGTCTGCGCGTGTGCGCATGCTGCTTAGTATGGGAAAACTCCTACCCTTCAACTGTGTGAACACACCCAACTCCCTAAAATGTAGGATTAGAATCAGTGCTGGCCAGAAGGCAAGAATGTGTCTTGGCACCATTTATTTTATAAATTAAACATGGGACTTTCATCACAATTCTGTGGGAATGAATTAGGTAGCAAAATGTTAAACCTGTCCTGAACCTAGAAAAATACAGGTTATCAATCCAGCTAACTAAATAAAGGGCACAATTAATGCCATTCTTCTGGATTTATTAATGCTTCAGGGCTTAGCTAGGGAAAATGCAGTAGCAACTGAAATGGGAAGACAGAGCTTTGAAACCACTCTAAAATCTAATTTGTTGAGTTACAAAGTGATTTGATCAACCTGTGCAATGAGAAAAGGGCACACTTTAAAAATCAAATTTATTTTCAAAGTTTCGCTTAATGAAATAGTCCTGCGTCTTGATGTGTTTGCAAACAAGACAAATAGATTTTCTGATATTGTGAGTTTTCTTTCAGTTATTTTTGTAAGAGTACAGCAAAATTAAACATACTTCTTATTTCCAGTTTACAGGATGACAGAATTAGGGTAGAGAGGATGGAAAACAAGCATTTTGAGTACAGCAATGCTTTCCAACTGATTACAAACTTCTATGGAGATCGAGTACTTGATAGTAAAGGTAACTGATTCAGAAATACACTGAAATTTGTCTGAATAGTTTTCATTTGTATTAAATAGGTTTTTATTATTTTGTAAAAGTTACTTCACGGTGTCATATTTTCCTTAATTTACAAGTAGATTTTAATATTCTGAGATTGTGCTTGTTAATATATAGAGTTTTTGATATACGATAGATTCCGGAGTATTAGGCAACTGGACGTATAAGGTGCTGGGAGGAAGCCGCGCGCAATGGGGCCTGCCGCCCACTGCTGCTGCAGCGGCAGCTTTGGCAGCCTCTGAAGCAGCAGTGGGCGGCAGTCTCCACGCTGGGAGGAAGCTGCCTGGTGCCCACTGCTGCCTCGGAGGTAGTACCCAGCGTATAAGACGACCCCCGACTTTTTAACCTCTTTTCTGGGGTTAAAAAGTCGTCTTATACGCTGGAATCTACGGGGTGTGTGTGTGTGTGTGTGTATTGTATAGCAGTATTGAAGAATCAGAGAGGTCATTCCATCCATATTTATTTCTTGATAACCAGTAAACATTAATTTTAAATTACAGATTATTCAAATAAAAACTCCAAGAATAATTCAAGAACTAAACTCTTTACTAGTCAGTTGAGCAGCAAGTTGGGCCTGGTTTGCTTTTGGAAAGGGAGCCACACAAGGAATCTTGACAGTGCCTTAGAGCAGTGTTTCTCAACCTGTGGGTCCCCAGATGTTGTTGGACTACAACTCCCATCATCCCTGAACTCTGGCCTTGCTAGCTAGGGATGATGGGAGTTGTAGGCCAAAAACATCTGGGGACCCAAAGTTGAGAAAGGCTGCCTTAGAGTATTTGTCTCAGAGGAGATTTGACGAAGTTAGTTTCCTAATTAATTTCTTGCAATGCAATCCTATACATGTCTATTCTTAAGTAAGCTATTCATAGTTCATTGGTACTTGCTTCTAAGTAATTTTGTATAGGTTTTCAGTCTTAGGCTGTTTCCATGCAACCAGTTTGTCAAGTAACAAATGCTTAGTTAACTTGTTTCTGTTAAGAAAGCTTTTGATATTATATATGGGATGATGATGATGATGATGTTAATAATATAAATGATATAATATACTTGCAGTGTGTCCTAACCAGGTCATACTCAGTAACATTGAATATCACCCAACATTTTTTGGATTCTCATTTTCCCAGTAATAAATGGTTGCTGTGAAAAATATGGTTCTTTTTCTATCTAGTTTGCACCATTGCAATGGTAACATAAACCCCTATTACATAGTATACAGAACCTTGTAGGTAAGTGGCATAAGATCCTGCCCATGTGTTTGTACCCGTTTGTGGTAATACAAAAGTATATACTGAAGAATTTGAAGGAAGCAAATACCAGGAAGGCTTTCCATTCCTCAGTAGCAATGCTACTGCTTTTCCTCTTTCTCCTCCTCTCCAGCTCTGGAATGCACAGCCACTATTTCCCGTGCAGCAAAGCTTCTTCCCTTGCCTGAATCCAATATATCATGCAGAATTTGATAACTCTTCTTGCCCAGTAAGGCGTCACAGTTTTTCCCTGTCCCAAGATGCACAAACAAACACAAGGCATTAAATGTGTAGATTGTAAAAATACCACAAATAACTCGCTGAAGGAGATATCTTTGCTGCACTGTCCATAAGTATGAGGTAGGCAAAAGAAATATTTGTTGTAGTAGTGATTAGGATGCCAATTTGGAGCGAGAGCTAAAATATAGTGCAGAATAGGAGCTCCTACACACTGGATTTTATATGTTGCTGTAATAAAAGCTGCTTGTAATACAACTACACAAATTACAATTGTATTTTTAAGGTTCCCAAGCATTGTCAGTGGTTTTAAACTTGGATAAGTCAGTGCTATGCTCCCTGGCTGCTGTAATCATGTATCTTAAAGAATTTAATTTAGAAAAGATACTCTACAACCCAAGGTAAGTACTTTTAATTTCAGAAAATCACAATCCTGAACAAAGAATACTGTAGGGATATTATTTTGCATCCTCTGGCCAATTTCCTTTCATAAAATAAGTGTACTTTTTGTGCTATCCCACTTGTAAACGAGTTCTATACTGTACTATAAACTAGGCATTTAAAGCTAACAAAAGTGGGAAAACTTTAGAAATGTAAAAGTATATGCTTGTAGTGGTTTTTAAAATTACTTACCTGATTATTATACTGCCTATAATTCTGCCTATAACTACTATAATACTAAATGCAGAACTGCTATGAGAGGAATTTTTAAGCAAATCCTTATTCTATCAAATCACCACTTCTGTGCCAATAATACTCTTGCTGCAGTTGTCGCATATAAAAACAGTTTTTTATCTTGTCTTTTAATGTCAGTGCCTACAATACCAAGTAAAAATGCTTCTGGTTTTTTTAATAAATGTATATTTCAACATCTTTTCCATCTCATTATAAATCATTTCCCAGAAGCCTTTCACTTTCTTACATTCCCACCACAGATGATAAAAAGTGCCTCTTTTACCTCTTCATAAGGTTTAATTTTCCAGTTATTTCCTTCTTCTCTTACTAACTTTTCATATGTGCCCCAAGTTTTACTCATATTTATCTTTTTTACACTCATTGTTTCCAAAGGTGACAACCACCATGGTGTTTTACGTTCTAATAGGTTTTTGTACCTATCCCAAATTTCATATAGAGCTCTTTGGAATATGTGGTTTCCAAATCCTTTATGCACTTTTGATTTGTCATACCATAAATATACGTGCCAACCAAACCTATTGTCAAATCCTTCTAAGTCCAACAAATCTGTATTTTCTAACAATATCCATTCCTTCAACCAACAAAGGCAGGGTGGTTCATAGTATAACTTCAAGTCTGGCAAGGCAAAGCCCCCTCTTTCTCTAATATCAGTTAACAATTTAAATTTAATTCTTGGTTTCTTCCCCTGCCAGATATATCTTGAAATTATTTTCTGCCACTCCTTAAATATAGCTGCCCCTTTGATTATCAGAATTGATTGGAACAAAAATAACAGTTTTGGTAGCACATTCATTTTAATGACTGACATCCTATCCTATAGAGAAAGTTGCATCCGTCCCCACACTTTCAAATCTCTCTTAATTCCATTCCACATCGGTGTCTAATTATCTTGGAAAAAAATTATATTCTTTGGGGTTAGCCAAATTACCAAATATTTCACTTTTTTTACTACTTCTATACCAGTTTGTTGTTGCAGCATAGCCACCAAATCTTGTTTCATATTTTTAACTAACATTTTAGTTTTCTTTTTATTTAATTTGAGACCTGCTACTTGTCCGAACTGTTCTATTTCTTCTAGTGTTTCTTTATCACTAGTTAATGGGTCTTCCATTGTTAAAACCAAGTCATCTGCAAAGGCTTTCACTTTAACATTGGTAGTTGATTTTAAATTAGTTTTCCCCAGAAGTAAAATGATTCACATGTGTTTACCAGAAGCTGTTTCTCCTTCATATGTCTTAACGTGCTTTCCCCAACAATATACAAAGCCATGATTTTATTTTAAAGCTTAATAAGCAATTATTTTGTGTCATCACTATGGAATAATCTTTTTATTTCAGTAATTTTAAGAAGTTATCAAGTGAAGCTGAATATATGATACTTAATGGGTCTACAGTAAATAATCTTGAAATCTTACAGAATCAGGTAAGAAAGTATGCTTCATCCTGCACATTTCTTTGCTTGGGAAGCATGTCTTGGATTATTGCATGTGTTCTTCATACACCAGTTCTCCCCTAGCTTCCTGTGTTTAGTCAGATTTTCCCCAGCTAGGCTCTAACAATGGAAGTAAGTTGAAACAGGAGACCTATGATTCTGTTATTCTTTCTCGGAAGCAATATATTCAGGGAAGAATCAGCAGTTAGAACATGGGTCAGCAAACTAAGCTCCATGGGCCGGATCAGGCCCAATTGCTTTCTAAATCCAGCCCAGAGATGGTCCGCGAATTGCAGAGGATCGCTAGCACGCGCACGTTCTTTCCCTCTCCCTCGCACAATGGTGGTGGCGGCGGCGCCTCCTCGCTCCCTCCTGGCTTCTCCCCGCCCTGCCTAGAGGAGGAAGGGGGCTGGGCTTTGTTGCTGCCAGCCCCTCCAGAGCCCTTTCTCGTGCTGTTCATCATCCCTCCACTGCCGTTCTTTTTTTTTTCCTTTCCAAAATATAGTCCGGCCCCCCACAAGGTCTGAGGGGCAGCTGAAAAAGTTTGAGGACCCCTGAGTTAGAATTTAGCAGCTAGTCTCCTGATTTCCCTCTGAGCCTATGTTCACAGTACTTTAGTAAATGCAGTTTTGGGGTAATGCATTTACCAAGGTGACATATTCATTGTTTTGATTTGTACCCTGTCTTTTTATCAGATAATGTACAACTCTAGAAGGATGCCAGCATAATTTAATACCCATCAAGAAGAAGAACATGGTGCAGGGCATGCATGTTCTGAGAGCATATGATGCAGCCAGCTTGTTGAAGTTAAGCAGGTCCTGGTCTAGTCATTTTTAATTCTGTGATGAATGAAAGGCCAGATATAAGTACAGTGGAGCTCTAGTTGCGGACACGATCCACTCTGGGGTACTGTTCGCACCCCGAAAAGTCTGCAACTAGAGCAGCGCTTCTGCGCAAGCACGGAGCGCGATAAAGCGCTTCTGTGCATGCGTGAAGTGCTCAGAATGCTTCTGCACGTGCGTGAAGCAGTCAAACTGTTTCTGCTCATGCGCACACAGCAAAACCCTGAAGTATACACTTCCGGGTTTGCTGTGTTCGCAAGCTGAAAAGACACAACATGAACCTAATGCAACACAAGGTATGACTCTGTACTGAAGATAAGACTTCCTTTTTAAAAGTGAAGCTCTTGCCCATAAAAGGCACAAACACTTGGAACAAAACTGTAAATGGAAAATAAGCCAAGGAGAGAAGGAATTTACTGAAGATAAAAAAAATGGCTAAAGATATAAAATAATAAATAAACATTTACACCAAAAGCAGGAATCTAGTCACAAAAATCACTGGAGTTATAGAAAGAAAAAGAAAAAGAAAACTTTTTTCCAGAAGTTCAAGAGATTCATATCTAAATCACTGCATTGATGTTATTAGTATGTATAATGTGTGGAAATAAGTTGTAGAACAAACAGACAAAAGACAAAGTTATTGGCCACTAGAACCAAATGTCATTTATCAAAGAGCACAATCTTTTCAGAAGTGTAGATATTATTAACATTGACCTCTTTATGGGAGGATTGTGGTAGCCACTGTAACACCACTTTTCAAAAAAAGGATCCACAGACATTCAAGGAAATGTGAGTTTCTGAGGAAAAAGGTAAACTTATTTTGTTGTACATTTTTATCATACTTTTTTATTTTATGTTGATGAAAAACAGAATATGTTTAAAGAACTAAGATTCTTAAAGTTCAGATTTCCCATATTTTCTTTCAAATGTGTTTTAATTGATTGAATAAAACACTGTCATTACTGCAGACTGATAAGAAAAAAAAAGGCAGCCTGTTTTGGGTCTTGGATCATACAAAAACTTCATTTGGGCAACGAAGACTAAAGAAATGGGTGACACAGCCTCTTTTGAATTCCAGGTATTCATTACCAAATAACTTTGCTACCCAGTAGCTGAGCTGGATATTGATTATTTTAAAGTTATAATACTTTTGTTTTTCCTTCGATGAGAGTCTATGCAGCTAATTTTCTTCTTAGGCTAAATTAAACACTGCTAGCTTCGAGGAATAATTACCAACTTTCAGATCAGCTCTGCTACTCCAGCTCTTATACTCCATGTAAAATTTAGTGTGTTTTTAGGTTTTGGCTGTTACAAAAAATGCATTTGCCTGTTTCTGCATCCTTTAAACATGCTGGCAGTGTAATAGCATTAATTTCTATGTCTAATGGAACTCCTTTTTGAATAATATATAGTTGTCCTTGACTTTGGCCATACTTAGGTATAAAATAAAAACTCTTCATTGGCTAGGCGTTGGGATGTAACAGATAGTTTTGTTGATTTTAGTGTTGCTGCTTTGTTCTGATTCCATTTTTAGATTTGATGCAGTGTTTTAACAATATTTTATTTGTTTTGATTGTGATGTTCTGTATTGCTAGCCACCCTGTGCTTCCATTGGGAGGAAGGCCAGGACAGAAACATAAGGAAATAAATAAAATGCTTCACTTCTAACGTAGTTGGGTTTTGTTTTGCTTTCTTACAGGGAATCCCATAAGATACTCTTATGGTGTAAATTTATTGAGAATTAACTTCTGCTGTGCCCATTGGGGATCACTCACTACTGTGTCTTATTTACATGTTCATCCTAGGAACTATTTTCAGCTGTGCAGTGATTGTGACAATTATAGAAGAGTCAGTGTCTGCCCTTGGCAGTTCAGTCTGATAACAGTTGGAAACAATGGGAGAGACATTCCCCTGTTATAGTACTAGTGGGGAGTGATCACTGGTAGGAGACAAAATTCTGCTAGCTGGAAGCATGCAGTTGTTTGTTGTTGCCATTTAACTGAATTTCAGAATTTAGAATTTTATGTAAAATCCTTACCAGTCAGCAGTTTTTTTTCTTTGCAGTAATATATGAATGGAAGTTGAGAAAACTATGATACCGGCTGATGTGCCTCTTTATCTTTTTTCCTAATCAGTTTGCATTCAGCAGCTTCCTCTCCTGACTTATCATGATGAATGACTGTTGTTGCAACAAAATGTGCTGTAATTGTAGATCAGAATTATTTATGATGATTGCAGCTTTTCATTACGGATGCATTCTACTCAATGGCTCATCTCTCCCTAAGGATGGAATGTGTATGACTAAAGCCTAATTTAGACCCAGTAGTAATTCTGCTTAGAACTGGATCAACATACAGTAAATACTTTGGAACTAAAACTTTCTTTTGGAAAATATGGGTGTGGGACATGAGAGTAAGACAGGGACCATTGTATCAGAGATAGAAGTAATGTGTGAAGCTTGATGTCCCAATATTGGGCTAATTGCTCATACATAGCTTTTCATAATGCTATAGACAATGGCTCCTCTCCTTCTACAATTGAGGTATGAATACAACTTTGTATGAAAAATGATCCTGTCTCTTATGCTAGACACTTAAAGATTATCCACAGCTGCAACTGATTTATATGGCAGAGAAAGGGTAAACATATTCCCAGTTGTAGAGAAATGATTTGATTTCAGAGTTTGACCCTCCCCCCAGGACCTCTTTGAACTATCGGTCAATCCCCCCTTTCCTCATATCATCCCCTAAAGTGTCATCCAGTGAGGAAAAAGAGGAGAAAGACTAAGAGCTGCATTTATCCCTCACTGGTAATTGCAACGATTTTAAAAAATGGTTTCCTAGTACTTTACACAATTTTGCTTATACACTCGATAGCCAGGAACATAACCCTTGCATAAGATTACCTGTATTTGGCAAACATTTAAATCCTTCATTTGTACAAATTTGGTTGTTTCCTTTTTCAAGGTGATTGTTGCTGAAGTTGCATTTTACTTGTGCAAAACAAAAGCCCTTGATTGCCATTTAACAGATGTGGAGATAGTAGTATGCAGATCTAGTCATCCCTCTAGATGCATTCATGAATATTTTCACTATTGTTTAGCAAATATGAAGAGAGCTGTGCCATTATACTACAAAAAAACCAAAAGGAGCCATTCTAAAATTGCTGGAAATGGGCTGTGGGATATGGAGTATGTTTCAAGATGTTTCAAGTTTTTAATGTTTTACTTAGAAGGTTGAGAGAAGAAAAGGAAACTTCATCCTAGTAATAGTTCTGCAGTTCCTTGAAGAGTCTTGTCAGGCTCAAAACTAGATGGGTGTTTTTGCATGGGTTTTTGTTTAACTTTCTCTCACACTTTTGGCATGGACCATATTGTCCCCGTCCCCCAGCCACATGGTTGTTCATACTCAGGGGCTTCCTGACAGAAAAAAGACTGTTGCAGCTTTTATGCTAAAAGTATATAGAAAGTTTGATCCATCTATCTCAATTGCTGTAAATCTTAATAATAATAATAATAATAATAATAATAATTATTATTATTATTTATTATTTATACCCCGCCCATCTGGCTGGGCTTTCCCAGCCATTCTGGGCGGCTTCCAAAAAAATATTAAAATACTGTAATACATCAAACATTAAAAGCTTCCCTAAACAGGGCTGCCTTCAGATGTCGTCTAAGAGTCTGGTAGTTGTTGATCTCTTTGACATCTGGGGGAGGGCGTTCCACAGGGAGGGTGCCACTACCAAGAAGGCCCTCTGCCTGGTTCCCTGTAACTTGGCTTCTCGCCAGAAGGCCCTCAGTGCTGGACCTCAGTGTCCGGGTAGAACGATGGGGGTGGAGACGCTCCTTCACGTATACTGGACCAAGGCCGTTGAGGGCTTTAAAGGTCAGCACCAACACTTTGAATTGTGCTCAGAAACGTACTGGGAGCTAATGTAGGTCTTTCAAGACCGTGTTATATGGTCTCGGCGGCCGCTCCCAGTCACCAGTCTGGCTGCCGCGTTCTGGATTGTAAATAATATTGTAGCGCAATTTGTGTTTGTATAAAATTTAGGCAATATACATGATGCGAGGCGCAGTATAGATATAAAAACAAACTAAAATTCAGATAATACAATCTGAATATTTAGTTTCTCATAATACTTGTTGTACTGTATTTACAACAGATTGTAGTAGAAGCAAAAATGTTTTAAATGGCCCTTTTACAGTGGCATATTTATCCCATACATAATCCTCTATGGAGTCTTATATTTTATTATTCTTGGGAAAGTGTTTAAAAAACATAGTGAGGTGAAAAAAATGGGTCACTTGATATTGGATGATGTTCTCTTGACCCAGTTTTTAAATATTGAGGATTACAGCAGGCAAAGTGTATGCATGCTTCTTTTGTGTTAGATTACTAGAGCTATAGTAGCATAGCCATATGTGAAAATGATTTAAAGTGCAGATTAACCTTTCGAGGGTAGTGTTTCATCTTTCCTCTGTCGTAGTATGTTTACATTTACTGTTTCATGTTAGTATATTATGTATTCATAAATAGAGTTCATAATCATGTTTTTCCAGTCCCAATGTGATATATAGTTAGTATTTTTAGATGTATTTATGTTCTCCTTTAAATACCCATACAAAAAGTAGGGGGGGAAATGTCTGAAGCCTTTTGACTCAGAGAATGGGCCTCCATTTGAATCATAACAGTCACAGCTTTTTGAAAAGGCCAGCTCAGGTGGAATGCTACCCATAAATGTAATGCTAGATCCTTCAATTTAGAGAGGGGTGTGTGTGTTCTGTATGTTGAATTGGCTCTCCTAATTTCTGGACTGGTACTAAGCTAGCCCCTGATTGCTGGTTTATCCAGACAGATTAGTATAATCAGCTTGACATGGGAGCAAGAAGGGAGAAAAATTGAGAGGGGGGAAAGTGTTGGCATAAAAGAGTGCCAGAAATTTGAATGTGGGGGGAGGGAGATAAAGAGGAAAACAGAGCAGCAAAGGTTTTAATAAAGCAGGGATGAAAACACACAGAGGAAAATGGTACATAGTTTTAAACAACAACAGAGGTTTGAATAGAGCAGGGATGGTGTAAATCTGAAGGGGGAAGCGGCAATTTTAAACATGACAGAGCTTTCAGTGGAGCGAGCAGGGGTGACTCTGGGGGTTGGGGAAATGAATGTTTAAAAACAAAGTTTGAGTACCCCAATAAGGGAGTGGGGGAAAGTGTTAGCTGCTGCATTGTACCCATCTCTGCTATTTCTTCTTGTTAAAATTGGTTTGTTTTTAAAAACTCTTGAGTGTCTCTATATCCCTGAAGGGAAGAACAGGGTAAGGGGGGCGGGAGACTGTTTTAAACTTCACCCTCTTCCATTCCCCAGCTGCTTCATGTGTGAGAAATAAAGGAAGTGGAGCCCTCAGATACTCCATAATACTGTGCTACAGTACGTTTCACTTCTGGTATCATGTGTTGTCTTCAACATGATGTTCTACATTCAGTGTAGGAATTTAGGGTTAGTCTATTCATCTTAAAGATACAGTAACTTATATCATCATGGCCGTGTGCACATGCAAAGGGAGCTGCAGAATAGGAGACAGGACATTGCATGGAAATAGGGGTGCTCTATGTGCAAAGGAGAGTTGAGAAAAGAGACTGAAGGTGGAAATGGGTGTGCAAGGGAGGTTGCAAAAAAGGAGAAGGTTGGAGGTATGGGATTGGGGTTAAAGATGAAAGCAGGGCCATGAAAGAATCTGAAGAACAGGAAGGAATGGCCACATAAGAATTGGGCAGAAGGTGAAACAATGCTTCATGGTTGCAATATGCTGGAGGAGAAAGATGCCGTAAGCTGTGTGTGTGTGTGTGTGTGTGTGTGTGTGTGTGTGTACGTACGCGCGCGCGCGCAAGGGGAGGATGCACAAAAGGGGGAGGAGGCATGGACATGGGGGTGAAGATGGAAATGGGTGCAAAGGGGGATTGCAGACTAGAAGAGAGAAGCGGCTTCAGAAATGGGGTTGGGAAAGTGAAATTCAAGCTTAATAGTTGCATGTTGTGTTAAGGGGAAGCTCTAGGGGTTTAATGTGGAGGGAATTGCAGGGGTGTTAGCAGGCAGAGTGAGCAGTGGTACAGCCCCTAGTTAACTAAGAAAGAGTGTATGCTGTGGCCAGTGGGGAATATAAATCAACAGAATAAGCAAAGGTTATTCTGGGTTAAATATTTTCATTGTAAACTGTTTTCTGATGGTGTTGAAGATCTTTTAAGAAACTTGCTGCTTTATGTAACTTTGCCTTCTATCTATTCAGCCCACTTAAGTGGGGTGATCCAGACAGAGATCCTGAAATTCTTATATTGTAGAGAACATTCAATCTGTAGTAAAATAATCCTTTTTTAACAGTGAAATTAATTCTCGACTTGATGCGGTGTCGGAGGTTCTCCTATCAGAATCGAGTGTCTTTGGCCAAATAAAGCACCTTCTATGTAAGATGCCAGATGTTGAACGAGGACTCTGTAGTATTTATCACAAAAAGGTAAAAAAAAAAAAAAGTGAGCTACAAATGATTAAAACTATATTCTATTATATTAAAATATGGTTTTAAACTGGCATTTTTTTCTTGAAATTTAGGTTTAAGATTCATACATTGAAAGGAAGGAGATAATTTAACCCTACATTAGTAGAAAAATTAACACTGTAAATCTAGTCCCATGGTCAAATATATACCTGAAATAAAATACCTGATTACTAAGCATAATACTACCCAAAAGTGTGTGTTTTTTAAAAAGCCTTTATTGAGACCCTCCCTTTTCCAGTAAAAAAGAAGAAGCTACAAACAAGTCATTGGGGTGAAAGAGTACACAACATCTGTTTTCATTTAATTCAGACAAGATGGCCCTGAAACACTGCATGGCAATTCACACTTCAATGGTTGATACGGCTGACTGACCCAAGATTTTCATTACCTCCCCCCCCCCCCCCGCCGTGTTGCAGTATGTTTGAATTCCACCATTAAGTGGAGGGTTAAATCAGTTTCAGTATTAGCAGTGTCTTGAGAAAAGTATTTTGTTCATGTGATTAATAAAAAAATACGGATTCCTTCAGTCTTTGCTGAGCAAGTTGCCTCATAATGCTGTAGAGTAGTAGGCCTACAGTTTCAGGCTATGCATTAAAATACAAATTAAAATATTATTGACATTCTAATTTATACATTATTAAAACGACACCAATTTGACTGCATCCCATGTATGTAAGTTCCCTTCCCATTGTGATACCAGCAGCAAGTATAATCAGGGTGCATATATTTCAATGAATGTCCAAAATTGGGAGGAAACTAAGGAACATTAATTTTTAAAACATTAGCCTTGAAGTTAAAATTGTTTCTAATTTCAGTGTTCCATTCAAGAGTTCTATCTGGTAGTCAGCACACTCTCTCAGTTGGAAACAACAATCACAGCACTGGTTCCGGCTATACATAATCAGGTTCAAACACCTTTATTACAGAAGAGTCTTTTGGAAATTCCAGAATTGCTTTGTTCAACAAAGAAGTATATAAGCATGCTTAATGAAGCAGCAGCAAAGTAAGTAACAGTGCAGTCTTTCCACGTTTAATCAAAAATAAGCTGTACTGAATTCAATTGGGGTTATTTCCAGGTAAATAGGGTTAGGATTGCAGTCTAAATTGTTATATAAGCATGGTACAATAGTCTTATGTAATATTAACGAATGGCTCTTACAGAAGGTCTTGTAATCCTCTGTCCTGGCCATGCTACCTGGACACCACTACTGCTACCCTGTTGCCCCATCACTTACCCTCAGGCAAAGGCCTTTGAACCCACTGGTTTGACAGTAGCCACCTAGCATAGACACTCAATGTGCAGTTAGTATGGAAAGTGAATATAGAATAAATTCTACTGAACTGAAAGATTGTTCGGTTTCTAAGCTGTCCATTCATTTTTAACCTTGAGCAGTTAGTTTCCTTGAGTGTTTCTTAATAATATTTCTTAATCTTCACCATAAGTTCCTGGGGCAGGGAACAATAGTTATACTAACTGGTTTCTTTTTATTATTACATTATGTACATCAAACGCTATATATCCCGGTTTACAGCATTGCTTTGAAATGTCATAAAGTTACCGTACTTTGACTATAATCCCTGCAAGTGAAACAAAATTGTTTATTTCTTTAGTTTGGTTTATTTATGCACTTAAAATATTGTTCTTAATCTGAAAAGTAATGGAGTTTGTTTTTTTACTAATGTGTGTGTTAGTATTACATATATTTGGTAACATATTATTCTTGTTACGAATGTAAATACTGTACTTTTTTTGTTAGTATTAAGGAATGTGTGTACTTTGGGGGGGTGTCTATCTTAACTGTTGGATTCTGTATACTTAGAAGTGGAGACAAAACCCAACTGTTCAAAGATCTTGAAGAATTTCCCTTAATAAGAAAGAGGAAGGATGAGATTCAGGAAGTTCACTCTCAGATCCAGTTACACCTTCAGGATATACGAAGAATCCTAAATTGTCCCTCTAAGGATTATGTTACGGTGTCAGGACAAGCAGTAAGTTAAATATTTGCTTCATATTTTTTCTTGTTGTATTTGCCATTGGTCATATTTTGTTCAAGTGTTCATTTGTCAGCAGACATAGCTTCAAAGACTAGAACCACCTAAGCTGCTGGGGAATTCGTATTTGTTCCCATTGACCTGGGTTAATCAAAAGGGCCTCCCAAGCACTGCATGAAGAGGCACATTACCCACAAGTAGAGAGACTAGTTTATTGGGATATTACTGCTGCCTCCTTTCAGTCAGAAAGCACATTCCCCTCCAACAATGATATTGTCCAGTGATCTGACAAATCCAGCCAATCTCTGCCATATAGCTATTACCAACTTTCACAGATAATGGTTGAGAGAGTATTCTCCAAGAATCTTGTTGGCTTCTTCAAGAGAAATTCATCAGACCGATGTAAGAGTAGCATATAGATTACCAAATTAAAGCTTGCTTGAGCACAGATGATAATAAATTATAGTGCAACTGAATTGGTTAATTAGTGAACCCATACAATATAATAAAGGATTTGGAAACAATAAAAAGACAAAACAAGGGTAAGACTTCCAACCCATCTTCAAAAATGAGAAAATGATCCTCTTACTCATCTTTAGGTAGGCAGGTTATATGCTGTCAGAATAAATAATGCTTCTGCAAGCTAAACAGCTTAGAAATGTTTTCCCCTGATGTTGTATTGATATCCTATATAAAAGAAATGAAGTGCATTTTTTTGTGAAAGATCATTTGGATTTCTTGCTAGTAGAAAGGTTAATCTTTACTGCTGTTTATGCTGCTTAAATGTTTTGAATGGAATGCAAATAGAAGGACAGCAGCTAAATAGTTGATACACAATCCTTTTCAGTCAGTTTGACAAAAGATGTGTGATTTGTATGATGACTACCAAATGCCAAATTATACATAACATTGAATTGCCATATCACTTTGCTACATTGATTTTTCTAGCCCCCATTTCTGAACCGGACACCTGTTTTCCAACCAGTGGGCCGACTTGCAACCAATAGAGCTGCATTAACTCCAAATCATTTTTCCTGCTACTGTCATTCTAATCCGAGATATTAGATACAGTCATATATAAAGAGATTATCTTTTGTTGATAAAGCTTTTTTTCAAGGGTAAACAAAGAACAAGTGAGATAGATATAAGCTCCGCCCTCTGGCTTTTGCATTGAGAATCGTTTTTAAAAGTAGGTAACACTTGATACCCACTTTGCTGCCCTGGGCTCCTTTGGAAGAAGGGTGGGATATAAATCCAATAAATAAATAAACACACACACTTTTAGCTATACAATCTGACATTATAACAGATAAGTTAAACCATAACATAAGTAGTAACAAGAGGTAGCATGGGAAGAAACTTGACTAAGATATTTTACATAACAATTTGTTGGGCCATCTATTGATGGCTGCAATAATCTCAGTGGCAAGATTTTGGTATTTTGCTGTAAAATATTAGGACTGTGGAATGTTGTAGTTCAAACAAGAGGGTTTGTACAACTTAATTTTTCTTTATGTGAATGCATTATATGTTTGTATCTCGCTTTTCCTCCCAGGAGCCCATGGATTGTGAAGGGTGGGATAGTATGGAATAAATAATAACAATGATAACAATAATAGTAATGCAGAGATATTTTAGTTTCAGATTGAAGTCAAGAATTCACTTTTATCTTCTGTACCATATGATTGGATTAAAGTTAGCAGGTATGTAAAGATAATGTAATTTGCAATATGATTACCATTAATTTTATTTACGTTAATGATGAAGATGATTTGCATGAAAGCACCTTAAAGTTCTGAATGGTGGGGTTGGATGAATGTTTTTAAATACACCTTTGCAAACTCTAAATCAGTATCTAATACTCTTAGTACAGTAATCAGTCTTGGCATCAGCACATGGCAAAGGGGGCATTTCCAGGTTTCTACACATGCCAGTACAGCCCACTAGGCATGTTGCTTTACCTGGTCCTATGGACACAGAGGTCCCCAGCAGCGGCCAGTCACCACTTCAAGCTGACTCCTTGGTTTGCCTGACGGTGGTCAGTTCACTTGCCACTGTGAGTCAACCTCATTCCTGCTTGCCTCCTTGCTTACTTGGTGGCAGCAGCCCATTGCAGGATCACCACCATCAGGAAAATTTCTTCTCTGCCCAGTAAGCACTGCATCACAGGGAAGTGGTGAGACAGTTGCCAGCCTCCTGCCATGCTCGCTTTGCAGGCTTGTGGACCAGTCAGCACTATAGTGAAGTATTGCCATGAGGAAGGGTGTAAGATGCAGTAGCCATGGGGAGTCTGTTAAGGACCGCTCAAAAGCTGTAGTCAGGCCTAACAGTAATATATCTGTAGGTGCAGGAATTCCATGTATGTCTGCAGTACTTTACTCAGTCACATAATGTAGTCAGACTCCTTACTAAATTCAGGGCTATTTTCCCATCAAAAGAATCTGACATATATTTGGACAGCTGTGTTCTCATCATTTATATATAATCTTAGTTAATACGTTTTTCTACTTTCATGGAGCTTCCATTTATAATGTGTGGATGTTCATAATGTAACATAAAGTTTGAGGTAGATAAACTGATTTCCTTCTTCCTTTTATTTTTTATACTGAAAATGCAGTCCTGTCATCTGTTATGTGCAGGTACATCCCATAGACTTCAGTGTGACTTTGCTCACACTAATTCACAGCAAGGAATTAAAATCTTTTATTACTACTGTCAGGGAACTGACATCGGAGCTAGAGGTGGAGGGAAGGCTCTCCAATGATGCTGGAGAAGGGCCCAGCAGGGAGAGAGGCAGCTCAGCAGATGGGGAAGCAATTCAGTGCAACACCAGGAATAAGGAGGGGCAGATGGGGGAATCGGCAAGAGGGCTCCCAGACTCTTCACTGGAAACCAGCGGGGAGAGAACTGGTCCTCCGCTACCCACGCCCTCCCTGCGCAGAAGACTTCCGCGCAGAGAAAGTAGGAGGAGACTGGGTGTCAAACAACTTTTATGGATGGATTCTGCTAGCGACTGAGGCAGCCACGAATTGAAGGGCTGTCCAGACAGAAAGGTTTAACAAGGCAACATAGCCAGGAGAGGCAGCAACTTACGCACAAGCAACCCCATACCATTATAACTACTTAAATATTTTCCCTTTAAAAATAGTATGTACATCTCATAACAAGTTAAACTTTGTAAGCTGAAATGGATCTGATGTTAAAGCAAAAGATAAATATTATAACATACATGATAGCTAGTCATCCAGCTGGTAATTTAATCTAGGACTGAATTAAAGCCTGAGGTATTTCACCCAGTCAAAGCATCCTCTGGAATTATATTCTTGAAATGTTATGCTAGATCACAAGGGCTCTGTTTACTAATTGTCACTGGACTTCTTTGCTTAATCAGGGTTACCAAAGAAGGGAAGGAATATGTATGTTACACAGAAAGCAGTAGAAGCCTATTTCTGAATAAATTTGATTTCTCTAAAGGTCTCTTAGCATAGAATTGATTGATTATTTTGATTCAAAAAAATACAGTAAAATTGAATCTAGGAGCATGTGCTCATATCAAAAGCTCATCAAAATGATAAGAGTACCAATCAAGAAACTATCATGAAAAACAAAAGGTTCTTGATCCATGTGCTACATGCATTGGGCAATCTTCCCGTTTTGTTTCAGTGTCTTGTGTTTGCTGGTTTTGTGTTTCAGAAGCATAAATGTAAGTGTAAGCAGATATAAAGAACTCTTTCAGAAGGAGCCTGGTGAATTGTCTGGGAACACCAAATGCTGTAATATTAGTGAAGATAAACAAGTGCAGTCTGGATGAGAAACTGCTGCCCATGTAAGAGCAGGATATACATGTCACAATCAAAGAATGGGGGCAGGGAGGGAGCTGTCTCAGGTTCATAACATGCCACCAATGTGAATATCTGCATTGAGTATATTCAAGGCCTGGGTGCCTTGTCACAAGAAATAGGAAATCACTAGTAACTTTCTGTGTCTGTCAGTTAGATTTCAGTGCTGTAGAAAGACAGCTCAGTTGGTTAGAGTGTGGTGCTGATAAGATCAAGGTTGCAGGTCCGATCCCCGTATGGGACAGCTACATATTCCTGCATTGCAGGGGGTTGGACTAGATGATCCTCAGGGTCTCTTCCAACTCTAGAATTCTATTCTAAGATTCTATGTTGTGTGTTCTGTTACATGTCAACTTTCAAGGACACAGATTGGAGCATTTTTTCTGGGGGGGGGGAATGAGTAGGAACTCTCCCCCCCCCCCGATTCAAAATATAATACATAAGAACAGTTTTTAGTGGTAGCATAATTATTATTTTTCTCAAATAGAACTGCAACTTGGATTAGAGAGTCTGTGGAAATAAAAGTAAATGCAAGCTATCTAGATTGCAGCGAGAAACACTATCTTTGGCCTAAAAACAGGTAGATAAAGGTTTAAGTTGTTAGTTTAGAAATACCTGAGATGTCTGAAAGGCCTCACAAAACATTACATACAGATCTGTGCAACTGAACTGGGACAGCTGCTCCTTTTTCATTTTGTTTTTGAAAGAGCAGTTTTGAAAAAGCAACAAGAAATAGAGAAATAGTTGAAGAATGATTATCCTTTCTCTTTTAGGAAGTATTGAAACATATGCAGCACTTACTTTCTTAGCAAAACTAAGCTTGTTTAACTGCTTTCACAACATAATATGTATATTTTATAGTTTATTTAGAATATGAGATTGTAGTATTTGTACAATTAAGAGGCCATAAAATTACTGAGTCACACTTCAGGGAAAGCCTTCTGAAGCAAAAATGTTTTCAATAGTTTCCTAAATATCAAGAGACTAGGCAGTTGTCTAAATCCAGGTGATAACTGATTCCAGAGGACTGGAGCTGGAACAGTAAAAGCCCAGTTTCTAATACATGCTAAATTCACCTCTGGGGAGCATATTGTACACTCAGCAGTGCCCAATCTGAGGACCCAAGGCTACATTTACTTGGGCTTACACAACAGAACTTGGAGTTACTTCCATGTACAAATGTGAAGACGGGGGGGGGGGGTTACTGTTTTTTCAAGGACTTAAAAAAACGACAACCACCCAACTGAAAACTTGAAAATTTTGGTGATCACTGAAAAAGCTCTAATCAAATATTTGGCTATTATAAATATTGTAGAATGAGTTAAATGCTCTTAAGAAGCTCTTATGTAATAGATTCTACATGTGGCTAAACCAGGTAGGTAAACAAAATGGACCAATGCTACATCTTTGTCTAGCATCTCTCTCCATGCAGCCTTCAATACCCATTCCTCTTCATTTCTTTTTATCCTGCTTTCCTGAAAACTGTTAATGTAAAGTTACAGTGCTGTGTAGATTTAGTTGCTGGTACATTGTGTTCACAATAGGGAATTGTGACTGCTTCTCATGTTACATTTTGACTATAAGAAGGGAACCTCCATGAAGTAAAAATGTTTTTTTTTGTTTGATGCACAATGGTATGTTTACTGCAAGTAAAGTATTTGAGCAGATATGAGCAGCAGCTGCTTTGTCAAGAACATTTCCACTTCAGATAGTATGGATCGCTCTCTCTTTCTTTACCTCTGTGCAGAAAAAAAGTGATTTGTGTACTGGTCCTAAAAAAAGAACTGGTCTGATTTTTGCATATTGCTACATAACTGATTGCTTAGTAACCTTGATCTCCTATTTGGTTTTCTCTTATAGCACAAAAGCAGTCAGCCGCTTCCACACTCCTTTTATTGTAGAAAATTACAGGCATTTGAATCAGCTACGTGAGCAGCTAGTCCTTGACTGCAGTGCTGAATGGCTACGCTTTTTAGAGTGAGTTTACAAATTCAGTTTTTTCTATTGAAATAAGATTATAAAGTAGGTTACAAAATATAACTATAAAGCTTACAATTCATATTATTATTATTATTGAAGCGTCTGATGTGTAGTTTGCCTTGCTTATAGGCTTACCTGAACTTCAAAAGGTGGTTATATTTAAAATAGAGGCAGAACTGCCACGACCCATTTGAGTACTTCTATCACATTTTACACTTTTTATAAAGTAAGTAAAGGGTAGCCTAATTGGTCATAGGAACACCAGAAGCTGCCTTATAAGTCAGACCAGGCTTCCTCAACCTCGGCCTTCCTGATGTTTTTGGCCTACAACTCCCATAATCCCTAGCTAGCAGGACCAGTGGTCAGGGATGATGGGAATTGTGGTCTCAAAACATCTGGAGAGCTGAGGTTGAGGAAGCCTGAGTCAGACCATTGGTTAATCTAGCCTAGCATTGTCTACATTGACTGACATCACCCCTCTAGAATTTCAGGTAGATGATGGAGTTTGAACCTGGAAACTTCTGTATATGTGAGCTACAGCCCTTCTTGAGATGATCCACCTGAAATAGATGCTAGTGTGTCTCTAGTTATAGCAGTGCACTCTAGTAACCTAAGATAATCAACAGAATTACACCAAAATAGGACTGTCCCTAAGGAGTGCAGGATCCAGAGCAGATTACACTATGTGTACGCCTTCATGTCCTTCCTGTCTCTGCTGTCGTTCCTCTTCATTGTAGTGGGGGATCTCTTCCTCCCCCCAGCTTACTTTTTGCTGGAAGTGGAGAGGATTTGCCACTACTTTAGCAGAGGTGATCTCCCCCTACCCCCTTACATTTTTTTCTCTTGTTGCTGCTGTTGCAGTGGCAGTGCTGGCAAAGCCCTCCACCTCCCCCCTTCCTGCTTTTCCCTAGAAAGGGCAGAGTTGGAGAGCCTTGCCAGGCAGATGGGGGGGGCAGTGGCGCTGTTGGCCATGGGCACTAACTGTGAAGCCCAGAGCAGTTGTCCCTCTTTGCCTCCTGACGAACAACACAATAGCACAATAGCAAAGTCAAAAGAACTTTCAGTTTAAGAATGTGACATTTCTCTAGTAAAAGACTTTTAGAATGTCATTAGGAAATTAATTTTAGTGACAGACTGTCCGCCTCTTTTCACCAATGGCACTGTTGTACCCAGACAACTTCTACAACAGTTGAAGAAAAACAGCAGCTATGCCTCAGGACCATCACTCATGTATTGCTGGCAACACTTAACATATTCTTCCCCCCTAATGGCAGAGAGGAGCTGCCAGAAGAGCTGGGTAACACAGCTCTACCTTAGCACAGAGTGCTGCAGATCAATATGAGGTAGGTTCTGCTCTTGAACAAAGTCTGCAATGGTACAAAGTCTGTTAGAGAAGAAAGCATGAGGCACTGGTATGGTGGGGTGGTGCCATTCCAACAGCAGTGTTGCTCCTGCTTACCTGGATTGGGCAGGGTGTGTGTGTGTGTCAAGGCTGCAGCTAAGCCAGGGCAGTGTGGGTGCACTGGCAAGAGTGCAGGATTGGCTCCACTGGTGCACCCACACAGCCCTGACTCAGCCACTGCTTTGCCAGCTATTCCTACTCCTGCTTTCTTGCCTAACAAATGGAAAGTTTAGGCAATCTTTAGTATGTAAGTCTGCAGGCAGGGCCTGTTGTCCCTTTTAGTTTGTGTATAGTGTCTACCATCAATCACTTGGCTTGACATGCTACAAAAGAAGAATGTGTCACCTGATATCACTAATGTCTTGCAGTAGTAATTCATAAGAGGAGGGCAAATACTTATTTTAATGCGATAAATTCTTCATCTTTTGGCAGTCCTCATTGCACTGTTAATATACCCTTTCCATATGGTCTAATTTAATTTTGTTTGTCCTTTAAAGAATAGTCCCAACCAGGGTGTTCTCTCTCTCTGTCTCTGTCTGTGTGTGAGTGAGACAGAGACAGACACACACACACACACACACACACACACACACAGCTCTTCTTGGTAGAGTACCAGCACCTTTTTTTTTCTGCAGCCATTTTTTGCTGACACCCACTGCACATATATGAGTACTAGCATCTCTTTTTATTTTCAGTTTTTACCCCAAAAAAGTGCTGGTCCAAACCTTTATATAGGAACTTTATATAGCAATATTTTAAAACACTATCCTGTGCTGCCACTGAGTTCAACATTTTATTCATATTAATATTTTATTCGCGTCTTTCTCTCCCCCCCCCCCCCATTTACCTCTGTATAGTGATTTTAACGACCATTACTACACAATATCTAAAGCTGTGGGTCACCTAGCAACTGTGGACTGTATATTTTCCCTGGCTGAGGTTGCCAAACAAGGAGACTACTGCAGGTAATCACTGTCTAAACAATGGTAGAATATTACGGTTAGCTTTGTTGATTTTTTTTTTAAACTAGACTACAAAAACGAGTACTGTCAAACGTATGTTTGTCATATTTGAGGACACATAGTGATGCTTCAAAAGATTAGACAGTATAGTTCCTGGGTAGGATGGATTGATTTACATTTCCTGTAGATTGTGGCCTGATTGATTCAGTTTCAAAAAAGCAAGAGTCTGGTTTCAGATGCCTCACCCCAAACTCCATCTAACATGCTGTAACATAATTTTCTTTTCAGACCTGTCATAAAAGATGGAAGGTCAGAGATAATGATAAAAAATGGGAAGCACCCTGTGATTGATGTGTTATTGGGAGAGCAAGAGCAGTATGTTCCAAATGATACACATTTATCAGTAAGTATCAGTATCAGTATTTATCAGTAAGTATCAGTAAATACACATTTATCAGTAAGAGAGCCAGTGTGGTGTAGTGGTTCAGAGCGATAGACTCGTAATTTTGGGAACCAGGTTCGCGTCTCCGCTCCTCCACATGCAGCTGCTGAGTGACCTTGGGCTAGTCACACTTCTTTGAAGTCTCTCAGCCCCATTCACCTCACAGAGTGTTTGTTGTGGGGGAGGAAGGGAAAGGAGAATGTTAGCCGCTTTGAGACTTTTTTTCGGGTAGTGATAAAGCGGGATATCAAATCCAAATTCTTCTTCTTCTTCTTCTTCTTCTTCTTTTTCTTTTTCTATCACGACACCATGTTTTTGGTGTGGATTAGCTCCCTAACCCCCCCCCAGTAGACTAAAAAGACACTGAACATGGTTTCTTAATTTCATACTGTGCTTGGACTTTCAAAAAGCTTTTGACAGGGTACCTTACGAAAGACTGCCAAGTACGGTAAACTTAACTGTCATGGAATAAGAGTAGGGCCAGGAATTGGTTAAGCAGCAGGAAGCAGAGATTAGGAATAAGTGGGCTACAGGCAGCCCCCTGCTTATGCAGGGGTTATGTTCTGAGACACCACATGTGTTGGTGAAATTGTGTATAATTGAAACCTATTGAAAAAGCAGATAGTGGATAGCTCAATGAATGCCAGTGTGTGGCAGCTATTTCATGCTAGGGATCATTGGGAAAGGAATTGAAAATACAGTAAAACTGCCAGTATCAAAATGCCATTATACAAATCTATGATGTGGCTGCATTTGGAATACTGTGCACAGTTCTCTAGACCATTTACAGTGTGAGAAACTGGAAGTAGCCTGCAGTGATGTGAGAGACAAATGGTATCATGCCCCTACAGTGAGAATCCAATTTAGCATAGAACTGAACCCTTCCTGGGTGGAGGAGAGGAGGAAGTCATTTTTGTCTCAGGTGACAGCTGAGGTGTGGGTCGTGCCTGATATTTTTATGCCATATGTATGTCTCTCCCAGTTTGCTGTCTTTTGACATTGATTGCCAGAAGACCTATTGGTACTACATTATGATGATTGAACAGCTAATTTTGGGTGGAGTGTCTTTATGTCTTCAATATGTATCTGGGAAGTGTGGAATGGGGATGCCAGAGGTAGCTTGACCACAGTTGTTCATGCATTAGAACCTCAAGGTTGGATTACTGCAGTGTGCTCTGGGTGGGTCTACCCTTGACATTGGTCCAGAGGTTGCAGTCCTGGAACTGTTGAATTACCTGCTTTTGAAAAGTATTTTAATGATAGTTTCCCTTTCTCCAGGAAGACGGTCAAAGGGTAATGATAATTACTGGACCTAACATGGGTGGAAAGAGCTCTTACATAAAGCAGGTTGCATTGATCACAGTCATGGCACAAATTGGTTCCTATGTACCAGCTGAGGAAGCAAGAATTGGTATTGTGACTGGTATATTTACCAGGTGAGATGTCAAAGCTTCATGTTTTAAAGATAAGCTTGTAAATTATAATTTCACTTCATAAGACATTTCTTTTAAAATATCATTTGTGTGTGCTGATTGGCTCAGTGTATAGCTTCGTTCTTGAAAAGAAGAGCAAGTTTCTAGCGCTCAAGGTCACTGGAAGAGTTTGGAAATATGAAGATGGGTTATGCTTAAAGGCTCAGATTCCACATTGGGCTGTGTATCCTCTACCTACCTAGGGAACACATTTATTTACTTATCATGTCTCCTCCTTTTCATGGCCACATGTTTCTGTCTCCCATTTACATCTCATCATTTCATCTGTTTTGTGGGATGGTCCTATTTCCCGTGAGAGTTACCTTGTGGTAGCTGGAAACTGTCACCAAAGGTTCCTAATGACCCAGTTCAACACTCAGTTTGATCTTTGAGCCATTTTTAACTCACCAATCAGGAATGGATTTGTGATTATGTGGAAAATCAGCTTGCAGCCAACTTAATTCATTGTTAGAAAGAAATTTAACAGTGACTGCTAAAGTGATGTACTTGACACAACTGCCACCTCATCAGATTCCAGGATGTTTTAATTACATGATATTTCTGTCTGTAATGATCTTAAGGAGTATGCAGGTTCTCTCATGACCAGTGTGCTAAGCAATTCAGATCTGCTTTTCCCTGCTGCATGATGCAGCAATTTGCTTTGAAACTAGGATTTCCTTAAATGCTGTTTGTTTTCAGAGTTTCAGTTTATGAAGTTGCTCGTGATTATCGCTGAAAATTCATATTAATAATTTAGGGTTATAGCAAGTAATCATTTACCCCCTTTGTGCTTTGATGTGTCCGTTGAGTGTATTTTCTTGTACAGGCTATCTAATCTAAATGTAGAAGTCAATTAAACAATGCTGCCCCTGTTGCACATCATCTAATAGGATCAAAAACATTCTGGCAGCAGTGATATACCTCTTTTGTAACTTTAATAAAAAAGAAGCATATTTTTAATGTCTGATAGGTGCAGACAAAAAATCTGAAAGATGTGTTTGGTTTTTTAAATTGTCTATTGAATTTAAAGTTTGATAATTGTACAAAATGCTTTATTCTCTGGAATGTGATTTAGTTGGCTCAGGAGTTATTGAATTGTTTCCAGATAGAATTTGCTCTGTGCAGATGAGTCTCTTATCAACACTTGAAATAAGTAATTAAATTGGATCTCTGCACAATTTGCAATTTGCAACTGTATTGCTGCATGTGTAATAGTGGGGAGAGATGAAAAATTATAATAATTTGGGTGACAAGGGACCTCATCTGCTACATGTATTACTAATAATTGACTAGAGACCTGGAAGAACAACCATAATCTAGGAAAACATACAATATTGTATCACTAATAATTGACTAGAGACCTGGAAGAACAACCATAATCTAGGAAAACATACAATATTTTGGAGTAAATTCATACTAGAAAATACCTTTTTTACTTCTTTGGAATTAACTGAAAGGAAAACTATGAAGTACTAACAAATTGGTTGTCGTTGAGTAGCATACTAACTGAAGACATGCCTGGAATTTGCTGGGGATTGACTTCCAGTGCCTTGTGGTGGTGGCAAATTGGTTTTGTCTTAGCAGCAGTGAACTAACACATACATCATTCCTGAAGTACCTTTGCCAGCAAAGTTATTTTCAAGTGCCCAATTATTATTTTTTAATGCTTTTAAACACAGAGCAAGTAATAAGAGTATATTAGCGGATGGCTTAATAGTTTACTTTTTACATTTTTGATGAGGATTAAATGTATTTATTCTAAGTAATATTGTACCTCGGTGCTATATACAATAGATGCCAAAAGCAAGTTCATTTCTTATCTAATGGTTTTTGTGTATCATTTGGACCACTTATCACTGTTGGACCAGAGTAGAATTGTTATTTATCATGGACAAAAGAGATTTGTTTTTACAGCTGCTCCTGAAAATAGCTAAAAGATAAAGGCCACTTCTGCTAAGGAAGTCCTGGGAAAAAAGTTTCCATGAATGTAATTAGTTTAACAAATGGTTAGGGTGCAACACATACGGCAGTATACATCTGCATTGTTGTCTAGATGTTCATGTAATTTCCAGTGAAGTATCAAGCATAACTAAATATTTTAAACCTTCAGTACGAAAAGTTTGTCAAAACGTATCCTGGCTCAAAAAAGTATTTATTTAACAAAATTTATATGATTGTAAGAAAACATTCAGGCAGTTTGCAGAAATATAAAACAAAATATTAAAATTAATTGCAGGAAGAGAGCATACATCTTGTTTTCTTGCAATAAATATTTGAAGACCATGGGATGATATTCAACTAAGTTTTACTCAGAGTAGACCCACTGAAATTAATAAACACTTTTATATTTTGGAGTTCTTTCTTGTGTACTTCAGTAACCAGATAATATTCTTATGTACAGCAGATGCAGCAAAATTACGTAAAAGAAGTTCAGATGATTTTTACTCATCCTTTATGCATTTTTTATTTTAAAAACTGAATAGTGTGTGCTTCCTGGTTTTCTAATTTGTATTATTTTCTAATAATACTGAACAATTTTGTTTTATTTTGCAGAATGGGTGCCACAGACAACATATTCAAAGGTCAAAGCACATTTATGGAAGAACTGACAGAAACAGCTGATATAATTACTAAAGCAACTTCCAATTCACTAGTAATTTTAGATGAACTTGGGAGAGGAACTAGCACACATGATGGAATTGCAATTGCTTATGCTACCCTGGAATACTTTATTAGAGATGTAAGTGCATTATCTGTCCCTTTGAATGATCTAAGTCAGAGCTTTTCAAACTGTGTGTCGTGACAAGTTAGTGTGAAGTGCGAACGCTCCCCATGATCCCCTGGGGCTGGAAAGGCGTTAGTTTAACCTCTGGTTTGCTAGTAAAACTGAATTACTGTGTTGCAAAATGATGCATGTCTAAAAAGTGTGTCACCAACATTAAGTCTGGAAGGCTTTAAGTTTTGAAAATGAGTTGTCCCCAGATGATTATCTCAGTGCACCTCCCCTTGAAACAGATTCCATGGAACTGGTCCAGGATATAATTATCAGCAGTAACAAAAGCCACAGAGGATTGAGAAGGAGCAGGGTTCACACCTTGTCCCATTCTTGATAAAGACCATCTGTCAAGACAGCTAAGGTTGATTCAGTCAAATGACTAGGACTGAACCCAGTTCCCTCTTCCCCTCCCTCACCTTCTCTAAATAGGAAGTATGCATATTTTAAAGCCTTAATATATTTTATTTCTCTAGGTTGGTTCATTGACGCTGTTTGTCACCCATTATCCTCCAGTGTGTGAATTAGAAAGGGCCTACCTGAGACAAGTTGGGAATTACCATATGGCTTTTTTGGTGAATGAAGATGATCGTGAACAAGAAAGGGGTATGATATCAAATTTACATACATATACATACATATATATAAAAATATGAATGAATATACATTTCACATATCACACCTTTCTTCCAAGGAGCTCAAGGTGGCATACTACTTACCATTTTATCCTTACCACAACCATGTGGGGTTGGTTAAGCTGTGAAAGGTCACCCAGCGAATGTGACTAAAACGATTGAAAAGCTAGCGCAGTATAGTGGTTGACTTGAAGTATGATTTCCAGGTTTTTGAGATGAATAAAATATAAATCATACTGAACTCAATTATGACATCTTCATACAAATGTATGTTTTTGTTTTTTGTTTTCCTAGGATCTGAAGGAGAAGAAAATCCTGAATTTGTCACTTTCCTTTATCAAATAACAAGAGAAGTTGCCACAAAGAGTTATGGGCTAAACGTTGCTAAACTAGCAGATGTTCCTGATGAAATTCTTAAAAAGGCAGCTCGCAAATCAAAAGAACTAGAGAGATTAGAGAATATGAAAAGGTTAGAGAATGGATTGATTGACATCTTAGTAATAAAACTTTCACATATATCATCTGGGAGAGCCTTTCTGAGCAGCCATAAAAAGTAGATTTAAAAGATTTTCAAGAAGTGCCTAAATGCTTAATTACATTAACGTCATTACAACCTACAGTCTAAGGAACTAAACATGAATTCTATTAATGAAAAAAACTTCTTTAGGGAACTGTATGTTTTTTTTAACAATTGTGATGACTACTCATTATTTATAATGGCCTGATGTAGCAAAAATGACCTGATACAACCAAAACCAGTCACGGCATGGCTCAGGGTCCATCCTAGCCATGTCAACAGAGTGCTAACGTCACTTCTTCAACCCATTAGCACATGTCTCAAACAGCTATAGGGGTGTAATATGGAAGTCTCGCTTTAAATATAACATTTATATTTTGGATTGAGGATTCAGAAATGTAAGTGAAATAGTTCTGGGACTGAGGACTCTTCCAGATGGACTCCTGTTCATTAAACAGTGATGTGGTATCACCTCCCTGTAAATGTTTGCAAACAATCAGGGTGTGTGCTCCTAGAAGACTTCTAAAAAGTAATGAAAAATAAATTACCAGTGCATCTTTAAAAAGGTCCCAACAAGTACTGTTCATTACTGCTTTAAAGGGCTAGGGCAAGACGGAACTGTTAAACACATGCTTCATTCATTCTTTCATACATTTTAAACACTATTTAAATTTGGTCAATGCTTTCTTGACACCCTAAGTAACTTGATAGTTTGGTAATAATTCACTATAAAAAAAGATTAAACTGTTTACCATTTGCAAACTTGAAAGGGGAAGAAAATTTAGAATCACAATTTTTATGGCCCTAATGCAGGTGTTGCCATTTGGGTGCTTATGGGCACATATGTGCTCCCACAAATGGCCTTCCTGATTGGCCACATGGCCCCCTTTTTTTGCTGAAATTAGACTTAAAAGAAGCATTGTTTCTGGCCAGTAGAATGGGTTGCAGTGTGTGCTTGGTTGTGGGCCAACAGCAATTCAGTTTGCAAATGTGTCCATGCATCCAAAAATATTGGCGTCTCCTGCCCTAATGTTTTCAAAAATTTGCTTTTGTCTTCTGAATAACCCCAGGGTAGTATATTGCACTTTTTATTGTAGGAATTAGATATTAATTCTAGTATCTTCTGTGTGAAAATTCACACAATAGTAGGAAGTGAGGTTAAAATAAATATTTCTCCAGTGTGTGGGATTCCTCATTGGCACACATGTATGGGACAGGCTGGATTATGCTTTCACTTTAAGTAATAATACTTTCTGCAGTAAAAAATATAGATATGTGTTTTTAACATAGCTTTCATTTCGTTAAAGTATTCTAGCGGATTCCCCCCATGTTCTTTTCTTTCCACACCACCATTGTGACATCAAATGTAAATGCATTCATAATGCATTTTGCAAATTGGCCTTGCCTTTCTTCATCTAATTCTTCTTTACTGAGATATTTAAATACTAATGAACTGATCATTTAATGAAGTTCTAACACTAAACTTGGTGTTTGTTTGCTTTTAGAAAAAGGCTGATGACCTTTGTTAAAATATGGAATACTACCGATTCTGGAGAACTGCAAAGATGGAAAAGTATGTGCGAAACAGATAATGATTTCAGCCAACTTTAAAGATTCCTGACAACCTGCCAATAGAAAATGGAAATAGCATAGAAGATTTAAATTAATTTATTATACAAAGCTATATATTCATGCAGTGAAATTTCAAATCATAGGTGTGTATACTGATGAATGGGTGGTTCACATGGACACTTTTTTCATTTCATTCATGCAAGCTGTCTCCAGTGATGTAGTTATGTGGAGTAGCATACTATGTGCCAGATAAGTAGAAGACATCAGGAGATCCATGATTACAACTCCTGTGGTGGTGGTGGTAGCAACAACTACAGGGCTCAAGAAAGTTGAGGCTTCTCCACCACATTCCCAAATTACTCCTCTAAAGTTAGTATTTGCCCAGTGCAGAGAAACAGACAGGTAACCACATAGTACCTGTATGTTTCTTTCCCATAGGATAAAAAAGTCTGTCAGGAATTTAGTTTTGGAACCCGCACGTGAGTGGGTTGGTATTAAGCATCATTCTCCCAATGCTGTGGCCAGATTCAGTTTGGGAGGTGCCTGTAGTTGCTGTTCACTTTAAAATGAAGTAACAAAAAAAGTATGGGACATCACTTCATGGGTCTCCTGCCACATTACCCAGAGATGTAAACTAGCATAGCTACTGCAGCCGTGAAAATCACTACAGAATGAACCATTTACATGGTGCCTTCTTGACATGATCATGGGCACATAACACGGGCAAAATCATGTAAAGAAAAATCTAGCAGAAATGGGCCCATGTGAAATGGTTCATTGATTTAAATGCAGTAGATATTTTGTAAGCTCCAGTTGTTTTTTTCAAACTGCTGTCTTGTGGGTTTTTCCATTGAAGATCAAGTATTTTGTTACATTTGCCTATATTATGTTTCCCAAACTTTATCAACATCATCTCCAAACTGTACTTTATTTAAAATACTTAAAAATGCTTTTTATAGTTTGATGATGTTAACTAATTTCAGATGGAAAACATGAAAATCATGTTTATAAATTATAGGAAAACACATTTGTATTAAATAAAATGATGATTTTAAAAGGATACATTGATTTCTATTAATGTTACAATGACTGAACAGTATGATTTAGCAGATGTTGAATAATTTTGTTTACTATCAATTCAGTAATACAGAATAATATTTCATGATGCTTATTTTTTTACTGATGTGAGTCATTTCTTGCTGACATTTGTCCTGACTCATTCCCACAGAATATACTGAAAATATTCAATGTATGTGCATCTCTCTTTATGCTCTTGAAATGCCCATGAAATCTTGATAAAAATAGTATTGCTACTACTGCAGATGCATTTGCAAGCCCAAACAAAACAAGTACAAGTCAGTTTGTCAAGCACTCAGTAAGAATAAATTATCTAACTACTGTATTTTTTAACTTCCATTAAGTATACAAAATGAAAACGTACACAGTCGAAAATGCTATAATTCTTTCTGCTTGAAGCTCTTTGATGCTGGTATTGATAAAGCTTAACACTTACTGATAGCATATGATGTTTTGTATGGAGGATATTAGTTTAACATCCTTGGTTATATAGTTTCAAAATTAATGAATTGGCTCCAAAGAATCATTAGTGAAACTTCTGTACATGGAAATCTCTGCCAGTGGCTCTGATTTTGACTTCTGATACTTTCAATAAGTATTGACAATTAATGGAAAGAAGCATACACTTGTTGGAATTTTATTTATGCAAATGACTGATATTATTTGCATGTTTATCCAAAACAATGGTGGTTCTTCGTAGTCTCCGTGAAGTCTCACATATTGCATCCCTGCACAAAGCATCATTTGCAGTTTTCTAAAGGTAGGTGAAAGTTTTGGAGGGGAGCCCACATCTCAGCACACACGCTCAAAGTGACATGGCTCCTGCTTTCCCACTCGGTTCTTCCTTAACCTCTACAGCTTCAGGACGAACTTTTGCCATTTTTCATTGAGAGAGCATTTCTTTTTCCTTTATTCCTACAGTGTTCTTCTTTTGTATATTGGTGTTTTGTTGCAGTCCAGTCTGTGCTGGTGGGCATCTTCCCTGCTTCTAAATGTGGCACAACAGGCACCTTGGTCATTTACGGTAAACTTTGAGGCAGTTTCCAAAATGCCTGCCTTAGTTGAAGGTATGACTATTAAACCCTGCAGGTACCACATGAAGTGTAAGGCATGCGCAGCAAACAAGGTCAAAATGTGACCTGCTTTGGTATCCAGTTACAACCTTCCTGTTACCTGTTGTTCTCCAGACCACTGGGAATCATAGTACCAGCTTTATTCCATGCACTAAATTACTGGTTGTTTTGAACTCGGTGCCCACTTCTCCCGGTGCCCACTCATCAGTATCTAGCTACCAGTCCTCGGTATCCAGCCAATCCCGACTCCATATCTGTGTAGTCATCACTTGGCTTAGTAATTACCATTAATTACTTGTCAGGTTTTGCTATGTTACTTTAAAATTAGAATAGGGAGGAAAATCCTCCCAAGGCGGCATTAAAAACTAAACATGCAATACAAGGTCTTTCTTGGTGTTCAAACACAAAATTAAATTTAAAAGAATTAATATGTCTACCTGAAAAATTTCCATCAGCAGGATCTTCATCTATACATCTTTAGTGGCAAGTCCCAATCTTTGCAGCAGGTATTAGAGTTCGTTATGGGTTTCTACTGGAAGTGACCAAGGCAACATCTGTTGCTGCTGTCTTGTCCATTTTAAGGTAAGTCTGGGCACTTTTAGTTCTGCTTCTAAATAGATAATTACTGGCAGTCATTTACACTTGGATTACATGGAAAACAATAGTTTGGAATGTGGGGAGATGAATAAACACCATGAGCCATTTTCCAAATTGCCGCTGCAGCACCTACCGGTATTTCATGAAGTCTGTTTGCCCCTTCTTGGTGGCTTTGCAGGTGAGCCCTCGGGCTTCCTCTGCGACCTGGCCTATTGCAGGCTGGATCATCCTCTTGCTGCCAAACTGGTCAATGGCAGGAGGAATTAGAGGGTGTTTCCCTGGACATGGGACCAACTGACCAATGGTAGCACTTGGCCTCGCATCCAGGGCAGGGATAAATTCCTGGCCTGCTGGGCCCTTTGGCCTCTCTCCGCTCTGGTTCTGAAACATGCTACCTAAATTCACAAAAGTTGTCTTAAGTTTAGGGATGTTTCAATGATTTCAATTATAATACAATATTTTTGTGTTATACAGGTGACTCCCCACTTACGAGGGGGTTATGATCTGGGGGGCCACCACACGTAAGCAAAATGCGTGTAAGTAGGGAGCCTGCAGCAATACAGCTTCCCACCCAATACAGCTGTTCAGTGGGATTTCCCCCCCCCCAGCACTGCATGTATACATGTGTTGCACGCGAGTCAATTGCGTGTAAGTGTGGGGGGGGTTGCCTGTATTATACTAATGTCATTTATAGTCAAATTATCTGTAAATGCATAAGGACCTGGTGGCATGTGCCTCTACAGTAATCCTTGGGCCAGGTATTCTATTCATTTGTCTGATCATCTGCTGGTTTTCATAAAATTGTACAAAAAGTAATGTGATAAATAAAATGCTTAGAAGGGGAAAAAACCCTGCAAAGATTTCTAGATATTTTTATCTCCTGTGCTTATGTAACACAAACTAAAGTTTCAGAGTACAGAGCCTTTTCTCCTGCCTGCATACTAAAACAGATTTTTCTTCCCTAAATATGGAAAATTAAAATTCAGCTATTGTCCAGATACTGCAAACTTTCTGAATGTTGAAAAGTGCTTATTTATAGTACCTAGCATACTGGTAAAATTACATTGCCATGTTATTCTAATAATTGAAGAAAAGGCAAGTAATTTGATCGACATTAAATCAGTATGGTAACTCCTTCAGATGATTTACATCTCTTTTCCCAAGTAAACCTTTGAAGCATGTTCCATTGGTTTCAATGTAAATTAGTTCCAAGGAAACCCAAGATATTCTGCATGTAAATCAGTGTTCAGATATTGGTCAAATGATTGCCTATTTGGTTTGATCAGATGGTACAATGCATCAAGAATAGCCTTGTATAAGTGACCCCCTCCCTTGTGTAAATAAAAGCAATGACAAAAGTGAAGGTCACTTACTCACCTGAGGCCAAGCATGGGGGGTGGCAGTTTACTAGGGATCAAAGATCAAGGAAGACCAGGCTGCAACCCAGAGGCTACACTGTAGATCATGCTTAGGATATTTATGAAAGCCCATATCCCTGTCTTTATGTATCAGATCTTGTGAGATTTGTTAGGTGGATTTGTAGCTGGTTGAATCAGTGGTTCTGACTGGCTCTAAATGACGGGTGGATTGGATTCCATGTGATCTCATAGTATGGCTTCTGAAAACAACAGGAGTTCTTTGAAGAAGGAACTACTTTTTTCAATCGAGTGTAATTATTACCGTTCTTTGTTACTGCTCTAATAAAATCAGCACTTTAAATGCGTCACTATATTTGACAATCTCTCACCTGTCAGATGAAAAGGTTATGTTTTGGTTTTTACATGTCAAATGGCAGCTCTAAAGCTGACATGGATGCAGGTGGGTCATGGACACACTACACACTTCTGCAAGAAGCAGATTGCTGGAACAGAGCTGGAAAGTCTCTGGAGACTGGCCCACAGAACACCAACAGCATTTTGTTAAAGCCGAATGAATAATTATCAATAACTGGATTATATGCTAGGTTTTTTACCCCCAAAATTCAAAGATAACTGATGCTAGGAGGGATCTTCCGTATTGTCTAGTATATGTCTAACATTAAGGAAATAAAAAAAAATATTGGCTATGTCATTTCAATTTCACTTTTTACTTGGGATAGCACAGTGAACCTGTTGCACCAAATGGGAGGTAGGTAATCTATCATATTTTTGATACTGATGTTATGTAGCTTGCGAAATCTCCATAAAATTTTTAAATAGGAAAAAAGATACAAAATTCAATGAGTAGTCTGGGTCACTAAACACAGCACTTTGAGTAAGGCTAACATCTAAACTAACACACTTTCCTACGTAC